ATGGATCCTAAGAGGAATACAACTCAGGAGAGACATAAAAGAGACAGAGAAAAGGGGGAAATAAAGAGAAAATGAGATGCAAGTGTCCTTCAGGATTTACTTCTGACTTCCGGTGCCCAAAGCAAATAGACAAACACAGACAAAAACAGAATTTATTAAATGTGGATAAACAGCAACTACAGTTGACTTCTTAATTCCCTCAGTTATAAATTTACCAATGTGAAGAATTCATAATGAGCTCTGATAGTCTAAATACACCTTGTCCCGCTTAACCTAAGCAGGTCTCAAGCTGTTGCTTTGAAAAGCAAAAAGAAAAAAAAAACTAATGTTAGAAAGGAAGGTCATAGAACACACATCACATGAAACAGCGAGAGGGCTTATGAAGTGTTTACAAGACAGCTTTGAGTGTCAGGAGCCTTAATGACAAGCTTGAGTTTGACACTGATATAAATGAACACTCTTGTGGAATGAAGGACTCTTCATTCTGCACCAGCTGCCTCACAAACATCTGAATGTCCAAAATAAAAAATTTGCATGAGAAAGTAGTATATCTTTGAATTTTATTTCCTTATTTAATAGTTTACTAGTCCAGTTCAAAAAATAGTTTTCGTGGTCACTGCATGTCTATAAAAATGTATGCAAGGCAATCAAGTTTTAAATATTAAATTATATGTAAAATTCTGAATAATAATTCCTTATACCCTAATATCCACAATTAACTACTATAAACGAAATGACTAGTATATTTCCCTTTTTTAAAGGAACTCAGTAATCCCGCAAACTGTGGTACTAAAAAGACAAACGTTGAGAAATCATTAACATAAATATGTGTTTGTTATAAATAAATAGTAAAAGTAAATAGTAATACTAAAAATAATCATACTGTTATTTGCCAGATCAATAAAGACCTTAACATAATAAATGCAAGCTTCCTGCAGCATTACAATCCCAGACAAAAATCTATTGACCTTTCAGTCTGACAGTACCTAGAGGATTCAGCAGTTCTTGGGTAATTTGAGAAGGCTTTACTTGGAGGTAGAATATAAGAAGGTGATTTCAAAACACATTTATTTTTGACCCAGACATATTTTTTCTGCTTCCTCTTTTTCTCCAGTGGAAAATATGCTAAATGGGGTCACTTTAAATCCTGGATCTAACACAAGTTTAAAACAAAAAATTTGGTCAAACAAAAGGAAATATTTCCTTTCAAACTCCCTGAACTCCTCAACATGCCCACATCTTTGAGTCCTCCATTACTCTCAGTTATTCTGTAGGTCGCAGTATGGTCAGAACAGCAGCGGTGAACTGACCACAGGTTGGATAACATTACAGCCAGAATCATGACTCCATGGTTTTATGGACTACCATCCATCATCAATAACCCAGCACATTCCTGGGTGACCATCAAACACCAACAGGCCATCCTTATTTTTGATAATGCAATCATGTGTTTGACCATCTGATATGATAACTGATAAGGATACTAAGAACAAGAACCTAATTAATACATAGTCATGAGCAAGAAAGCTTTACCCTAAAGCACCATTAGCCAACTGCATGCTTAAACATTACTAACTCTGTTTTTTTAATTCATAGCTGCAGCATACATTCCCAAACAGCATCACAAGCTTGTGTGGTTAAATCCAGCTCTCAACATAAAGCACAGCTTCATCTTTAAATGGCATATGGAGTTAAACAGGTCGTACATGTAAGCATGACAACATTCAATACAATCTATGGGAGATTTCACATTTGCAGTGTGTAATCTACACCTGATCTATAATCTATAACTATCCTCCAGAATGGTTTGATAGACATTTGCAGTGACGTGCCCATCCATAACAATAATTGGACCTAGGGAATGCCTTGATATTTTAGCCCAAATCATCACTGATCCACCTCCATGCTTTACTTTGAGCATTTTGGGCAAAAGTCTGGGTGGTACGCTTCTTTGGGGCTTCTCCTCACCATAACTCTCCTGGATTAGGTAAGGCGGTGATTCATCAGAGAACAATACATGTTCCAGATTGTCCAGAGCTCAAGATTATCACTGCTGGCACCACTGAAACTGATGTATGCATTGGCATGAGTGACCAAAGGTTTGGCTATAACAGCTCAACCAAGTGTGCTGACCTTGTGAAGCTCCAGACCAACAGTTTTAGGGGAATCAGGAGAGTTGAGGTTCATATTAAATTCTGCAGTGAGTTGGGCAGCTGTAGTTTTATGTTTTTTTGGATACAATGCAGGTTAGCCTTCCTGATAACGTCCGAGGCTCAGACACACTCTCGCTATTCAAAACTAGATTAAAGACCTATCTTTTTAGTAAAGCATACACTCAGTGCATCACTTAGCTGTATGATACATAAATGTGCTCCACACAGGTTTCTGCATCTCGTTTATATACACTATGAACAGCAGCTACGCTAATTATTCTCTATTTCCATCTGTGGATACTCAACCCAAGGTCCTCAGACTACGCAGCACCACTGATTTGATCCAAGACCAGCGACAAGATGGTTCCAAGGTCTCCTGGACCAGGCCGTATCCTAAGCAGGTATTGTGGTGGTCATGGAAGAGTGGAGAGCATGAGACTGATTCCTGCGACGCTCCATGGACAAACAAGTCTTCGCTGAGGTCCAGCTTCCAGCCTCCGGTGCCTAGACTGCAGCTCTGCACAAGACGTTTGGCCAGTGAAGAAATGGTCATGCCCAACTGAGTCTGGTTTCTCTCGAGGTTTTTTAATTCTTCACTTTCGCTTATTGGGGAAGTTTTTTCTCTAGTCCCTGTCCCCACTAGCTTGCATGGTTCGGGATCTGTAGAGCTGCGCATCGATGAAATTGCTCTTCTGTGTTTGGGTGGTTCGAAAGACCCACCCCTCACTGACAAAGGTCCAGAATTTGTCCCATACACAAGCTCATTTGTCCTATTTTGATTACTATGTCATAGTAAAATGTGAAAATAGCCATCGAAGAAGGCTTTAAGCCCAAGCAGAATCCTCTTTTGGCTGTTGCTTCAGCATGACTGAGGAAAGTTGAATATGCTGGCCAGTTTGCGTTTGCCTAATAAATGACAATAGGCTAGTTTTTAATCTAAAACTTGAACTTGAACTTTTCTATGACATATGATGAAATATATTTGTATTTGAAATCTAATTATTATTCTCATTTTTTTCAGTACATCAAAAAGTGTGATTAATGACCATCAGACAAGCTAATCCAGCAAAAATTAGTGCTTAAAAAGTATTTAAACCTCATAATTAAATAGAAAATGAGGCTAATAACTGGAAAAATGTCCATATTTTAAGAAAAAAAGAACCACCCCTTTTACCAGGCTGGCTACGAGCCTGCCATGGCTCTTGTAATGCAATGTAATGTGTATTTGATGATGCATCACAAAGACTTGCTGTCTTGGTCACAGATGAGTCAGCGAGATGCACACCAACAATTTGTCCTCTTTAAAACTCTGATATGTCACCCATAAGGTTGTGTGCACTGCAATATTTAATGCAAAACTGTGCTATAGGGTATATGCCGAAGTATGCTAATAGGACTTTTAGTTAGCCAGTAACCTGGGTTAAGCGCTTCCAGTAAACTGTATGCCAATGCAATGCAAAGTCAGTTTTCCTTAAAAATCAGCAGTCTCCACTGGTTGAGTGAAATCTGATATAAAGTGGGTCTCAGATTGTACAAGAAGCAATGCATTAAATTACAGTTTTCCCTGCCATATCTTTATAATATGAGCATTTATTTTACCCCAATATATTCAATGGAGCTTCTGCGCTAGCCCGCCGATTCTGACGGGCAGGTGCGAGTAAAAGGCTTTTTGTCTCATTTTACGCTTGAACAACTAAATGAATGCCAAAGTTTATTTAACTGAATGTATTTTAATAACTTTACAACATCGATGCTGTAAAAGGAACCGTATAAAATGGAAAAAAAAAATCACAATAACAGGTCTCCGGAAGTTTATCAGTATGGGAACAACACTAGCTCGGCATATACCATATTACTCTGCTAATTAAACCTTTACACTCTGCTCTTACTGGTGGAACGTGCAATCAATGAATATTGGCCACTAGACTGGTCAAATTTAGCCATAAAACCTCCAATACTAAATTGGCCAGTGTTTCAACCCCTTTATATTTCTAAAAAAAAAATTAGATGCACTACGTAAAAATCTATAATAATCTTTTTTTTTCCCTTTTTCACAGATAATGGTGTCCTCTGCCTTAGTATTAAGGCTGAGCACAGCAGGACTGTTTACAGCTCTGCTAGAGTGAGGCTAACGCTTTAACAGCACCTCTGGAATAACTGGAGATCACAGCGTCAAGCCCAGTAGCGGCCAGTGCTCCAGCAGTCACATGTGATGTGGCCCGCAGATTCATTTCACACTCAGATTCTGAACACTACCCCTGACACAGAAGAGAGAGATAGAGATGGACTGTGAGAATGTGACAGGGATGAGAACTGGAAAGAATGGAGAGGTTGTTGAAAATTAGCAGATGAACAGTGGAGGCTGACAGTGTGTGAAGACAGAAAGGGGTGGAACAAGGATTTAGTTTACAACGAGCAAAAAATTAAAGCGAATAAAGGTGCAAAAATACCATGCAAAAAAAAAAGTTATACTGTCAGTAATTTTGCATTTAGTTTTTTCAGTGTATTTAATAATAACTGAAAAAATAAATGTATACTGAGCTATATATTTTATATACTGTTAAAAATTGATAGATGTTTTATAGTTTTGCAATGCAATTGAGGGAGTGAGATTATCCAAAAATTATGAATCCATAAATAATGTCACAACATGATTAATTCTTAAACAGTTAAAATAAGTGCAGTTTTAAGCTAAACCACAGATCATCCTGCACTGTTTGTTCTACAGGCATTCATGATTTATCAGTGTTTGAGTAAGCACCACACACTTTATATAATAAAAAAGTCTGGTTATATTCTAATATTTCCAAAATGAAATTGATTAACTGTTAAAAAGAAAGCTGATTCTGACTTTAATAAATTCTTCTTGCATTTATTCTAAAGTGACATTAAATTGCAGTCTATGTTATACTTCAAACATATATTAAAATAAGAATAAAAAAATGTAGTGTTAGATATATAACATATACCAAACAAGCACAAAAAATAATAGTGATAATATGTCATCTTCTTATCAGAGGAAAGTCCCAGGCATAATTCATAAGTGCTGTATTTTCCAGCTGAACTATACAAACTGAACTGGTATTCTTCAGCTGAGCTGATCCTCGTATTGTTTCCGGAAGCAATCTCCAACAGGAAAAAACTCCCAGCAGCGTTCCTGAAACATCTTCCACACGTATGATTCCTGTCGAGTTAAAGAGTACAGCAGTCACAATTTGATATAAATAAACACTATGAACTGCTGTAAAATCTGTTTGACTATGGCAGGAATAAATGATTTTCAAATATGCTAAAACAGAAAACTATTATGTTTTATTATAAAAAAATTTTACAAGACAGGGCAGCATAACAGAAATATCATCACAGCATCTAATAACTCCACACTTTTACAGCTTTTCTAAAAATAAATAAATAAATAAAACATTTTTCAGTGGTTTCAAATATTACTTTATTATTAAGCATGTGCCTCCTACTCTGAAACTGCTCATATATCTTTTTTCCAATAAAGAGTCATGGCATTTGAGAATACAAGTTGTACCTGTCCAGTGTGTTCTGTAACATCCTTATTGATGAGGTACATCAGGAAGAACCTAAAGGGCAAACCAAACACCAAACAAATGTAATTCAGTTTGAGCAAAAGATGGAAAAAACACTCATTTTTCCCCAAGCTGAACTTTACATTGTTTCTTTAACTTTAGGTTTATGTTTTGTTTTGTTTCTTTACAGTACTATAGTAATACCATTGTAATCTTAAAAACAAGTCAAAGTGGTGACATATGAATTTGCTAAACCTGGCATCATTTCTTTGTATAAAGAGGTGTGTTCACACTTGGGTTTGGGTACATTCAGTCCTGGTTTGCTTAGTGTTTGCACTTTCATTTTTAGGATTTAAAACACATATACAAAACAAAAGATTTACTTTTTGTAACACATCTTTTCTAACATTTAAAACAATGCTTGGTGAGTGTTGCATTCAAAGAGCAATCATCTGCAGCACAGTTTTTTTTTGGATGTGGAAAACTTGAGCTTTGGGTCATGACTGAAAGGACAAGATCTCGGATACAAGTTTTCTGGCAGGGCGCACCCTTATAGATAGAGTGTGGAGCTCTGTGACCCAGGAGGAGCTCAGAGAAGAGCCGCTGCTCCTCCACATCAAGAGAAGTTAGCTGAGATTGCTCCAGCATCAGTTTTGGATGCCTCCTCGACTTCTACCTAGGGAGGTGTTCCAGGCATGTTCCACTGGGAGGAGGCCTCGGGGAAGGCTCAGGACATGCTGGAGGGACTATGTTTCTCGGGTGGCCTGGGAACGCCTCGGGATCCCCCCGGAGGAGCTGAGGAAGTGTCTGGGAAGGGAGAAGTCTGGGGTTCTCTCCCAAGACCCAGCCTCGGAAAAGCGATTAAAAATGAACGAATGACAAAGCTGTTGGGCAACAGGGTTTGGACAGCAATATTCACAATTATTTAAATGAACAGCTACAGAGAGATATACTGCTGATTTAGAGCTCGTCTATAATGCTAATTTGGTTGGTCAATTCACCTATGTCGCAAGTTTTTTGGACTGTGGGAGAAAACTAGAGAAACTGGGGGAAACCCACGCGAGCACAGGGAGAACGTGTAAACTCCACACAAAATCGTAGACTGGCCTGTGGCCTGAGGCAAGTGCTAACCACTGAGCTGCTGTACCACCCTTTCGAGGAAAAAAGAAAGGAGGAGTTGGGGTGGAAAGGGATTCTTCAAGCTGAAGATGACTGAGGTAAGGAACTCTGGTTATTTATAATAAGTTAGGAATCATCTTATTGGTGAATCATGCATTAACTAATGCGGGACCAGCTGCGGTCAATGATAAGCATGTGATCCTTTCGAAATTAGTTTATAAATAATCTTCACATTGTGTAATTCATCAGTTTAAACTCAACTTATTTTTCAGAACTTGCTGCAAGTCAGGAGAAGTTTAGGAAAGAATTGCTGAAAATTAAAGCTGGCTTGTAACATACCAGCAATATTGACTACTTTTCTGTAAGTTGTTGTGGTTGTTTACAGTTAAATTATTGTAGTTAGGTTAGGGGGGGTTAGGATTTATTGTTTTGTATCTACTTACATATATGTATGTATACACACACATATATATATATATATATATATATATAATTAAAATTATTAATTTATATTAATTTTAATTTATATATTTTTTATAAATTTTATTAGTTTTATATTTAATTAATTATTTTTTTTATTTATTGCTCAATAATTTTTTTATTAAAAATATATTCTATAATGTGATCTCATTTAAAGGATTAATTCAAGAACAGTTTAAGCACTGGTAGCATTTTAAAAATGATTGCTATTGCATCAAAAAAAAAAAAAAAAAAAAAAAAACAGACAATACTCAACCCTAAACCACACTACACCAGTGTGTTTTAATCAGAGCAAACCTGCTAAGTGTGAACACACAATAACTGACAAGGAATAATGTAAGGCAGAATTTTGATTTAGTCCACCGGGAATTGACTGTCTCACTTGCTATTGAGCTCATGTGGATGACCTCTGATCTCTTGTAGTACTCACAGGTAATTTGCCAGGTTGTGTTCTTGCAGTGTGTGTGACTCAAAACCATGGGGTACTGTATCAAAGTATTCGTTTCCAATGCCACAGATAAAACACTTAGTCTGCAGGAAATAAAAAAGGTAATTACTTTATTTTTTATTTTAATTACAGATTGTAAATTAGCATAAAACCCATGGCTAGGCTAGACAGTGTCTGGCTGAGACTAATGATGTTTACAAACCGTAAAATAAAATATCAGATTTAAAATAAATGTTTAGTTTTCCATAAATTTATTTAAATAAAAATTAACTCTTTCTTTCTGCAGAAGAAAAAAAAAAAAAAAAAAAAAATATATATATATATATATATATATATATATATATATATATATATATATATATATATATATATATATATATATATATAGATTGCACAGAACTGCAAATAATTTTGCTCTCAACTGTATATATTTGTTTAGTTGTTTATAACGTTTTGTTTTCCACAAATTAATTGCAGAACAAGATGATTCAGGTTGAAGCAGAATACTAAAATAGCCCATTTTGAATGAGAAAGCTTACCTCCATGTCCTCTTTAACCTGCTCCTGCTGGTCTCTCAGTTCGCCAAATGCATCAATAATAAGACCTTTCAAATGATACGACAACAGAGCAAATCACCAGTTAAGAATACAATCAAGTTTATGCCACACATTTGAGTCGTGAGTTTTATTTCTCCCCACGCATAAGACACTGCTCCAGCATCAACACGGTCCTCAGATCTCTTCCCATAAATCCCTCGCAGCGTGAGAGAGCATGATCTTATAATGAAGCTCTCCAGCACTGCTCAGCATGACTTGAGTTAGAGGACAAACTAAATAATTAAAACCCAACACTTCAGCTCATTCTGCTTATTGAAATATTGGTGCACATATTGTTCATTTTACTTATTTATTTATATTTAATGAAATGTCTCTGACAATCTTTCTGTTTCTCACCCTGGATGATGGCAAGCAGGATGACGATGACAAAGAAGAAGAAAGTGATGTCGAAGATGATGCGATAGAACTCAAACTCGTCTCCTGCTGGGTCTTCGATTTCATCTCCGATTCCCCCTCCGGCTCGTACGCCAACGTACATGTGGAACATGTAACACTATATGCACATACATACATGCATTAGATTTATTTTTTTTCCCCACCCCATCTTGTATAGCCTTCTTTTTACTCTTCCCTAAATTGAAAAAGCAGTTTTTGCAAGTTTTATGGATTCTGATTGTGCTGTGATTGCTCTGTTAACTGTTTTGGATATTAAATGCTACTGAATATGTGATTATGCTACATTTTTAGGTAAAAAAATGTTAAAAAAATGAATGGGGGTGATCACAAGTGACAGTAAAGCCATTTATACTCAGTACTGACAAAGTAAAAAAAAAAGAAACAGCCTAATTACTGAATTAAAAGTGTAAATACGGCAAAGTTTTGACAGGAGAGTTCAGTTGAATCAGTGAGCCATTACCTGGAGACTCACTCTGACCAGCTCGTTTGAATCAGTGGGTTGGTAACAGGAAAGTTGCTGATTCAGATCATCTGAATATATGAGTCATAAACTAGGGACTTGAGCCGCATCCAGAATCGCATACCTCCATGCTATACAGTACGCTTAAAACATTATGCGAGCTGAATAGCAGCTGACGTAGGTAGGTCACGTGATCATGATAAAATAGCGGATGTAGAACGTCCAAGCTCCATTCATACTGCTCACATTCATACTGTATAGAATGTACCTTTCTAAGGGCCAAGTAGTATATTTAAATTCAAATGCAGTACCTACTTAGTAGTAGACGAATTCGGACGCAGCCTTGGTCTGACCAGATCATTGGAATCAGCAACTCCTTGTGACTGAATCATCTGAATCAGCGAGTCCATTAGAGACTCTGGCTGCGTCCGAAAACGCTACACCCATACTATTGATCTTCTTCTTCAATGCGGAAGTGCGCTCGTTTTTGCGATAGCTTTAGAACTTCTGATTCAGTTGCATATGGGAGAAATGACAGGGAATAATAAACTGCAGAAAGCTACTTGCTCTGCAAATAAGTGTTTGCATGTCTATACAGACAAAGCAGTTAGTAATACATAGTAGTAGTAATAGAATATGAAAATATCAGTTTGCAACATCAAGCAGCAGAACGAGCTGTTTTTAATATCTAAAAACAAATGGAAGTGAAAGAGACCAGAAGTATCAAGACAAATATTATTTAAATGGCTGTGCCCGTGTAGAATAAGGCGAATATAGCATGCTAAAAACAGTATGTGAGCTGAGTAGTACGTCCGAATTCATAGAATTTGAAAAATAGTATGTGAGAAGTATCCACATGACCTACTAATTCCAGCGAGATTCTGAAGTGCGCCTCCGATGCTCGCTACAATATCCCATGGGAGAATTCATGAATGGGAGAGAAGTGACGCAACTGATGCGGATAGATCACATGATCATGACAAAATAGCGAATGTACGTCCGAGTTCAATTCATACCACTCACACATGCATGCGGTTTATTAACAATGGACGTTCTCTGTTCTCCAGCCTACTACGCCTTGAATGCAGCTCTGCACAAGAAGTTTGGCCAGAGGAGAAATTGTAGTGCCCGACTGACCCTGGTTTCTCTCAAGGTTGTTTTTTCCCTTCACTTTCGTCAATTGGTGAAGTTGTGTTTCTCACCACTGGCTTGCATGGTTTGGGATGCTGCGCATTTATGGATTTGCTCTCGAGTGTTTGGACTTTCAGCAGTGAAATTTATTTAAACCACCCTTAACTGAACAAAACGGAATTTTAACTCTGACAACTGGACTGACACAGTTTCAATTGTAATTTACTAGAACTTCTAAGTTCTGCTTTGACACAAACTACATTGTAAAAGCGCTATAGAAATAAAGAATAAAGATGAATGCATACCGTATTGAGTGTACTTTACTAACGGTCGATAAGTAAATTCAAATTCAAATGCAGTACCTACTGAGTAGAAGGCGATCTCAGACACAGCCATTGTCTGACCAGATTATTTGAATCAGTGAATCATCAACTGAAGAGCTCTGATCGGATCATCTGAATAAGCTAGTAATTAACTAGGGACTCGGTCTGGCCAGATCATTTGAATCAGTGAATTGTTATAAATTGTAACAATAATTAACAATATTATTGTTTTAACAGTACTTTTGATCAAATAAATGTAACATTGGTAATAGTATAATATATATATATATATATATATATATATATATATATATATATACATACACATACATATATATATATATACATACATACATACATACATACATACATACATACATAAAGTCAGAATTATTAGCCCCCCTTTGATTTTTTTTTTCTTTTTTAAATATTTCCCAAATGATGTTTAACAGAGCAAGGACATTTTCACAGCATGTCTGATATTATTTTTTTCTTCTTGAGAAAGTCTCATATGTTTTACTTCGGCTAGAATAAAAGCTATAAGCTTTAAGCTATATTGTCTTCCGATAGTCTACAGAACAAACCATCATTATACAATGACTCGCCTAATTACCCTAATCTGCCTAGTAAACCTAATTAACCTAATTAGTTAAGCCTTTAAATGTCACTTTAAGCTGTATAGAAGTGTCTTGAAAAATATCTGGTAAAAGATTATTTACTGTCATCATGGCAAAGATAAAATAAATCAGTTATTAGACATGAGTTATTAAAACTATTATGTTTAGAAATGTGTTGAAAAAATCTTCTCTTCGTTAAACTGAAATTGGGGGAAAAATAAGCAGGTGGTGTAATGATGCGGAGGTTTGATAATTCTGACTTCGACTGTATATATGTATATTTGACAGGGGTGATGGGCAATCAAAGAACTGCTCTATAATTAGCTACATAGCTAAATTTCATCAGCAGTTGCACATCTGCTGATGTATTTTAAAAAAACATTTCAGCTGCAGCTTGATTTTTCTCTAAGGTAGGACTCTGTCTAATGTTAATAACTCTTACAGGAAAAGCAGGATGAAAATCAATCACCTCTTGATGAAGATCTAGCTTGACTTATATTAGCAGTACAAAGGGAAACAAAATCCTTCAAAGGTGAATTACAAAGGTGATTACAAATGGTCAAGGAACCGACTCCAACAGTCTGAACAGTATTTTATTGCAGAGCTCTCATGTTTCTGAGACCCTGACCGTTTGTGAACCTAAGAAACTGAAAGAGAGGTACTCACAGTGAGCATATCATCACATTTCATGTCCATTGGTTCACCGTCTTCACTTTTGTTGTAAAATTTGCGGAAGAAGTTAAAGGCAACCACAGTATAAAGATACACAACTACAGCCAACAGTCCCACCGTCAAAACCAACTGAAAAACACATCCATGTTAACAATTATTACTTAGCTTTTTTGCATTGACACATTTTTTGAAGTATGAATTGAGGGAATGCATTTTTGGGGGCCACTCTATATACACACACACAAAGACGCATCTAATGTATTACCTGTTTGCCATTATGTGTGACAGATGACAATATGGTGCGCAGTGTTTTGAAGCCCATGGCGATGTCGAGCAGGTGAGCGGCGAAGAAAAAATTATTATAATGACCCAGAACTGACACAAACATATACCAGGCCAGGTAAAGGAACGACTGAAAGAAATTAAAAACACAATTTCATGTCAGGTTTGACTCACTGACTGCCTTCAGTTATAATGTTCAGAGAGTGACGGATCTTACATTGTCTGTGAAAACCACTCCCAGCTTCCACATGTGGTACTTCACATCAGTGGTGTTTAATCTGAAGCTGTGGAAACGTAAAAATGATTTATTTTAATCTTATCACACTGAACACCACTGCCATCATCTGGCACATGGCAAAATCTTTTTTTTATTGTCAGCCTCTGCAGATGAACTGTTTTGCTGATTTGTTTGGTATAATAAATATAATAAACCGAAGGAGAGGGTTGCAACTCACAGGATGCCCTTTTGCATGGGTCTTTTCCTCTCCTGAGCCCCTGAGCTGAAGTCAAGAGCAGCTTTATCCAAACCCAGCAGCTCACTGACGCGTGCTGATCCATACAGCTCCCCGTATTTCGCCATCACCTGCAGCATGGAAAGTAATCACAGACTGAATCAAAGAGAAAAACAGTTTGAACCTGCGGCTCAGATCACACAGCTTACGGTACCAATGCCAGGAAGTAGATTTATATTTGTCATGCTCAACCCGAGTATTAAATCTGACACATACTGTAGTTCATCCCATATCGTTCATACCAGAGACACAAATGATGTCTCATGTTTTGTCTTACTGTGGAGACTATAGTATGCAACTGGATTTACAATTTCTATGATTATGAAGATTTAAAAGGAGGCATCCATTACACTGACAGCGAAAGAGGGACCACGTCTGAATGTCAAAGAGATTAGGGGGAAGGCTACTAAATAACCCCCTAGCAACCACTCAGAACACCCTAGCAACTACATTATATAGAGATGCTCTGGCAAACACCCATATAAACCTACAATCAATGCTTTGGGCTGACATGTCATTTAGTTTTTAGCGGAAAATTCAATTGAAAACAGAATTATTAGCCCCCCCTTTGAATATTATTTTCTTTTTAAAATATTTCCCAAATGGTGTTTAACAAAGCAAGAAAATTTTCACAGTATGTCTGATAATATTTTTTCTTCTGGAGAAAGTCTTATTTGTTTTATTTCGGCTAGAATAAAAGCAGTTTTTTTTTTTTTTTTAAACATTTTAAGGACAAAATTATTAGCGTCTTTAAGCTCTATATTTTTCAATAGTCTACAGAATAAACCATTGTTATAGAATAACTTGCCTAATTACCCTAACCTGCCTAGTTAACCTAATTAACCTAGTTAAGCCTTTAAATGTCACTTTAAGCTGTATGGAAGTGTCTTGACAAATATCTAGTCAAATATTATTTACTGTCATCATGGCAAATATAAAATAAATCAGTTATTAGAAATGAATTATTAAAACTATCATGTTTAGAATTGTGTTGAAAAAATCTTCTCTCCATTGAACAGAAATTGAGGAAAAAAAACAGGGGGTTAATAATTGAGGGGGTCCTAATAATTCTGACTTCCACTGTATTAAAATCTGTTAAAATACTGACAAACAGGAATACTATGTAAAAAAAATAGATCAGTTTGTTGCACCAGTGTGTTCAATTCATCAAATTTTATTCAGACAGTTTTTGATAAGCTCAGTATAATTGATGAATCAAATTTAGTATGTAAAAGTTTAATATAACGAAGTAACCGGTTATTAAATAACTATGTGAAGGCACTGAGTGTTTCAAAAGAGTTTTTCCGTAAGAAATAATACTAATGCTGGCCTGTTTAGTGGTGAATGAATCCAATCTATGTTCAGTAAAAAGGATTATATGATGGAGTAATAAACTTGCTAATATATTAATGAATGTGATTTTGAATAAAATATTGTAATTAATATTGTTATCGGATGATACAGGGTTTCTGCATGTTTCAAGTCAAATTTAAGACTTTTTAAGACCTTTTAAGACCATTATGAATGTTATTTTAGACTTATACAGGGTTAAACACTAATGATTATTTCTGATGGCCCCGTTGGGCCAATAGATAATGTTTTTTTGCTTGCCACAAAAAAATCTAATGTAATTATTTTTTAGCAACAAACCCTAGCTGTATACACTATTTTCAACACACACATATATATCTTTTTTTTTTTTTTAAATGACAAGTTTAACATTTGTTAAAAATATATATTTGTTGGCTTTTGGTCCAAATTGATTGAGTATAACTACTATTCAACCTAATGGGTTTCTGTTATAAATCCTTATATTTCATAATAATAATAATATGTATATTATTTATTATTAATAATAAATATTATGTCTACCCCCTTTAATTCTGTAAATAGTTTTTGTGTGAATGGAAGATTATGCAAAGCAATATATTGCTCTGTTATTATCATGAGGAACTGTGTAATTGATTTTAGTTTTCTTTTTCTGATTTTATTAACATGGATTGTTGGTGATATTATGGATGTCAGCCTGATTGGGTAGCTTTACTTGGACAGAGGGGAATTAAGTCCAGTTTAAAAATATTTACGACATACAACACATTATTTCTGTGAATTTAAGAGTTTGTTTAGGGCCCAAAATTTTGTTTTTGAAATATAAGACATTTTAAGATGTTTTAAGACCCTGCGGATACGCTGTAATAGTTGTTTAATAAAATATAGATGAAATAGAGCAAATTAATAATAAAATTAGGATTAAGAATTATTACAAATTTGAAGGAATAAGACACAAATTTGGAAAAATCACAGTTGTGAGACTTTTAAGATATTTTTTGAAAAAGATTAGGTCGCACTTTATTTTGATGGTCCGTTTGTTGAATTTAAGTTACATTGCATCTACATGCCAACTAATTCACATTAGATTATAAGTTGTCTGTTAGGTTGGGCTTAGGGTTAGTGTAAATTGACATGTAATCACAATGTTTCTTAAAGTCAGTTAAATGTCTGTTGAAGGAGCAGTAACAACAGATTTAAGCAGACACTTTAACACTCAAATGGACCATTACCAAACATCAATTTGATTTCAGACAAATTTTAGATACATGCATTTTGTTCTCCAAATAAATGTAAAAAAAGTGTAACCCTTTAGTTTAAGTACCAATTCCCACTAATAACTTGGTTATTATTAAGATATTGGGTGCTTATTAATATTTATAAAATAAGAGATTATTCTACATCCCTAATCCTACCTAATATCTAAAAAATTGTACCTTAAAATAAGGTGTGGCTAATTATTTCTGTAGAACTTTTTAATAATAAAATTAGTATAACAGTTTTTCTCACTCACTTCAGTATATTTCTCAGATCATAATTAAAGTTTGCAAAACATTAAGTGCATTTTTCAAAACAATGCGTACAAATAGCAAAACACCATGGATTAAATGCAAAACCCTGTCTCTAGCTCAAAATTCTTAGTTCATCTCTAAAAATTAAATTTCTGTATCAATGAACAAGTCAGTGCCATCAGAATGACAACTGTTATTTTGATGTGCACAAGTGACACCATGATCTGAAGATTGAACAGACAGTTTTAAGAATTTCAATTTTGATCTGAGAAATGAAGCAAAGCGACTGAGAAAAACTGTAAGAATAAAATATACAAATGAACACAGAGAGACTATCATATATTTAAATGCTGCTTAAACGTAAAAACTGTTCATCTTACCTTTCTTTTCACAAATTTATCCCAGTAATTACTTGGGTATGATCTGAAAAGCAAGAAAACAATAAAAAATAACACTGAAAAGATGAAATATTTTGTCCTTTGTAGTAGTGACAATTCAGCAATCACTATTTAAAGGGAAGGTCAGTCATTATTTCATTTCTCCTAAACACTTATGTGAGCCTTTATAAAACATCTATGCAGCTCTTACGGTGTATTGATGACCATTCTGTCCCACTGGCCTTTAATGTCATCTTCAGAAGGTTGCTCTGTGATGTAGAGTCCATCGAACTCCAGTTTACGAGCCAGCTCCTTCTCTCGCTTAAAAATGACTAAAGGAACCTGTCAGGAGAGTAAGATGAAAAAAGTTTTGTTTAAACCTGGAAATAAACAAACATTAATTTGAAGAATCGTGACCTAAAAGGAATTTAAAAAAATGTCTAGGTCACTAATCTTCGTTCAGACGGTCAGATATTCATGTTTCCAATGAAGCGCAAGATGCTTTTTGGATACTTTACATTTATGTTGGAAAACGTGATAATCAGATTCATGCAGCTCAAGTGTAAAATGAAATGAAAGAATTTTTACTTTTGGTTTAAGACTTGTGGAGGCCACAGCACATCTAAGAGCTTTAACAAAAGCCAGGAAAGTAAAGTTTATTTAGTCTATCAAAGGCGCATGTTTAGTTTCACAATAAGAAATATAGTGGGTTTCTTGCACAGGCATAGAAGTGAAGTGCCGGTTGTGTGTGTGTGCGTGTGTGCGTGTGTGTGTGTGTGTGTGTGTGTGTAACCTTCAGACAGTAGTAGCCGATGATACAGCAAAGAGAGATGATTGTGTGCAGAACAGCCAGGCAGTGAAGAATCATTTTCATGTAGCCACTGTTCTCTTCTAGTTCAAAATAAACTTCCTGTGAACTCTTGGTGCTCTCGTCATGAAAAGCGATCTCCACATCATCAGTGGTTGATGAAACCTAAATAAAACAATCACTTAGATTAGATGTATGCTTTGTTGATAGTAATTAAAATTGAAAAATCACATATTGATTTTTTATGTTGAAAAAATACATTTGCTAAATGTGTAAGATGTTATGGATACATTATTGACATTGAAATCATCAGTAGCTTGCAGCAAGATGCTGTCTTTATATGTGAGTCACTGAATCCTTCATTTAAATGATTTGTTCAAAACAGCTCATTCATTTAGATATGAAGCAAGGAATTGTATTTACAAATGGATCACTGAATCATTTACATATTTGAAACAGATTCGGTCAGGAAGGAAAGCGTGTTTCATTTAATAGCTCCATCAATGAATATGTTTATTAACATAGGACAGACGATAGTACATGTGCAGAGATGGACTTAGTGATTTAAGAGCCATAAGCAATTTCAGGAATGGGGCCCTAGCATTTTGCAAAATGAACTGATTGTTAAAAGTATATATTTACCTTTTATTTACCTTTTACAGTGAGTTTAGCTTTATCTTCATAATGTACAATTAAAGGCAGAAAATTCACAAATAATGTTTCACCCGGACAGCAGGATCACGGAGGAAGCTGCGTTTCATTGTCGAATTTCTATTTTTTTTCTCCCAAATGTTCTCAAAATTCTCACTCTTCCACACTTTACCTGCCTCTACTCTGATCACTGACAGGCTGGTGTTATTAACAGTAAGAAAATTAATTTAAATTGTTACATTTAAAACAGGAGAAGCAGACCAGTTTGACTATACCAACAACCTCATGATCGCAGTGATAAAACATTTGCCGTCAGTATGCAGAGGAATGATCTGCTCTCAATGCTGCAGGTGTGAGAGATGGCTGTGTGGCACTGTGTTGCCTTGAGTGCTCTGGGAGTAACCAATGGCTTCATCCGCAGCTCGTCGCAAAGAGTAACGTAGGAACAGCACGGTCACATGAGATTCACTACAAATCTCCAGCAACACCTAAAACATTCGCTAGTCACTTTTTTGAAAATTTGGTGATGGTAGTCTGAAAAGTCACTAGGTTTGCAACGTTGGCTGGCAGTGTATTTGATTAAAGCACTGCGCTCACACCTCGCACATGCGCAGTATAGAAGAGGTGTTCCATTATTCACAGGGCCCCCATATTTAACGTTAAAATTTTAACGGTTATAGACAGATTTTACAACAAACGATAGAAATTGTATAAAAGAGCTATATGATCATTGGTCGGGGGTCCCAGGGAATTAGGGCTGCTTACCTCGCTTGTTGGTTAAGTCCACACCTGTACTGTACATGTGAATTTATTATCTTTGTTCAAAAAATCGTTCAAAAAATAGTTCTTTTTATGCAAAGATGTACACAAAAGACATTGAATCACATACAGTTAGAGAAAGAAAAACAAAGAACAGGGATAAAAAAAAAATTAATAAATAAAAAGTCAGGTAGATGTAGGTGCGTGTGTGCATATGTGAGTGTGTTGCCTTGTTTCACTATCCTGGGCGTACAGTTCAAAGTACATAAATTATATATATATAATTATATAAATTATATATATATATATATATATATATATATATATATATATATATATATATATATATATATATATATATATATATATATATATATAAATTGTGTAACAGTAGAAAGCCTATTAGCATATTATTATAGGTCATAAATAGCAAAAATTTAAGTAAATAATATATACTGTAAAGAAAACATAGATAGAGCAAAAACAACAGTGGCAGTACTAGTCAACAAGAATAACAACAGCAACGACAATAATAATAATAACAACAATAACAACAACAACAACAATAATAATAATAATAATAATAATGACAATAAAAACAATAATAACAATAATAATAATAACAATACTAATAATACTACTATTACTACTACTACTACAACTAATAATAATAATAACAATACTAATAATACTACTATTACTACTGCTACTACTACTAATAATAATTATATTAATAATAATAATAATTATTATAATAATAACAATAATAGTAATAATAATAATGACATAATTAGTTCAAAATCAGAAAGATAGTTTTGTGTTGTTTTTTTGCGTGACAGCTTTCAATTTTAACCAACAATTACAATTTTATCATAAACAAAAAAAATTGTTAACTTTTGGTCCAATGCTGCCAAATTGTTCGCTCGCTTTAAACTTATCTAGTTGGTGTTCCGAGCTGTAGGTTATTTTAGCTGGTTTCCCAATCTGAGAGACCAATAAACATCAAAACAGAGCAGCCAGACCAACAACACTAAATTTCATGTTTTAGCAGAGAAATCAATACTTACCTTGTAAAACAGAAGAATGAAATTAATGGCAAAAGCGAGAAAGAGAGCCAACAACCTCATGTTGTAGAAATTTCTTGCAAAGCAGTTCTGCAGAGAAAAGACATGACTTGCAGGTGTTCAGATCCATATGTTTGAACATCTGTTTATACAGTGTGCTTACATTGTGCATTTGGAAAACAACAGAGAAGAAAACACACCAGAAGCTTGGTCTTCTGGGAGCTGATCATTTTCCAAACAGCCCATTCCTGGATTTCAGTTTCATCTGGATTTGAAGAGCTGAGCTTTCGGATTCTCCTCTTCGCCTTCTTTTCCTTGTTATGTTTATCCTCATCACTGCAACTATTAAATAAAATATTAAATGAAATATGCAAGCTTCAGATTGCTCACAAACAGTGCATTAATTCGACAGCCATATAAATAAGCCGTTCATTATCCCCATACAAGCATTCACTCATTTGCATCCATAGTATGGACCAAGACTGCAGGATATTGGACATAAATTGACACTAGAATTTAGTTTGCCTGCGATATGAATGAAAAGATGATTTAAAACTCTATTTGGAACGAAGTCATTATTTTACATTGACTGGGATTATTTTGTAGAGGAGTATCTGCATAAAATAAAATACAATTGAACAGATACAAACTAATTGTATAGTTTTCTGTGCAATCTAACAGTATTGAGGTGCAGAAATTCAATAATAATATATAAAACAACTTATAGTGTAGAGTCTTCATTGCATTAATAATTAAATACAAGTCACTTTGGTTTATATAGCATTATAACCTCTAGATTTAAGTTTGCTCAAATCGTACTCAGTCACAGGTCTTAAATACACATCCAAATCAAAATCCTTTACTCTATTTTAGGGTTAAGCTTTGCGATGACCCTGAAAATAACATTATGTGGTTCTGATCAACTATAATCCCAACTTGACACTGCTGATCCAGCGATGTGACTATTGCAGATGAACACATTGAGATATCGATGCTGAAATGATACATTATGCAGGCCTAGTATGGACTTTGTTATAACTTTAATGTCTTATAATATACAGTGAGCAATAACAATTAGGGTTAGGCAATATTAATTCTAATATGCAGATCCGATGATCAAGAAATATGTTTTATCATTGTTGACCATTATTTTTTTCTGCAGTAACATATGTTTATATTTATCTCTTTATTTAGCAAAAGCTGTCAAATACAATGGGTTATCTAAATGATTTAGGGCAGTATTTGAGACATCACATTAGCTGTAAGATGTTTTACGAATCAAACTATTTTTAGTCAAGGTGTTTGGTTTTGATTTATACAATCCATCAGGTCTTTCATTAACATTACATAATTATGTCCAAATGAATTCTGAAATTGTATTCAGTGCGGAGTATTGATCATTTTCAGCAGCTTTCAACTGCGTATTATTTTCACACCTTTTGAATTATTCAGGGTCTGGACACCCAACGTACTCGAGTACAATGAGAATATTAAAAGACTTTTTCAAATGTTCTCTGGGCTTCCTGTGGGGTATAGAAATGATACACTTGAAAGGTAAAAATTAAATCAGTACCATTCCCTGTTCAAATAGCAGTATTTTCTGTTTCCAAAGTTATATTTTTCCTCTGTCTGGAATACTTACAAAGCTTTCTTAGTCTCTGTATCCTCCTCCTCATCTTGCACTGCATGAAAATCCTCCTCACGGATTTCAACCTGTTTATAACATAAACGGACATACAGTAAATAGACACAAATGGAAAAACAAATAGAGACAAACTGAACATGCACGTGTACAAAAACGACAATTTATTAGACAAATATTTATAAAAATGGAAAAAAATATGGTCGCTAGATGTGTAACAGTGTAAAAAAAGACTTTGGTTCAGACCTCAGTTTAATTATTTGATACATTTTTGGTAAATATATAATGTAAATGTAAAATGTATAATATGTAAACTGCATAGATGGACTGCATAGAAGGAAGTATTGTTCATTTAGAGACCATTTAATTCCCGTTACATATAATATACATTAAAATGTTTTCTGTTTTGATACATATAATGTTTAACTTTTAATTTTTGGGGAGTAATTCTATTTGTTACTGAAGAATGTTATGTGTATTATTAAAATGCTCAAGTTTTTACAAAAAAAAATAAAAAATGGCCATATAAGATTAATACTCACTATGATATAGTAATTTTTTATTAGTCAAGCAATTCCATACTGAGTAATTAAATTACTTTTTAGATAAAACATTAAATATAAAAATGTTAAATACAACATTCTTAATTTAATAAGTTGTTAATTATTTTTTTGAGATAACTTTTCCAACACTAAATAAAATAATTTAATTTCTTATAATGAGCATATATTTTCAATAAAATGAAGATATATAAAATGTAAAACGTCATAATACGTTTCACCTCAAGTATGAATATGTGTACTGTAACTCCCGAATGGTCACATTTGTCCACTTACCGCTGACAATTAATGAACAACACACTATTTATTAAACTCAAAAGTGTTAAACTTCTAATTTAAGAAAAATCTAGTAAATAATACAGTGCTAGGCATTTATGAGTACACCCCCCACAAATCTCTCATTTAAATTGATATTTTCTCTTGGATGCTTTTCAATTTTATATTTGTGCAAATACATTATTTTAGTCAGAACCGAAGCTTATCTAACAAAATAACTTACAATACTTGTTCCAAAATTAGTAGGCCAAATTTATTTGTTAGGGAAAAATATTAAATAACATTTTCAAAAATAGCAAAAATCAAGAGAAAGCAAAAATATATACAATTTTGTTGAAATGTTGTAGTTTTTTTTTTTTTTTTGCGATGTTTTGATGAATTTAAATGTATTATCTTTCCATTTCTAAATGTTCTGTGACTAAAATGTTATTTTAATGAACAGATTTGTTTAATAAATCTGTTTTGTTCAAATGCACCAAAATATATTACCCATATTCACTGAGAAATGGATAAACATATTCGATTTCAAAATGGGGTATACTCATATATGCTAAGAAATGTACCATAATATGAGTAATTATAGTCAAATGTATATTTTTTATCATTTTTAAGGAATTTTTAAGGTATTTTTAATAATTATTGACCTGATATTTGGAGGTGTTTAGAAATTCATCCAGACTGGCACTATGGTCTCCACTCGATAATGTGTACTTTCCTCCTTGCCTCTTCAGACATAAGCCGAAAATATCTGTGAGGAGCTGTGGGTCCCTGGATACGGCAGACAGATCCAGACTCATGCCTCTGAGATTACCACGAGATGAAAACACACGTGCCTGATTGTCATTCTCCCTGAATGCATCTTGCACTCCTATAGCCTCAACCATGGTCGGATCCCGAAGGTCACCAAAAAGGTCGGTCAATTTCATCTCTTTAGCTACGTCAATAATCCATCCACTCAAGAAGATGTGGTAGAGCAGATAAAGGCAGAACCAGAGCAAGCCCAAAAAGGCATGAGTGATGAAAAGCAGAACGTTGTAGAATAAAGAGAAGATGACTGATATTATGCTCTTCATAGATATTCTCCTAATGTGTTTTCTGATGTTCCTTACAGAGAAACAATTCAAGTCTCTGGTCATCCTTTTGTCTTCAGGAAGAGTTTCTGTCTTCTCCACCTCTTTCTCTTCCTTGCCTTTCTTTGCTTTTAGTTCTTCTCCGCTCTCTGTACCAGATATTTGTGCAGCAAGCTGCATTTCAAAAATGGTGTCTTCACAAAAGTTGACAAACAGCTCCATCTTTTCCTTCTCGCCTCCTTTATTCACGACATCAAAAATAAACTGTCGTTTGCTCTCCTTCACCTGTGAACATGAATTTGTAAAGGCTTTTTAGGAAACACTTTATTAAAGCACAAAAGCACATCAGCCAATGACTGTTTCATACCTGCGGTTTCTCCCACTGTGTGCGGCTGGATTCGCTGATCTCAAAGTAGACCCTTTCGATCCGTTTCCCGCTGCCGAGGATTTCGATCCTTCCAAGATGAGGATGGAAATACTTAAGCACACTATCTGCTAGTTCCAGGAAATTTTGCAAGCGGGCATCATTGGGCATGTGCTCAGACAGGTTGGTCAGAAGAACGGCCATGTTGAAGCCAATTTCTTTAGCCGGTTCGTGAAAACGTGTCACAAAGTCTGGGTAATCCAGCAGCTCACTTTCTGCCATCTCCGCACAGGATAACAGGAATTCAATCTCAGATTGAGAGTAGCGCTTGAACACTTCCATGGCTCGCTGGAAGTCCTTCTTGGAAATGAGTCCTTTGCTGTCTGGGTCATATTCATGGAAGGCTTCTGACGACGTGAGGTCTTTGAGTTTAAGGAACATGTCGAAGAACTTGAGGATCATCTCCACATTGCTGGATGATTCCACCAGCATGTCTACCATCTGTTTGCCAATGGTTCCATTAACCACGTTTCCTAGAAACACAAAGGAAGCTTCATGTGCTCAAAATGACTGTTGGAATAATAGATCTACATTCTTTGGTTCAGAGATGAAATTCTTTTATCAATCCAGGCTCATTATTGGTTTGTACCCCATATACATTTCTGGAGATTGCAAAAGACATTTCAGGAGCTAGGGTTTTTTTTTTTTTTTGCAGTGTTTGTTTTCGTGAATGCACAAAGGGTGCTGTGTACGCTTTTTCGGATCCTAAATTTTTATCATGCCATTCGTGTTTGGTGTTCTCGTGTAAATACACCAAAGGCAGCTGTAGACTGACTAGCTGACCCCACACTATCACCCCTTCCCTAAACCCAAACGATAGTGTTTTCAAATGCACTGATTGACCAATCCCCCTCCCTTAAAGTCAACTGTCATTGTTTTCAAAAGCAATCCAGAAAAAGAAAAACCTTCGCCTGATTTTTACCACACTATGAGATCTTACCACATTCTTACCCTGTTATTTACTTGTTTATTAATTTTTACCTTTTGTTTTTGTCTTATCTACTTTCTAACATTCTAACACTTTCTAACATTCTTTGCCATAGTCAAACCCCGTCGTCAAACTCAAACTCCTCTCTGTGTCTCAAGTCTGCTGACGTACATGGCGAGGTACTGGGCAACCTGACAACAGCGGAAAAGTCATTCACACAAAGGTAAGCGGTCAGCTGGTAGAGCGAAAAGGAACAGAAGCCATCGGTGGTGTCATATCGACCCGTAGCATTTGTTTTAGAGACAAATGCAGCCATACGTAACTCTGGCTACAAAATTTGTGCTATCCAGAAATGTATACGGGGGTACGTTTTCACATTGAGCCTTTGTTGTCTTTTATTCAGAATCGTGTCTTATGTTTTATGTACACATGTGAAATGAGAGCAGATGAATTACCAAAGAAGCCACACATACTGTATAGAGCGGCTTATGTGATCCAAACGTCAAAAATTACAAGTTTAGAAATCACAGACTATGGTAAAAGTGTTTTGAGATGATAACATAGTAATGGCATTCATAACTCCCTTTTGTGAAATTAGTTCACAAACTTATATATAGCTACCTTAGTGAAGCGGTAATCTAACTGTACATATACTATAAATAGTTAACTATACAAATAAACACATGAGTACATAAAACTGTACAATATTATGCAAAACATTTAAAAAAAAAAACAGTATTTAAGGTTTAAACGCAAGTAGTGCAATATGATTTGTGATGCACTGATAAACATTTGTGTTATGTCATTGAGTCCTTGTAACAAGGAGTAAAATGTCTGGTGGATAAAGAGAGAAGATTGTGTTTCTACAGGTGGTTTGTTCCACCCACTCACCTGTGTGTTGCAAACTCATTTGCGCAATGTTTTTCTAGAGACAAGGAGTGTTTGTCAGAAAGTGTCTGGTGCATATAGAGTGGAAAGAGTGCATTATATTTCACATTTTCTGTGACTGTTACTTTCAGCTGTAATAAACAGTATGTTCCGGTATGTTTTTGGAGGCATTTTTCCATTGAGCCTATGTGATATATCACGCCAAACAATTCGCAACCAAATGCAAAAACAAAAACAAGCTTAAAAAATTACACCTGGTTTCATATTCTCATTGCTTTGCACACTGATGCATTTGTAATTATCTCATATCATCACAAATATGCACTTTTGAGAATAAAGCTGATGAATAATTACTCTGATTGCACTCATCATTCCCCACAATTGCACTGCAGAATCATTGTCAAAAAACATCACAATCTTACATGTTGTGTTAAACTAAGGCATTGGCTAAAACACATGCAGGTTACTTTAGTTCCTGAACAAATCTGCACTCTGGTCTCAAATTGAGCCATAATTCCAGCACAACAAGACTCAGACCTCATACTACAGGTATTCTTGTGTTGATTCCTCCAGTGCACACTCAGGTCAGCATGAAAGCTTTCAAACTTCCAGTTATTCATGCAAACTGTGCCCTATATTGAACAGCCGGGACACTACATACTGATATTAGTATATTAAATTAGCGTGTAATTGACACATTTGTCACTAGCAGAAAGGTTTCTCTCACCTTCAAGCATGGAAAGCAGCATTACCACCATGTCTTTCTGTAAGTCCATCAAAGCCTTCAGCAGCTCTATTTGGCTGGAATCCTGCAGACACAAAAAACTATTTTCTTTCTTTTATCCCTTTGAATTTCCCAAATTTGTACTTTGCAATGAATAAATTAGCACATGAGATTTTGAAGTAATTTGTCCATAGGCTAACCCGAGAAAGCTTCATCTGCATATGGGCAAACACATGAAGAAAACCGACTACAGCATCCCATAGACGACTATGAGCCAAACTCTGCTGGTTCCCTGTGCACGGACCCTAAATCAAACAATGAAAGGTTTAAACTGGTGTTAGTTAAAGAGATTAATTGGTTTATTTGTTTTGGGACAGATGCAACAAAGTATGGTGAGGGGCCTCTCAGAAGTATTTATTCCAAATAAAAAACTGTGGAGAAAATATAATGACACAGGGTCCTTACAATATTACTTACCTCTACATTCTGAGCGAGCAGATTTACAGTTAACCACACAAGCCCCATCACAGCTGAGCCATTTATTTGTGTGCATTTACCTGAATGTATTCGGTGAGCGTGTTGAACACCTGCTTGGCCACGGTGATGGCTTTGGAGAAGTTGTGCTGACCACGCTCATCAATCACATCCTTCCCTGAATAATACCAGTAGAAATCGCTGATGGACTCCTGCAGATATGAGACCATCCATCATTCTCAGTATCAGACAAACGAAATGGAGGTGGCCTGTCAGCGGCGAATGGTTTATGGAAACATTATTGGGCTACAAGCTCTGTCTCACTTTCTCAATTTCGTGCAGAAACTCTCAAACCACTGACAGCAGCAAACATGCATTTATTTTAAGTCCTCCTTCATGTATATTACAGCCAGGTGAAATGAAAAATGTAAGAATGTGGTGTTTGGGGATGAGTTATGGAGCTTGCCTGGACCCTGAGCAGATAATCCACAGTGGAGATGATGATGTTGACCGTTGTGTTATTTCCAGTTTGAGTCCTCAGGTAATTCTGGAAATCTGTGTTGGGGGAGGGGGCAGTTTCAGACAAAAACCTCCAGTTCTTATGTAACAGACCCATCAATCATGTGCTGGTTTCTGAGTCAGACTAATATGAGCAAAATAGGGCTGTCTGTTAGACCACACTAATCAATAATGAATCCTTTTATTTGGTTTAGTTTACACTCTTATATAGTTACATTATATTAGAAAGCATTTTAACTTTTGAAAATCATATCTCCCATGTCACAAAAACCGCCTTCTTTCATTTGAGAAATATTGCTAATTCACTAAGTATGCTATTCATCTCAGATGCAGAAAAGCTAGTTCATACTTTAATGACTTCTAGGCTGGACTACTGTAATGCTCTGTTCGCTGGTTGCCCAGCATCCTCTATTAATAAACTTCAGTTAGTGCAAAATGCAGCTGCCAGAGTTCTAACAGGTTTAGAAATTATTATCATATTTTGCCCAATTTTATCTTTCTTACACTGGCTGCCTGTTAAGTTCCGTACTAATAATAAAATATTGCTTCTTACCCATAAAGCTTTAAATAATCTAGTTCCTGTTTATCTAACCAACGTTCTGTCTCGCCACAATCCAACCTGCTCTTTAAGATCTTAAAACTTTTTAGTAAAGCATACACTCAATGCATCACATATCGGTATGATTAATGAATGTGCTCCAAGCAGGTGAGCTGGCTTGACAACCACCTGTAGAACACACTCCTACTGTTTTAATGCACCATACACCATTTGTTAGAAACTCTCATATGCTTCACATTTTTGTCTCTGTTTTTTTATATAACTACTATTTTAATTTTTTTAACGTCATTTTTGCATCTCGTTTAAATACACTTTGAACAGCATCTACGCTATTTATTTTCTTTATTCTCTATTTCCACCTGGGGATACTTATCTCGAAGCCCCTAGAGACTATGCAGCGCCATTGATGCGATCCAAGACCTGTGAAGAAATGATGCCAAGGTATGCATAATGCTGGATCAGGCCGTATCCTGAGTTGATGCTATATATATATAGTTGAACCACTGGCTTGCTCGGATTGGGACTTGTAGAGCTGTGAAATTTTCAGCTGTGAAATTTAAACCACACTGAACTGAACTGAACTAAACTAAACTGAACTTCAACTCTGTAAATCTGGACTTTACTAAAATGTCTATGTTAAGCTGCTCACCAAGGCTGCATTTATTTAATCAAAAATACAGTACAAATTGTAAAATGTTATTGCACTATAAAATAACTGTTTAAATATAGTTTATCGTTTAATTTAATAATTTATTATAGTGATTTTAATGATGAATATTTAGATTTACATGATCCTTAAGAAATCACTTAAATTGTTATTATTATTATTATTATCGGTAATGGTAATAGTAATAAAAGCAATAATGACTAAAGTAATAACTTCATTTGAAACTACATACAATAAGTAAAACATAAATATTTAATAAATAAGTCTTTAACAATTTACCATATTTGTTTTATGTTTAATTTATGCTGCCTTGATCAACAAAATAATTTTATTTAAATTATTAAATAAAATTAATAATTAAAGAAACACTGACCTGAATGTTTTCACTGGTACTGTATATAATTATTAATTTTCATTTAAATGTATTTTTTATTTTATTTAAATTTAAAGTAAAGGTAAATGTAACAGTAATTTTATTACTATTATTATTTTTTTTATTTTAAAATTGAATTTGGATTTAATTTGTATTTATTTCAAATAGCATCATTATTGCACAAAACTTTACTTCAGTCGTACATAATACTGTACAATATTATGCAAAATATTATGCAAAAGTGGTATTTAAGGTTTAAACACAAGTAGTGCAATATGATTTGTGGTGCACTGGCAAGTAAACTTGGAGTGTTTATTGGAAAGTGTCGGGCGCATATAGATAAAAAATGGCTTATTTATACAGGGTAATTAAAAAAGAATACCACAACTTTGAATACGGAACACTCTGCAAAGAAGTAAAATAGAGCTTAGCTCTTTCTGACGTCTATTTAAAAAGCTCTGAAGTTTAACATTGAGGAACTAAAAGAAGGAATAACTGCAGCTATCCAAACGGTTGCGCCCGACATGTTACAGAGAGTGTGGAACGAGTTCGAGTATCAGGTTGATATCACTCGAGTGTCTGGAGGGGGTCATAATGAATATCTATGCTATGCTTGTTTTCTACTAAAAAAAAAAAAAAACTTGGTTAAGTACTCTTTACATTGTTTAATTACCCAAGGTTCCAACATGTTTCTTTGATTAAATGCAGATTTTGTGAAATTCCTTTTGAATCACCCTGTAGTATTAATGCTTCCCTTACTGACAACTGTAGGTAAAAGGACACCATGCATTATTAAATTGTTCTGACCAGAATTATGGCCTTCACATAGAAGCTGGAGGAATCGGAAAAGATCACAGGTCAGCTGTTCATCTGCCATTACTTTTTCACCTGAGAACGAGAGACGGAAAGTGGAAGCAAAACACAGTAGTCAAATCAATGTCAATAAAAAGAAAACTCAGCCTTTTCCGATGGATTCATTTGTTGTTCAAAGCTGCGCTGGATGTCAGAGATGTACCTGAATTGTCCTCCGCACCCACTCCTAAACTCTCAGCTTTGATCTGCCTCTCAAACGCGTTCAAATCCAGCACACTGTGACACGCAGAATCACAAGAGCAACATCAAACACACAAACTAACACAGGCACTACCAATTACAGTCAAGAGATCAGATTGAAAGGGTGGAAGAAGTGATGTAAAACGATGTTCTTTTCTCTTGATTACACCAAGTAACTTTGAAAATTGAACACAGGAGGTAGGTGACGGGTGATAAATGAGTGAACAAAGCACTTCTGCACTTTTAGGTGATTTGAACAGCTGTTTTCTGTCTCACAATGCATTAGCAAATAACAGTCGAACCTGCAAGACTGCATTAGGCCAGCCAGACTGTGAAAGAAGCCCACGTCTTTCTTCCGCCGCAGGTAACCCAGCATTTTCTAGACAGAACGAACATGAAGAAACTCTTATTTGAAAGTTGGGTTTGGTGTGAAATGTCAGAGCTTTGGGGTTTGGTGTTATCATCTGAACATATCTGTAATCCAACATGACCTTTTCAATTTTACCTGCTGGACTGACGTGTTTCCTCCATTCAGGATTGCAATGCCCAGCTTCAATGTGGCTGCTACCATAGGCCCCATATCACCTGGTTTCAAATATCACATCCAACTTAACAGCGTAACATTTGAGGGTTAACAATAATAAAAGTCATAGCCAGCTGACTTCAAATATCAGGATAAAGATATGAATGGTGCCCTGTGTCTCTGACCAGGGCTTTTCAATCTTTTTGATGCCAATGACATCCTTGTGAATAGAGAACTGTTCCCTAAAGGTATGTTCACAAGTTAAAACATAAATTGACATAAAATATGCATAGTAATATCGTATGGATATACTGACAAAGTGTACAATTGACAGTAAAATACATAGTTGATAACATGCAACATTTAATAATGAACTAAGTTGATTAAATTACTGCACTTGTTGAGATTCTTCTTTTATTAACACAATAAAAAGATACACCTGTTTTTGTTTTTTGACTGGTAGTTTAAATAGAGTATATTTTCATTCATAAATTACCATATACAAAGTTTTACAAATCCTTTAAAATATTTACAAATATTTAAAAATCATATATATATAGTGCATCTGGAAAGTATTGATTTTTTATGTTACAGTCTTTGTCCAGAATGGATTCAATTCATTTATTTCCACAAAATTATACACACAATAAGCTATAATGACAATGTAAAAAAATATTTGTTAAAATTGTTGCAAATTTATACATTTTTGCCGTGAAGCTCTAAATTGAGCTCAGGTAAATTCTGTTTCCACTGATCATTCTTGCGATGTTTCAGCAGCTTAATTGGAGTTCACCTGTGGTAAATTCAGCTGATTGGACATGATTTTAAAAGGCATACACCTGTCTATATAAGGTCTTAGGGTTGACAGTGCATGTCAAAGTACAAACCAAGCATGAAGACTAAGAAATAGACCTCCGAGACAGGATTGTCTCGATGCACAATGCTGGGAAAGATTTTAGAAAAATTCTGCTGCTCTGAAAGTTTCAATGAACACAGTGGCCTCAATCATGCATAAGTGGAAGATGTTTGGAACCACCAGGACTCTTCCTAGAGCTGGCCGGCCATTTAAGCCGAGTAATTGGGGAGAAAGGCCTCAGTCAGGGAGGTGATCAATAACCCGATGGTCGCTCTGTCTAAACTCCAGCGTTCTTCTGTGGACAGAGGAGAACCTTACAGAAGGACAACCATCTGTGCAGCAATCCAAAAATCAGGCCTGTATTGTAGAGTGGCCAGACGGAAGCCACTCCCCATCTGGAAATTGACAAAAGGCATCTGAAGGACTCTCAGACCAAAAGAAACAAAATTCTCTGGTCTAATGAGACTAAAATTGAACTCTTTGAAGTGAATGCTCCAAACGTTACGTTTGAAAAAAAAAACAGACATCGCTCATCACCAGGCTAATACCATCCCTACAGTGAAGCATGGTGGTGGCAGCATCATGCTGTGGGATGTATTCAGCAGCAGGAACTGGAAGACTAGTCAGGATAGAGGGAAAGATGAATGCAGCAGTATACAGAGACATTCTGAATGAAAACCTGCATCAGAGTGCTCTTGACCTTAGACTGGGCCGACGGTTCAACTTCCAGCAGGACAATGACCCAAAGCACACCACCAAAATATCAATGGAGTGGCTTCACAACAACTTGGTGAATGTTGTTGAGCGGCCCAGCCAGAGCTCAGACATAAATCCTATTATACATCTCTGGAAAGATCCGAAAATGGCTGTACACCATCACTTCCCATCCAACCTGTTAGAGCTTGAGAGGTACTGCATAGAGGAATGGGCAAAAATTCCCAAAGACAGGTGTGCCAAGCTTGTGGCATCATATTCAAAAAGACTTGAGGCTGTAATTGCTGCCAAAGGTGCATCAACAAAGTATTGAGCAAAGGCTGTGAATACTTATGTGCATGTGATTTTTCAGGTTTTTTATTGTCAATAAATTTGCAACAATTTCAACAAATCTTTTTTCACATTGTCATTATGGGGTATTGTGTGTAGAATTTTGAGGAAATAAATGAATTAATTCATTTTAAAATAAGGCTGTAACATAAAAAATGTAGAACAAGTGAAGAGCTATGAATACCTTCCAGATGCACTGTACTATGTTTTTTTATGGTAGTAAATAGAGTATATTTTCATCCATAAATAACCATTTACAATGTTTCATATTTATAAACACATTTACGAATCCTATTTATAATGATATATAGTGTACAATATGTTTTTTAAATGGTAATTTAAGTAGAGTATATTCATACATAAATAAGCAAATTACAAAGTTTTACACACAAAAAAAATGTTAAAAGAATTTTATTGTTATTACTTTAAAATGAACATTACAAATTTACTCGCTTACTTTCCCTCGGGTCATTTCCTGCTTTATCATTGGTCTACACAGGAATGAACCGCCAATTTATAATAAACATCTGATATAAACTATTATAATATAATCATATATCCTATATGTTTAGTAAATTGTAGTAAAAATAGAGTATATTTTTATCTATAAATGACCATTTACTACCTATTCATAATCTCATAATTTACAACCGGTTCTAGAACGCATAATAAACAGTAATATCAAATTCGATGTCAGAATTACACTTACACTAAAAATACAGTAAATATCCTAAAATCATTTGACAGCCCAGTTTTGTCCCTGTTTTCTGGGGTTGTTTGAAGATGAATGGGCTGGATGTGTTTGACTGATACCTCTGCTCGCGCTGAGCTTCTGTAAGATCATCTCTGCAGCTCCACGATCATGAAGTCTAGCCTGCTGATACAGCAGCCTCTGTTTTTCCATCTCTTTTTCCTAAGACAATAATAAGTTACTCAATCAATTCACAAAAATACCAGCTGTTGCTCAAGCATAACTACAGAATTTTTACATAATAACATAAAAATACAGTACAAAAATCAGTCAGTATCCTCCACTATATAAAGTTCCAACTCTTTCTACTACAGAACAAATTAAATCTATAACCAATCTTGACACTTTCAGAGTCCATTCATTTACACTGTGTACCTCAAATGATTTCAGGCCATCTTCATCCTGCTCTTCCTCACTTTGACAGCTCTGCAATACAGTTAAAGTTCAATCTGTGGTTGTGGCCAAAGCAATAGCATTGTTTAGAAGGTCTCAGCAGTGCTTCTCACCTTGGCCATAATTTCTGCATAGCACATGTACAGACCATCCTCCTCAAGTTTACTGTAGACACAGACAATAAGAGTAAACCATGAGGGTTAAAGGTGACATCGAATTCAATTTTCACTTTAGTTAGTTTTGGTTTCTGCTGTCTGTAAGGTCAAACAAGTAAAAAATGCAGCTTATTTTAATAACCTGTTTAAATTTTATGCTGGTTTATACGCAACAAGCTAGCTCTTTCAATATGCCTGCCTCCCAGCTAGTTGGCTAGCAATGGTGCCTTTCATTTCTCTGCATTTAAACAATAGAGTGACTTCTCAGCGTTTGGCAATTCGGAGCTGGACTCGCATCAAGATTAAATTTAAAGGAGTTAGCTATGCCTACAATTGATCTGAAAGATGGAAATAATTGTATGTAACTAATTCACGTTTAATCATAATTAGCAAACACCAGTTTCAGCTCATTCATGTTTAGAATCATAATCCTTCATGTGAAGAGCTTTGTTTGTCAGTGTGTTGGTTTACAACCAGCTCAGAAACTGCAGCGCTTTGAATGCATTATACACTGATAATGGTGGGCTGCAATGTCAAGCAATTCTAAATTAAAAATGGCATTTATTTGCTCAGGTGAAAGGTTTGTGTGGTCTTACATTTTGCTATTATAATGTGGAAAAAGTTTCAAATTCTCCATATCAGTCATACAGACTTAAGTCAGCAGGAGCGCAAGAATTGGTTGAGAGCTGTGTATATGCTGCGCTGGTTTAGCTACTCCACAAGAAATGATCCTTCAGGTTCAGACAGGGTCGGGGGAGCAGCAGCTCATTTAAAGAGATATAAAGCAAAATGACTATGTGGACTATGGTGTTTCAATAGGGTAAAAAGGGTATTTATTTACCACTGATAAATATAACCAAAGTAAGTTAAAGATTTACCATTAAGATCCTGAAGAATCATATGTACTTGTGCAAAATGGGCATGCAATGTAACATTTAAGATTCACTGCACAGCTACTTTTGTTTTCAATTTCATATCTCTTAGAAAAAAAATCTAAATAGGAACATACTACTGGACATAAAAGTAGTTTTAGTATAGAGTACTGATTTTTTTTTAACTAACCCACATGCTAATTGCAATTATCTGTAAGCAAATCTATGGTTTGTGCCTTATATATAGAAGCTGCTCTGTTGCTGAGCGTAAGGCACTGCAGCGGGTGGTGAAAACTGCCCAACGCATCACAGGGACCCAACTTCCAGTCATTGAGGACATCCAGAAGAAACACTGTCTTCGCAGAGAACGTAGTATTCTTAAGGACTCCTCCCACCCTGCTCACGAACTGTTTTCTATCCTACCTTCCGACAGGTGCTTTAGGGTCCCCCGGACTGAGGAACAGCTTTTTGCCCAGAACTGTCTCCCTTTTGAACTCTGCCCCCACTCTTTTGCCCCTCTCATAACGTATACTCTCCATAATCACTGCACACTTTAATATTTGTACACTTAAAATGTGCACATATTCATTGCACTGATTCATTCAATTCATTTTGAATTGTACATACCTACAGTACATATCCATTAGTAATTATGTTCACATCTATCTGCACTCTTCTGATAATTCATAGCAACTTGTACATATATTCATCTATTGTTAAGCTCTGTTCATAGCTGATACAACCTGTATATAATGTTCATAGAAAATCCATCTGTAAAAATTACCCATAGTTTTTTGCACTTGCTGCTATTTCACTTCTGCTTAGACCTAAGCTACATTTCGTTGCCTTGTACTTGTACATGTGTAATGACAATAAAGATAAATCCAATCTAATCTAATCAAATATTGAAGTTGCTTCCGATGTACAAGGCTTTCAGAGTGTTAAAATGCTTGTTAGTTTGTTTGTTTGTTTTTTGGTTAGCCTTGATCTATATGCAAACACAATTGTATGAATTCATCACATACAAAAAAGTATGCACACAAACCTTCTCTGAGTCAAGGCACATTGACTGAAGAGATTGATAAGCTGATGAAGTGGATCAATGCTGTTTCTCTGCTCTGCTCCCTCTTTCAGGATCTCTACATGAGCTGCTTTCTGAGAGATATAAATGTATTCTTATTACTACATAAACCAAAAAGGCTCAAGAAATATTAAAACAGCTGAAGTCAGAATTATTAGCCGCCGTTGATTTTTTTTTCTTTTTAAAATAATTCCCAAATGATGTTTAACGGATTTTCACAGTATTTTTTTTACAGGATGTCTGATAATATTTTTTCTTCTGGAGAAAGTCTTATTTGTTTTATTTCGACTAGAATAAAAGCAGTTTTAATTTTTTTAAAAACTATTTTAAGGTCAATATTATTAGCCCCTTTAAGCTATATTTCTGTTTGATAGTCCACAAACACACCATCGTTATATAATAACTTGGCTAATTACCCTAACCTGCCTAGTTAACTTAATTAACCTAGTTAAGCCTTTAAATGTCACTTTAAGCTTTATAGAAGTATCTTGAAAATATCTAGTAAAATAATATTTACTGTCATCATGGCAAGGATAAAATAAAGTTATTAGAGATGAGTTATTAAAACTATTATGTTTAGAAATGTGTTGAAAAAATATGCTCTCCATTAAACAGAAATTGGAGAAAAAATAAACAGGAGGCTAATAATTCTAACTTCAACTGTATATTATAATTCACATATGTTTTCCATTGTCAGGTACTTATATTGTATGTATAAAAGTATACTTTATCATGTATGTTGTTGATAACAGTACACAATAATATAAGTTAAGTGCCTATGTGTGATTTAAACAGCAATAAGACATGTGATAATCTCAACCCGTAATGATAATTGTACTCATAAATCGAAAAACTTCTATTCTAAAAATCCATTACAAAAATTCACAAGAGAACCTGCTGTGAATTAGCCTTCGGGATTGGCCTGCACAATGATTGAACAGCTCAACCAGGGAACAGAGCCAATCAGAAACACACTCACAGCCAGATCTTCAATTAGCCTGTCCTCAGGTGAGTCATTCTCAGCCTTCAGCCAGACTCGCTCATAACCCTGCAGGAAGAGGTTCACCGCTCGGTGCCTGAGCAAAAAGACAAATCTCACGCTAAAAGCAAGCAATTAATTTTGGTTTCAGCACATTGAAACATAAGGAAGATGACAAATAGCCTTTTTTATCAGGGTTAGTTCAACAGCATTGCAGTTCAAACGTATTTCTGCAGCCTTTCAGCTTTTATAAGTTGGATAATTCCTACTGCATTATAAAAAAGAAATGGGCTTGTCATAACTCTTGCAGCAGCAAACCTGGGGAGATTGTACAAAGGAGCCATTCTTAAGCAGGCAACTACAGCGCGTTTCCTCTGTTTAGACAACATCTTATACCACACTGGCCTCTTCATCTTCTGAGGGTGCTCCACCTGACAGAAAACAACCAAGATGTAAGCCAATTACCACAACAGAGCCACACAAACACTTATTTTTCTGAAATTTCCACTGAACTGTGCTCGTTCATTGGATACCTATTTGTGGGCTTGGGGCAAATACTCTCTCTATTTATATATACAGTATACAAATTTCATTTGAGGATAAATAATAATATCTTGCAAAATAGCTAGTAAAATATTATTTACTATCACCATGAAGAAATTAGCTATTAGAAAATTCAAAAGTAATTCAATATATTTTAACAATGTGTTAAATCTTCTTTCCATTAAACACTTGGAAATGTTTGAAAAATAAATCAAATTTCACAAGAGGGCTAATAATTTTTTCTTTAACTGTATATACAGTGCTCAGCATGTACTGTATGAGTACACCCCATTTTGAAAATAAATGTTTTTTTTTTCATTTCTAAGTGAACATTGGTACTATATTTTAGTGCATTTGAACAAAACAGATTTATTGTTTCAATCTATTTTTTTTATTGGTCTTTTGTATGATAACACAAATTAAATATTGAGAGGTAAACAGTAATGTATTGTCCATTGTTAATCCCATCTCCTAACCTCTCATTATTATTGATTATTTTAATTAACAAAACAACAATAAATAAATAAATAAATATCAAATTAAGCACATTAAATACATAAGAACACAACATCAAAGAATAACTGTATACAGATGGGGAAAAAAAACAATAATTAAAATAATTAAAAATTATTTAAAAAATTTTTAGAGAGTAAGCATCTCAGCTTAAAAAACTCAAAAAAAAGATTTATTATAATTTATTTAATAATTATAAATATTGATCAAAATAACATGTTTTTTACCGAACAGCTATAGAAATAGAAAAATATTACATTTAAATTGATGTAAAACACTGCAAAACAAATTACAAGCTAATATATTTTCCTAATATACAAAATTGAGTGTACTAATTTTGGACTGTTATCGTAAGTTATTTTGTTAGATTAGATTAGACAGTACTGAAGCCAAATCTAGAACTAATGTATGTGCACAAATATAACACTGTAAAACTTCCTATAGAAAATATTCATTTAAATGAGAGATTTGTGAGGGGGTTACTCATATATGCTGACCACTGTACTTACACTGTACACTTACACTGTACAGTACTTTCCATACTTTCTACATGCTTATATACTTATATAGAACTTTCTTTCTCCAACTCAATTCTGAAAGAAAATGCACCAAAACCTTGTAGTATCTTGTCCTTAAACTGAAAAATAAACCTGAAATCTGGCATCATACTGTATTAGTATTTAATTTTTTGAGTTGTGTTTCTCTAAAAACAGCTAAAGGCAGCACTAGTACTAGTACTTCTGGCATCAATCACAGTGCACCTAAAATAATCCGCAGCACCTATAGTCCAAAATGAATGAGAATTTTTTAAATAATATAAATCTTTGATGGGTATTACTACATATTTTAGTAACATCAGTACATATTTTTGTGTTACGTTAATCCATACAAATCTTATTACACAGAGGGTTCCTTTTAAAAGAATAATCAACCCAAACATTATATCTACTAGGGCTGCACAATATATCGCCTCCGCATCGATATTGCAATGTGCACATCCACAATAGTGACATTGCAGGATGTGCGATGTTGAGTTGGGATTATAATTAACTAAAAATCACAGTTCAGTGCACATGATTTGTTGAGTCATTGTGAATTTCAACCATAATATATTAGTGTGATGGGCGAAACAGTGGCGCAGTAGGTAGTGCTGTCGCCTCACAGCAAGAAGGTCGTAGGGTCGCTGGTTCGAGCCTCGGCTCAGTTGGCGTTTCTGTGTGGAGTTTTGTTCGTGTGGGTTTCCTCCGGGTGCTCCGGTTTCCCCCACAGTCCAAAGATATGCGGTACAGGTGAATTGGGTAGGCTTAATTGTCCCTAGTGTGTGAATGTGTGTGTGGATGTTTCCCAGAGATGGGTTGTGGCTGAAAGGGCATCTGCTGCGCAAAAACTTGCTAGATAAGTTGGCGGTTCATTCTGCTGTGGCGACCCCGGATTAATAAAGGGACTAAGCCAACAAGAAAATGAATGAATATTAGTGTGATTTGTTTTGTACTCAGATGTGTTTTATAAAGCCTGTGATTGTAAGATTTAAAGCAATATTAAACTACTTGGGAACCAAAAAATATAAAGTTTGCCACTTTAAGACTGTGCTTAATTATTTATCAAATGAAGCCTATAGAGTGTTATTTTAGATTTGATCATTGAATTTCTTCACCTAAATATTGCAAAATTCCACCTGTTATACGTTTTGTTTTGTTTGTTCTAGGTTGGGGGCATGCCTTCAGCGCACCTGATGCTGGTCAGCGCCCTTATTTAAACTCAATGAGAGAGTTTGTTGGGGCCACTGTTCATTCACTGTTTGGGCAGTTGGCCAGAGCTGCGTTTCAATTTGGACTTTATTTTTTCGTTATGCATCCATACTCTAGCGCTGACAACACTTAACGCATCCATTCACTTGTCTTTCACACTGATTGAACATACTGATACTGATGTTTTGATTATGTTTTTTTTCAAAATGTGTTAAAATAAATATTATTTTTGACTTTATTTCGCCATGTGTTAACGTTACATTGTCCCTTACATGTCCCTTAATGTAAAATTGAGCCAGGTGTAATATCAAAAACTTTAAAGCACTGTTTGTTTAGTTTTTATCTGTGCTTTATTCTTTTAATTACATGATATATATATATATATATATATATATATATATATATATATATATATATATATATATATATATATATATATATATATATTTATTTATTTTATTTATTTACTTATTTATTTTATTTTATTTTATTTTATTTTTTTGCAGATTTATATTTTATGCAGATGCACCTCCCACAAAATTATTCCAATCAATGTAAGATTGTGAATTCTTCCCAAACAGTTACTGTCATGTTGTGAAATTATATTTATATCGCAATATGTATCGCAGAAATAAAAAATTTCGCAATGTCAGTTTTTCCAATATCGTGCAGCCCTAATATCTACATCAATTTACATATAATACCAATGCATCATTAATCAACATTTACAATCAGCGGCGGAAATAAATTTCCAGTCTAACCTGATCGAGGTGGAAAAGAACACGAGCGATGCTCAAGATCCTCTCAACTCTGAGGGGATCTACTGAGTTTCCACACAGATCCTGGTAAAAAAAAAAAAAAAAAAAAAAAGGAAATATGAATCCAAGGAGACACAAATAGCATTTTCACAGGACATTATTATCACTTTCACAGGCTGCCTGCTGGCTCACCTGTTGTAGGATGCTGTGAATGTATGCCCGGACCTCATCTTCTGTGTCCCTCTAGAAACAGACAAATGTTTCATATGACAATATTTTCAAGATGAGAAAAGATTGATTTGGAAACATTGTCATTATTGATCAGCATGAGCTGGTGTACCTGAGCAAAACGGCTTTTGGCATGGCTGACCAGGCCCTGATCGCCATGGCAACATCCATTCATGGCTACAGAAAGGAGTTTTTTGGGGGCAGCCACAATGAGAGAGGTGTGTGTGGAGTAACGATCGGCTTTCCTCTTCACCTTCCTCCTCTCCTGGCAGAACACTCCTCCCTAATGGAAAAATCATATAATTTACATTCATTCAATATATTGAACGGCATATTTGGATTGAATATTGATGTGGCCATTTATTAAAGTCACTCCTGAGCTCATTGTTTACAAACCAAAGATTAATTCCTTTTCAAAGAATAAAATGAAAAATTAGGAAAAAACAAATGCAATCAGGAATGAGAATAACTATTATAAAAGAGCGTCGGTTAGACTTGAAAGGTGGGGAAGAATTATTTAATACGGTATAAATAAAATCACAAGAAACCTTGTTCATTCTGCTTTTGCTGCTGTTCACCAGGAATGCCATGTTGTTGATTTCATTTTGAACCACAAAGTTCTGTTCTTCCCATTTGAAATTCTAAATAAAGGAAATGACAATAGAAAATTACAATAAAAATTAAACATATATTAAATTAAAACATTAAATAAGTACAATGAATTTACAAAAGGAATAAAAGTATGTGGCGGCACGGTGGCTCAGTGGTTAGCACTGTCGCCTTACAGCAAGAAGGTCAATGGTTCGAGTCCTGGCTGGGTCAGTTGGCATTTCTGTGTGGAGTTTGCATGTTCTCCCCGTGTTCGCATGGGTTTCCTCCGGTTGCTCCGGTTTCCCTCACAGCCCAAAGACATGCGCTATAGGTGAATTAAATAAACGAAATTGTCCGTAATGTATGAGACTGTGTGTGAATGAATGTGAGTGGTTCCCAATACGAGTTGCAGTTGAAAAGGCATCCGTTGCATAAAACATATGCTGGAATAGTTGGTGGTTCATTCCACTGTGGCAACCTCTATAATGTATGAATCAATAAATCAATGAATAAAAAAGTATGTCAACAAAAAAATTATCTGTGTGCACTAGTGGTGATATCATTTTAAGAGTTCTGTTTTCACTGATATATACAATACATAATTAATCAAGAAATTAAAAAAATATTGCGGTCACAGTTTATTAATTTACAGTCAATTTTAATTAATAATAAAATAAAACAATAAATAATAATACAATAAAATAATATGAAGATGGGGAGAAATTAATAAATTATATTTAAAATATCTATTATTTTTTCTCGTGTCATTTTTTTATGTCATTTAAGACATTTCAGCAGCAAAATATTACTTTTCAGCACACTTTAAATTTACTCAAACTTCTTTATTAATACAGAAGAAAATTTTAATTGATGATATGATGGGATCATGATTTACCAGATGGGATCATGGTTTACCAGATCTACCAAATGATCAAAAGCTAGAAGTAATGTAGTGTTTTGACCTCACATCAGTACACTCTGTTAGTATGTGTGTAGCGGATTGTAGGCACAGAAGTAAGCACCCACTGCTGTAATTGGTTTACAATGTTGCATATTAATATGGATGAACAGGCAGTGAAGCAGAAGTACACATTGGCTGTTTCTCAATTCCAAGAATGCCGAGAATGGACTTGCGTTCTTGTTAAGACCGGTCTTGCCAGGTGTCCTAGAAAGAACGAACTTGGGAGACCACGAGAACAGAGAACAAGTCCTGTGAGAAATGAGATGCTGTGTTCTTCCTGATGGTCACATGACCTTCATGCATTTTTATGGAAATTTATTTAAGCATTACAGCATTCATACAACGATTTATAGTTTTTCCCCTTTTCAAAATATTTAGTATGCATAAAGCCCTTATAAAATATACATTGCACAATATAAATAAAAAAGATTTTAATATAAATTTCAGCAAATAAACACCCTTAATGTGTTTATGCCTTTATTGAGATTTTCATGGTAATGTTTACTTTCACCTTCTCATTTAGGGATACTCCTGAGGCAATCCGCTTGTTAAGTGGGGACGTATGTAATAATGTTTCTGGGTCCAAGCCGCCAGTCATTTGAGTGGAGAAATCATTCGTTTATGATCACGTTTTATTCCTATCACACATTAAAGTTAATTTCATATAAAATCATAGTGTACACAACAATCTCTGGGCTTGCTGCATAACAAATACCAAAACTTTAACAATTTATAAAAAATGAATGACTTTCTGGCCATTGGATATTAGGCATTGACATATATATTGCGATCGTGATTTTCGAAAGTATTAAATCGCTTTATAAACGTTTATTATTACCATTTCATGAGTCTCCATATTCAGTTGAATAGAGCGCTTGGGCCCGGAAGCCGCTTCGCGTGACGTCACACTTAACAAGCGGATTAAGTTAAATCTCTAAAATTTGATTATAAATCTATATAAAATGCTGCGCTTCCCACCTCCAGTCGCAATAACTTCCGGGACTTCAAGAGCGAGTTCGGTGCTCAAGTCAGCATCAATGCCTCCTCAATACCAAGAACACATCCGGGAAGTTTCACGCGTCCTCCGTTTCTTGCGGTCTTGATTAGTAAAACTGAACTTTGGCAGCTGAGGATGACGTTACACGAGAACACGAGGTTGTAAGACCGTTGAAGATCGCATATTGAGAAACAGCCATTGATCTTCTAAGGAGGCCGTGCCTATCCTCCCAGAGTAGAACATTCCATTTCCTGTCATATTAGCAGACAGCCTTCTATATAAGCTGTTTTTAGAGTAACAACAAAGTTTTTAACTCTGAAACTTACAGGATGTTTTTTAAAATATTGTGACCTCCCCTATATCAAAAGATCAAGGAATTTTAGTTTTTTTAGTTCATGACCACTTTAAGAGGTTGATATTAGATATCAAATATCATAAATGGGCGACACGGTGGCTAAGTGGTTACCAATGTCACCTCACAGCAAGAAGGTTGCTGATTCAAGTCATGGTTAGATCAGTTGGCATTTCTTTGTGGAGTTTGCATGTTCTCCCTGTGTTTTTGTGGGTTTCCTGCGGGTGCTCCAGGTTTCCCTTACAGTCCAAACATGTGCTAAAGGTGAACTGAATCAATTAACTTGGCTGTAGTGTATGTGTGTGAATGTGAGAGTGTATGAGTGTTTCCCAGCACTGGGTTGCGGCTGGAAGGGTATCCGCTGTGTAAAACATATGCTAGAATAATCGGTTCATTCTGCTGTGGCAAAAACTGATAAATAAAGAGACTAAGCCAAAAGAAAAATGAAATAAAATAAAATATCATAAATGCTCACATGAGATTTAGCCCAGAAAATGAACACTTCAGCCACAAGGGAGAAAAGCTTCTCAGCATCTGCATTTACCTCTCTCAGCCAACTCATTCTGACAAATATCAGAAATTGAACAGTGTCAGTAATAAATAAGCAGGCGATAAATAAAATCAACACTGCGCCTGTGTAATTTCTCACCTGTGGAGGTCAATAAAAGGAATGAGCAAAGGGTAAAACGCATAGATGTCTTGAACCAACACAGTAAACCTCTCTTGGATGTCTAACTCCTGCTCTGAGACATCGCCACGCCCCTCCATCTTCAAGTGCTCCTCCTCCAGCAGCACTGACTCCGCCCTCTTCCTCAACTTTTCCATCAGAGGCAGGAAGTGGCTTTTCAGGAGGTGTGGCTCTGCCTTGTTGATGATGGGCTGGCCAAAAACTACAACAAATACAATTCTTGCATTTGTGTTGTTTTTTGGTGGTGAAAGAGTTGCTGTTTATCACATTGGGAACTTTGATAAATCACTCCTCTAGAGGATCTGACTCACCTGCAAGGCGTTTCATCCAAGCACTGTCTGAAGTTCCCAGGTGAGCGTGGATGATAGAGAGGATGTAACCCAGCAGTGCATTAGCGTGTTGGGGTGTGACAGAGGAACAGTGGCCCTCCTGGGATGCCTGGTTATCAACTTCACCCCATCGAGACACATAACTGCACAGTAGCGGAAGCGTGACCTCTGTGACTCTCAATAAAAGAGCATGGCGAGCCGAAGACCCCGCCCCTGCCAGCTCCTCCACCTCTAAGAAAGCCTCATGCAAATTGGGGAGGAGCTTACAGGCTTTCTCTTCTAGAAAAAGCACATTGACATCTGTGAGGGAAAAACTGCATGTGGAAGCGTGAGTGTTTGCACGTTTTGGTGCTTAGCTGAACTTTTCTTACCTATACCTTCATTACTCAAAGTGTCAAAGTGAGAATGAAGGTCACTCAGCTCCAAGAAACACACGGGAAAGGCTGCAGATAATGCGGCCAGACACTCCCCCAAGACCGACCTCTGCCTATCAAAACAAAGATAAAGGCCGATTGACAGTTGAGCTGTAAACCTAGACATGAGCTAATAACTGTGGAGCGCACAAGTTTCAAAAGAAAAAAAACAATCAGAATGAACTAATGAGAGGCAAACACCCAAATTCACCCAAAATGGATTTTTCCTCACCATCATTTCATTTCAGATCAGCATGTTTGTTTTTTTCTGAAGAACAGTTTTCAGTAGATAATTTATTTATATATTGTATTTAGAACAGCTATTTTTTCTGCACAGTTCATAGTAATATGTAAAAATTGTATTTGTTTTAAATAAATGGCATAAAGTGATTTATACAATTACAGAGCTCAGCATAATTGAGTAAACCCTATTTTGAAAATGAATATTTGTATCCATTTCTCAGTGAATATAGGCAATGAATTTTGGTGCATTTAAACAAAACAGATTTATTAAACAGATATATTTATTATAGTAATATTTTAGTCACCAAACATATTTTGTAATTGAAAGATAATACAATAAAATTCAATTAAAATATAGCAAAACAAAATAAAAATTACAACCTACTAAATTACAACTAAATTTAAAAACAATTTGTATGCGTGTCTTTCGAATTTTTCTCTTTTTTAAACTTGCATTTAATATTTTCTTTAACATATAAATTTGGGTGTAGTTTTTGGACCGTTATTTTGTTTGATATATATTTTGCTCCAGATTTGGTTTCAATACTGACTAATCTATATGCACAAATATATTATTGTATAGTTTCCTAGTAAAAATATTATTTAAAAGATACATTTGAGATGTCTCAAATTAATGCTAGTTTGCTTGATAATTATTCATCAAAGAATCTTAGTATGTACAGTATGTAATGTTTCAACAAAATCATTAAGCAACGTTGTTATTTTAATAATAACAACAACAAAAAATGTAATGTTTGGAGAACCAAATCAAGTATATTTCAACTATTTCTGTAGGATCACATGACACTGAATCAGTGTCATGTGAAGATAAGTTCAATGAAGTTACGTTCAAACTCCATATTAAAATAGAAAAACAATGTTTTGAATTGTTTTGCAACATCACTTATATATTAGATTTTTCATTAAATAATTCCAGGTTGGAAGGCAATAAAGCGCTTCTTTGTAAATATATGTGATAAATAGGGTTGGGTCGATGGACAATTAAAGCAACGCAATCCTCCACCCTGGCCCTGTCGCAACAGCAACCCGCTTGTGAAAAATACTGTACACACGGCCCTGTTTACACTATTACGTCTTAGTTTTAAAATTTTATAATGAAGACGATCCACGTCCACACTATATTTTACCTAGCATTTCTGAACAACTCTATATCCACAATATACTGCTGAAAACACACATCACATGACCAAACACAAACATACACACTCTGGCATGCGCTTCAGTAGCAGAGCTCCAGGCAGTCAGTATGGGGTGCAAAACCCGGACAGTTTATCAAGAATGTACCGCTGGATCACGTCTCACTACAGTCGTTAAACGTGATATATATTTGTCTTGCCTCTATCTGACGACTCTTTGGTCTTTAAATCTGTCAGGTAACCTGTCACAGCATCATTACACTGCTTCAACCTTTCGCTTTCATGCATGTACTTAGTAATTTTAGCGAAAACCTCAGATACAGTTGGTTGGTTGCTGTTGGTTGTGCACCTTTTTTTACCAACCAAGTTTGTCGATGCCATTATAATGACACAGATCAGTCTGCTTATTCATGCCAGAGTTCTAACAGAAAAAGTGATAGACAGGTGGTAATTTGTGTGTAACTTATCTTTTATTTATGTATGATTTAGTTATGGGTAAAACAAAGACCATGCAGGTCAAGAAGTTGAAACGGTGGGCTACAAATAATTAATGTGTAATTAATTAATTTATTATTCATAAATATTTAATTCACTACCAACTAAAATGACGATGCCATTGTCCATCGCGATATTTCATATTAGACATCCAACGATGCCAAATTTTTCCACATCGCCCAACCCTGGTGATAAAGTGCAAGACCCTTTCTAAACCCCTTTTAAAGACATGCGCTATATTCAAAGTTCCCTTTCCTGTTTCAGTACAAGAATAACAGCATATAGGTTTGGAATGACATGATGGAAAGCAAACAGTGACAGACCTTTCAAAGAAAAAAAGAATCTCTAAGTGATAGAGTGTTACCTCTCGATAAAGGAGCCGCTGCAGGTGCCAAGGATGTATAGACTGCTGAGGATTCTGTAACAACAGGACTGCACTTCATCCACTGAAAGAAAAATACACATTATAGATTCAAAAAACAAATCTTTTCTTAAAGCGTTTTATCCGAGCGCTCTTGCATCCTTACTGATAGGCTACGATTCATCCCGACTGCGTGTGAGATTTATTCATATAATACAGTCGAATTGCAAAAGAGGAGTAAACTGTGTGAAATTCCTTCTAATGAAATGCTAATCAGTTCACAGAGAGCAGAAATGTACAGTATGAATGATTCAACACATGATGCTGCTGTTCTATAAACATATTCTTATCGCAGTAAAGCCTGCTGTAGTCCCGCCGAGTGGCATAAACAGCGCTTTCTTTTGCTCGTACACTTGTGAAGATTATTGTTTATGGGAGTAACATAGGGTCATGCTCAAGAAGCAAATTCTTCGGTTACAGAGTGTGTGAAGTCTGAATGCTGTTGGACTTGTGGGGAAACAGTACATGTTTCTTCACAGTTGGTTTCTTTAGACTTTTATACATTTCAAAACTTTACTGAATCCACAAACTAAACATAGAGGGAGTAGTCACCTCTTTAGAGTTCATAAAAGAGGCCTGTCTAGGCGTTTTGCAATGCTTTTGCCAGTACTGCATATTCCCTATTAAAATATACAGCAGGACACACATGTCCTTGATCAAATATACTGTAAGAGAGGTCAAACACAGGATCCTATATATTACACTACATACTGTGCGGACAGAAAGTCAGGAGTCAGTCTAATTGGCTAAAACAGAAGCGGAAAGTGAAGTGATCTGCTACATTTTTTCCACAAACTCCATTTATTTTCCCTTCATCCGTTCATTCATCAGGCTAATCTGTTCATTATTCATCCAATTAGCTGCTGCCATTTTTTTATGCATTTGGCCCTGTTCTGTGCTCTCTTACGGATCAGTCCAGCTCCGCTCTGCCTCTGGGAGTCGTGCTGGAAGATGGCGCTGAGTACCGGAATCAGGGCAGTGGTGGTGTATGTTATGAGCTCAGGGTCGCCCCTTTTCTGGGCTCGGTTCAGGCCGTCCAAAGTCACGTTTTCCACCATTAACTCCAAATCCTCTGCTGCAGCTTCAAAAAATGACCCTATTGACCCTCTGACAGATTCACTGGTGGTTTTCATTAGCATCCTAAAGATAAACAAGCATAGACAAATTACTGACGTTTGGGGTGATTTGAATTATTTTTTAATTTCTGCATTCCTGCGATTAAAACACAGTAAAAACTAATATTATGAAATATTATTACAATTTAAAATCAACAATTTGTTTTATATTTAATAAAATGTATATTATAATACACAATTAATGTAAAATTTATAATATACAAAATAAAATGTACTATTATTACATTTACATATAGATAAAATCAGCAGTCATTACTTCAGTCTTCAATGCCACATAACACATCATTCCATCATTCACATCCTAATATACTGATTTAGAGCTCAAGAAACATTTTCAATTAAATTTAATTTTAAATACAGCTGTGATCAATTTTTGTGAATTTTTATTGAACAGTAAGTGCTTAACCGTAAGAACAGGATTGTCCTTACATCATTTTTGATCAATCTAATAAAGTTTTGCTGATTAAAAGTTTAATAATGAGCTAAATTGAAAAAAACTAAATTAAGTGAATACTGAACAGCCTCGCAATCAGTTTCTACAGAATAAACAAAAAAGTCAAATAAAATTTACTTTCGAAATTTCACTCGCTCAAACAAATGAAACACAATTTCAGAATCAGAATCAGCCTATAGAAACTATAACCATGTCTGTAATTAACAGTTTCCTACATTGTGTGATTCATTGTTTTTTTCTACTTAGTTTCACTTTTGAAATGCATTGTGGGACTTTGCTTTTACTTTGAACGATTAAAACTATACAGTTTGATCTCTAATGGTTTTAACTGACATTATTTAGGTTTTGAAAAAGTACATTGTAAAAGAAAAAGCCCACATTGAGAAACAAATCCATAAAATAACTATAAATGTACAGGCAGCTCATGACCTGAATTTTGATTTACATTGATTTTTATTTATTTTTTATTTTTTAATATTTTTCAAACTATGTTTAACAGAGCAAGGGAATTTTCACAGTCTGATAATATTTTTTCTTCTGGTGAAAGTCTTATTTGTTTTATTTTGGCTAGAATAAAAGCAGATTTTAATTTTTTAAAACAATTTTAAGAACAAAATTATTAGCCCCTTTAAGCTATATATTTTTTCTAAAGTGTACAGAACAAACTATTATGTTTAGAAATGTGTTGAAAAAATCTTCTCTTTGTTAAACAGAAATTGGGGAAAAAATCCAAAAATCTAATTAACAGTTTCATTGATATTCATTTTGTAATTATTTTCTCAAATAATTAGCAAACAAAATGTCCCACACAGTAAAAACTTTTTTTTTAAATACAGAAAATTTCTTGTTTATCAGTGCAACAAACACATGGTGTGGTTTTCATTACCTTCCATCCAGGGATTGTGCCAAGATTTGTAGGCAGTTCACCAAAGCAAGGGCATCATTTCCTAAGAGGAAACATGGCATTGAGCTCAATGCAATCCAGACAGTTAAAAGCACAAGCTCCTGATTTATGTTTTGGTGTAGGATGGGTTAATAAAACTAATGAGGTATGCAAGCATTCACCTCAACACGACAAGACTGGGTTGAGTGAACAATGGCAGACAATGAATCTAAGAGAGCATGAGATGAATACAAAGTGCTTCCAAATTAAAAGGGTTTCTAGCAAAATAATCAAAAGCTGCTTTTAATAAAACAAAATCAAAATAAAAAACAAGTGAAGAAGGGCTATGAAAAATTACATTTATCCACACCAAACCTTACCAAAGATAGAGATTCTGCGCCTGGCTAGACTTCCGAGTTTACAGAATAAACTAGGAAAAAAACAGGAGAGAGACAAGAGTGAGAGAAGGAATGAGGGAAATGGATGGGAAAAAATAAGATAGATGGAACTGAAAATACATAATGACAGAGTAGCAAAGGTGAACATGGAGACACAGACATGCAATCAGCCATGTGTATAATGTGCACACACACATTAACTTAGCAATCTAAATGGGGACATTACATGTACCTCTGTATATATATATATATATATATATATATATATATATATATATATATATATATATATATATATATATATATAGAATAGTTTTTAATGTTACAATTTTTTTTTCAAATCAAGAAATCCCAAAAGATAGTCTTCGCTCACTTCTCACAAATTTCATAAATTTCATCCCAAAATATGCGCACACACATACATATCAATTGATTTTATTGTCTGTTTTTTACAAGCAAATTATCTTTTTTTCACTTACCATATGACAGATATGCATATTAGTTTCATTGTATATGAAGAATACATAAACTTCTACATTTCCTTTTTTTTCTAAATGGCATTTTTCTTAGACTCCCATGTTTTTTGATTAGTTATTTCACATTAAAAGCATTAAAAGTAAATTATTCTTTGCCATAAAAGTGAAATTGAAAAATGCTCTATTTAGACGAAAATTTTAAATGGCACTTGAAGGTTTTTGCATCTGAACTCCTCATATGTAACGGACTGAGTGTGCAAAGAAGGTAAGGATCCAAATGCATATTTAAGAATAAAAATGCACAAAACAGACACAAACAACAGTTTCTGAGGGTAATCCACAACGATCAATGTAAGACAGGTGAGAGGTCAGGGCAGCCAGCAAACAATCACAAAACACAATGCAGTCCAGGATACAACAATCAGGCAAACAGTGAGAAAAACAGTCAATGTAATGTGGAAGAGGTGAACGATGATGTGCAACAGCTGTAATGGAGTGACTGGGGCAAAAGATAATGGGTAGTGTAGTCCAAGTGACTCTCAAAGTTAAATGATAAAGTGCCGTCTATAGTGTGGCACTCCAGCTGTTGATTGTGATGGTATATCAGCATTCTATATACAGTACATGCATGCATGACAATTTTTTATTCCACAAATGAAAGCATCCAAATAATGGGGTGTTATTAGTTATTATCATTTTAGTGACCTCTAGTTAAATTTTATTTATCACAGTGTCAAACAAAGATTTGACACTGATAAATTTGATCATATCAAATTTTTTAATACATCTGTTATTTCCACATGCTATTGCATTCTATGTCAACTGTTCAGCTATCCAGTAACAAAGTTTATACAGGCTGCATTTACACTGCAGATCTTAATGGTCAATTCCGATTTTTGTGACTGTATCCGATTTTTATGCTGACCTGCTTACATCATCTTTTAAAAGTGACTTGTGTCTGATTGTCTGTATTTACACAGCACATGGCAAAGACACAATGAATAAGTGTGTATGGGTGATTCCCAGTAATGGGTTGCGGCCGGAAGGGCTTTCGCTGCATAAAACCTATACTGGATAAGTTGGCGGTTTTTTCCGCTTTGGCGACCCTTAATTAATAGAGAGACTAAGCCGAAAACGTAATGAATAAACAAATGAATGATTGAATTTAGAATCTAACACAAAGGTTAGGCCAATGTTTGTTTCCCTCACTGTGAATGCTAAATTATTTAAGAAACAATTGCCTCAAATAATCACATTAAAAGGTCAGTCAAATACAGCATTAATATATTCAAAGCAAATAGCAGTCAGAAAATTACCTAGTAACCATCTCTTTTTCTTTACTGGTGGACTGACAGCCATCTCTAAGGGAAGACATTGTAGTGGACATGAAGTAAAGGTGGTGATTTTTGAAGTATTGATCTAGCAGTGGCAATAAAACCTAGAATGAAAAGACAAAAAGGCTTTAATACAGACAGAAAAAAGATAGACAGGGAGTAAATTGCTCAAGCAATGTTGGTTTGAGTTTTTTTTTTTAGGGTTTACTGTGAAGATGTTAGAGCATGTGAATGAGATTGATGGCTGTGCTGTCAGGGAACTGCTAATCACCTGTATTGATTTTTACGTGTGAATGAAGACCCTTTAACCCATGTTTTGTCTCAGATTATAATGCAAAAACAAACCATGACACCTTATCCAATATGAGTTTAACAGTGACCATATGGACAAACAAAACGAAAGCCATAATTAACTGCAAATACACTGATTTACTGTGGTTAGTAAAAAAAAATAGGCGAATGCGCTGAGGTTTTGAGATAATTTCGACACAAACAACACACTCCCAATACACAAAATCTACATTTGCAGTGTCCTAAAGAGAATTCAAAAATCCATATTCAGTAATGATTGTTTGAAGTCATTTGTCAAAACAGGCATTTAAGTAAGTTTATCATCTTGACTCATTTGACAGCTATGGTGTGATGGATGAATGTGACATGGATTTCAGTGTGAAGTTTTGTTTCAAATGTCTGAGCTGCAGTAAATGACTAACCTTAATGAAGAAGTGAATTTGTTGTTCGTGAGGGACTCTTTCAGCCTTGTTAATCTGCCCTCGGGCTTGAGCAACCTCTAGAAAAACAATAAAAACCACATACATTTAATGTAAGGTTTTCACGTTATGAGACCTCATGCTTGAAAAAAATACATAAATAAATAAATAAATACATTATTTTAGCAGCTCCTAATATCATATTTTTACAGTTTTCTGCAGTATTATAGTGCTTAAGTGCCTCTGTGCCTTTACTGAATGAGCACTGTGCTGCGTCCGACAGATTGCACTATCATGTTTTTCTCTTCTTCTTCATTCTTTTATATCACATTTGACCTGTTTTTTTGTTTTGTTTTGTTTTTATGCATTTTTATTATTTGTTTTTATTTTTATTTTACTTGTTTCTTTTATTCTTGTTTATGTAAAGCACTTTGAATTGCCATTGTGTATGAAATGTGCTATATAAATAAACTTGCCTTGCCTTGCCTCAAGACAAGATTTTTACTTTTACTTTACTTTTCATTAATTTTTCTTTGGTTTAGTAAAAATTTATCTGGGGTCACCACAGCGAAATGAACCACCAACTATTCCCACATATGTTTTATACAGCGGATGCCCTTTCCAGCCACAACCCAGTACTGGGAAAACCCCATACACTCTCAAGTTCACACACACACACACACACACACACACACACACACACACACACACACACACACACACACACACACACACACACACACACACACACACACCCATACACTAAGACCAAATCTGTTTACCAAATTTACCTGTACTGCATGTCTTTGGACTGTGGGGGAAAACTTACCCCATATACATTTCTGGAGAGTCCCAAATACATTCCAGGAGCTACTTTTTTGCCGTTTTTGTTTCCGCTGTTCGCGAGTAAATACCCCAGAGGCCGCTGTCGACTGACTGACTGACTGACCCACCCTCCTCCTTCCCTAAACGCAACCAATAGTGTTTTCAAGAAAACACTATTGGCCCACACACTTCCCTAAACCCAACCATCTGTTTTAAAAAGCAATCCAAAAAACAAAAAGCCCTCGCCTGATTAATATTTTCAGATCTTATCATGTTCTCAAAGTTTAGCCTATGCTAACAGCTTCAGTCCACATCCAGTTTGATAACATTAAAAAAGTTTTTCACTTCAGAAAAGAAAGTCATATGAGAGTGGAAAGGAATGAGCAAGTTGTCAGAATTTTCACATATTTGAGTAAACTATCCTTTCAACACCCCTTTCGGCTTAGTGAGGCCTTGCATTTATTGGGCAGTTATATAAAAAGACAGATGTGCAAACAAGCAATTGGAGCGAAGTAGAGTGGAAGAACAGTGTGTTCATGTGTGTGGCTGAGAGTGTGTATGAGTGTGTGTGCCTTTTTTGAATGTCAGTGAGTATGTTTGGTTGTGTGTGTGAGTGTGTGTGAGTGTGTGCTGTTATGTGTGTGTGTGAGAGAGTATATGTGTGTGAGTATGTGTGTGGTTGTGTGCATGTGTGTGTGTGTGGTTGTGTGTGTGTTGAGTGCATGTGTGTGAGTTTGTATGAGAGTGTTTGAGAGTGTGTATGAGAGTGTGTGTGTGTGCCTATTTTGAATGTCAGTGAGTGTGTTTGATTGTGTGTGTGAGAGAGTATAAGTGTGTGAGCATGTATGTATGTGTGTGGTTGTGTGCACGTATGTGTTGAGAGTTTATGTGTGTAAGTGTGATTATGTATGTGTGTGCGATTGTGAATGTGTGTGAATATATGTGTGTGTTGGTGTGTATGTGTGTTTGTGTGTGTGGTTGAGAGTGTGTATGTGTGTGTGCCTTTTTTGAATGTCAGTAAGTGTTTGTTTTGTTATGTGTGTGAGAGAGTTTATGTGTGTGAGTTTGTATGTATGTGTGTGAGTGGTTGTGTGTGTGTTGAAGGTTTATGTGTATGCAAGTGTGTGTGTAATTATGTATGTGTGTGCGCTTGTGAATGTGTGTGTATATGTTTGTGCCTTTTTTGAATGTCAATGAGTGTGTGTTTGGTTGTGTGTGAGAGAGTATTTGTGTGTGTGAGATTGTGAATGTGTGTGTGTATGTGTTTGAATATGTGTGTGTGTTGGTGTGTATGTGTGTTTATGTGTGTGGTTGAGAGTGTGTTTGAGTGTGTGCCTTTTTTGAATGTCAGTAAGTGTGTGTTTTCTTATGTTTGTGAGAGAGTATATGTGTGTGAGTTTGTATGTATGTGTGTGGTTGTGTGCACGTGTGTGAGTGGTTGTGTGTGTGTTGAAAGTTTATGTGTATGCAAGTGTGTGTGTAATTATGTATGTGTGTGCGCTTGTGAATGTGTGTGTATATGTTTGTGCCTTTTTTGAATGTCACTGAGTGTGTGTTTGGTTGTGTGTGAGAGAGTATTTGTGTGTGAGCATGCGTGTGTATTTGTGTGGTTGTGTGCACGTGTGTGTGTGTGTGTGTGTGTGTGTGTGTGTTTAGAGTTTATGTGTGTAAGTGTGTGTGTAATTATGTATATTTGTGCGCCTGTGAATGTGTGTGTGTATGAGTGTGAATGTGTGATGTGTGTGTTGGTGTATGTTGGTGTGTGTGGTTGAGAATGTGTATGAGTGTGTGTGCCTTTTTTGAATGTCAGTGAGTGTGTGTTTGGTTGTATGTGTAAGAGTGTGTTGTTATGCGCGTGCGAGAGAGTATATGTGTGCGAGCATGTACAGTATGTATGCGATTGGTTGTGTGTGTGTTGAGAATTTATGTGTGCAAGTGTGTGTGATGAGTGTAAATGAGTGTGCGCTTGTAAATGTGTTGTATGAGTGCAAATATGTGTGTGTGTATGAGTGTGCGCTTGTGAATATGTGTGTGGTTGTGTGTGTGTGAGCATGTGCATGTGTGTGGTTTTGTGTTGAGATTTCATGTATTCAAGTTTGTAAAAGTGGGTGTGCGCTTGTAAATGTGTGTGTATGTGTGTGAGTTTATGTGCATGTGTTTGTGTGTGTACGTGTGTAAGCATGAGCGTGTAAACGTGTGTGCGCTTCTGAATGCGTGTGTGTGTGCAAGTCTAACCCAGCTCTATTACGCTCTCCTGGGCTCGTTCAGTGAGACGGAGGGCTTGCTGGATCAGGCCGTAAGCGAAGCGGCTGGCGATCGCTGGGGAATCAGCATCTGCCACCTCTCTGTTCCTGTGCAGTGAAAATCCAGTCAGTGAAAATGAAACAGACACTTCAAAGGCATCGGCCTCATTCTAGTGTCCAGTAGCAGGAAAGCATCATCACCTCTTCACTGAGTAGCCATTGACGTGGAAGAACTTGAGAACATCCTGAGCTTTGTCTCGGACTCGACTCTTGTCTTTAACACTCAGAGCATCATACGGGACGAGCAGAGGATGACTGCCCCCTCCTGGACAAAAACAGAGCAAGATTAACAGCTGCGCAGCATTTCAGTCCTGACAGTTTTATCACCTGTAATTAGTAAATAATAATAATAATAATAATAATAATAATAATAATAAAATCATATAAATACAACACATTATAATTAATTCAATTAATGACAGTATTTCAATAAATTTCTGACCTTGTTTGAGTACACCCTATTTTGAAAATAAATATTTTTATCCATTTCTCAGTGAATATAGGCAATGTATTTTGGTGCATTTAAACAAAACAGATTTATTAAACATATATATTTATTAATATAATAATTAGTCACCAAACATATCTAGAAATTGAAAGATAGTGCAATTAAATTCAAGCAAAAAAATTACAACCTACAAAATTTCGAATCAATTGTTTTATTTTTTGCTTCTCTTGATTTTTCCTCTTTTGTAAATTTATATTTAATAGTTCTATAACATTTCTATTCCATAACATGCATTTGGGTGTACTAGTTTTTGTATTGCTATTTCTAAGTTATATTGTTAGATAAGCTCCAGATTTGGCTTCAGTGCTGACTAATCTAATGTAAAGGCAGAAATATAAAATCAAAGCTTCCTATTAAAAATATGAATTTAAATTAGATATTTGTGAGGGGTGTATTTTTATATATGCTGAGCACTGTATTTTGGAATTACAGGTCACTATAGTATATTAGTATAAATAGTATAATAAGTATATTAGTTTATTTCAGATGTGCTGTTAGTTTGTTAGCTATTTACCTGATATATATATATATATATATATATATATATATATATATATATTATATATATATTATATATTTATTCTTTGTTTATCTATTTTAATGAACATTCATTCATAAAAAACTTTTCGGCTTAGTTTTTTTATTAATTAGGGGTCACCACAGCAGAATGAACCGCCAACTTATCCAGCATATGTTTTATATAAATTGAATTCCATAGATTTGTGGCTTTATAAATGAAAGAGGATTGACCAAAAGAGGTCCTACGTCTAGGGACAATACAATCCCCTCTTACTATACTACTCTTACTACTCGCGATGTTTTGTCTGATTTGTAATTCAAAAAATTTTTAAAGGTGGAGCAGAAAGATTGTGAATAATTTTAAAAACAAAACAAATATTGAAATATTTAATAATATTATCAAAACTTAAGAGACTATGCTTTTTTAAGATATTGCAGTGATGGTACAACCGAGTCACATGATCTTTTCATAAATCATTTGAGAGATCAAACTCTTAATATATATTTGTTGTATAATAATACACTTAATTTGGGATTCCATGATGAATTGAAAGTAAAATGAAAAGTAATAAAAGGTATTGATTTTTATTGTAACTTTTACAACGTGATATTTAAGTGCACCCATTATCCAACTCTACTAGATGGTTTTCCAATTATTATTAACAGTTAGGAAGATAATAACCTGACTGGATGAAGATGTACCAACTTATTCTGACAGAATGGACACAGAGACTGAATCAGATTCTGATCATGAGAAAATATTTGCAGACTTACAGATGTAATCCTTTTCCAGCAATGATGGACATTGATTCTTGAAATTGTAATACTGTCAGAAGCATTTATACAGTTCTCAGCATCTATAAGTATACCCCTCATAAATCTCTCATTTAAATTAATATTTTCAATAGGATGCTTTACAACATTATATTTGTGCATATACATTAGATTAGTCAGTAACGAAGGCAAATCTGGAGCTAATCTAACAAAATAGTTTACAATAACAGTCCAAATATTAGTAGCTCATATTTACATGCTATAGAACAATATCTTTAAAAAAAAAAAAAAAAAAAGAGCAAGAATCACGAGACACAAAAAAATCTATGTAAAATGTTTTGTTTTAGTTTTTTGCAATATTTTGCTTAAATTTAATTGTATTATTTTTCCATTTCTAAATATATTTGGTGACTAAAATAATATTTTAATAAAAATTTCTGTTAAACTAATCTGTTTTGTTTAAATGCACCAAAATATATTGCCTATATTCACTGAGAAATGGATACAAATATTCATTTTTAAAATGGGATGTACTCAATTATGCTGAGCACTGTATTTAGGTTTATGTAAACATATTGCATTCGTTTTGTTTTTTTTTTTGTTCTTTTTAAACAATTTTTTAAATAATTTCTTGCTACATTTTGTAAGCATTCATTTATTCGTAATCATTGTTTTTATAATTTTGATTTGCCATTTTGAATGCATGTTATGTGTGTTTGTATTTTATCAACATTATAAATATAAATTGATCAATTTAATGTATGTTTATTAATAAAATAATATATTTATATTTTTACTTTAGTTGCATACATTCTTTATTATATACCTGTACTGTGTGTATCTACACCTCAATCCAGTTTTGCTATTTCACAGAGTCTTGCTTCACTGTAAGACGCAGGTGGCAGCAGAAAGCCTAATTGAATTTACAGTATGATCTCTCGCAGTGGCCGTCTGTAACACACACCTTTACTCTCCAGCTCCTGCAGTTTCCTGGCTGCCCAGATGTGATGATAATTCTCAGCCAGCCGCTCCGCCATAGCCTTCAACACCAGATTGAAAGTGTAGTTATTTTTAATCCTGTTAACGTACGGAACCAACTGGCAGTATTAATGAGGCAATTCCTAAAAGGACTTCTAAAATATGCTCTGCTATATGTATTATAAATTACAGCTATTTTATCTGCACTGTAAAAGCAATAAATCAATGAATGCACAAAATAATCAGTGGTTAACAAGGGAATATCTCCTTTAGGCTCTGATGGACTTGATTCATACTATAAAAATAAAATGCTTAAAGCTGCTTACATACTGATCCCAGGTAAGAGTGACGCTGCTGGTGTCCACAGGCTTTGGACTGAACGTGGAGGCTCCTTCAAAAGACAGCTATAAACAGACAAAACAACTTATGTTAACTGCAGAAACACAATGCATTTTTCTAGTTTGATATCTCAGCACAGCAGTCTGTTTTGAATGCGTCCCATGTTCTGTGAATGAGAAATGTCTTTTAAAAAGCCTAAAAGCTGTTAATCCAGTCTTGGCAAACACGCAAGACCTATTCTGAATCCTAGTCACGGAATACCAGTTTGTAATACAAAAAAAGATGCCACTACAATTTATGCAGAAAGAATTTGCTTTGACATATACAGAAGTTGTTGAATTGAAAAAAAAACACAATATTGCACTACTAAAATGTTAAAACATACATGGTGTGCAAATGGATATATATTACTATATATCATAGTGTAAACACTGTCATTTTCAGACGACAGCATGCGATGTTCGTTTAGCAGGTGTTCATGTTCTATGATTACATGTTTTTATGCAGGTGGCAATATTTTGATTTGAATTTTTGTTTCGCATAAACTTCCTATCTGCTTGTTAAGTGTGACGTCACACGAAGCGGCTTCCGGGTCCAAGCTCTATCTCAAACTGTATGGAGAGACTCAGAGACTCATGAAATGGTTATACTAAACACTTACAAAGAGAAATCCCGATGCATTATATATGTCCATGCCTAATGTCAGATGGCCAGAATTTTAAAAACTGTTAAAAGGTTGGTATTTGTGATGCAGCAAGTCCGAAGACTCATGTGTACACTATGATTTTATATAAAATTCATGTTAATGTGTGATAGGACTAAAAGGTGGTCATAAATAAATATTTTCTCAATTCAAATAAGTAGCAGCTTGGACCCAGAAACAGTATACCTCAACAATACGTCACTACTAAACAAGCAGAATATTTATGATATTATTAATGTCAACAACAACATACAATTTATTTATAATGTTTTGTTCTTTCGGTAAAAAAAAGTTCTGAGGATTTTATAATAATGACAATAATAATTCCTTACATTTATATAGCGCCTTTCTGGGCACACAAAGCGCTTTACACATTATTGGGAGGATTATCTCCTCATCCACCACCAGTGTGCAGCATCCACCTGATGACGTGACGGCAGCCATATTGTGCCAGATTGTACCAGCTGATAAGTGGCGAGAAGACAGAGTGATGAAAACAATTATATTACGTGAATGATTACAAGGCCATGATGGACAGAAGCCAGTGGGCAAATTTGGCCCGGATGCCGGGTTAAATCCCTACTCTTTTTTGAAGGACACCTGGGATTTTTAACTACCACAGAGAGTCAGGACAAGCCAGAGAGTCTTGGTTTAACGTCTCATCTGAAAGACGGCACTCAGTGAGCAGTATAGAGTCCCCGTCACTATACTGGGGTGTTAGGACCCACACAGACTGCAGGTTGAGCGGTCTATGCGGATCCCTGCTGGTCTCACTAACACCACTTTTGACAACAACCTGGCTTTCCCATCCAGGTACTGACTGCTTAGCCCAGAAGTTTTGCACATACAGTATTGCATTTTTTCTAGTGCTGCAAACATAGACCAGATACACAGATGTTCAGTTAGTCAACTGAAGTCAAAATGATTGCCTGTAGCACTCCTTTAAAATTTCAATTCTTTTTAAACATCTCCCAAGTACTGTTTTAAGGAGAGAGGATTTTTTAAACAGATTTTTTAACATAAAATGTGTTCACATAATGTATTTTGTTATTAAAAGAACATCATATTGTTCTAGTTATTTTGCATGATACTAGTATTCAGTTTAAGTTTAAATTTAAACTATGTAAATTAGAATAACTAGGCAAGTTAGGTTACATAGATCATTGGACAACATAACTTCTTACAGGCGCTAATAATATTGACCTTCACTTTTTTATAATTATAAGCTGCTTTTATTATTATAAGCAGCCAATCTAAAATAAATAAAACTTTATCTAGAAAAAAAAAGAACATTATTAAATACTGTGAAAATGCCCTTGCTCTGCAAAATTAAGCTAAGAATGGCTGCACCCGGTCAGTACCTGGATGGGAGACCAACATGGGAAAGCTAGGTTGCTACCGGAAGTTGTGTTAGTGAGCAGGGGGCCTTCAACCTGCGGTCTCTGTGGGTCCTAACAGCCCAGTATAGTAAAGAGGACACTATACTGCTCAGTAAATGCTGTCTTTCGGATGAGACCTTAAACTGAGGTCCTGACTCTCTGTGGTCGTTAGAAATCCTAGATTGTCCTTCAAAAAAAGAGTAGGGGTTTAACCCCGGCACCCTGGCCAAATTTGCCCACTGGCCTCTATCCATCATGGCCTCCTAACCATCCCCATATCATAATAGTCTTTTTTCCACCAATCAGCTAGAGTGTGGTGTGTGATCTGGCGCAATATGGCTGCCGTGGCATCATCCAGGTGGATGCTGCACACTGGTGGTCGATGCAGAGATTCCCCCAAATGTGTTAAGCGCTTTGAGTGTCTAGAAAGCGCTATATAAATGTAAGGACATGTTGTTGTTATTATTATTATTATTATTATTATTAAACAGCACTTGAGAGATACATTTGAGAAAGAAAAAAGTGTCAAAATTAAAAGATTAATGGACATAATAAAAAAAATTGTAAGTGTCCGTTACCTTGCCAGACTGTGAGATCCTCCTAGCTGGGTTGTGAATGCCGTGTGACTCCCCCTCGTTAGTCCTCTTAATGGTCCAGCCTAAGACCAGCATGCATTTCACCGTCTCTTTAATGACCCCTCGATAACATTCTTTATCCTAAAACAAAGAGCAAACTGATTTTGTAGCAATAAACTGCATGTGAGCTTTCTTCATTCCATACAGTATACTAAAGTATTATAATTATGTGCACAAATGTATTCTGGTTAAGGTCTACCTTTTCAGACAAAGCTCTGTAAGGTTTTAAGAGTGGATGAACTTTAGAGCTCTCTGAAAGCTGCTCTCCATGAACCCAACCATTACCAAACTGGGGAAAGAACCATCAAACATAGTATTAAAGACCGTATTTCTGGCTTTCATCCATAGGTAAACTTTTGTAGTAAGAAACTGTTTACCTTTTCCATTGACCATTTCTCGTGTGTATGTTCAGCATATTTGTTCACCACAAACTCCAGACTTTCTGGAATTGTCACACTAAAACGCATGAGAAAACTAGATTATTATATATTACATTCCAAGCAATTCACACTACACTTTTCTCAAAAGGACAAAGTGGACTTCTGAGATCAGTGTTAATGGACCATTAAATTGAACTCATGTGTTTATTAGCCCTTTACTTTAAGGTGTCCAGGGGTTGAGGACAAAAGCCTCTCTCTGAATCCATCACTGAGTGTCTCTCTCTTCCGCCGGTGCAGCTCAGGTCAAGGTGGTCAGGAGGAATTGCTGCAGCAACTGCACTGAGACACCCGAGAGCCAGTTTGAACAGGTCTGCGTCATAAGACTGTGGTCGAGAAAAATCAAAAACATTGTAACTGTGCAACACAAGCGGAGCATGAACTGTTTGATGCATTACATTTAACAAACATCTGATGCTAAAAAAGGAATTAATATTATTAATATAATTACACTGTGAAAAATTCTTACAACTGATTTGTGTTAGGACAACATTAGGAATTTAAGTTAACTTATTAGTTAGAACAAATTTAAGCGGGTTAAATAGAAAACAATTCATTTGTCCCCCCCAAAAAACCTTGTTGTTTCAGCTCATTTTAAATGAGTAGTTTGAACAAACATCATTGTTTTGAGTGTATCTTTATCATGATCATTATTATTTTATAACTATTAAAAACACACACTGGCCGCTTTATTAGGTACACCTTACTTCAGAACTGCCTCAATCCTTTGTGGCATAGATTCAACAAGGTACCGTAAATATTCATCAGAAAGTTTGGTCCATATTGACTTGATGACATCACGCAGTTGCTGCAGATTTGTCGGCTGCACATCCATGATGCGAATCTCCTGTTCCACCACATCCCATAAGTGCTCGTTTGGATTGAGAACTGGTGACCGTGGAGGTTATTCGAGTACAGTAAACTCATTGTTATGTTAAAAAAAACGGTGCGAGATGAATTGCGCGTTATGACATGGCACGTTATCCTGTAGACGGGTACACTGTGGCCATAAAGGGATGGACATGGTGAGCAACAATACTCAGGTAGGCTGTGGCATTGACATGATGCTCAGTTGGTAACAAAGGGCCCAAAGTGGGCCAAGAAAATGGGCCTCACAACACCACCACCAGCAGCCTGAACCACTAATACAAGGCAGGATGGATCCATGTTTTCATGCTGTTGACAGAACTGCCGCTCACTGGATATTTTCTCTTTTTCTGACCATTCTTTGTAAACCCTAGAGATAGTTGTGCATGAAAATTCCAGTAGATCAGTAGCTTCTGAAATACTCAGACTAGCCCATCTGACTGGTCTGAGTATATTGACCATGTCTACATGCCTAAATGCATTGAGTTGCTACTATGTGATTTGCTGGTTAGAAATTTGTTAACGAGCAGTTGGACTGGTGTACCTAATAAAGTGGCCAATGACTGTATATATATTTATATATATTGTGTTTATATAGTATTTAAAAAATTATTATATTTTATTTATTAATAAACAAATATGCAATGTTTATTTGCCTTGTTTTCAAATGTTTTTTTTGTTTTTTCCTGGAAAAAAACACAGGGACAAATTATTTATAACATTCTCATTCCAAATCAGGAAGAATATTTGGCATCTGGTGGATTTTCGAATCGACATTAATCATCCCAAACTTACAGCACTTGCGGAGACTTATTTTTAAGGAGTAATTTGTCATTACTGTGAACAAATTTACTGAAACCGCTGTTATCTTGAGCTGATCATGAACAAACCTCACTGTGCTGTGAATCAAATTACATATTCATGTAACAATGATGCAGTCTTTGTGATTTGATATTGCATTCCTAGGCAATTTCAGAATGAATAAAAAATATATTAAAAATTATTATCCAGCGCTGATTTTTTTGGGCTTTGGTGTTAATTGTATCCCGTTTACCTGATCTATGTGTAAAAAAACAAATATTATGAAAGCGATTTCTGTCTTTTCTCACTTTTTTGGCAAGAGCACTGAATATCCCCCAAAACAGCCTCCTGGTCAGACAAAGTTCTTCCTCTGAGGCGGAGCCAAAGTCACCAAATCCATAACTCCGACAGTAGTACTTCCTGCTCTGCTCATAATGATTGGTCAACAGCTGCAATTAGAAGAGATCACAGTGATAAGTACAAAAAAAATCCATGAGCTTTGCTTTTATTGAATGCTTCGTTTTCACTTTAGTTTAGACCTTAAGTGGCATTTTGGAGTTTTCTGGAAGCTGCGGGACGTCAAACACAAGATTACGCAACAGAGGCTGCACCATGGAGGGCTTTAGCTTTCTGTGGGGACAAAGTTTCATTTGAAAAATATAAATATAGAATTCATAAAAATGCCATATAGAATTGTTTTTATAAGTCTGATTTTAGGTCAACAAAACCAGGAGAATTTTTAAAACTGCACTTTTTTATATGCTTTTTTGCTGTTTGTCCTCACAACAAACAGACTAAAACCAGAAATGTTTTGAAAACTCCAGCCAGGATGAATATTTATGGAAAGTTTTCACCTCAGGACATTAGCGAGACACTGTTTAGTCCTCTCTGATTGTCTAACACAACTGGGTTCACATCAAACACAGATACTCTGCAGCAAACACATTGTGAATTCTATGACATTCGCACTGCATTTTCATTGACTTGTATGCAATTTACTTACAAAAAACACACTCTGACACTTGCACCATTTTGCACATTCTCACCAGACACATTTTTACAATTACTCTGTATAAAAAAAAAAAAAAACATTGTGCATTTATGAAGTGTGCGTTACACAGCTGAGAAGTCTTGATAAACCACGTGTAGAAACACTTTCTCTCTCTCTCTCTCTTTCTCTGTACAATACATTTCAATTCAATAATTGCTGTATTGCCATGACAAATGTTACAAATGTATTGCCAAAGGATTTATAAAGTTTACATAAGGAAAAAATTATATATATATATATGCATCGGTGTCAGACATTCGCAGGGATAGAATTAGTAATTTTTGGCTAACAGGTGAGATATCTGAGAAAATCAGAAAAAAAGGACTGCAGTATGTATTACAGGGGTATGTTCACGACATAATACGCAACCGATTACAAAATAATTTATTCAAAACTGAAGCTAAAGCCTCGCTGCCTCGTACACTAACCATTCAACAGCTTAGTTCATGCATAGCAGGATAGGTGAAAATAATCTATAACAACAAATTAAACTGTGATTTCTCTTTTTTAGCTAAAAAGCCTGATAAACTAATCGTGCAATGAAACATAGCGTTACTGGCTGACGAGGAAACACGCATGAACAGTGCTTCTACATAAATCAGAATATGTGCCAAATATTAGCCTCATTGAACAACAGCAATGTACAGTACCTATAACTGTCAATATGTTTGAGTGCTTTTTATACAGTTTCTATTCTAATTTGCAGTTAAATTTAAAGAATTGAATAAATTGAAATGCAAATCAAAGTATAAATAGCAGAAGTGAACAAATAGATTTTCCCTACCAGCAAATATTAATCTGTCACCAAATGTAAAAGCAGACACTAACCCATTATAACGTCGTCACCAAAGACTAAATCTCCAAAAGCCAGACAAAAACATTTTAGCTCTAGCTCTCTTTAGAATTGTAGCTCTGACATGGACATGAGGGTTTAAATGACTGAAAAACAGCTGCAGGTAAAGTATATTGATCACAAGTGCTCAGTTTGTGATCACATCTCTGTTTTGTTGTTGATATGTAATTTTAAATATTCGTAGCTTGAAACAGATGGGTCGACGTAGTGTCGCTGGTTCGAGCCTCGGCTGAATCAGCTGGTATTTCTGCGTGTAGTTTGCATGTTCTCCCTGCGTTTGCGTGGGTTTCCTCCGGGTGCTCCGGGTTCCCCCACAGTCCAAAGACATGCAGTACAGGTGAATTGGGTAGGCTAAATTGTCCATAGTGTATGTATGAGTATGAATGAGTGTGTATAGGTTTCCCAGTGATGGGTTGCGGATGGAAGGGCATCTGCTGTGTAAAACATATGCTGGATAAATTGGCGGTTAATTCCACTGTGGCGACCCCTGATTAATAAAGGGACTAAGCTTAAAAGAAAACGAATGAGTGAATAAACGAAACAGATTGAAATATGGCTGAATTGTGCTGCTTTCACGGCCCCTCACATAGCTTGATCCACGCTGGCATTTCTCCCCTTGGGTTTTAGGTTTTGGAAAGGGAAAAAAATCTACCACCCTGTCCAAACTTTAGAATACCGGGTATCAGATCTGCACAATCCATATGCACAACCTTTTGCTTGCTTCCCTTGCTCATAAGCTTGACAGACCTCCAGTGCGTAGCTACAGTTGCTAAGCCATAATTGATGTCTGGCAGTTTTTGGGTGTGGCTTAGCCAATTGTGAGTCAATTGTAAGTCACTTTGGATAAAAAGCATTAAAGACTAAATAATGCTAAATGACTATGTACATGTAAATACTTAATTCCCTGTTTGTTGTGGAACCAACTTAAAAGTTTCATTATCTCCGCCTGTTCCCTTTAACATGCATCAATGATTTCATTAAAAATTAAAGCAGGGAAAACTCTTGATAAATAAAATACACTTATATGTGTGGACATAGCCTTAAATGGCTTTTATGGTATCATATGATCAACACAAAAAAGCAAGGTCAAATATGCTGACCCGCACACTGCCAGCAGACAGTCCTGTATGGCTTCTCTCTGGGCCTTGGTGAGTCCGCTGGCTTTAGAGAGGCTATAGACACCCTGCAGCAGCTCGTCCACCGGCCCGCTCCGTGAAGATGAGGACTCACACAGCAGAGACGAGTATTTACTCAGCAGCGGCAGAACGGCCACACATAGGTATCGATTGATGGCCAGTGCCATGTCTGTTCCACCTAACCCTGTCTGCAAACAGAAAACACATTAAGATGTTAAAGGACAAAAAAAAAACTTTGGTAATCAATAATTGTAATGATAAATGTTTCTTAAGCAGCAGATATGATGATATTTGGAGGATTGTGACATAACCTACTGTATGTCAATCACCTATATGTACAGCATACATGAACATTAAAATCACCAAGAATCAACATTCTGTCATGTTTCAGTGAGAATTCCTCCTTAGAAAATCAGCAAACTCATTTAAAAAGTTTGTGTTGTGCTTTGGAGGGCGGTATATCAAAGCAACCAAAAGCGTGAGGTTCATCTCCAACGTAAACAACTGCAGCTCAAAAGACCGATAGTCATTTGTCACAACTGAGCGGAAAGGAAAAATGTCTTTAAAAAATAGAGATTAGGCCTCCACCACGACCAGATTTACGAGGAGAGTTTAAAAACAAACAATTCAGGGGTAGCAGTTCAGAGAGAGAGCTTTGATCTCCAGTGGTAAGCCAAAGCTCGGAGATAAATAAAAAAATCCAAATCGCACGATGAAAAAAGTTCATTAATTATTAAAGTCTTATTTACCACTGATCTGGCGTTTATCAGTCACATCCTGAAACGAGGCGGATTATCAGAAAGCACATCAAAGTGGAATAAGCAATATTAGAAACTATTTTTCACCACAGTGTCAGACTTCAGCATTAAGGGGCATGTCTAGCAACTATAGCAAATATATTAAAAAGGCGTGGTCTTGAGGTATGGGTATTTGGTTGTTTTGGTATTGTCAAATAACAACATCCTCTGGCAGAATTTGCTTAATTTAATTTAGTACACATTTAGTTTATTATCTGCAGAAAATTCAGCTTGTCTCATCAATAAATAAATTAACTTTGAATTATGTGGAAAACATTTTTGTAAATCAGCATTTTTTTATATTATCGACAGTTTGTGTATACACAACAACAGTTAAAGTTATTCTCATGAATTTTATTGGGTGATTTTACATGAATTATTATGAGACTCAATGTTCACGTCTAGATTCTGTCTTCTGTCAATGTCCTTATTTTTACAACTACTGGACGCATAAAGCAATGGTGTGACTTGTTTTAGAGGTTACTGATTTCTTTTCTGTTGCATAAAGAGTTGTTGAAACATGTTGAACAGACAGAGCGGTTGAAATATGTAGAACTAAGAATAAAACCCCCTTTGAAACTCCCTTAACCTTTATTTTGGCATCTACTGCAGGGCTTGGACCCTTAATTAGATGGGTTAGACCCCACATGCTCTAGAATTTTTAGTAAACAAAGGTCTTATATTTCAGCTTTGTTCCTCACACAGAACAATAGTTTGACTTCAAAGCACTTGTAATACAGCACATGAGTAGAATGTACTGCTTTGGTCATGCTTTATGACATTTTTGAAGATCAAGATTACACTATACAGAAAAAGGCACCACAGACATCTGAAACATTTACTTTGAAAATGACTTTTTTCAGATGAAATAAAGGTCATATCGGTTTGAAATGACATGTTAACATTACTTAAATTTGCCAGAACATTTACCTACATGAAATATCTCTCCACTTACAGTATCCATGTTAACAGCAGCTTTCAGATCCGTCAGGAAACCAAACTTCAGTAGACGCAGCACGAACTGCTGATCCTGAACTCCATAAACCCGGTCCAAAAACAGCACCATGGCTGCTTTGTGATCCGGACAAAACATCCGAGACATGTCCGGTTCGACCACTAGATCATCTGAGTATAACCAGCACACAATATTTTCAACCACCAATTAATCACAATAGACTTCAAATAGACTTCTTAAATAACTCTGCCAGCAACTAAATAAACTATTTAAAACCCAACTTAGACTTCCTCGTAAAGGGCTCACGTTAAATTGAAAATTCCCTCATAATTCACTGTACCTCATGTGGTTTTAAACCTTTATAATTCCTCACAGGCGACACAGTGGCTCAGTGGTCAGCATTGTTGCCTAACAGCAAGAAGTTCGCTAGTTTGAGTCTTGGTTGGGTAAGTTGGCATTTCTGTGTGGGGTTTGCATGTTCTCCCTGTGTTGGCATGGGTTTCCTCCAGTTGCTCCAGTTTCTCCCACAGTCCAAAGACATGCACTATAAGTGAATTGATTAGACTAAATTGGCCATAGTGTATTTGTGTGAATATGAAAGTGTCTGGGTGTTTCCCAGTGCTGGATTGCAGCTGGAAGGGCATTCGCTGTGTAAAACATATGCTGAATAAGTTGGCAGTTCATTCCGCTGTGGCGACCCCTGATAAATAAAGGGACTTTTTGAAGAATGATGGTTACTGGAACCCATCCACATCCTAATAGTAGAAAAAAAATACTATGGAAGTCAAATGGATCAGGCAACCATTGTGTTTAACATTAGAAAGAAACTCAAAGGAAGAGTAAATGATGAGGTAATTTTCATTTTGGGTGAACAATCCCTTTAACTTGATCACGGTTTTTAAAGGTTCAAGACACCCTGTAGTACTTTTTTTTTTTTTTTTTAGATTTTAACAGATTTGTATGTGCTGAGCATCATTTAAGACAATGTTAGCACCTGTTAGCTTTAATTGTGGGGGGAAATGGATCATTTGAAGCTTTTGTCTGCTAATTTCATCTTCCGGGTTTAAAATAATTATTGGGATGGGATTAAAAATCGGTGATGTAGAGCGCATCTGCTGGTGGAGTGATGGTGCGTCGGTTTCTCATTATTATTCATAGCTTAGTTTTCTTATCACATGAGAAGACCCTGCTTCTTAATTATTCATGACTGCACATGATTTCTGATGACAGACTAATATGGACAGACCTGCCAAGTTAAGACAGAACACAACATGCAGTATTTAGTGGTTCATGAAGGGTCTTTGCGTTTGTTTCCATGATTCACAGTGTTTTTTGCTTGGCTTTCATGATGCTGTCACCATGCTGTACGATAATTGGAGAATGGCGTACTTTTTCTTTTATCGGTTGAGTTTGTTACCATTCAGACACATCGCCTATCTGTGCTGCCGTGTTTGCACATATTTAAAATCCTCCAGATTATCGGCAAGGATAGACAAGGAAAGAGACCTGCTGTACAGCTATCCATGTTGTCTGCATTCAGATCCAGAATTTAGGAGGAGAGAAATCCTCCTCAATAAACATGATTATCTTTATAATGATATAACAAATTGTGGTCATTATGAAATTACAAACAGCCTATATTATACAAAACAGCATTAAATTACTTACTGTTTATTTCTTTGCATTTTAACTTTGTAAACTCTAAAATCATGCATCTCCTCACATTTTGTATCAGATTTTTTTTTTATCTTGAGCTGGTGAGCCAAAAAAAAGCTCTTCTGTTTCCCCTGCTCTGTCGGCCAAGCCCACTTCTCCCTCTGCTCATGGCACTTCACACCCATCACAAAGCATTTTTTGCAAAACTTTTGAGGTAGACTTGGACTGAAAGAGAGGGGTTTCATGGCTCTTCAATAAAATAAATAGATTTGGAAAGATAATTCAAGAGTCTGAGTAAATGTATATTTACTTAAAGTGGCAGCTCTCTCTCATAATACACACACACACACACACACACACACAAAATACCTGAGTTCACAACAGGTAAACTGAATGGAATATTGATGATTCCTTCCAGATCCTCTCTGGGAACAAGAGACCTCAAGATGGCCCTGATTCGAATGGCCTCACCTTTCCCTGCTTCTATGAGCTGCAAACCACATACAAACACACACACACACACACAATAGAGATGCCCATTAGCAAACCTTGAAGAGCCTTTAAAACCTTTAATGAAAACTGACTGCACCTTGAAAAGTAGATAAAACCAATAAGCCCTTTCCAACTCAATCCTTCAAACACATTACATGGCTCTTATCTAGCTTTCCCAGCAGGTCCCCGAAACACTTACATGCGTCTCAGGGGCGCAGCGACCCAACAGATCAATCAGAGCAGAGTAGAAGGTCATTATGGCATGTCCCATGTGGATGACGTCATGATCATCTTCATCGAGTGTGTCACTAAGAGTGCAGGTGGGTGCAGAATAAGGCATAAGCATTGAGTGAGAACAAGCTCTGACAAGATTAAATTGACGCACATAACTCACAGTGTCCTGCTGGAACTGTGTGCAGTGGTTCCATCTTGCTGGTTGGATATCCTGATGGCTTCCTCCATGGTTGCTAGGAGACCATTTGCCCCCTCCCCTCGAAGGGCAGGGCCAAAGCACTCGGGTCGGCGAATCAGAAGCCTAACCACCACGTAAGCGTTTTCCTCAACGCTCTCACCTGTAGGAGAAGAACAACCAATGGGAACCAACCAGAAGTGCTTAATTAGGCTTTAGTGGTTCAGTGTTCCAGTTTAAGGATATGTTTATATAAGAATAATTTTGGTTTTATTATATTTTATAGATTATTTTTAAGTACACACATTCACAAACCTCACAGGCCTTTTCCAGAATAGAACTTACAATACTTTTCTAGCTGTCAGTTACTTCAAACTGAAATTGAATGCTGAAAAAGAATCTTGGAGAGACATAATAATAATAATAATAATAATAATAATAATAATAATAATAATAAATAAATAAATAAATAAATAAATAAATAAATAAATAAAAAGAGAAACAATAAAAAATCACGATCGCCTCACAACAAGAAGGTCAGTGGTTCGAGCCCCAGCTAAAGCCCAGCTTGGCAGTTGGCATTTCTGTGTGGAGTTTGCATGTTCTCCCCGTGTTGGCGTGGGCTTCCTACGGGTGCTCCGGTTTCCCCCACAAGTCTAAAGACATGCGCTATAGGTGAATTGAATACGCTAAATTGGATGTAGTATGTGTGTGTGGATGTAAGAGTATATGGGTGTTTCACAGTGTTGGGTTGCGGCTGAAATAGCATCCGCTGATTAAAACATATGCTGAATTAGTTGGCAGTTCATTCCGCTGTGGTGAACCCTGATTAATAAAGGGACTAAGCCGAAAACGAATGAATAAATGAATGAATGAATGAATAAATGAATGAATAACAATTATAATAATAATAATAAATATATACAAATAAAAATTAAAGAGAAAAGGATAAATTAAGCAAATAAAATATTAGTAGGGCATTATTTTATATATAAGTTAAAGGGAAAAGATAAAGCTTTTTATGCATTGTGCTCATTTAATTGAATTGCACAAATACTTGTATGTTAGAGTGACCATATTGTAGTTTTCAAAAAAAAAGGGGGGGGTGAGGGTGGTGCTGGAGAGTTCACAACAATAAAACTATGTTACTGAACTTTTATTTTTTACATAGGTACAGGACCGATTAATGGGGCGTGCAACAAGGTGTGGCCAAGAGGTAGTAGGTTTTAGAAAATGTAGAAAACCGGTCAGATGCATTTTGTTAGTTCCAAATAGGACAAGTCTGGGAAAAAGAGGATGTATGATCACCCTAGAGCAGTGTTTCTTAACCACATTCCTGAAGGACCACCAACACTGCATGTTTTGGAGATCTCTTTTGTCTGTTACACCTATAACAGGTCTTCTAGTCTCTGCTGATCTGAATCAGGTGTGTTTGGTTAAGGAGACATGGAAAAGGTGCAAAGCTGATGGTTCTCCGTGAACATGGTTAAGAAACACTGCCATACAGTATGTGCAAAAATAAATTATCAACAACTGGCCTGGCATGCATAATACAGAACTTTAGACATTTTTTTTAACAGAAAAGATTTATGGTCAGGCAAAGTTTTTAAATCAGACAGAAAATCTTTTAATTTTTATTACATCATTATTAAGCAAACACACCCTAAAACCAAACATTACCATTGCAAAATACTGCAAATCGCAGGAAGTCCAGGTAGCGTTCTCCCTCTACAGGATTCCAGCCAATATCTGGATATCCTTTAGAAACCAGCAGAGCACAACTACGCAAACCACAGCCTCCCAAATACTGCACGACCTGTACAAACACATTGAGAAAGACCAGTCCAGTTCATTATTGCAAAAATCAGAAGGAATGTGGAAAGGAGATGAGTGAAACTTACTTTCTCCAGGTCCGCCTCTGTAAGAGAAAGTGCCAGCTCGTTGTTGTCCATGACTGAAGCAGCCGCCACATCCAGAGGAGTCGATCCTCGCATCGAGGGAGATGCTGACAAGAAAGATCACATTTACTTTTGTCTACTTCCTTAAAAATGTTCAGACTCCATGTTAATGGGCTCTATGCACAGCTAGTGTTTTCAGACAATGATAAACTTCCAATGAAAGGTTTATGTGACTATTTTCAATTTCATAAGGTGTCTTGTACAGCACTGATGTTCTAATGTAAAAGAAATACAATCAGTTAAACAGACTTAAGCATTCATTTAGTTGTTCTAGCATAAAACCAGATGAACCAGAAGACATCAGTAGCAGCAGGCGAGCGCAGAAACTCCTATATAATACTGGGGTAAAAATACATTTGCATATTTTAAAGATAGAAAAATGGAATTTAATGCAGTGCTTCTTGTCCACTCTGAGAGCCACTTTATATTGTATCAGGCAGTGAAGATTGCTGATTTTTAAAGAAATCAATAGGTCATTTTGTAATGGCACAACAGTTCACCAAAAGTGGTTGGTCTGGCTGACAGAAAATGAAAAGTCTGTGTGCATATAACCCGTTGGAATTAAATCACATACCAAGTCCAACATTGCCATTGTCCAGCAGGTAGCTGAGATGATCAAACATGGCCTTCTGGTTCTGGCGACTGATTCGACAGAAATAACACAAGAAACGACAGCAGTGCGCAACCATCTTAGGGAATATGATTTCCTTGATAGCAGAGGAGCAGCAAGAGAGTGAAAAAACACACATGATTTAATGATTTCAGTCTAATTTATGAGGGTCAATTACTCAATTGACTTTTGACTTCAGTAATGAATTATAATGAAGCACAAGTATTTGATCTAATTATGATTACCTTGGATTCTCTAGCACCAAGGACGTTCACCATCACCTCCATGACAGTCTCGTGCATCCCCAGAGCTCTCATTAAATTAGGATGCTGATAGAAAACTTTATTGTTCATGATGTCACTACATAAGAGAAAACACAGGTGTCAAATAGAGGATAAGACTGGTTTGAGCACGACAGTCCATCAAAAACATTGAATCACTGAAGTGTCAATTCTTTAAGCAATGTGTCCAAAATTGTAGTGTATCGTTTTGTGGCTTGATTTCATCAATTGTGATGAAGTAATTCTAGACTTTTAATGGTAATGAAGTTCATTGTAATAATTCATTGTAAAATAACTTTACAATGAATTATCATCATAAGTTGGTTTTAAAAGAAGCTCTTACATTTACCAAGGATACAATATTGGGTAAATCCTATATATTTTAGTATCACGTGATTTTTAAAAAAATCTAATTTTATAATTTGGTGCAAAAAAATATACAGGACAAATTTTATCTACAATTACGTTTTTTGTGTACGATTTATTTATTTATTTTTTTTTTTTTATGAACAGAATTTTTTAAAACATCCATTTATTTTTATGCATTCTTGCTTAATAATTAATTTTTTTTTAACTAACTTTTTTTTACTGACCCCAAACTTTAATTAATGTCTAAATATATCATATATATTGCTGTTTATTTTTTATGCTTTGGGTGTTCAAGAAGTGTAAAAATGACTATGTGGAGTTATATGACCGTTTAAACTTAAACATTTATAAGCTAAAATTTCATTTCCACTAAGTTATAAATAACATTTGTAATTTTATCATGTGATATTTTACATACGATTTAAATATATATACAAAATCATTCTACTCACGACATTTGATCATATGTCAAATAAAAAGTGTAGTACTGCCTGAACTTAAAAAAATAAAACATTTACTACACACTGGTGCTTGTCAAAAATCCAGATCCAGAGATAATTAAATCTGAACCCTGCTCTTTTTTATATTTTATGTGCATTATTTCGTCACCTTAGAATTATAAGGTTCTATCTGCGTTCTTAATAATTTTGAGATATTGAGCTTCAAAGTTTTTGCATTCCATAGCAAACAGTATGCGTATAACATTTGTTTTTTGAAATAAATAGTCTTAAAATGTGAACAACTCATAAAAAACATCCCATAATGTAAATAAGTTGTCATTTAATAAGAATATGTCAATAACTCAATATTGACGAAAATGTCAGATAGAACCTTATAATTCTGAGGTGACGATTTGTGTGTAAGGGATTCAAATTAAGTCATTATTTTAATAAGCGTGTCAAACCTGTAATGGTTGTTAGTATTGTATGTCTTATTCAGCAATCAGTAATCAGGCGACACTATTCACAGCAGAAAGCATTTAAATGAAAGAGGATGTCAGTTCCAGAAAGAAAAAGCTGACAAAGAAAACAGCTTTCAAAGATGATGGGTCAGAGAGGTTTCTCCAATCTAGCACAAAACTGTTCTGTTTGATTTGTAATGAGACAGTTAGAGTTTTGAAGTGTGTAAATGTCTACACCACAATGAAACAAACATTTAGGCAGCTGTTAGAATACATTTCTCACCTTACAAGCCTCTGGTTGTGTTTTTTTCAAAAATGCTGAATGTGGTTAAATGCAGTGTCATTTTGCCACTTTTGCACTTGTTATTTATGCATTTAAAAAAGCAAAAGCCACTCATGTCTTTTTATTAAATGTGCATATTAAAAACATGTTTTATTAGACCTACGAAACTGAGGAAAACTCATATTTGGACCTTTGGAATGAGACTTTGAGAGCCCCTGCTGTACACTATGCAACAAGTACAGTACAGCATTCCACTCCAAACACAGTCATCCGCTCTCACCCCAGTCCTCTGATCATGCATTCCTCTTCTTCTTTGCCCATCCTGGCCTTGAGCAATGAACGGATGCATGCTAGAGCCCACTGAAGGTGAAGAGTGTCTTCCACAGACGTCTGGCTGATACAGTAAGCCTTCTGTAGCGGCGCAGACATCTGGCCATGCAGACCGGCATACTGTTGATGCAGCAGACTGAAAACAGCGCGCACCAAATCTGGGTCTTCAATCGTCTCCTCCTGAGCCCAGTGCAGCATGGTTTCTGATATCAGCTGCTGCAGAGACACTGGAAAAAAAGAGACGTCTGGTTCAGCTTGCATTCGCTCATCTGGCGTGTAATTGAAATAACCTGTACAGTTTTATGAATACAGGTTCATAACATAACAACGTGATCCCAGTATAATGAAAAAGATCATTTATGAAAGCCAAAAAGAGGCTTTCCTACCAGGTTTGCTCGCTATCTCCTCAGGCAGGCCTGACATTCTCCTCTTTAAATGCATTATTTTATCCACTAGGCCGTGGAGATGATTTCTGATTGACAGGTCATCCTCATTCTCATTCTCTGAACCACTCTCTATCTCAATTCCTGATTAAACAAAGACACGGGAATAAATGCTTCACGCATGAGAGGTCGAGATGCTGGACAATTATGCCACCGATTGTCCTAATTGTCTGCCTACCACAGTGGCTCATTAGATCCTGATGGAATTCCCACATCAGATCTTGGATGTCCTCTGGGCAAGGACATTCCTGAGAGTCCTCGCGAAAGCTCAACATCATGTTTATCTGAACAAAAAAAAAAGGATTATTAGGGACAGTGAAATGACTATTTACTGTGTTTTTTGATTAGTTGAAAAATAGATTCATTTGAAGATGAAACAGCTATTCTGGCTTTGTTTGGACCCACACTTTAAAAACTGCAGAGCTCCACACAAGTAAGTTGTCCCAAAACAAATCAATTAACTTAATTGTTTTTACAAATACAAGTAGATTGAACATAAAACAACTACACCTGATTCACACGGGGCTTCATCGTGAACGCTTCACCAATGAAGTTAGTCCGCTATCGGCTATTGCCTGAGCTTTGCTATTTGCATAAAGCTATCAGATTACTGACGCTTTCGTTGGCGCTTGAAAAGTTCCCAACTTCTACAGCAAGCGACGGATACACAATTCAGTTCGGCAACACTTGACATCACCTATTCATAGTAAATGGGAAGCGTTGACACTGACGGCCCATGTGAATGGGGCATTAAGTTGTCCTACAAAAAAAACACTTAAGAATTGTGTAATTTCAACTCATTTTAAATAAGTAGTTCAAAAAAGCAGCAGAGGTTATTTTTAGAAAGTAGTTTTGATGGTAAAAAAACTTCTTGTCGAACTGTTTTATGAATATAATATCCAGTGCTTAATTTGTGAATTGCGAGGTCCCGGAACAAATCGGGGTAATGGATCCAGCATGTTACGCATGGATGGAGAAGTGTTGTGGATAAAGGATGAAAGTAAAGAGCAGGGCGTTGTCGCGGACGAAAGTGAAGAGCAGGGGGTTGTTGCGGACGAAAGTGAAGAGGGTTGGGGAGTCGCGGAAGAAAGTGAAAGTGAACAGCCGATGGGGGAGGAGGGCGGTTGAGGAGGCGGATCAATAAAAAGAGTTGCAGGATCAGATTTCAGAGGTGCCGGATCCGGATCCGACGTGTTCCGGCACAAATTAAGCTCTGATAATATCACAATTGTGTTAGTGCCCATATGGTGATATTGTGAAAAAATAATGCTCTTGCATGTGTGATATTTTTTAATTGCATAATATCTTACAAGTATATAAAATGTAGAAAAACCTATGCAGGGATATTTTTGACTTTCAGAATTTAAATTAAAGTTATTCAACATTCACACTCAATGCTCTTGGACTCTCAAGACTAGTTTTTGTTTGTTTTATGCAAAATGAGTGACACATTCAATGTCAGCTTGCACTTTGTTTAAATGTAAATTTGTCTTTTTATTTGGTTTTTGTATTGGCATTCAATTGTTATGATCTAATGTAAATTTAGCTTTTTTTAAAAGGACCCCAGAAAGAATACCCACCAATGAAGATCTCAATAAACAGATAAGCAGGAACAGTAGTTCAACTATAAACATTTAAGTAAATCAACAACGATAATAATGTAGATAATAATCTGCATGATACTGGTTTATGATCATTTATAAGGGATCATGATTACAAAAATCATCCAAAAATCACTTAAATCTGATATTCTTCGGTAGAACCCAAGATAAAATATTTAGAAAATGTTAGAGTGGAGTAACAACATTATTTGAATCAAACTGACTTACAACTGATGCACATCTCTAAATCTTTTCTTTTGTGCTCATACAGGTCTGTAAAATCATGAAAACAGTTGATGACAGAAGTCTACAGTTAAATCCAGTCAGCCTCTGACCTGTTCCTGAGGTGGGGAACGAAACTCTTTGGTTTTGCGAGCAGTGAGAGCAGCAGACATGTTGAGCGCATCCACAACTTCATTGTAGCGGAATCGCTGGTCCTCTTGAAGATGACCTACAAAGTCACCGGAGAATGATATCACCGCTTCGACTCTGTGACGAACCTGGCAGTCACACAAGTACTTCAAAAGTTGGCAAACCTGATGACAACAAAGAGAGAAAGATAGACATAAAAAGAGACAGAATGGCGTCAGATAAGGGCACTCGTTCATATGTCAATTTAATTCATTCAGCAAGAATTCATTCAATTGATAAAAAATTACAGCAAAAAAAAAAACACCTACAGTGCTCAGCATATATGAATACACCCCTGACAAATCTATCTTTTAAATTAATAGGTTTTTTTTGTATATCATGTCTTTGAGGGGTTTTTTTTCAAGATTTTACAATAATTCAAACTCCAATACCCAAAACTTACCCCAGACAGGTTTAGGGAAAAATCTGAGTTAAATAATAATCCTTATTTAAAAAAAAAAAAAAAAAAAAGAATTCTAATCAAGCACCAGTTCACATTCCACAACTTCATACTTCCAAAATGTTAAATTAATAGTTTAATAGGAAGCTATGTTATGTTATAGAAAAATATTAAATACAAATTTATAAATAAAGAAAAATCAGAGAAGAAAAAAAGAGAAAAATTTTGTAGAAATTTTGTAGGTTTTATTTGATTTGCAATATTTTGCTTGAATTTAATTGTATTATCTTTCAATTTCTAAATATGTTTGGTGACTAAAATATTGTTTTAATAAATATATCTGTTTTGTATAAATAAACCAAAATAAATTGCCTATATTTACTGAGAAATTATTAAAAATATTCATTTTCAAAATAGACTGACCTCAATTATGCTGAGCACTATACATTTTATCAGGGATTTCAGTTTCAAATGCTTTTGAATAGATTTGAACCCAGACAGAAATTATTAGAAACATATTTAAAAAGTAATAACAATTAAGCAATATTAATAATGAATAATATTCAAGCAATAATTCACCATTTTAGATTGCTTAATAAAGGAATAACACTATTAGGGGTAGGAATAACAAATTGGCCATGACAGGAATATAGTACATTTTATACTATAAACATATTATATTAGTTCTCTTTGTAGCTATGGAAAAATTAAGAGACCATTTGAAAAGTCTCAGTTTCTCTAATTTACTCTGTTTATTAGGTATAAGTTTAAGTAAAATGTTGTTTGTTTCAATGTATAAAGGTCTGGTAACATTTCTTCAAAATGTCTAATAAAATATTGTTATTTAGAGCATCTTTTTTTCTCTTTTGAAAAACTATGTTCAGAATAGCAAATACTTTACCCACCAATTTGCTGTAAATAAAAATGCGGCTTCTAAACTCTTTTAAGAATAAAATATTGATAATTTGTTGAATAAAAACACAATCTGAATCTGATTTTTTTTTTGTTATTTTATGCAAATGGTTTAAATGACAGCATTTATATTTTATATTTAAAAGAAATGTAAATAGCTTATATGTTACTCAAACCCATATTAAATAAAAATACAGAGAAATTGATTATTTTTAAAGATTTGTAAGAATTGTAAGATTATTTTTTTTGAAATCTTATGAATATCAAGAAAACAGAAGTGTGAGCATAAGAGACTTTTTTTAAATATCTTCTAAGCATCTGACAACTATGTAAATTCAGGTCAATTGCGACACTTTTCCTTGGTCATCTCAACCTAAACTTTGATTTGGTGATGTTCTCTCTCATTGAATGATCTATGCTGACCTGTAACTTGACAGCTTCTGGCAGCTTCATCTGAAGAAGCACATCATATTTCCAATCTCCTTTCTCTTTTTCCTCTGCACCTCCATCACTTTCTCCAAGCTCATCTGTCTCTTCTGTTCTCTGTGTTGCTCTCATGTACTCGCCCGGCAGGATGAGACTAAACACAGCCTCCAAATCAGCCCCCTGATACACACCCATTAGAAGGAGAGTGTGAATCAAGTTCAGCAGAGGAACCAGCAGGAGCTCAACACTTCCCCCTGTGGGATCCCTCACACCCTGTCCCACCACCATCACAGCTTCCTTTAGCATTGCAATCACAACAGCCTTCAAAACATCCAATGGGATCTCTGGACTGTCCTGGCGCAAACTACTCCACAAAACCCTGCCTTCGTCTCCATCCACCAGATCAATTTTATTATTAGACCTGATGAAGCAAGGTGATGTGAAGTGCATTTTGGGCCATAACGAAGTGCTGCGGTCACTCCCTGGAAACCTCTCCACCTTTTCATTGCTTTTGTAGAGGGTTATGGATTGTGTGTTTGTCATTGGCACAATGTATTCATGATTCATGGTCTGCCTGGCACTGGCGTGGGCATCTAGGTGGATGTTGATGAGGAGGTTGTAATAGCTGGTTCGCAGGTGGCCTGGCATTCTGGAGCACTGCAAGGCAAATAAGAGCTGTGACTGGTCCACGTGGCTGCAGAGGGCGTGGCTTACGTGTGTGTTTCCATGAGCTGAGAGGGCAGAGTAAAGGAGGAGGGTGTGGTTATGGAATTTGAGGAGATCATGTGATTCGGAGAGTTCCAGAATGTCCACACACCTGGAAGAAGGAGAAGGGGATCTTTTTTATGCAGCTTGGAAAACATTTGTCACGATCGCCAGAAATCTAGACCTTGCAGATTGGGGGAAAACATGCGCTATCACCAGGACTACAATTCTGCCACTGAAATAAACTACAAATTCTTTTATTCCCTATTCTCACACACCTGTCCTAGATTCCTATTGATTGCAAACACACAGCTGAAACTTGTGAGAACTGATTACCCAAACAATAAACAAAACAAAGGTCAAAAACCACGGCAGGCAAAGCAAGACAAGGAAATGCAATGCTCACTTACAGTTCAACAGGACTCAGCAAAGATGTGTGTGAGCTGTGTTTATAGTCTGGGTAATCAGTCCGCACAAGCTTCAGTTACAGTATGTGTTTGCAATCAAGGGGGATCTGGCACAGGTGTGTGAGTGCGGGAAATGATGGGATTTGTATTGGCAGATTTGTAGTCCGCGTGATGTTTTCCAGGAATCCGCAAGGTCTAGATCGCTGGTGATCGTGACAGTTATATTTATTTCTTAATTTCAGTTCATGGGGGAATTACCTGGAAACATTACAATGCATGAGCAAATGATTGTACTAAAAAGACCAAAGTGCAAGGGTCAGGAAGAAGATTATTGGAAAAAAAACACTGTGATTTGAAAATACAATTTTATAACACGCAAAGACCATTTTTTGCTAACACATTAACATAAGGCTCAATTCGTCAATATCAATGTATTTACTAACATTAACAAAAAATAAACAATACATTTAATACAGTATTTATTCATATTCATTAGAAAATGAAATTAAAGTTGATCATTTTTGTTCTTGTTAACTTAGAGTGCATTAACTAATGTTAAGAAGCACAGTTTAGGATTTTAATAATGCATTAGGAAATGTTAATTATTATTAATAAATGATGTGCAAGTATTTTTTATTTCAGTAGATATATTAATTAACATTATAAGAGTCTTATTGTAAAGTGTTCAACATTTTTTCTTACAATTCTAATTGTGATTTAAATGACTAAAACTAGTTTCACAATTCAGCAAAATCTAAAGCAGACAGTCATTTTTGAAACAAAAAAATAAAACTGCTGTTTATTTGTTGTTAATTACAAATTTGATAAATAAGCCTTAAAACATTTCAGTTTTGTTGTTATGGTTTAAATATTACATATATTTAAAAAATCAAAATTATAAATTTTAAAATACACCATAAAACCTATTTTGTTGCTTTGACATATACATTTTTTTATTTAGAAAATTATGAAATCCCATTTCATTAAATGTCATGTGTCTGCAATTCTAACCTTTGTAGAACTTTTTATTATTCCACACATCTAAATTCCAAAAACAAATTTTATCAATTTGTATTTTTAAACAGCAGATTTAGGGAAAATTAGATTAAAGAGTCAAAACTAAGACAAATGTCAAATAAGGGAAAACAAAGGTTATAGGGGAAAAACACTAAACATCAAACAAAATCTATTTTATTAATCGTGGTTAAAGATAAGTATTAGAAAACTAATTCAAAATTAAAAATGCATCAAAATTTCATATTGTTAAACAACATATCTAGAATTTAACTGATAAATCAAAATTTTGTTCTAGATCCATTAAATGTTGAGAAATGTATACACAGTGAGCATCAAGCGACCTCTGACCTGCTCTCTTCAGGAATGTACAGAGTCATGATCTGCTGGATGTGAGAACATTGAGCTCTCCAGCCATATCTCTCCTCCAGACGGCTCATTTCCACAGACTGTGTGTGATCTGGTACTCGAGTCCACCGTGTATGTGTTAGGTGCTGAACACACAGTCTAGGAGGACACTGAGGATTCGCATTTCTTCTCTCACTCCGAAAAACTCCCGCTGATAATGGCATCACATTCTGTGGGGGTGACAGTACAAATTTTCAGACTGCAGCAAATATGATATATGAAATATAGAACAAAAGCTCAATTCATTTGATGTTGCATTTATGTGCAGGCCATGTTTCTATTATATCAGAAGAAGACATCCACTAAAACGACATGCAGTGTAACAATAATTGATATGTCAACAATGTTGTCAGGTATATTTGAAACAAAAAATTTAATGACGCCATGTTAGAACTCTAAAGAAGATCAGTGCAACCCCAAAATACCAAAATAACTATCAGTTTTAATCTGTACATTAAACCACTATCTTTCAACCACTTTAAGTTGCACTTATTTTTCACCAATATGTTTATATTCATTTGTATTACAATCAATTATTATTTTACTTATATTAATTTAATGGTGACGCAGTGGCGCAGTAGGTAGTGCTGTCGCCTCACAGCAAGAAGGTCACCGTTTCGAGCCTCGGCTGGGTCAGTTGGCGTTTTTGTGTGGAGTTTGCACTTCTCCCTGCATTCGTGTGGGTTTCCTCCGGGTGCTCCGGTTTCACCCACAGTCCAAAGACATGAGGTACAGGTGAATTGGGTAGGCTAAATTGTCCGTGGTGTATGAGTGTGAATGAGTGTGTGTGGATGTTTCCAGGAGATGGGTTGCGGCTGGAAGGGCATCCGCTGCTTAAAACGTGCTGGATAAGTTGGCGGTTCATTACACTGTGGCGACCCCGGATTAATAAAGTGAATAAGTGAAAAGAAAATGAATGGATGGATGAATAAATGAATGAATGAATGAATGAATGAATGAATGAGTATTAATTTAAAAAGTATGTTGTTAACAATAATGTTGATGTTTATTTTTGAATAAATTTGTTACGCTGTATGACAACGGTACATTTTTTTACATTTCAAGTTACTTGAAATACAACATTTAATACACTTTCTATGTGTATAAAATCACTTTTATTAATTGTATTTGTGCATTATTTGTGTATTAAATCTATATTTTTGCATCATATTTGTACTGTAGATGCCAAGATGGAGTATATAAGTGCGCAAGAAAAGTCTTGTTTTGATTATGATCTGTACCTCTGTGCTGATCCAACTTTTGTTCAGCCAAAATGGAGTCCTTTTTAAAGAAAGATATATAGTTCTTTCTAATTTTTTATTTATTAATGCCTGAGCATTTCTGGCAGCTGAATGTATTTTTTGCAAGTTTACAAGGACAGCCATTGGGCTGAAAAAAGCACGTTTTGGAGATTTATTTGGTCTGGCCATAAAGAACAAAACTGATGTGTTGGGTTTACCTTGATACAGCCGAGCTCAAACTGGAAGACATTAGAACTGGTGGCTTTAGCAAATACCGCAGGGAAAAGCTTGGTGCCTGGTTCCACCTACAGATGAAGAGACTTTGCTGAAGTTGAAATAAAGTAACATAAATGTCTAAACAAGGAAAACGAATGAGGAGAATTTTATCAAACAAAATATCTATGTATAAAAATTGTTTGTGTAACGTTAAGGCTAAAACCATGATCTTTTCCATGAATTTTCATTATGTACTGATTATGTTATCACACCAATAAATAACACCAGTAAATAACCTTAATGGTGCAAAAATATATAAACTAAATATCTGACCATCAGCGTCTCCACTTCAGAGTCTCAACTAAATGTTTACCTGGTAGTATGTCGTGATCTCCTTGCCATTTGCAGTGAATGTCAGAAGGCCTGTGGCTGTGTCGACCAGACATCCAATCTCCAGTCCATTGCTGCTGCGACTGTGGGATAAACTACTGCCCTCTGCTGCACAAACCATGTAACAGCTGCTCCGCTTCACACTAACAGCACACAGTTCATTCACAAGAACCAATTACTTACATATCATTATTTAGAGCATGTGTAGAATATTTGAACATTTTTATTCTGTTTTATGACCATTTTGTTAGTTTATGGGGGAAATATTTTCTTATATTGCAACTTTATTCTTTGAATTTCCCACATAAATATTTATTTTAGTTAGTTAACAGTGCAACGTTTTTCATCTGATGTTTAGAATTTAATTCAACTTTATTTGAAATAATACAAATGATAAATTTAGAATAACATATCTATTTTATGTCTGCATATACATTTTTAGGTTTACATCATATATTGTTGAAATGTAATAGCACAGTATGATACATATTTATGTGTGTCGACTGTGGTGTGACATTTTTTTACTTTTTATTCCAGAATATTATTTGTAAAAGTCATAATTACAAATTAAATAAATAATAATTATAAATAATTACAAATAAATAAAAATAAATAAGCACATACATATACCTCAGAAAATTACAAAAAATAAATAAATAAATAAACTCTGTTTTTTGTGTGCCCAATTTCAATATATATTTAATTCCACTTTATTTTGAATATTAAAAAATAAAAAATAATATATACATAAACCACGCATTTTTTTTTACAGTTTAACAGTTCTACCTACTGAGCCACCATGTCACCCCAGCACATTATTTACCAAAATAATTTTATAATACAATAAATTAATAAATAAATAAATTGTGTATATATTTGTGTGCCCGTAACACTTTTTTACACACAGACAGAGCATACTTAAGTCTTACCTCTCATGAACTTTGCCCCATTCATCCCCAAGAGTGACTGTAACGGTGCAAATGCGGTCTAGGTCAAAGCTCACATCATGGTGGCTGAATTTAGAGGTCACCCAGCCCACCCAAACACAAGAGGGCTCCTGACTGAAGGGGATTCTCACAGAGTAATAATACTGCAACGAGAGTGACTAAATAATGACAAACCTACTCAAACTCAGTACTGCCCTTATCAAACTTTTCATGCAGTGATCTAGCAAAAAACAGATCAATAAGAAGCAAATTATTGCTTACCGTAGTGCAACGAACAAGGCGGTTTTCTTCATTTTTCTCAATAGCTAGAACTTCCTCCAGAAGACGTGCTGATGAGTGGCTGGTGTTTAACTCCTGTTTCTTCTTCAGCATAAACCTACAGCCAAAAAATCAAGTACATAAATAATAAAGAAAGTTCCGGTCAATAGCTGGCGTATTGGGTTTGGCGTTCAAGAGGCAAAGTTGTACAAGAGGACATTATATCAAAGGGTTAGTTCACCCAGAAATAAAAAATGAATACTCTACATTTTCCAAACATATTTTAATTATTGTTTTTTTCTGTTAAACACAAAGGAAGGTAACCAGAAGAATGTTGGAGAGTAGCTATTAACTTCTATAATTCCAACTATGGAAGTCAACAGAAACTCATAACTGTTTGTAACTACTTGAGTAAATGTTGATTTTTAAGTAAACTGTTTCTTTAATTCACCTCTGTTTGAGTCTGGATGGCTTCTCCTGACTGTGGTCTTTGTGATTGTTGAGTTCATCTCTGGATCCTGCATATCTGTGAGCTTTCATTAGCAGCTCAAAGTCAGAATCGACTTCACCGTCCTCTGGATCTCTGAGATGACAGAGCGCAGCACTGCTGGGAGGCACAGAAGCATCACCAGGACCGCAGAAAACCTGCGCACACTCTATCGGCATACTGAGACGGTAAAATCCAACACTGCCTGAGCCTCTTTCTTCATGTCCAAAAACCCTCTTAGTTACTTTTAGACATGGGGTGTTGTTGACGGTTCCTTCAATGCGGACCACCTGAGTAGAAATTTGAAGTGTTGAAAATGTTAAGAAACCATGAAATAATTGAGGACTCTCCAAAACAATCGGTAACACAGTGGTGGTTTGCTCTAAACAGAGGATATCAATATTATGTAATAAATGATTTAAAAATGTGAACACCGGTTATTTTTAACACTTTATTTAACCAAATATATGACGTATATCTATTTGAAGCAAAACATTTTTACCAATATTGTGTATTTGTGTTCAGGACATTTAATTTTTTATAATATAATATTTGCATATGTCTTGTTAGTTACAAATATATCATAATCAGATTAATATATCAGATAAAAAAAATATATATATTTTATATATTTGTCTCCAAGAGTAATTGTAAATAAAATCCAACTATTTAAAGTTGAAGTCAGAATTATTAGCCCCCCTTTGAATTTTTTCTCTTTTTTAAATATTTCCCAAATGATGTTTAACAGAGCATGGACATTTTTACAGAATGTCTGATAATATTTTTTATTTGTTTTATTTCGACTAGAATAAAAGCAGTTATTTTTTAAACACAATTTAAGGAAAAAATCATTAGCCCCTTTAGGCAATTTTTTTTTCAATAGTCTTCAGAACAAACCATAATTATACAATAACTTGCCTAATTACCTTAACCTGCCTAGTTAACCTAAATAACCAAGTTAAGCCTTTAAATGTCACTGTAAGCTGTATAGAAGTGTCTTGAAAAATATCTAGTCAAATATTATGTGCTGTCATCATAGCAAAAATATAGCAAAACTGTTAATAGAGATAAGTTATTAAAACTATTATGTTTAGAAATGTGTTGAAAAAATCTTCTCTATTAAACAGAAAACGGGGAAAAAATAAACAGGGGGCTAATAACTGTATGTTTTTCCAAGACATATTTTCAATATAAAATAAAGTAAAAACAAGTGTTCCATTATCAATCTTCTCCTTTTATCTACAAATGAACTAACCTGTATGTTAGGATGGTTATCTTGTATAGGAATGAACAAAGGCTCTCTCCAGCTCATCCACAGTGGTAGATCTTTACTCATGTTCAGACCAAAAGGCTGATATCCCTCTTGTAGGCCACAAACATTAAAATATTTCAGTGACTCAATCTGGCAACCCAAATTCAGACGACCCACCTGATTAATACCTATACTACAAACAGGCAGAAAACCTAGGATTCAAAGAGAAGACGATGAAAGATGAATACATAGCAATATTGGCTGAAATGAAATGGAAACCATCACAGACAGCTCACCATCAGATTTAATTAAGTCTTTCACAGCAAATTCAGAACCATGACTGTTTAGCAGTTGCTCTCCATTAAGAGTGATCATCATAGTGTCAGTTGTCAGATCCAGCAAACATCCAATAACATCCCCTCTCTTCCAGCAGCCACCCAATCGCTCTGCCCCACCATGCCACCACTGCCCCTAAAACAAACAATCTAATATTACATTACATATATTTTTTGTACTGTAAACTCATACTTAATAGTATACGATTTTAATACAATTTGCTTTGATATATTAATTGCAATACCTTGGAGCCATCAAACACGAAGGCCTGATCATCTGACCCGAGATCCACATCAGGTTTACATCCAGGTCGAGCCCAGCCTACTCTCATCTCTCCATCAGTTACAGCCTCAAACTCAAAGTACCATTTACCAGAATGCACCGCAAAGAGCTGCTCCAGACGGAAAATACGAAATCTCTCTGCACCCACAGACTTGACACTACTACTTGAAGCTATGGGGAGGGGAACAAATATATTTATCATTTGCTAACATTCAAGTCATTAGTGTCATTAGTGTCAATATTGATAACCGATAACTCTTAAGATTTGGAGGCCGATAGCTGATCTACTATAGCCGATCCTCAAAAAAATAAAAAAAATTTAATGTTTTTTTTTTATATATATACAGTGAACAACTGATTTAATTTTTAAAGTTTCATAAAAGTTTCACCTGATATTATGAACTGAATAGCCTACTCAAAGCAAAAAAGCTATAATTTCAAAATTGGAAGGTGATTATATAGACCTATTTTCATGATTTTATAGCGTGCCAAAAATAAATAATTTCCTATTTTTCCCATGGCGAAGAAACACGAATACAATGTGTTACAGTAATGTACAAATGTAAAAATATACAACATCCGAAAAGGCGTTTTATGTTTTGACTGTTCAGATCCACCGTACGAGCGAAATGTGGCATAAATTCGTCCTATTTGGCGTTTCAGATTATTTTGAACACATGTAAATATAAATTAAATAAAATATAAATTATAAATTTATATTTATAAAAATATAAATTAAATATATCGGCCTATTTTTGACATTGGACCGATAACGAAAACCTTAACAATAGCATTTATTGGTCGATAATGATATGGCCGCCGATATATTGTGCATCCCTATTTAAAATATTTTTGTTTGGTTTAAAATAATTTAAGAAGGCTTTACTGCAAATTTGACCAACATATTACAATAATAAAAAAAATTCTTACTGACTCCACATATTTTAATTGTAGCATTTTTCTGAAAGTAAGATTACATTTAAAATGCCTTTGTGAGTAAAGTAAACTTGGTTTAATTTTGAAATGTAATCAGTTGTCCAAATGTGCCTTCTTAATACTATACTGTAAAAAGGGATCATTTTCCCACCATGCTCTTTCTCCAGCGGTTCCACAGTGTATCCAAAACCAAGAAGGGTGCCCAGTGCATCTCTCATGGCATCTCTACCAGCCTGTTTGTACCTTTCATCCAGCAGATAAAATGGCACTAGTTGGGTACTTCTCTTAAACTTTACATCCTAAAACATAGACATATACTGTACATTTAGTGGCTTTTAAACCTATTAAACATCCCCCAAACACAAAGAGACAAAAAATATATATACATTGAAGTTGGAGAAAGTGCAATCTGCAAGTGCTACAGATGGTCACATGGACAATTTTGCCATTCCTTGCAATTTTTGCATTCCAGTGATGATAAAGTTCACATTTATATTGTTTGTTTTGAAGATGTGCTGTTGTACCCCATTCGCAAGATGTAATAAAAGCCTCAGGTGTCCCTAGAATGAGTCTGTTTTAGGTGGAATAAGACAAACACAATTTGTGTGTGTGTGTGTGTGTGTGTGTGTGTGTGTTTCTTTTAATGTAAATGAGCTGCTGCTTAAACCTCCTTTGCAGAAGAAAGTGGAGTTATTACAGATTGTGTTTTGGATACTCTGGTAACAACAAACAAAACACATGCATGATCAGTTATGCCTTGTTAGATTGAGCTATACAACTTTCTAAAAGCACACATAGAAAGTCAGCAGTCTTTTTATGTTCACACAACTGGCATTGCTTTAATATTCACCTGCTGTGGGCCATAGCTCCAGCCCTGCCTGATGCGCTCTCTGGCCCAGATGTTGTGTTCATTTTCAGCCAGATATTCCACCAGCTCTTCCTGAGCATCTGTTAGCACAACCCGGGACTGATCCACAGGGGCTGGTTTATATCCATTCCATAGCTCATACCTGAGCATGTTATGTAATATGAATTCATTAAACACTTTAGCAACAATTTATAATGTACAGTTGTGTATTTTTTTATTAACAGTAAAAGAAATGTTTACTTATTTGAAAGGCGAACATATTTGACATTCTCTTCGGCATGTTCATCAGAGAGTCCAATATGAACCCCAAAAGCCAGAAGAGTTCTTCAATGACACAAAGACAAGCATGATTAAAATTTGCAGCTTATTAACGGTTTATTACTTACAGTAAAATGATTTATACCTCAGAATGTCCTCAGATGACTGAAGGGTGTGGATTCGCTCTTGATCTGGGAGTTTCGAGAACTCAACTAGGCATAAATGTACTTTTTTACCTTCATCTTTAACCTAGAAAAAGCAATGCACTTTTCAATATACTCCAGAATAAATTGGGCTACTTAATGGATGTTAAGTAAGGGCATTTTCAGACATGCAGATCAAATACTTAAATGCATAATTCTTTATTTTCCTCTTGTATCAGTTCATTTTGTCAAGAGAACATTTCAAAGTGTATCTAAATGTATTCGTGTAAGACATATGGGATAAAAATGTCAAGTGATTTTGAATGTGGCGAGGTTGTTGGTGCCAGTAAGCTGGTCTGAATATTTCAGAAATACTGTAAATCTACTGGGATGTTTATCTCTAGGGATTACAGAGAATGGTATAAAGAAAGAATAAATATTGATTGAGCAGTTCTGTAGGTGTTAACAACTTGTAAAAGCCAGAGGCCAGAGTAGAATGACAAAACTGGTCTGTTGTCATCTCTGAATGCACAATACGTCAAACCTTGGAAATAGATTAGCTATAATCATTATGAATTATATAACAACTTTGTTTGATTGATGCTTTGGGTCTGAGTTTCTTTTCACTAGAACCAACTCCTCTAAAGTAATTCATTTATGTTTAAATGACCCAAACACGAAGGATTCTGAAACAAAACAACAAACAATTCAAGTGTAAAAACTCCCTCTGATACTCACAGGTCCGTAGGTCCAGCCCTGCTCTATTTTGTCAATAAGCCAGAGCTCATGAAGATTTTCAGCTAATCGTTCTCTGATCTGCTCCAGCTGTGGAGGATATTCAACCTGAATAGATAAAGAGTTGAGAACAGATGTGTGAGAAAAGTCAGAAAAGTTGATGTAAAACAGATTTCTTTAAACAACTGTACTGCACTGATGCTACATTTAAATTAATCACAGCGTAATTAAAATTGAATGAGTACCTGGCTGGAATCCACAGGAACGGGTGTGAAGGTCACTGGGCTAATAGGTACCACAGGGCCTAAGAGGTCACGCTGGGTTTCAGTGTGATTACGAGTGAGTTCGTGACACAGCTCCAGCTTGCAGCGTGTTTTGGGGAGAAGAGCTTCAGCACATGGAGAGAATCCAGCAGGAGGAAGAAACCTGAACTCCCCCTGTCGACCTCCAAACAGCATGCGCACCCTGATGGAAAATAAAACCAGGCGTCTATTTTATGCAGGTCAAAATTTTGATTTAGTAAGATTGAATTTGGAATTTTTTTACCTAATTGTGGGAAACATTATGGTAGCTCGGTGGTTAAGTTGTTAGCACGGTTGCCTAAAATCAAGAATGTTTCTGGTTCGAGTTCCTCCTGGACCAGGTGGTATGTCTGTGTGAAGTTCTCCCCATATGTTCAAGTTTCAAGTTAATTTGTATAGCACTTTTCACAATAATTATTATTTTTTTTTTTTGGGGGGGGGAGCCTTTTTGAAAGACCCATCTCTCACTGACAAAGGTCCAGAATTTGTCCCATAGATTAGTTTATATTTGTTTTAACTGCTATGCCATCATAAATACTGGAAAAAAAAAAATTGAAAAAGGTTTTAAGACCAAGCAGAATCCTCTGTTGGCTGTCATTTCGTTGTGATTTCAACTAATCTGTTTTGGCCAATGCAAGCATATTTTTTAGGAGTCTAACATCCAGCTGTGCTACAAAACATACATGCTGATGTAAGTGACATCATCTTCCGCTACTGTATTGTTTTTTAAACAAAAGAAAATATTTTAGAAGTACTGTAACTTTTATTCTAAACCTTTGATCTTATTCTTGAAGCAAAAAAATGACCAATAAAAATTGTGAAGCACCAAAAGCGGCCCATATTAAAATTCATTACAATTTTTAACAAGGCTAGAAAAATCTTAACACTCTACATTATTATTATTACTATTATTAATGTTATGTTTGAAATTTTTATCACTTAAATGTCCAAATTCTGACTGAGGACTTGAATGTGCTGGCCAGTTTGTTATTCATTTAAATAAATAACATTAGGCCACAGTTTTTAATTAAAAAAATTACCATTTTTATTATTTTTAATGATATATGATGTAATATAAGTATTTTTCTTTATTGTAAATTTTCTGAAACTATTTTTGGTACATCAAAAATTGTGCTCATGATGACCATCAAAATTGCGCTTATGATGTCACCAAAATGTATTATTTAAATCTCATAATTAAATAGAAAATGCTCTGTAATCATATGCCAGAGAAATTAGTGGTTCATTTCACTGTGGTGATTCCTGATAGCCAAGGAATCGACTGATTCTTGAGCAAGGATTAAGAGAGTCAGTTATTTACAATTACAATAGTCAGTTATTTAATATATTACAATTATAAAATGCATATTTTGACCACTGAATTAGAAAAGGTCACCGTTGTGTAAATCAGAAATCTGGTCATCAAACCAAACAACAGCACTTGCAAAAATTAACTTGCTAAATCAAAATTTATAAAGGTAACTCACTGCACTCCAGCTGAGAAGCTGACCACTGGAAACAGCAGTCCATCCACACAGAAGTTCTCTAGCATGCCTTGAACTGGCTGTCCATTGACCCGGAAGGAGATGCAGGTTGCACTGAGGTCAAGGCAACAACTAATGACATCATCTTCCCTTAGCAAGTGCTGATTGGGTGAGCTAACTCGGCGACCTACACCTCCTAAAAAAACAATGAAAATTTGTAAAAAAAAATAAAATAAAAAAAAATTATATATATATATATATATATATATATATATATATATATATATATATATATATATATATATATATATATATATATATATATATATATATATATAAACCAAATAATGCATCCTTATTAACATACCTGCTGAATGTAATTAGAGGTGCTTAGTGGAAAAAAAAAAAAAACCTGATACCTGTCCAAAGCTGAAGTCCATCAAAGCCATAAGAGCAGAGGTCATCTCCAACACCGTTAGATCCCCAGTCGTGACCCCCAGTGGGTGAAGGACGGTACCCTTCAGTGCTGGCCCATCCCACTCGCAGATGAGTAGGCTCTGCTGTCACAAACGGCTCCGCTTTCTCAACTACAACCTCATAATACCACTTTTTGTACTGGGCGCTGTCATCTCTTGTACACAGAAAGATGTTTGGACGTACACTAAACAGACAACCGACATGTTTTTTTTATTTATTATACTCATAGTCTAAATAATAACAAACTAAACCAGTTGTTAGGTGTAATCATTATTTTGTGATGTAGGAGTTATAAATTGTTGGGTGTTTTGATAACAGGTCACCTGGAAACTTGGTTAATCAGTCTTGTCTGCAGCAGCAGGTCCCTTTCAGGCAGCAGTGTGTCACAAATCAAATGCTGATTAGAGCGGACAGCCATCCCATGACACACACAGAGTGAACACAACACGTCTAATATCTGCAAATGAAATCAACACACAAATACATGCTGAAAGTTGTCAAGTCCTAACAATACTAATCACAATCATTAAGGTCTGATCAAAAAAGTCAGCAAGCCCTTAAATGATATATACATTGTAAAAAATGCTGGCTTCCACGCAATTGATTTGTGTTGAAATAAAATGACTAAATTAAGATAACTTATTAGATTTTTACAAATGTAAGTGGATTGAACATAAAACAAGTTGTCCCAAATAAACTCAAAAACTGTGTTGTTTCAGCTTATTTTAATTAAGTAGTCTGAACAAGTAACAAAAGAGTGCATATTGTAAAAAATACAGGGTTCCACACAATTTATTCATGTTGTCCCAAAACAAATTAAGTTAATGCAATGAATTTAAGCAGACTTGAACATAAAACAATTAAGTTGTCCCCCAAAACCCATTTTAATGAGTAGTTTGAACAAGCAGCAAAAGTCATTTGTTTGCATGTATGTAAATAAGCAATGCCAATTATAATATATTACCATATTACAGTTATGCTGTCCTTTGACCAAATAAATGTATTCGAAGGCATATAGTAAAATACTTTTAAAAATTATTTGAAAGAAACCAAAACAGATGGCAAATTTTTAAAAGGTACAGTAAATGTTTACCTTATGGTTTCTTCCATGTTTGTCCAGAAGCGAGATGATAGTTTTTATGTGACTTTCCTTAATAACATTCAAAGCTTCAGGACTTTCTACCAACACGCAGTGTAACACTTCCAATATTCCTAAAAAAACAATCAAACAAATAAAACAGGTAAAAAGAGAAAAGTCGAATCAGCTTTTGAGTTCACATCATGAAAGAAATAATCCTGTAGGGCATTTACCAGAGGAAGCCTCTAGCCTCTCCAGCCTGCTGACCAGCCAGTCCAAAGAGCCAGAAAACTGGGCACAATTATTCCGATTACCCCGGATAAGAGCAGCTGTGGGAAGTATGTCAGTTAGAGCAAAACTATTTGTATATTATTATTAATATATAGTTACATATAATATTATATTATTATATAATTATTTTATTATGTATAGAAACACAAATCATCCTATACCTAACAGCTTATAAAAGGCATTCAAGACCCCTTCCCAACACTCTCCTGCCTCTTTTCCAACAGCCTCAGCAAAATGAGCAGCACTGTTGTACACATGCAGGTGGTCAATGCAGTCCAGCACCAGGAGGATTATACCCTTAAAACAGCCACAAGGAATAAAAATAATTATAAGGAGAATAATTAAAGAAATAATGAAAATACTAATGTGGCATTTGGCTTGATATGAGAGGTTTTTTTAGTTTTGAGGTTATTACCTCATCTTGAAAGAGATTTTGTCTGTTCTTCAGTGCTCCAATGTCTCCCTGCCTAATCTTGTGGTCTTGCCCCATTTCAGGACAATGAAAATAACCAAGCAAATCTTGGAGGGTTACACAGATTATCTCAATCGGAAGATTGAAATTGGTGATGTTTTCTTTCTGGGTGACATCATCTAGTCCGCTTTAAAAAAGCAAAAATGAAAAAGAAATAATAAAATATAATTCTTTGAACATGTTAGGCCTTATAAAAGTATAAGCATTATCATAACAAATCATAAAATATGACACCCTTACTTTCCCTTACTTTCAAATCTGTATCTTTTTCTTTTGCTTTTATTTTAACAAACATGAACCAAAACTACACATTAACATGAAATTCCTGAAACAGAAGTGTACGTATGGTAATCTCCATAGAGCATTTCACCACAAGCAAAACAGCAGGACCAATAGAAAAAAAAAATTGGGGGAATAGAAGACAAATGTATACACCTGGAAACATTATGTCATTCCAAATATAAGATATCACACACAGAGGCATATATACTTTCCAGATATGGTGTCCAAATGTGAATAAAAGTGTCAGTTGTGGAGTGAATGAGACCTGTTGGAAGTTCCAGAAAAATAGTTTCACTAATAATCACATGCCATCCTTTTATGGAAGTGGGTTTATTACTGATCCATGACGTTAAAAAAAGTTCTTCCTGAGAGCGAAAGTTAATAGGCAGAACAAATAATGTTTATTGTTGTTTATGCTTGTTGCTAAAACCCAGTAAAAGTGACAGAGTATCGAAGATTAGACTTAAGATGCTGTTTAAATTAGCTATAATTCTAAACCAGTAGGTCTGGATCCCATGAAACTCCCATGTACAATGAATATAATGTCCTATATTGGATTTACATTAAAGGAAAGAGAGATGCGTGAATAGCATTGTGTTAATGTCCTAAATGATGTCTAATGTGTATTCTGTGTAGAATCCTTATGAACAGCTCCTGCCCTATTCCAGACTGAGAGCTCAATGGCTAGAGACCAAACCATCTTCCATGTAAAATATCCACCCCAATCACTCTTTCCCAAATCATTCTGAGGAGTGTACTGACTAGGTCATAAGACATAAATCAAAAAAGACATTTTTGTTTAGGAGGGTTTAAAAGAATCTGTTTTTTATGTGACGTACTCTGCATGATGTCCCTTTAAATACATTTTGATGGTCTTCTACTAATGCATTTTCTACATTTACCTGATGAATTGTGAGAAGAGAAGGACTGAGCTTCGAATGAGACACGCAGCTTTTGACTCCTCCCTCTGAGAGCGGGACAGAGTGATCCCATCATCCATGTGACCTTCTGCTTGAAGAACAGCCTGTGACAAAAACAATATCATGCATTTGAAGCAGGATTTATTTCAGACAGAAAGCATTAACTAAGGCTGTTTACATTAATAAATAAATAATCATTAAAATATCAATTTTGGCCTTCCATCCACAATGAGACAGTTTTGTCTTGTGACAACTGAACTTCTTGAAAATGCTCTTCTAAGTGGATACATTTGAATATGTTGTTCTCACATTGTAGTGTGAACAAAGTAAACAGAGGTATTCAAAAGAGAATGTTTAATTGCAAAGTGTAACCATTTGTAACTGTCACAACTACTGGCAATGCTGTTTTACGCAGTTTTCATGTTTTATTCCTCCAAAGCTTAAAACAGCTTTAAAACAGGCATTGGAAACTGTCTTTTTAATGCAGCAGTGGCTGCTTTCGCTTTACCATTCTTTGAACAGATTATCAATGGGCCTAAAACTAACTGTGTGCACTTAATCATCCTTTCATTAATACACATGCTGTTTTTCACCTGCTTTCTTTTGCTTACAGTTATATTGGCCTAAGAATTATTTAATTTTTATGCATTTATTTTTGGTGTGGCTAGAGAAAAATGTGGTAAATCTTGAGTGTTGAACCGTGAAAAGTCATGTAAAATAAAAACTAATTGCAATTCAACATTATGAAACCATAACCCATTTGCTCATGCTCATTGAGCAAGGTCATATACAACAGTGGTTGCCAAAAGTGAGGGTCTCATGACAATGGGATGGGGTCACTTGGTGATTTTTCAAAAATCAAATAAATTTGAATCAACTTTTAAAATTACCATTGTTAATCCATAACTGTAGGATAATCCCTTCAAAACATAAAAATAGTTACATTAAAAATACAACATGCAAATTAAAATCATTCAGCCTTCCGATTTTTTTTTTCCATCGCATTGCAACCTCTGGGGTTTTTATGTTAGATCAACAGATCAACGACACAGCAACAGCATCAGTAGCAGCAGATTGATTTTATGGCACCAGCCTAAGCTTTCTGACACCTTTATGGCATTCACGTACATTTAAAATAAAAACGCCACGACTGAACAGGGAGGATGATTTCAGAGTGACGGTCTTCAAAATAAAGTAAAGACTTTGGATGTAACCTAATCATTGTGTCCACCAGTGTCATTAGGTGAGGTTAATATTAAGATTTCATCATAAAAAAACTGTGTTGTCAGTATGTTTGTCTTTAAATAGGAGTATTGGTGTGTGTGTGTGTGTGTGTGTGTGTGTGTGTGTGTGTGTGTGTGTGTGTGTGTGTGTGTGTGTGTGTGAGCCATTGTGTGCAACTTTTGTATGATTATAACCACCTCCAAAAATAGTGGGGTCGCCGGTCATTGCCATTTGTTGGGGTCGTGTGCTGAAAAGTTTGGAAACCCCTGACATACAACACACAAGAAGTGAAATGAATAAGGAGGTATGTGGACATAACACCAAATCTAAATGAAGTAATTTTAGCATGCCAAAGTCAAATTTTATGCATACAAAATATATTTTTGTGGTTGTATATTTGCAAAATTGTTGTTGTTCACAATGATCATAAACATTTTATTGAATTTGACGATATATTTTTACCTTTTTAAAATGTGTTTTTTAGTTTGACGTATATTTGTAGATGAGAAATATGTAGAGAACATTTAAAAACTTTAATGTTGATAGAGAGTGTATTGAAAGTAAAAATGGCATTTCAAATGTATGCAAAAGAATGTTTTATGTTAATTTATGTTAATGTTATGTTAAACTAAAAAGATTCCCCAGTGTTCTTGCTTTACTGTATTTGTGAATAGATAAATGCTGGTGACTTTTATAAACCAAACATTGTCCAACTACAAATATTTGAACAGAACAAATCTTCTTCATCTAAGATGATTTAAAGACCTTAAATCATTCCATAAATCGCTCTATTTGTTTACCTGTCTCTGCGACACGCTTTCCTTCTGTCTCTTAGAGTCAGTGGTCTGATATGTGAGCCAAAGCCCTGTGTCCACATGCTGAATGAAGCAGAGAGAGTCGCCATATTTAATCTCAGGTGCGCCCATGCCATCTCTCCTCTTAACATAATCTAAACTCTCAGCGATCTCCTCCTATAAATATACAACATTAAAAAAAACTTGTATTAAACATCAAAAGCGCACAAAAACTGGATGATTACTAATTATGCATAATACTATTGTTCATCTGGCTATTTTATTATTGCATCTGATATCATCACACCTTTGAGGCTCGAAAGGCGAAAGCTGTACATTTAACATCAGCTCTGTCTCTTTCCACCAGCTGTAGTCCCTGATCGTGGATCAGTCCCAGGAATGATCCAGTTGTGAGGTGACGCAGACGAAACGGTTGACCCCAGTGAATATGACTACCGCTCCATCTACAAATAAACAATTATTAATAGAGTCTGACCAATGCAGAAGGAATAAACGTGCACTTTCAACCAACTGAAACACCTACACAACATGTAATGTCTCAAGCCTCCATAAAGATCGAGCCTGAAGAGAGACCAAGCCTCCTTCAAAATGCACAGACCTGAAGACAGAGTGGGGAAAGGGTGAAATATGATGTACTAAATGTCATTAATTTATGTCCTATTGTTAAGATGACCTCTCTGACCTGTGCTGGTCTGCTTTGTGTTTGGCTGCACGGATGGTCAAACACTCATCTGTGTGTCCATGTAGCAAACGAACAGTGTCACCTCCTCTCACATGACCTGTTCAAAGTCGATGTAAGATGACATATATATTACAAGACTCCTAATGTTTTTAAGACGGATAAAAAAACGATATTCCATAGATAATGAACAAAATATTGAATTCATATCAATATTAACATGATTAATGTAAATGTAAAAATAAAAACTCATTTTAGTTGGTTTTTAACATAAGTTTATTAAAGCAGTAGACATGAACACCTTTAAAGAATTGAATAACCTTTTTTTGTTTATAATTTTTTTTGTTTAGTTTGTGTTTTATTTTTAACATTTACAAAAAAATAATGAAAGCATATATATGGGTTAAAGATGAGATGTCCTATTTTGGTGTCCACAACAAAACAGATATGCTGGCTCCAAAGGCAGATACTGAATAGATATAGGTGTGATACTGAATAGGGCCTGGTGTGTGGACTTTGGGGGGTTTTACGATGTGGTCTCATGTTGATTAGTCAGTTTGTAATCATTAAGTATTAGTCTCAGTCTCAGTATTTGGGTTTTGGTCACAAGATCGAGAAAGACACAAAATAGGTGGTAAACTTTGCTCCGTCTTTTTTCCTGCTCTGCGCTTTACCTGCTCTGCTCCTCTCCAGCCCTGGACTCTCTATCTATAACTCTACTGCTATTAGGCTATCTTCGGGGCCTATCTTTCTCTGTCTTACCCTCCCCTGTCTCTCTCTCTCTCTCTCTCTCTCTCTCTCAGGTAACTTTGTTTTACATTTAAGCTGCGTACAATTAATTTAATATGTTTATATCATTATATGTTTTATCATTTTATACAGTTGTTTTTGAGTAATTCATTTGTAACCCTTGAAAATTATTGTCATTTCCAAGTATTTGTAAATTACTTTTGATTTAACATCAACACTTAATTGCTCCATAGTGCAATACAATACAATCACACAAAAGCAACACTCTCCCACATTTTTAGCTATTAATGCTACCCTTATTTCCGTTTTTGGTATAAGACTGCAGAAGGATGGTTTGAATAGAAATGTACAGTTTTCACCATCATACTAGTAACTTTTTAGTCATTTGGCAGAACTACAGTAGTTAAAAAGCCATTCTTTACAAAAAACAAATAAAAAGCGTGAATTTATATGCATTAAAAGTATATATAAAACGAAGGTTTTGTTTTCATTTTCCAGCTATGAGAGTGCAACTGGACTAACGTATGGATCAGTGCCCGCGTCACGCGGCAGAAATACGTTTGTACGGAACATGATTTTCGTATCTGGAAATCTGTATTTGCTGCTCGTCTCCTTTTAAAAAAGATGCAGCTCCAGTTGATGTTGAAAGTCCTGTCTCTACAGATTCTGACCTACCGAGTGCATCCGAGTTACCGAGAAATGCAGAGGTTTTATCTCTTATATGAAGTGCAGTGTCAAACATCCCGCTGTCATTAAACACAGTCACAGTCTTTCTCCTCTGCATCTGTGTGTTTCTTTTGCCTCTGTGAATATCAGCGCGTGCCTAAATGGAAAACTCCCATTCAAATCCTTCCCTCTTTCCCTCCCCCGACACTCCCACCTAAACAGAGCTAGACACACCCACTTTCCTGACTTTTTCCAAACTAGAGGTGTAAAAACACCCTGCTGAAACACAAGGGTTTCATGGCCCTTTAAAGGTGCAGTATGTAAGTTTGACACCCAGTGGTTGAACTAGGTATTGCACTCCTGATCAAAACAAACAGAAGTAGCTTAATACTTCATTTCCTGCGACTTGTTTGTGTTCTGAGTCTGACCACATGTGCCTGGTTGAACACTATATCAATAAAGTGTTTAGACTTTTAAAAACACTGTTGTAATACATTCAGCCACTAAACATTGTTCTTATGATGTTTTTCAACAGGAGGAAAGTGTGAATTACTCCAAACACTTCAGATAAAGTCTGTGTGTGTTAGTAAATGCAAAGCTATTCATGAAATCCAAGCATAACACTGTATGACAGCGCTTCAGATGACTGTTCAAGAGCCTACAGCTAATCAATCTGTCAGATTCTGGAGTGCATTACTGGTCTAAAGAAAATTATAAATGATAAATCATCTTAAATAAAACATACACATTTATAGAGATGATATAAGTATAAAATTTCATAATTTATAGAATTTTCATAATTTCAAACTCACCTGGGAAAGGATTTGTGATGGTTTGTGAGCACAAGTGCACACAGCACGTTATATCATCTGGTAATTGTAAGAAATAATTCCAAAATGCAATTGACTGTGTAAAGCCACATAAAACAACACAAAAATACAATGAATATGGCGAGTTCAACATGCCGAAAGCTAATCAGCCAGAGTCAGCTGAGGTAAAGTGAGGGTGACCAGCAAGACCGAGCTGTCACTCAAGTAGCCATGCACTTAATTATGCAAACTTAATATAACCTAATATAAAGGAAACACATGAGTTATATAAAAAAATTCAACCCCTCACAGTTGTCATGAAGGGTAATATTAGCTATATGAACCAAAATTGTTCTTTGTACCTGCCTGTAAACGCCATTTTTTCTGTTGTAAAGTTGGCCATTCTAACAATGGACTCAATAGAAATTTGCTCCATATGGAGCAAGGACTAGTGGAATTTTGATGAATTGCAGCTTCAGTTACTTCTGTTTTGGCTTCCTGAGGGAGAGCGGGAGGTTGCCACTTGGGTTTTCCACCAAGGCAACCCGGAGTAGTGAAATATAATTGGCTAAACTAGCTGGTTAAAAGAACATATACAAAGAGAGAGTTCTGGCACGGAAAACCCATTTTCGAAGCATAATATCTGTCTTCAGCATTGTTTTACAGATAAACAAGAATGTTCACTTGGCATGTTTCTTAAATATCTGCAAACATATTACAGTATTTTTATGCTGTAGAAGAGTCAAAAACTTACACACAGCACCTTCACAATCTTTTGTTCAATCACAAGACCGACATAATTTAGCAGGCTCCTTCAGCGATTTCTAGAGATTACTAATGTGTGACTTCATTTACCCTGTGTATTCACAGTCCCAGAGGAAACAGGGGCCACACTCCACAGCGTCTGCTGGAAGGCTGCATCCACTCGGCCAACACCACTGTCATTCCCTTCACCGTTAGTCCACGACACATGCTGCAAAGAGAGAGACAGGTGTCACATTGTATGTAATACAACCAAATACTAAATTGGCACCCCTGGAAAATATAAGCAACGAAAGCTACGACAAAAATGTCTTTATTGCTTTTAATCTTTCACTTAAATTATTAACAAAAACAATGGCAATCTCAGAAAAATCTGAAAATATTTAGTTAAATTAATTTACTACACAAATTTACAGACACCTGCATGAATTAATATGAAAAAAATTATTGTTGAACTATATTTCCACTGATATTTTAAATATATATTTTTGTACACCTGTGTGATGAGGAAAAGGAAATTGTTCAACCATGACCTGCTGTTTCACAGGGTTGTAGATAAAGACCAAACCCGATCCAAAAAAAAAAAAAACAGTGCTGCAATTTGCACCAAATCCTCTTGAGCTTCACAAAATTGGAGGTGGCTATAAAAAAATAGAAAAACACTAAAAATGTCCTTTTCCGCTATCATTGTAGAATCTTCAACAACAAATAAATTCCAGCTGTAAATGTTATAAATCAGCCTGAAAGTGGGCATTTGTTAGGAAGAGGGTAGGCCAAAAAGCTCCAAGAAACATGGCTGGAGAATTGCAGAAGCTAAATAATTCTTTTGGTCAGAAAGTTTCCAATACTAAGAAGTGGCATTATTAACATAATCGCTCATTATTAACAAATAAGCCCCTACTGTGTTAATATTTTAGGGAAAAGATCAAAAGGTAAAGCAATAAAGACATTCAATACAGCCTTCTTTGCTCATATTTACCAAGGACAGTAATATTAGTGGAATGCACTGTAGATCAACAGACAGACGAATGAATGATCCACTCACTAGGTATCTCTCTGAGGAAACACTAACTAAGATGAGGTCATCACCCACTCGCACTTTCTCACCCTCTGACCTCTGTTTGGAGGCAGGGTGAACCGTCCACCAGCACACCTCACCTGGAACCATACAATGCAACATCGATAAATATGGCAGATTTGTTCCTCATCATGCCAGAAGACGAGAACATTAATTTCACAGTATACCATAGGAGAGTGTGAACTTACCTTTGGTGTCCTCCTGCAAACCGACATCGAAAGCCAGTTTGTCAGAGGAGAGCCCTGATGTAGACAGACAGCAAAGATACTGCAAGACAAAGATGCACAGGGCTTAAGGTTTACACTTTTTAGTACAAATATGGAAGCCACTAATGAATAAAAAAAGAAACATTTTAAAAGCTTTGCCTCGGTGGCCTCTTACCATGTCACTATAGGCATGCCGAAACAGCACAGCCTGACCATAAAGCAGAGTACGACGACCAGCCGCCTCATGTGACTGAAACAAAAGCAGTTGTTTTATTATTGTACCTATGATTTATTTAGCAATTTAAAAGTTGTTGACTGACACAAATTGTGACATTCCTTTACAACATTTCTTCAGACAACTGTTTAAAGGTTTGGAGCAGGTTAGATTGTATATTCTGGTAGCACTTATCTAATAAAAATACAGCAAATCAGTAAAAGTAAATACTATTATATTTTTTTCATAACTGTAAACAGACTATAATGCACTTGCAGACTATAATGTTGGTTGGTTGGTTGGTTGGTTGGTTGGTTGGTTGGTTGGTTGGTTGGTTGGTTGGTTGGCTAAAATACCCAAAGAACAGAATTGTAATGCCTTAAGAAATCAGTTTTAGTTTTAATATTTTTTTTTTCTAAATTATTCCATTTACACTTTAGACTTCCATTTTTCCATTTGTTATATTTTTCTTGACTCTTTGTTGTTAAGCTCTTGTCTATTTAACTGAATTCAATAATAATTGTATTCATATAATTTTACAACAGTTATTCTTCTCTATTTCTTTGTTATTAACTCACTATTTCTTTCAAAACAGTTCTGTTTTTTTTAAGTGAGCGCCACCAAAATCCAGTTTTATACAGTGAATTCCTTTTAATAACTGGATTCTGCAATTCCATCCACGTTTTCTGCATTGTGGAAATCAAAGAAAAATATTTTGTAACTTCATAAATATCTTCATTCTTACTTAAGGCCAATTTAAAGCACCTTCAATGAACCAAAAAAATTACTGACCCCATTCCCGGTTGGCACACAACATCATAAGACGCTAATATTAGGTTAGATTTAGGTCATGACATCAGGTGACCAAAATTCAATGTCTAACTGGTGTCTAAGGACAACGTTTTTGACGTCCAATAATGACGTCAAATAGCGCTGATATTTGGTTGATTTCAGGTTGTGTTGGAAAGTGACCAAGTTCTAACATCTGATAGATGTCATAGTGGTAACGTCCACACAACGTCAAGGTCTAGCACGATTAGACGTTGATATTTGGTTAGTTTTAGGTTGTGTTGGAAAGTGACCAAAATCCAACGTCTGATAGATGTCATAGTGGTAACGTCCACACAACGTCAGGGTCTAGCATGATTAGACATTGATATTTGGCTGGTTTTAGGTTGGACGTTGGACATTGATGTCGGCTTGATGTTGGGTTCTGACGTCAATGCGTTTTTCATTTTCAACAAAATCCAATGTCCCCATGACGTCATATTGACATTCTGTGCCAGCAGGGTACATTTGAACAGATGAAAAAAAGAAAGTTCATCCACTAAACTGATAGATGTTCAATATTGCTGATTTCTGAAGTCTTTTTCCACATTACCCACCGCTGTACAAAGATCTTCACGATTGGCCAGCATCTCCTGCAGCGCTCGGACAGACAGACAATGGTCCAGAACAAACACACACACACACAGATCTGCTGGAACATTCTGTGAAACAAAGACAGATAGTATGAAAGCTTTCTGGGAGGTTGTTTTCCTGAAGAGTGTGATAATTCCCAAACCGTTAACAGAAAATAGTGACCAGTTTTGAAAACATGAAGTAACTGAGCATCTGACCTTTGAGTTGGAGGTGGACTCGAGAAAACAGAGGCGCTCACCAAAACCTTCTGCAGCTAAACACAATTTCTGCTGATGAGGGCCTGATGAGCAGCACCTCAACACTAACTCATCCCTCTGAAAAACACATTCATATTACAGGTGTACTTCACTCACTACAACAGAGAACACAGTTTACACTAATATCTCACCTCACATAATAAAAGCACATTATTATATTATATTAACTTAAAGAGCCCATATTATGGGTTTTTGAAAATTCTCCTCCATGTAGTGTGTAACACAGCTCTAAGTGAAGTGAAGTATCCAGCTAAGGCTTAAATCTGTAAGAGTACAGTGTTTAAAACGGTTGATTCATCTATTAAAGAGTCGACTCATAGTGCTTCAAACGAGTCGCCTTGATACCGAGTCATTAGGTGTTTCGCCATGAAGTACGAACGAAACCAAGTTATTCACGTGCACGCGCAAACCCAGGAGATTTCAAACCTGAGGCCCCGCCCTCTGACGCAGAAACGCAGACACACACACACACACAAACATGCCGGTCGATTGAAGTCACACTGCAGATGGATATTATCGAATCTACCCAAAGATGAAACCTCAGCATAATAACCAAGCAGTTGGAAACTACTGGAAACTTCTGGAAACTACATGCTAAAAAGAACACTTCATCGGCGTTTGTTAAAGGAAGGATCAGTAAAGAGTAACTTACTGATGAACGTCAGGATGGGTTTCTTCCTCCATTTCTCAAGTGTAAGTACGTGCGATTAAAGTTGTTGCCTCGTTGACTCTAGCTTGCAAATGTATTTAGTTGTGATTTGTTACTTGTAACCGCGTGTACTGTATCAGGTTAACTGGCTATATACTCTTATCACGTGCAAAGCCACGTTAAAAACGCGACGCGTGCTGCTTTGTTTACGGAGCTCCGTGGTAGAGGTCTGCATTCCCGCCGCGGGACCCAACCAGATTTCTGCGGCGCGGTAATAATTTTCCGAATAAATCGCGGGAGCGGTCGGTAACAGGTTTAATTTGGGACGGGAGCGGGCTGTCTAGCAATATCGCGGATATTGCTATGCGAATGAGAGAGAGAGAGAGCTTTGCCTGTGTGTCTGCTTAGTGCTTGTGTGTGTGTTTATACAGACAGCTTGGCTGTCTGGACTGTTTAGCTGGGTGATTTTCGGTTATGTTCTCCCCCGCTCTTTAGCGGGATCGGGCGCGGCGGGCAGAAAACGGGGCGGGTCGGGCACCGGGACAACAAATTCTTAATATTAGCGGGAGCGGTCGGGTTCAGGCTAAAAACTGGCGGGTGCGGGCGGAAGCGGGAGCGTTGTCGTCCGGAGGTGTGTTTGTGTGTGTGTGTGTGTGTGTGCGCGCGCGCAAGGACGAGGGCAATATGTGTGTTTGTGTGCATTTCACTCTCTTACTGAAGGCAGTCGACCAATCTCGACAGACTGTCATCGGTCCAATCAGCGCAGATTAGCTTCGCGCTAAGGAGGGGTTTGGGAACAAATTTATCACTGGACGATTCATACGGGAGTCGCTGGGATAATTAGGTAAAAATAAATGCAGATTATAAGACCATGAAAGTGTTTTTTGACCTTGCATGCATATTAGACTGTTGTTGGAGACCCTTAAAACCAAGATATGACCCTATTTCATGTATAATATGGGCTCTTTAAACTCAACATTTACTTCAATATATAACTCAAAAGCAGGGGTTTTGGTTGAAGCTTAAAAATGCAAGCAGATCAAATAGTGTCAAAAAGACTCAAAGGATAATTTGAGATAATCAATAATTCAGACTTCATCTTGTAATTATTTTTAATTACATTTCTGAGAAAGTGAACATTCAAATCTGCACAATTTCAAAGGCTTTGTATAAATGCACATGCAAGTGCACACTACATACAAAAACCTCATTAATGGTGACAAAAATAAACATTCATTAAAATTCCTATCAGTGATTAAAGTTGGCATGAAACTTAAGTAATAGTTTATAGAAATAGTAAGCAATGTGTGGCCTATGGGCCAAAGAGGACACTTTTCTTATTTTGGAATTAAACAAAATTTTTAAAAAGTTATTTTATATATGCGTATATTTACATATTTTACACAGTTAGGTCTATAAACATTTGTACATCGACACAATTCTGACATTTTTGGCTTTATACACCAACACAATGGATCTGAAATGAAACGAACAAGATGTGCCTTAACTACAGACAGTCAGCTTTCATTTGAGGATATTTACATCCAAATAAGGTGAACACTGTAGGAATTACAACAGTTTGCATTTGTGCATTTCACTTGTTTAGGGTCTAAAAGTAATTGGACAGAATAATAATCATAAATCAAACTTTCCCTTTTTAATACTTGCTCGCAAATCCTTTGCAGTCAATTACAGCCTGAAGTCTGCAACGCATAAACATCACCAGACCGCTGGGTTTCATTTCTGGTGGTGCTCTGCTAGGCCTCTACAGCAACTGTCTAAAGTTTCTGCATGTTCTTGGGACATTTCCTCTTCAGTTTTGTCTTCAGCAAGTTAAATGCATGCTCAATCAAATTCAGGTCAGGTGATTGACTTGGCCATTGCATAACATTCCACTTCTTTTCCTTCAAACACTCTTTGGTTGCTTTTGCAGTGTGCTTTGTGTCATTTTCCATCTGCACTGTGAAGCACCATCCAATGAGTTCTGAAGCCTTTGGCTTAATATGAGCAGAAAATATAGGTTGAAACACTTAAGAAATCATCCTGCTGCTTTTGTCAGCAGTCACATTATCAATAAATATTAGAAAACCAGTTCCATTGACAACATGGCCCCCGCCATGTCACTACTACCACCATGCCACCACTGCTCAATTCTTCCTTTCCTTCTCCATACTCTTCTCTTCCCATCACACTGATACAAGGAGATCTTGGTCTCATTAGTCTACAGGATGTTGTTCCAGCACTGTGAAGGTTTTTTTAGAACTCTAATCTAGTTTTCCTGTTTTGAGGCTCACCAATGGTTTACATCTTGTGGTAAATACATCCCTGTATTCACTCTGTTGAAGTCTTCTCTTGATTGTTGACTCTCTGACATACAAACACCTACCTCCTGGAGAGTGTTCTTGATCTGGCCAACTGTTGTGAATGGTGTTTTCTTCACCAAGAATTCTTTGGTTGTCCACCACAGTTGTTTTCCGTGGTCTTCCAGGTCTTTTGGTGTTGCTGAGCTCACTGGTGCATTCCTTCTTTTTAAGAATGTTTCAAATAATTGTTTTGGCCATGTTTAATGTTTTTGCGATCTCTCTGGTGGGTTTGTTTTGTTTTTTCAGCTTAATGATGGCTTGCTTGAATACGTGACAGCTCTTTGGATCTCATCTTGAGAGTTGACAGTAAAAGATTCTAAATGTAAAGAGCACACTTGAAATGAACTCTTGACCATTTATCTGCTCATTGTAATTGGAGTCATGGGAGAATAGCACACACCTGGTCAAAGAACAGCTTAGAAGCCAACTGTCCAATTACTTTTGGACCCTTAACAGGTGGGAGGCACATACTGTATGCAAACCTTTGTAATTCCTACAGCGTTCACCTGATTTGGATGTAAATACCCTCAAATTAAAGCTGACAGTCTGTAGTTAAAGCAAGTTTTATATGTATGTATATAAATATAAATATATATATATATATATATATATATATATATATATATATATATATATATATATATATATATATATATATATATATATATATATTAAAGTGCAAACAAAGCATCTACTTTTTTGTAAACAACATGTGTGCAAAACAAAGGTCAAAATTTAAGATGACTAAAAGTTTAATTGTCATTTAGCATAAAAGCTATATTTTTGCACTTATTCTGACCTGAACTATACATAAAAGAATAAACGTTTTAATCAAAAACTTGTAATAAAAGTAATAAAAGAAATCAAATTAAAACATTGTTTACATTTTTAGTACCTGTGATTTATAAAACAAATAACATTCATAAAAAAAAAATTATAAACAAATAAAACCCCCATATGATAGATCCCATATTTTAGAGTGTGTTGTACCGTTACAGTGCAGCCTTATATGGACAGAATCTCAGCATATCAGTCTGTGAATGGAGAATTCCAACACCTCTAGCTTGTCATCAGAGTTTCAGTGATCAGCAGCGGCTCACAAACACACACCGTCTGACAGCTGTATCACTTCTATTATTAAGCTATTATTAGATTTGAAAAACAATGATTTTGCAGTTATAAATCATTGTGCTAAAAGACATAAAGAGAAGCAGTGAATTAAGTTTGTGTGTGTGTGTGCATTAGAGAGAGAGAGAGAGAGAGAGAGAGAGAGAGAGAGAGAGAGAGAGAGAGAGCAGAGTGTCCCATTTATATCCGTTTTGGAGATATGGAGCTCACACACACTCTCCAGTTCCTCTGTTACTGATAACACAGTAAAAATAGACAACAGTGATATGGGTCAACTCTCTCAAATGTGATTTTAAACACTGTAAATCCCTGCACTGTAACTGTATATATAAGAATAGCCCCAATTATGCACAATATTGTAAGCAACTGCTTAAGTGAACACGTGATATTGCATTAAATAATAAAAAATATATTTACAATAATATCTGTGAAGCAACTTCAGATATGCTGGAAACATGTGTGCGCATACATACGAAAATATCTCTAAAAATCTTTTCTAAAGCATCTTTTCTAAAGCAATCTAAAACGTATGTTCAAGAAGCTAATTAATGACCAATTACATCAATCTAACAACAAATTAAACTTTAGAGTAATAATTAACACTTTTTCTACTATAAAGAAAAGGCACAGTGAATGCATCATAATATATTGCATTTTACTTACAGTTCGCAGAAACTGGATTTCGTCCTCCGCTTCTCCTATATCCATGTTCAGAGAATTTGGATGCGGTTTGTACAAGGAACTGTGTTTGTGTAAAGCAGAGAAGAGCTTCACTCACACAGCCACAGGTGCTGAACTCATCCCGGGACAGAGAGAGGCCACCATACCACCCATCATGATATAATGTGCTGCCATCTGATAAAGGTAAAGTGGGAAAGAACGGCCTTCTCCATATTTGGTCAGTTACAATGGAGAAAACAAGCAAGCATGAGGAAAAATTAGAGAGGAAAACACAAGCATAAAGAAGATAAATAATGAGAATACACTGTAAAAGATGATGAGCTCCACATAATTCCCTGAAAACAAATTGATCCAATTTCTTTTTTTCTTTCTTTACAAATGAAGTAGATTGAACATGAGACAATTAAATTGTTTCTAAAAAAACTCAAGAATTGTGAAGTTTCAACTTATTTTCAGAAGTAGTTTGAACAAGTTATTAATTACTTAAAGCTAATAAACAAGTAAACCAAAGCAACAAGTTGACATTACGAAAATAAAGTAAGTTAATTCATTGTAACTTGAAACTGTTAAGTAGACCTAATTTTTAAAATTATGCTAATTGTACTCACTTTTTCACAAGTCAACTCCCTTTTTACAGTGTCAGACTATTTTAGCACGTCTGTTTTCAAATAATTACTGTAATTATCATAATATTACATATTTGGTGCTTCATGAAGTCAATAAAGTCTACAATTGTAGTCTGTATGGACTTTAGAAGACACTGGAGTATGGAAGAGCAGATTTATTATACTGTATGTCATTTTACAAAATACAGAAAAGCTTGAAAAAAAAACAATATGGGTGTATTGGGAAAAAAAAGTGATTGTTTTTTTAATTTTTTTAAAGTGAGTACAATTAGCATAATTATAAAAATTCTGTCAACTTGACTGCTCCAAGTTACAATAGGTTTACTTACATTATTTTTGTAAAGTCAACTTGTTGCTTTTAAGGTAATTGGTTAACTCGCATTAAGTAACTAGTCACTTATTACAGTTCGTTTACTTAATTGTTTGAACAAATTTAAATGGATTGTACATAAATCAACAAAGTTGTGTCCCATAAAACCGAAGAATTGTGTTAATTCCCCACATTTTAAATTAGCCATTAAATCTTTAAGTGTTTTTTGAGTGTAATCTCTTAATTAATATAACATTTAACTTTCAATATTACATAAATGGCAGATACATATGTAAAAAAAAAAAAAATTGTGTAAGATATTGTATATGCATCCGTATAGAGCAGGGGTGTCCAAACTCGGTCCTGGAAGGCCGGTGTACTGCATAATTTAGCTCCAACTTCCTTCAACAAACCTGCCTGTAAGTTTCTAGTATACCTACAAACAGGTTGATTAACTGGTTCAGGTGTGATTAATTGGGGTTGGAACTAAAATATGCAGGATACCGGCCCTCCAAGACACCCCTCCAAGAGTTTGGACACACCTGGTATAGAGGCTAATATTAATAACAGACTGTTTAAAACATGAACAAAAGAAGAGACTTGGGCAATTAATTTAAGTCACTGTAAAACACATTTTATTTTCCTGTTCATATAATTCAACACCAAACATTCACAAATCTTTCAAGAACAAAAACTTTTTTTGTTATAACTGATTTGAGGTGTTAGCAAATTTTCCTTCCGTCAATGAACAACGAACAAGAGAGGCCTGAACTGCTGTATTCATGAAAACCAGCCTGAATAACACCCAAAACATTTATGAAATGAAGACAATCAATCCCAAATTACTGTTGAAAAGAAGACTGGGTGAAAAGTCTAAGGATTCACAGAATTTTCCTCTTTTCATTGTGAATGTTTCTATGCTGTCTCAGCAGAAACAAGAAAGCCACTGTGTTATGCAGAATCATTCCATTCTAAACAGTTTACTTACTTTCTGCAACTCTAAGTTCAGTATTTTATCATCATTTCTGGTGTTGCTATTCATATTTAACAAGCCCTGTTGTCCTCTTACGGTCATCAAACTGATGTGCATGCAATTGAAATATATAGAACCTGTAACTAACAAATGAGAATGAAAGATTACCTTTTCTGTTTTTGTACAAGCCATTACTCTATACTGAATGTAAATCAGGCACTATCGGTATATAAGGATTTTAGGCGATAATCATGCTGTGGAAGTAGTAAGTAGCCTTACAAACAAAGGAATAATATGAAAGGAATAACGAGAAAGCTTTCTCAATTTGGTGATGTTTCAAATGTGCAAAATTTTATATACTGTAGGTTTAACATTAACACACAAAACAGATTTTGTGCTCGGAAAAATGGAACTGGAAAAGATCAATAAATGCATAAAATACAAAATAATTATCTGTATTTAACTTCAGTAAAGTAACAGAATCATGTGCCTCATATTCTCATGCTTTATTAGCTCTCCTGCAAAAACTTAACTATTTTTCATATATTTCCCAACTGCTGTTTAAAAAATATCCAACTCATTTTATACATAATGGTTTAATAACTAATTTGTCTTCGCCAGGATGACAGTGGATCATATTTTACTAGTTATCTTGCAAGAGGCTATTTCAGCTTAAAAAGATATTTAAAGGCTTAACTAGGTTAATTACGCAAGTTGGGATAATTAACCAAGTCATAGGACAACAGTGGTTTGTTCTGTAGCAAATTGAAAAAAATGTACATTTAAAGTCAGAATTATTGGCCCCCATATTTATTTTTTTCCCAATTTCTGTTTAACGGAGAGAAAAAAAAAATCAGCACATTTCTAAACATAATAGTTTTAATAACACATTTCTAATAACTGATTTAATTTATCTTTGACATGATGACAGTAAATAATATTTTACTAGATATTTTTCAAGATAATAGTATTCATCTTAAAGTGACATTTAAAGGCTTAACTAGGTTAATTAGGCTAACTAGGCTGGTTAGGGTAATTTTGCAAGTCATTGTATTACAATGGTTTGTTCTGTAGACTATCGAAAAAATATATAGCTTAAAGGGGCTAATAATTTTGTCTCTAAAATGTTTTTTTTTTATAAAATTCAAAACTGCTTCTATTCTAGCCGAAATAAAACAAATAAGTCTTTCACCAGAAGAAAAAAATGATCAGACAAGCTGTATAAATTGCCTTGCTCAGTTAAACATCATTTGGGAAATATTTAAACAGCAAACAAAAAAAATCAAAATCAAAGGGGGGCTAATAATTTTGACTTCAACTGTATATTTCTTAAGGAGGCTCATATTATTGGCTTTAATTTTTAAACAGCTTTATTTCAGCCAAACTAAAAGAAATTAAACTTTCTCTAAAATAAAGAAATATTATAGTTAATAATACGAAAATTTCCTTGCTGCTTAATTTTTGACAAATATTTGAAAAAGAATACACATTTCACAAGTAGAGTAATCATTTTTCTCTGAACTGTTTAAACAGTATTAAAGAGGAAAATGTCAAACATTTAACTTTTTTACCAACACATTACAGTCCAACAAGTCTATTCAGGAAAACTTTAAAGCAGTTGGAAAAATATGAACTGTATTTGATAGATTTAAAATGCACTATCTTGGAATTTATGTCAACAAGCCATGTAAAGTGTTCATCCAATCACTGACGCAACAAATATCCAACCTTAAGCCTGGGTTTAGGTTCTACATTGAGAAAAGCGAATTTATTAATACCCTGGGTAAATTACGAGTAGTGGGAATACCAGATTTAAGCAAGACCCAGGTTTAACCACTTCAAGAGTGACAAGTTCTATTGTGATTCTAAAATTCAAACCATTTTATGCGTTGATGAGGATAAATACTTTTTCCCTGTCACAAAATATGTATTGCATTCTTCTGATAAAGAGACGTTAAACATTTCAAATCAGCTGTTCATCAAAATACATCAACAGATTAAAAGTTAGGCTTTGTTCTCTTTATTATGTTTTCATATCTTGGTGTTAAAAGGTTAAAAGGTTACTTGGTTAACAAGTGGGATGGGATTATAAAGGTCAGACGTGTTGACAGGGTTAAAGGTCACTTTCTCCATATAGGGCGGTGGAGAAGGCGGTGTAGTCCAAGGCTCCAGGCAGGGCCCCGGGGCCACAGTAAGGAGGCATTCGACTGATACAGTACTCGGCCTGGTCTGGAGGAAGCTCTCGCCTCAACTCATCTGACAGAATATACGGCTGTACAAAACACACAGACACAAAAAAAGGTTTTATAGGAGTTTTTCATGTGCTAAAGCCTATTCTGTAGAGAAACTCTGAGGGGTTAGGTAAACAGTGTAGCACACACCTTGTCTGCAGCGAGGATCTTGAAGGAAGCAATGACCTGTTCAGCTGTGTCTGTGTCTGCTGTCTCTCTAGTCATGAAATCAATGAAGGACTGGAACGACACATTGCCTGAAGCATTTGGATCCACCAGCATCATGATCCGAGCAAACTCCACCTCTCCCTAAAGCAAACACACACAAGAGTACAGTACATCCAGAGAAACGAAATACTTTTATTTCTGAAAATGTAAATAGAAATCTATTTAAAACATTATTCCACATCCATCATGATCCGTCTATTCAATTCAAGTTTATTTATATAGCGCTTTCACAATAAATATTGTTCCAAAGCAGCTTTACAAAAGGTGCCCATTATGGCATTACCATCAAATTCTGAATATTTAAAGGTATTATTAGTTACCAAAATTTATTAGTTGCCAATAACTAACTAACTAGTAACTAAAAGCTTTTAACAGTTAAACTTATTATATACAAACATAGTTAGCCTACAGTTACATAGTATAGGGGTGATATCTATGTGCACATGTTCAATGAAGTGTATTTGTGTTTTAAGTGTATGTGTTGTCCTTGATCACAATACAATGCCTTTTTTTAGATCTGTTTTATCAAAAAAAAAAAGATTTTTAATAATAATTATTATTATTATTATTCCTTACATTTATGTAAAGTATGGCTTTTCTTGGCACTCTAAGCGCTTTACACATTGGGGGGGAATCTCCACATCAACCAGCAGTGTGCAGCATCCCCCTGGATGATGCGATGGCAGCCATTTTGTGCCAGACCACACACCAGGGGCCTCATGTATCAACGCTGCGTACGCAAAAAAACTTTGCGTACACCAGGTTTCACACTCAGAATCGCTCACGTTTGGATTTACTAACAATGAACTGAACGTGGGAATGTGCGCAGCTTCACGGCAGCTTTCTGGCTGGCGTACGCACATTTTTTGTGCGTGTCTGTTTTATTTCCATTGGCAACTCCTATAGGCAGTTGTGTTAAATTCCTCTCTACAAAGTGTCTTTGAGCCTTGCAATGGCAGCTGTATGAGACGGGTTCATCTAGCAGGTATATAAGGTTTCCATACTATACAGTTGACCAGCTAAACATTAAAGCACAATTTGCAGCAGTCGCCTGTTTTCCCAATGTAATCTGAGCAATCTACTGCACGCACATTGCTATAAAGACACTATCTGAAGATGAATTTGCATGCGTGAATCAGAAACATTTCCATTCAATAGATGTGAAAAAAAAAATATGATGCACAAACTTATTAATGATTCCTACTTGTCTTTCTCGTGATAAATAGTTGGCAAAATCTGATATGTAGCGGGGGAAAAAAAGAAGAAATAGTTCATCAGACGCTGGATTCGAACAGAGTTCATGCTCGAACGTGTCAAAATATGTTGGCATGTGTCTTACAAGCTGCGCCACAGAGACTGTTACGGGTGCCGCAACATTTTACATTTATAAACCACACTATTTCTTCTTTAATTCACTCAGTGCGATGTTCAGACCCAACTGTGTTAACCGCATCAGCTAAACTCTCCCATTCTATTTTTTTCTTTTGTTGTTAATTCCGGAGAACAAACTTGCAAATAACACCGCTTTTCTCCGGTCTACCTCCGAAAGCAGCACCTCCAATTCACATTCTGTTCAAAGTTTCTCTTTTTGCTTGCTTTTGCCTTTGCTTTTTCGTTGGGTTTTACCATTACATAGTCATTAGCATATTCATACGGGGGAGGAGGCAGGGAGGGGTTTTGCGCTAGTGCATGTTGCGCTCAGTTTCACGTTCATTCAGATAAACAAAAGAATATGCATGAGATTCGGCGTACGTAGTGTTTCATACATCTGAATTTTTTTCTGCGTACGCACATTTACAGCTTTGTGCGTACGCAATGCACTAGTATGATTTCCACGCAAGTCTTCAGACATGAGGCCCCAGCTGATTGGTGGAGAGGAGATGAAGCCAATTATGATATGGGGAGGGTTAGGAGGCCATGATGGGCAGAGGCCAGTGGGCAGATATGGCCAGGACGCCAGTGTTAAACCTCTACTTTTTTCGAAGGACATCCTGGGATTTTTAACGACCACAGAGACTCGAGACCTCGGTTTAACGTCTCATCCAAAAGACAGCGCTCACTGAGCAGTATAGAGTCCCCGCCACTAAAATGGGGCTTTAGGACCCACACAGGCTGCAGGTTGAGCAAACCCCTGCTGGCCTCACTAACACCACTTCCGGCAGCAACCTTGATTTCCTATGTAGTCTCTTATCCAGGTACTGACCAGACACAGCCCTGCTTAGATTCAGTGGGCGACCATATGAGAGTTGCAGAGAGCTTTTTAAATGAAATTGGTCAAAAACTAAAGATATATATATATAAGTATATATACAGCTGCTACATAATAATTACATTTTAATAGATGTCTTTGGAAAATCGTGGTAAAAAAAATGAATGATGGTCATTATTTAGCTGTTTGGGAAAAAAAGAAACTAAAATAAACAAAACAGAGGAAAAACAATAACATTTTCATTATTTGATAACCCCTTTTTGTCTTGGAACGCAATGTTTCTGATAAACATAACTGTGCAAAATAATGAGATTATTGTTTTTTCAATAAAGTTTATCTTACATTGGCAAAATAGCTTCTGTTTTGATTTAAGCGTGAATCTTTCAAAATTGTATTGGATTTTATCTTTAAAAAGGTCAATGGCAGAAAAGTTCAAATTAAGCCAAAGAAGATTCAATTATAAAGATGACATGCAAAGTTCAGATGCAAAAGCCTCCGTTGTGCCGTCTAGAATTCTCTTCTAAAATGAGCATTTTTCTCCTGAGTTTATGTTCAGTTATTTCAGTTTAAAGGCCATGAAATAAACAGACTCTTTGCCATTACAGTGAAATTACGGAACCTATACACAGGAGTCTCAGAGAAACACTAATTTTAGATAATTTTCAGACCGCACTAAGAGGTTTTTCGTCTGAACTCTTCAAATATTTTACTAACAACAAGATCAAAATGAGTGATTACAATTATTTTTAGTTTGTAATCGGTAAACCCTAAATAAAGCCCTACCAGATCATAACCCATCGAGATCAGACAGGCCCTAAAGTCATCAGAATCCATGCCCCCGTTCTTCTTCTGCATGGCAAATATTAAAGGGTAGAAGACAAGAGTAGGAATAATAGTAGAGAAAGAGACAGCACCTAACACAAAAACATACACATGAACACACAACCACAGACAGAAAAAACACAAGAGAAGGACATCAGAACTATTTTCTGCCACACAGGGACTGCATATTTATCATTCTACATAAAACAAAACCTATTTTTGGGGGTCACAGTTTAGCGGACATGCTGGTGGTTAGTACCTGTTTGTCATTTCCCAAATGCCCAAGACTGATCAGACATGCTTTAAACTCATCAGGCCTGACTTTACCCCTGTCCTCCTGAGAGCAGGTATCCACAACACACAAAAACATGCACAGAACAGTCATTTAAAATAGTGATTGTACGAATGTGCAATATTTATCATCTATGAAATTTATTGTCATTTTATAACAATGTATAAGCTGACATTATCAAACATGTCACTGAAAAAAATCTTCAGTCCAAATCGCATTATGAAGACTAATAGAATGTAATTCAAAACATCCTAAGACAGTTAATATTACAGATACAAGGGTACCATTTTCCCAAATATCAGACAAACCACACGTGGTACTGATAATAATAAAACTGATTATTGTAAAATATTGCCTGTTTGTTAGCTTTATAACAAACTTAAGTGTATTTTAGTCACAAATATCTACTTGCGTCTTTAAATTAGATTTAATATGACATGTTACAAACTATATTTTATTTCAAACTGAATTAATTCCAGAAACTGTTCTTTTTTTAAATGATCAAAAATTATTTACCAGTCTAGCCTTGTGAAGCCGCTGAAGAAGTGAAGGCACAACAAAATCAGATATAAAATTAATGTGTCCTATAGAGATTTAACAGATGCTCATATGATGCTCGGTCAAAATAGAAAAGTGGTTAGTTTAGTTTAGTTCATGTGATTTAATAACAGTTAGTATACATTTCATACAACAAGACATGGGTTGTAGAGTAGTATGCAGAGTCTGAATACAGCACCCGATCAAAATGGTTGAAAGAGGACCGGAACTCATGCATCTGCTCCTGGCTGATCCCTTTTGCATCACGGGTCAAAATTTGAGTCTCGATTTCATTAATTGTGCGAGCAATCGTGGTCAATAGGAGCTCCCAGCCAACGCGAACATGCTGCAGAAGAAAGAAATAAGCATCAAACCAAATGTTAGATTTGCTTTCTATGTACACTATCATTTTATTCATTCATTTTCCTTCGGCTTAGTCCTTTATTTATCAGGGGTAGCCACACCAGAATGAACCGGCATCTATCCTGGCATATGTTTTACGCAGTGATTTCCCTTCCAGCTGCAACCCACTACTGGGAAACTGTACATTACTAGTCAAAAACAATTGGTGTCAGCAATGTTTTTCAGTATATTTGATACATTCTCTAAGCTTTACAACTGTTTGTTTGGATTCAAAGCATCATGTATTGACCCCAATCTTCAATGTACAGTAGTACAGTACGTTAGGAAAAATAGTTTATAATTAAAGATGAATGTTTAATATATCTACCTCCATAGTGTAGTTAGTGTGTTTGTTGTCAAAGATAAGTGACTCCTGAATGAGTTGGTGATCTCCCTCAAGTCGGTCTATGTTGGATTTGTAGCTGACGATCACATGCTCATACTGCTTCAGTTGGGTCATCTGATCCTCCAGAGTTCCGCCCATCGCCATAGAACAATGACCAATTTCCTTTCAGAGAGATAGATGAACTTATATGTCATTTGCATGACACACACTGCAAAAAATGCTGGGTTCCACACAATTCTTTCATGTTGTCCCAAAACAAATTGATTAAGTTAGCTTAAACGTAAAACAATTGTTATTACAAAAAAAAAACTCAAGAATTGTGTTGATTCTGCTCATTTTAAATGAGTAGTTTAAACAACCAGGGGTGCGTTTCTCAAACAATGACGTAACTCACTACTGAACTATCATAGTACGATGCATCATTTGGGAAAAGAATGATGTAGTGACAAGTGTTTCCCAAGACCCCTACTTTCTCTGTTGCAGATCCATCACTTGAACCACGTCATTTATAGCATAAAACACCCATAATGATGCTCTAAACGGGGAGGAGTACAACTTCTTTAGAGAAGAACCCATAATTTCTTTGCGCAAATTATATTGTTTTACACAAACATGCATTTAAAATAAAATCTATTATTAGTTTTGGTAAAAACATGCACTTATTCAACATTACATATTTTATTCTAAAACAAAATTACTTTCAAAAGCTAATGCTATTCTAATATCATATATAAATCCTGAAAATAAATAAATAACGAGGCTATTTATTAAAAAATGAAATGTAATATTTATTAGGAAATTTCCTACGTCCTACTTTGATTACAAAAAATCCTAAAAAAAATAAAAAATCCTACTTTGATAATAATATTAATGATGATGATTATTATTATTATTATTATGTAGGATTTTGTTTATTTATATTTTTGAAAAGTCTACTTTTACAATTTGACACATGCAAACCACAGCAGAAAGTTAACCAACAGGCCCATGTCATATACAGTACAGATACTTAATAAATAATCTACTATAGATTAAAAGAATTAATGTATGCTTTTTTTTTTTTTTTTTTTTGGTTTCACAAACTTTGGAGACGTAACATAAGATTCCGCTTATAAATAATAGGTCACATAGCTTTCGCAATGAGGCTTTGTTCAAAATGATATCAATGTTTTCAAAGTGCACTGCGGAGGGAGCACAATTGTACACATGAAGATTGCTAAAACCGAACTGTAAAAATACTTTGAAAGCAAATTACACCTAAGAGAGATGACCTTAATGCTTTTTTATTTTTAATAATTCCAACTTTGAATGTTAGAATGTTCTAAATGAATAGGGCATAGGGGGATATGTGGGAATAGAACACAGCCAGAAATTATGTTTCTAACTGCAGCTCCAGAGGTGTAGTTTGAAGTGCTCAAGTCTGCGACATAGTTTGCAAATGTTTGTTGGAGCGATGGATTTGGGAAACAGCTAATCAACAAACTATGTTTGTAATGACGGAACTTGCGACCTTAGTTGGCTAACGATAGTTTTGGGAAACGCACCCCAGGACAGAATTTTTTCAGGTGATAGTGAAGCAACACACACCTCCATCCTAGTCTGTATCCAGGGTCCGATGAGGTTGGCTTGGGCAGCAAACTGGCGTCTGAGTCTTTCGTTAGCATGCTGTCTCGCTAACTCCTCCTGCAGTGCACTGTCACGCTGGGGCACCAGCTTCTTCACCTAAATATTTCAACAGAATTATTTTAAAATATTCTAAACAATCTCTGCAAAAATAGAACAGCAATCATTTGTGTGTGGTGTGTGTTTGACCTTGTCCCATTTGATGGCAATTTCTTCTGCAGTAATAGTGCTGTAGGGATTTGTAAGATCTCCACGGATGCCATAACTCTGGAAGATCTTCAGGACTTCCTGCTGAATGCCAAGGATCGCCTGTCTCTCTGCATCTGCCTCAGGAAGGGTGGCCTTAAACTGCTCATGAGCAGCTATCAGAGTCTACAAACAAAACATACAATGTATATTATTTCATATAATTACTGTAGTTTTTTATTTGAAATGAATATAGGTATAAGTTGCATTTACAACTTATACCCTTTACTAACCTCAAACTTTTGAATACTGAAGCCCAAATGTATGTTCATATGACTACAAAACACTACAAAGTTATTATGAAATCAAAATCACCATGCTTTAATAAGTGTAAGCATCTAAATACAGAAATAACAAAGCTACAGTGTGTACTTAATAATAAACAGATCCTATGGATGATATTATCTTAATTTTAAAATGTATAACTAAGTAAAATGTATTACTTTATTTCTAAACAGAGCTTTAGATGCACAGTTTTAAAATACTTTAAAATTTAAACTGATTTTCATCAAAGAACCTTGACTAACATCAAGTAGGGAAAGAAAATGTGTGGAATATTGCATGAACACAATGTTTATGACTACTACACCTAATAACCGCTAGAGGGAGACAAAAACTGGTATGGCCAGTGTGCTATAAAAATAATAAAAATCCTGTAAGTGTCAGTATTAAAAACCATCTTATTGGTGGAGTTGCCCTTATATATCAGCAGTAACATTTACATTACATTAAACTCAACTAAACTGAAAATCAACTATGATGACTGAACTGAAGCTGTTTTAATTTACTAGAACATTATACATGTTAAGCTGCTTTGACACAATTTAAAATGTTAAAAAGTCTAAAAGGGCTTATATTGAAGCCAATCTGCCAAGAAGACAGGCCTTGAAATGAGCCACTTTATGTAATGAGACAAACATTAAAGTGAACAACAGTGATCAGTATAAAATAAACAAAAAGGGAAGTTGATGGCCACTTGAAAAATTCATGCTGTTTTATTGACGTCCACATGTGTTTGTTTAAGTAGCTGTGTGTACCTGGACTTCCTCAATTGTGTGCACAATGAACATGTCCTGCAAGTCTTCCATAGCTCCTTCCATCCAGTTATTAAAGGGTGCAGATCTCTTTGCATATTCCAGAAACAACTGATCCACCGTCTCCAAAAGTTTCTCTGTCCTCTGCACATATTCACATTTTTAATTGTTCTCCATTTTTTGTGTGCTAGTATATTTTTTGTAATACAAAAAAGTAGAAAGCAGAGAGCTTACCTCCAAAGCCTCTCTGCGTTTCTGGGTGAGCGTGCCCAGATGGTCCCAGAGGTCACAAATACTTTGACACCTTTGATTCACGGATGCAACATCATGATAGTCCAGCTCACTTCAGGAAATCAAAACAGAGAAAGAAACGTCAGGCCACATTCTCGCATTTGCTGTTGAGTCTGTCTCCCTCTAGCGGTTATTAGGTGTAGTAGTCATAAACATTGTGTTCATGCAATATTCCACACATTTTCTTTCCCTACTTGATGTTAGTCAAGGTTCTTTGATGAAAATCAGTTTAAATTTTAAAGTATTTTAAAACTGTGCATCTAAAGCTCTGTTTAGAAATAAAGTAATACATTTTACTTAGTTATACATTTTAAAATTAAGATAATATCATCCATAGGATCTGTTTATTATTAAGTACACACTGTAGCTTTGTTATTTCTGTATTTAGATGCTTACACTTATTAAAGCATGATTGATTTTGATTTTTTTCTGTAATGGTGGCATTATTTTTAAATAAAAAAAGATTTTTAATAAATATTATGAATTTAGTTTTTTGGTATTTTTACTTTGTGTGACTATGATAGTTCACAAAAATACCAGCTATTATGATGTCTGCAACTTTATTTCTTCAGTAGAACATTAAAAAAGGTTTTTAGTATAACTTATGCATTAACCCTTGACTGGGATTTTATTGCCACAAATGATCAATTTCAGCTTTAAAAAAAGCTCTTCTTTATTTTCGATGGAAGAAATAAGTCACTTTAATCTTGGATGGCCTGAGAGCGAGTAATTTAACAGGATTATGCTTGAACTATACCTAAAAAAACTACTGTTACATTTGTCAAATTAAACTTTAAAAAGTTGTTCTTTCTGTTTGCCTTTTGTTTTCAAATAGACTTTAGCATGCTAATCATCTTAAGTACGCTTTATAGGTTATCAGTAATATCACACTGTACTTACTGAGACAACGAAAAGGTCAAATGCTGTCAGTCACTTACAACAAACATGCACGCACACTCACACACATTAACCAGGCCTGCAGGGAGATAATGAATACTAAAATAGGAATCCAGTCATTCAAACGTCAAAGTATGCTGTAAGTCTGGTGTGTGCATGTGAATGTGTGTGTGTATGTGTGTGTGTGTGTGTGTGTGTGTGTGTGTGTGTGTGTGTGTGTGTGTGTGTGTCAAGTTATGGATAAGCAGAGTGAGAGATAAAAAGCTGTACAGAGCCTAAGGTGATGAGAAAGTGAACGTGACAAGTTACTTACAAAGACCAAGTACGCCTACCATTTAAGAGTTTGAAGCAAGATTTTTTTGTAAGTCCCTTATACCTAACATACCTGTATTTATTGCATCAAAAATACAGTAAATTCAATAATATAGTAAATATTGCAAACACAAGGAAAAAAGCTGAAAAGTACATCGTTTCGACGAAATGGGACTTTACCTATAAAATGTTTTACACATTTTTGCTGAATGTATTAATTTCATGCTAATCACAGACGTTTGAACAGTAGCTGAAGTTTGGAAAAAAGGGAACGTATTTTTGAAATGTGTAAATGTCATACTTGAGCTCCTGAGCAATAGCAGCGATCTGCTCAACTCTGTCCTGGTGTGCAGAAAGGTCACTCTCAAACGCTTCGTGTTTCCGCAGCAAAGCTCGCACTTCCATTAGAGACGCTGACTCGTAGTCCTTCCGGGTCAACATCTCTTCCTTACCTATTTCAAAACATAATCAAGCACCGCTTAGTTGACAATTACCCATCCAAAGAGGCATACAGTACATCTTACACAATTGGAGAATAGAAAGATGTTACTGAAGACACTTTTTTCCAGAACTGACCTGTAGCCCAGGACTCATGGTTAGTAGCTTTCTGTCTGAATTTCTCAGCTAGATGCTCCACTCTTTCCAGCCTCCTGATCTCAGTCAGCAGCCATTCCTCATAGCCCTTCTCTGCTTGTTCCAGCCCTTGCCACGCACTCGCTATGTCCTGCTCAGACAAACACACACCAATGTCTGGGAAATTGTGAAAAATAATTAAGCTGATTGTTTCGTAAGTGTGCTATTTTAATGCCATTAAGTATTAGGCTTGCAATTTTACTCATGTAATAATGATGTATAATTAATGATTAGCAATAATAATAATTAGTTTTATACATAAAGTAAAACGATAAACATGAAATAAAGCAAAATCAAGGAATACATACTTTTTATATATAAATAAAATATATTTTCAGTGCATTTTATATATTGCATTAAATCTAGATACATAAACTACATTTAATTAAAGTGTAAACAAATTTAAAATATATAAAAAAATACACATTCAATAAGTAAATGAAGATAAATCAATGTATATTATTGTTATTATTGATCAAACTAACTAATACATACAATGAATGAATGGAATGAATAAATGAAATCACTGGGTGCCCAATTAGGTAGCCACTTAAACATGCATCACTTTATTGTGTGGGATAAACTCTCACCGACACCATTTTGCCCTCAGAGGGCATAAACGCAGGCCGGTTGCTGATGCGGAGTTTGGTCTGCAGCGTGTTGAAGCTGATTTCCAGCTGACATTTCTCCTGCACTTTGGGTGGTTTGTGCATCCTGCGGTAATCTCGAAAATCTTCCAGCTTCCTCTGCATCTCAACCATGGTCTTCTCAGCTGCACGATTCTCCAGCCAAGGAATGGTACGTCTGATCCACTCCAACAGCTACAGGAAAGTAGAGAGACATTTAGGAGAAGTGGAACAAATATCCATGTGCGTCTGATATGTATTAGACTACAATGTGTCTTCTCACCTCACTAGCCAGCCTTTCATAATCCTCCATCAACTTCTCATTTTCCTGATTCACTCCAAGCACCTTACAGATCCTGTTCGCAGCAGTTTCAGCCTGAGCAGGAAAAATACAGTAAGAACAGAAGAAGAGATGGGCGCCCACATGTAAACATGATACATGGCAATATATGCAAATTACATTTATGCCACACTAGTTCATATTTGGATTTCACATACATTTTATATGCAAAACATGTTTCTAAACATTGCAAAAATCACTATATAATGGCCATATACTGTATTTGAAAGCACATATTTGAAATGTTGCATATATGACATATGTGAAACCCAAATATAAACTTGACAAAAGAATCACTCAGTCTAACTCATGCAAAACTCAATACCTGCTCAGCTCCAGCAAATGCATGGTAAAAGCAGGACACGTATGTCATAATAGCCCTCTCATCAGGTTTAGGGGTGCTCAGGATGTCTGATGGGAAGGAGAGGAATGAAAGACAACTACAGCTGAAGTCAGAATTATTAGCCCCCCTGAATTATTAGGGGCCCCTGTTTATTTTTTTCCCCAATTTCTGTTTAACAGAGGGAAGATTGTTTCAGCACATTTGTAAGCATAATAGTTTTAATAACTCATTTATAATAACTGATTTATTTTATCTTTGCCATGATGACCGTAAATAATATTTTACTAGAAATTTTCAAGACACTTCTATACAGCTTAAAGTGACATTTAAAGGCTTAACTGGGTTAATAAGGTGAACTAGGCAGGTTAGGGTAATTAGGCAAGTTATTGCATAACAATGGTTTGTTCTGTAGATTATCGGGGAAAAAATAGCTTAAAGGGGCTAATAATTTTGTCCCAAAAATGTTTTTTTTTAAAATAATAACTGCCTTCATTGTAGCCGAAATAAAACAAAAAATACTTTCTCTTGAAGAAAAAATATTATCAGATATACTGTGAAAATTTCCTTGCTCTGTTAATCATCATTTGGGAAATATTTAAAAGAGAAAATAAAATCAAAAGGGGGCTAATAATTTTGAATTCAACTGTACATCAAGTGAAGGTGGCAATAAGGTGTAAAGGAAGACAGTACAAATACTATAATCAAAGACAAGACACAATGTTCCTCTGCTAGTTTGACTGAAGAATGAACTGAAGACACTGTACATTTGGGTGAAACTATATTTCTAAAATTTCTAACAAGCTCAGGGATGAGCTGTACCTTCTGAGCCTCAGCAAAGGTGTGATAATAACTGGAAATATATGTCATGACTGTCCTCTCATCTGGCCTTTGGCTGCTAACCAGGACTGAGAAGCAAAAGCAATATTTTGTACTATTTCACAGTTAAAACTGGCATATTTTTGCTTGCTTGAAATCCTTTTACAGTATTGTATTTTTGCTACTTTGGAAGAACAACAAGTCTTGGTCTAGAATTTCATCTTATAAAGGTTTCTTGACAAAATATGTGAGAGGTTTGTTTGTCACAATCAACTATGACATATTCAGTAGACCTTAATCGGAATACATGGCATAATGGTTTAGTGTTTTACAATAACAGAGTCTAAAAAAGGCTGTATTTTAAAACTCATATTTTATGCTTATGGTTTACCCTCTGCATCCAGCATTTTGGGGATGTCCAGATGTTTTTCAGCAATGTCAAATGCCAGATTTAAATTACCCAGTGGATCATCCTACAGGAAAGGAGAGGAACGGGCACAGTGTCACCAAACGTCATCACATAAACATTGTACAAAAATTATCGTCTTTTTTCATGCATGAGGAAGTGTCAGTATGGAGCAGCTGGAGAAGAAAACTTTCACATTTAAAATTATTAGGGAGAATAAAAATAAGTTTTTTATATTAGTTATCTGAAAAAGAGTTGCCTTTAATATACAAAAGTTTTGAAAAGTTTGGGGATTGTGAGATTTTATATAGATTTATTTTTTGTTTGAAATTATACTTTGATTCAACAAACCTTCATACTGATTCATTGTTCAAAAGTGTTAGTAAAATGTAACTTACTATACTTAAATTAAATCCTATTCTGTTGCATTTTTTATCTACTGTATGTGTTTACAGTTTTGCCATTACAGAAATAAATTATATTCATTCAATCATTCATTTTCTTTACAGCTTAGTCCCTTTATTAATCAGGTGTCGCCACAGCAGAATGAAACGTAAACTTATCCAGCATATGTTTTACGCAGAGGATGCCCTTCCAGCTGCAACCCATCACTGGCAAACATCCACACACACGCATTCACACACATGCACTATTGACAATTTAGCCTATACCCAATTAACTTGTACCACTTGTTTTATGGACTTGTGGAGAAACCAGAGCACCCAGAGGAAGCCCAAATGAACATGGGAGACATGCAAACTCCACACAGAAACGCCAACTAACCCAGCCGAGGCTCAAACCAGCGACCTTCTTGTTGTGAGGTGAACGTGCTACCCATTGCGCAAACGTCCAGCCATAAATTATATAATATAGTATAATAAAATTATATGAAAATTCATTGTCAACTAATAATGTTTTACAATTTTATAGTTGTATTGCATTATTTATGGGATGCTCTGGTGTGCAAGTGAGACTTCTTTCTAAAACATGTATTAATTATTATGTATTAAGAGTATAGTGCATCAATTTCCTTTATTCTGTATTCACAATGTGCGTGCATGTTTATGGTAGCATTTATTTGTGAATGTGTATGTCACCATAGTCTGGGGATCAAGATTTTGTTCTGCATGTCAATAAAAAGCCCCATTGCAGGACATCAGCAGCTGCAGGGGATCCAAAGGGTCCGAAACCCTCCTGATGCTTTTGTCTAAACTGGCACCACAGGGCCATGCTAAATGCTGGATTACCCCATTCAAGCTCACCTGGAGCCATCAGTGACAGCTGAAAGGGATAGGCATGTCTGTTTCAGGGGTCTTTTAATCACTAACCAGTGAACTGACTGACCCGGACAAGCTAAATAAATCCTTAATCTTCAATGGTGAGATCCAGCAAACTAATTAAAAGCATAGTTCTCATCCACTCATTCACACAGACTTGGAATATGGCTGACAAAATATTTGCTCTCAATATAAGCCTAGCACCGTTTTGGAACTGGTTAAAAATATCCTTTGTATGGTTCTCAGCCACAGTTATTTATAATTAGATTTTTTAGAAATCATGGTATGTGGATCACTTTTCCAAAGATCAGTTCCAGATGGGGATTATCTTAAAACCAAACGATCCTTTGAGAAAAGTGTTGTGGACCAGCTTTTTTTTGATTGCCTTATGACTGTAGATCAGTAAACCAAGCTAACAAAAGCTACGTGCAAATTACAGCTAAAAATATCAACTAACAAGACACATTTACACCTACCAACAACAAAACATACACAAGTCTTCAATCCAGCCTCTACATGGTAACAAAAAAATGTCAATTAATAATTTCCGTATTTTGTGATTCACGAGTTTTTTCCATTTATTTATGGTTGTGAATTGAATTGTAATCTGCTCTGTTGACTTTTGATATGACAATTCAACAAAATGAATTTTATTGACACTTTATTAGCACAACACCAACCCAGACAATATGTCACTTTAAATTATAAAAAATGTTAATTAAAGGCACTTTTCAAGGTTAAAAGTTGTTGGAAGAAAGATCACGATCCCATAATGCTAACTTAATATTCTATTAAGCATGAAAGACAGCCTGCACCATGCATTCAAACAGTCTTCGTAAGTGTCTTTCTTTCTTTGAAATAACCACAGATTAATATTCATATTCATTCATTCATTTTCTTGTCGGCTTAGTCCCTTTATTAATCCGGGGTCGCCACAGCGGAATGAACCGCCAACTTATCCAGCAAGTTTTTACGCAGCGGATGCCCTTCCAGCCGCAACCCAACACACACATTCATACAAACTCATACACTACGGACAATTTAGCCTACCCAATTCACCTGTACCGCATGTCTTTTGACTGTGGGGGAAACCGGAGCACCCGGAGGAAACCCACGCGAAGGCAGGGAGAACATGCAAACTCCACATAGAAACGCCAACTGAGCCAAGGTTCGAACCAGCGACCTTCTTGCTGTGAGGTGACAGCACTACCTACTGTGCCACTGCCTCGCCTAATATTCATACTCTTAGTGCTAATATAAACACTAAGAAGCAGTCACTTGAAGTAAAGTTTAATTAAGTATAATAACTTTTAAAAGACATCCAATAATCCAATGGATTCATACTGATTACTTAAAAGGTGGATGTTTGCACATTTAGGAGCTTCAAAAACATCAGTTTCAGAGCGTGTGTAGAACCAATATTTTATTTAATATTCTAACAGTGTCGTTCAAAAGAGGCATATAAACTATATAACATTTAAAAAAAATTGAACTATTCTTGTTAAAGAAATACTGATAGATAGCTTTCTTTAAATACTTTGGATCTCGTTGATTGGAATTATACTCAAGATGAAGATTGCTGCTTGGCAGGACTGAAGACTGGATCTATTGAATAATTTTTTTACTGAAAAACACCACCTTATATATAACATTATAAACACATGAGCTACCTTCAAGTTCTGATAATCAATCAGACACGGTCTGTGTCTATGAATAAGGGCACAGAAGGCCAGTCCACTCTTCCAGCTATTGAAGTCACACAAAAAAAGATGATGTGCATGCAAAAAATAAAATGTAGTTCTAATAAGCAAAAAGTCAAGCATTAATGTTTAGAGAAGGTCCTCAGATTCCTGAAGGGGGGAGTGTGTTGGTGTGATGAGTCTGATGATGGAATATTTTGACACATGTTAAACACACACCGGTGCAGTGCTATCAGTGACAGGGAACATCAGGATATTGTGGCAGAGGTGTTACTTAAATTCTTTGGTAGGACTGTTAGACTAAAGGTCTCAGAAGGTTAATTTGAGGACACACTTGTGACCTTGTTGAGCTTGGCGTAGTCAATGAGGTCAGGCCTGTGCCTGTGGATGAGAGCGCACAGCGCCAATCCATCCTTCCAGCTTTATCAGAGAGAGACAATCAGGGTCATGTTGAAAGCAATATAAAACTGAAAATATATGCCTATAAAATAGCCGATAATTTATTAAAAGCACAAAACATTTCATCCCCAAACAGAGCCTCACCTGACATGGAAGTTTTGAACATTGACATTTCGGTACGGGGCAGTCTTTCTCTGACACCACAGCAGAAGTCCTTCTTTGGCCGAAGTTTCTAAAAGGTGATTGGTGAATCGTACAGAATAATACTCATTGACTGAAAAATTAGGTTCTAGCTAAACCTATTTTTATACCTTTTAATTTCTAAACTAAACAAAGTAGACAGTTAACGACCTCACCCTGTCAAATCTTCTCATTAATTTTAGAGGCATTTATTTATTTCATTGTAGCAGAACAATTTTTGTACACAAAGCGGTCCATAAATCCTTGAGATTTGATATAACGAAATCTAAACATAAAAATAAAATATAAAATATTTTGCTGTGCAGATGTTGTGCCTCTTAGCATGAATGTGATCAGCTTTTTTTACCTTCAACAGAGATATCCTGAATGGCGAAGCGAAGGATGATTGTCCAGATCATTCCAAGAGTCATTTTCACATTACCATCCACAATTTCTGCAAAGATGAGAGCAAACATATGGCTCAATAAAATAAGAAAAGTAGAATTCGTTAACTTTACCTGCTAATTTCTCTGTTTAACAAAACCCAAATTTATGCTTTAAATGCAAAAAAGAATACCTTCAGCTCCAATGGAGACCAGTTTCACACCTTTACTGGTGATGAAATCCAGGGCTTTATTGACATTAGCTATCTTGTGAAAACGCATCTTCCCTCTGTCAGGCTTGGGTAACCTCTCACCTGCCAAAATACAGCTTGGCATGAAAATATGAATTGTTATATAGTGGAAAAACAGTTGAGAAAGTTCAGTGTGTTAACCTGAGATGACTTCAAGCAGCAGCATTAGTTTGAGGCCATTTCTAAAGTCCTCCTCTATGTTCTCGATCTGCGTCCCAGCTTTTCTCAGGTGAGAGTTACACCAGGCAGTGAACGTCTAGAAAACAAACACAATTAATCCTCTGCACCACACACAAACTTACCTTGCGTACCAAAATTCTTTTTGCCATACAATCGTGTTGCATACGTTTCATGCACTCAGTTCATGCCTTGTTAGCATAAAGAATCCTTGCACAAAATCACAGTCTAAAAGTCACTGCCAAATGTGTGGCAGTAGGCCAGATTTGACCCCAAGACTGTTAAGTCTAAACAGGTTTGTTGTGATACAATAAAAACTTCTCACTTTTTGTTCAAACTACTGGCAACTGTGCCAATAAAAATAATTAGATTGTTCTTTAATTCTGAATTCATTCCTAATAATGAATAAAATGTGAATAAAACTGATATGTGGTTATGACTGATATGTGGAACTAATGGATGATGCCAAAACGGCTGTTCTTTATTTAAACAATGATCTTTGAGAGACAAACAGGAAGTCTAATCAGACCAGTCAACGAACAACATAATGGAACTGGCATTACAAAAATCCCTGACACACGCTTGCACTTGAGCTGTACTGCTGAGATCATCCTTCAGAAATAGCCAGCACCACTTACATGTGCAATAAGCTACAAAGCTGAAAAATGTGGGCTGCTGTATATCATATATATATATATAACCACTTCAAGGATTTGGGTGCTAAAGTCAAGACCATCTACCCACACATCAGCATCTGCATTCCAGAATGAATAACATTTATCCACTCAAGTTCTTGCAACAATTTTACAACTGATTCATAAAACTCAATATGGAGCACAGTATTTTATAGCCTGTTTTAGGCCCTGTACTATCTCACATTTAGAAGAAAATAAATACACAAGACATGAATTACTACCATAATTTTGATATACTGATATATGAATAAATACATACACACACACACACACACACACACACACACACACATATACATATACATATATATGTAATGTAATGTAATGTGTATTTATATAGCGCATTTATTGTGTATGGCCATTCATAGCGCTTCACAATCATGAGTCAGGAGGGGGGGGTTCTCCACACCACCACCACCACACACACACACACACACACACACAATTCAATCCATCTTGTTGGCAAATTGTGCAAAACTTAATTAATATTTTGGGCTATCCTTCATGGTAAATATATTAGACAGTAAACTTTTTAGTAAAAAAAAAATAATCTGGACCTAATCTAATGTATAGAAAAAAAACACTTAAACCTGCATTACACCTTTATTTGCAGTTTTTTATCAATTAATTTACATAAAGTTAACTTTAAATAATAGACGCAGTATTAACATAATGGGAAAATAAAAATGCTAAATGTAATGACTAGTGTCACCAAAATGACTAGTAATGTTGAAAATAGTTTCACAGAACAAGGCATGGCTGTACGTCTGCCCACATCTGTATTAAGTTGCACTCTCAAATCCACCGCTACCCTTTGGCTGTTTTTTGGACTCAATGGAGCGTCTTTTTAATCCTTCAAAGCAGGTTCAGTCCAGCCGCAGTCATTGCTGGGCAGATGAAAGCTTTACTGTGGACTCAAGAGTGCATTCCTGCGAGGTAAGCATGTAAAATTAGCTCTCTCTGCAGAGTCTGCTTATGATAAGGGACCCGATGAAGTAGACTTACACTGAGACGAGAAAGATATGAGAAAGAATGTGGTGTATAACACGTTATTTATCGCACTGCTGGTTCATTTTATCGAGGAAAGAATTACATTCATTCTGTAACGGTGTGTCCACGATGACATGCCTTTCTGGGGTGATGGTTTCTAGAAGAATGAGAAAAAGGTGCTGTGCTTGCTTGGTAAGATAAAAAATTGCTAAGTATAAACAGAGTGCATGAGGCTTAGCTAAAGGCCTATAGGAATTTTATCATCACACAACTAGTTCTAGACAAGTGGTTCCCAAAGTGTGGGTCAGGACCCCTCAGGGGGTCACAGGACAATGACGAGGGGTCGCTTAGTGATTTCCAAAACTCAAATAAATTTGATTAACCTATTAAAATTACCATATTTTATTCATAAGCCACAGAAGATAGAAACAACAACAATATACCTACAGATAAAAAAATTATCAGAGTTTAAAATTGAACTCTGAGTTGATTTACGGAGAGATTAAAATACTCTGAGTTTTCACTTAACCTCCTTTCTGAAATGGGCCCCTGGAGTGTTTAGATTAACCACACAGCAATAGCGTCAGCTGCAGCAGATTGATTTTATGGAGCCGAGTTAAACTTTCTGACAACCTTTATGGCACTTTTATACATTAAAAATAAGATGTTTAGGGTTAATATTAAATTAATAAATGATTATAAAAATGTACATGGTTATTAGACTTTTGCCTTTTTGTATGTCAATATGCTCATTTTATGCCTATAGTTGTGTGTGAAACATTTGTATATTTAGAACAACCTTCGTGAAAAATAGGGGTCGCGCAACACTGACATTATTTTGGGGGTAAGCAGGCTGAAAAGTTTGGGAACCCCTGTTCTAGACAAGTAAACATGCTGTTAAGCCAACAAGTGGGGCAGTTGCATTGTTTCCTTCCCTTTCTTAAGTTCAAATCTTAAGATGCTTTTTCTGCTCAGAGTCCCCGAGTGGAACAGGTTTTACTCTTGAGAACAGATTAATTAATTAAGGCCAAAGTAAGCAAGAATTAGAAAGACGAGATAGAAAAAAAAGAGTATTAAAGGAATAGACCAACCAAAAATTTTAATTCTGTCATTTAGGAACACAAAGGAAGATAAACTGAAGAATGATGGAATAAACAGCCATTGACTTCTTTAGTCCAATTTTGAGATCCTACACTGTAAAACCTAGTAAGTTAAGGCCATTAAAATAGTTTTTAAGAAAACCAATTGCTACAAACCATTTGAGTTAAACTATGTTGTATGAGACCTGTGAACTTTTAAGTTAAAAAAATGAGGTATTTAATTAACTCATTATTTTCAAGAGTTCTAAACTGTTTTCAAATGAGTAGAATTAACTGTCAGTAAATTTTGAGTTAACTGCACTCATTTCACTTGATAAAGTTGACTGTTGGGTTTTACAGTGTACTATAAAAGTAAATGGCTGTTTTTTTTTTCTTCAGAATTTGTTGTTTTGTGGGGGGGGCTGCATGAAACTGTTAAAGTGTAGAACCACTTGAGTGTGAGTAAATGGTGAAGGAATTTTCATCTCTTTAAGGAAGTAAAGACTTTTTTTAACAATAACAAAAAGGCATCAACACTTTTTAAATTACACTAAAGACCGAGATAAACTATTTACATTCACAATCTTTTCATCCTCATTAATAATAATACAACAACGTATATAAATAAATAACAGATATTTAAAAGAAAATAGATGATAAAAAAAAACAGCAGGGGAGTTGAAGTTCTCAAAATAATCCTCTAATGATGAATATAAATATCTTGCGTTTGGCTTTTCATCTCTCCAAATGTCTTCAAATATATCACAAATTCTTCTTTAAACACCACTAGTCTTGGGGGAATTTTGAAAAAAATTACATTTATGAATACAAATTTTAATAATATCAATTATTCATTTTATCTTTTTTATCCATAGTCTCCAGTGAGAAGATCAGTCTATACAGATATTTTTATGATGTATTTAAAGTAATACTTCGTTCCCAAAATGTTTGTACCAAATTACCTTCAAAAATTAAGTGTTTAATTGTTTTAATATCTAAACACAAATCTGGTATACATTTGAGTCACCAATTTTGAAGACAATAAAGACTTAAATAAGGAATACCCCTTTTGTTTAACCCTGCTGACCAATAAAACAAAACAAAAAACAAATCCATCATTCACTGATCATCATCTGACTATCATCACTGCCCAATTAAGAACTTGTCAATTAAATGTCACTGTCCACTTCGAATCAGAAAATATTCCTGCACAACAGAAAAGTGCTGCTTACTGTATAAATACACAGAAGAATTCTCCACCAAGGACAGCGGATTAAGCTACTATAATGCCTTTTGGTCGTGGAGTTAAAATTAGCCCCTGCATCCATTCTAATCCCAAGGACGTCATCCTGTGCTGGAAGCATCTGTTGACAGTCCGCATTCCAATCGTATCAGCAACAGAAACAGAGCCGCGCGCTGCTATTGTTAGTTCGGTACCCGCTGCATCCATCCTCAGCGCGCGCTCCCGACAGCCGGAACAAAGCGAAAAGCCGACGTGGAACTCGACGTTTTAAATAAATATAAGCATAAAAACACATATTAAGTTGTTACTATTATTAAACTATTTATTATATATTAATGACAAAAAATCTATTAAATGATTACTATTAAATCCTTACAAATATGGCACAAGTAGCCTGAAGTAGGCTATTTTTAAGATCAACAAGTGTTCATTTTACTTAAGTCAGACATAGCAACGTAGTTCTCATCGATGCAAGAAGTTAGGTTATAATTTAAAAAATAATTATAATATAATTTTAATTAAAAAAATCTAACTTATATTTTAAGTAGCCTACTAAAAGACAATAGAAATAAAGTTTTTATTCAGTGAAGGCCAAACTCTCTTTACCTTCCTTTGTTGCTTTTCCCATGCTGGATCCAGCAGTAAATCCCGGTCCCATTCATCCTCCTGCATCATGTACTCGTCTATTTCATATCCGTTATCATAAGGCACTGAAAGCTCGATCTGATTCATCATTTTCGCGGTTTATTCTCTTTTTCAGTGGGTAACTCGTGAATATTAGTCTCCTGAAGGCGAGTTGTTGGTGTAATTGGACTCGAGTGTCTCTGTTTCCTCTGTTCCTGCTGGTTTCCAGACTCTCTCGACCGGAGACGGAGAGCGCGTGCACTGACAGCAGAGTGAGGAGCAGCTGTCAATTAGTACTGACGGGTCACGTGATTCCACCCTTGGGACCACAACGTACAAAAAAAGCCGATTCCATTTTGTTTAAAATTTACTTACAACTTATTAAAGTTACTTTTCATAGTATTATTTCAGAATATGACTTGACTACGGCAAAAATGTATGTCATAAAAATAATTAAACTGCTGCTAGTAGCAATGTAGACTAAACACTTAAACAGAGTTTATAATAATGTATGCAATGATTTCAAAACTGTTTCAAAGAGTTTATTAATCAAATCCACTTTAAACAGTGTTGTTCTGTATAAGGCAAGGCACCTGTTTATAGCTACACTAGCTTCTCCATTCATCCCAGTGGCAGTTGCTTGACTGAAAGTGGACAGAGCATTTGTCATGTGACAAGTGATGGTCTGTAAAAACTGTCTCTGAATGAAACCTCTAATGTTACAGCATTTAATAAAAGGCATTGATTAAGCCAGCCTAGGGAAAGAAAAAAAATCTGACAACGTTGGCTACTTTTAAATTTGGCAACTCAACAAAAGGTTGAATAATTTCTATTCTCATCAACCTCATCAACACTAATTTCTACAGGGCTACTGTAAAACTGAAGCTCAAACATGAGCTCAGGAAACCACTGCAACCATAGTCGACCTTGTAAATGTGTTCAATAATCTACCAAAAAGCCCACTGTCATAAAACGAAACGTTTTCTAAATTTAGTAACAAAAACTTCACAAAACACCTCTACATTGTGCACTAGCACAGGCGAATAAATAACTCTTCTGGGGAGTCGACTCCAAAAGAGTCGATTCCTTGACTCTTAAATGAACTAAATTGGTCATAGTGTATGAGTGTTCGTGTGAATGTGAGTGTATGGGTGTTTCCCAATACTGGGTTAAGGCTGTGAAGGGCATCCGCTGCGTAAAACATATAGTGGAATAGTTGGCGGTTCATTACGCTGTTGGGACCCCTGATAAATAAAGGACTAAGCCGAAGCAAAATGAATAATTCTATTCAAGAAGTGAAACTTGCATAATGTATACATTCATTTCACACATACTGATATATTTCAAGTGTTTATTTCTTTTCATTTTGATCACAGCTATGAAAAGCCCAAATTCAGTATCTCACAAAATAGAATATTGTGAAACGGTTCAGTTCTGAACACACCTGGTGCCACACTGTAATCAGCTAATTAACTCAAAACACCTGCAAAGGCCTTTAAATGGTCTCTCAGTCTATACAGTAGGCTACACAATCATAGGGAAGATGGCTGATTGGACAGTTGACCAAAAGACAACCATTGACACCTTGCACAAGGAGGGCAAGACCCTAAGACCAAAGGTAATTGCAAAAGAGGCTGGCTGTTCAAAGAGTTCTGTGTCCAAGCACACTGATAGAGAGGCGAACGGAAGGAAAATGTGGTAGAGAAAAGTGTACAAGCAAAATGGAAAACAGTACCCTGAAGAGAAATGTGAAACAAAACCCTTTCAAAAATGTGGGAGAGATTCACCAAGAATGGACTGCAGCTGGAGTCAGTGCTTGAAGACACTATGCACAGGCAAATGCAAGAGCATGAGAAGCATCTTGCCTGGGCTAAAGGCTGAACTGCTGCCAAGAGCTCCAAAGTTCTCTGGTGAAAGTCAATTTTGCATTTCCTCTGGAAATCAGGGTCCCAGAGTCTGAAGAAAAAGAGAAGACGCACAAAATCCACGTCAATTGATGTACAGTAGTTTCACAGTCAGGGATGGTTTGGTGTGCATATCATGTGCTGGTGTTGCTCCACTGTGTTTTCTGAGGTCCAAGGTCAATGCAGCTCTATACCAGCTCTATACTCCTGCTGCTGAACAACACCTTGTGAAGGGCATTAAGGAGATGCAGATTTCATTTTCCAACAGAACTTGGTACCTGCACACAGTGCCAAAGCTACCAGTACCTGATTGAAGAACCATGGTATATATCACTATTCTTAATTGGCCAGAAAAAAATCTGTAGGGTATTGTAAAGAGAAAGATGTAATAGGCCAGACCCAACAATGCAGAAGAGCTGAAGGCCACCTGAGCAGTGCCACAGAAGTTTCACTTCTTGAATGGAATTAGTAAAATTAGCAGTATGTTTGACACCCAGTGGTTGAACTAGGTATTGCACTCCAAGTTTAAAACACTTTTACACTTGGCTGCTCCTCTAACGACTCCACGCAAGTGCAGGTTGCCAGATTGACACATCCTCACATCAACAGACGCAAGTTTTTGTCCCTACCAAAAACTGAAATTTCTACTTTAGAATTTGCTTCTATTTCTCACAGCTGAACAACAGAAAAACTATGACAATCACCTCGGGTACACCTCATGTGCTTTATTTAGTTAAATGCTAATAAAGTGAGTTTGAATTCACAGAGGCCAGACTGGCTTACTACAGGTGAGATATTACCCTTATTTCCATTCATATTTGAACAGTCCACACATTTAAAAATATATATTTACAGTAATTCACCCAACTGTAATTGTATGATATTAAAGGCTGTAGTACACTTGCATAGTCCAGACTGGCTTACTGCAGGTGAGATTTTACCTATACTTTCATTCATATTTGTACAGTACACAAATATTTTTGGAAAAGCACCCCTAAACTCTTCTTCTTGATTCCACTTCCATTCTCCAAATGGATTTGACCATTTCATTTAATAAATCGGGTGGTTTTGAACCACCCTTCATTTTCTTGACAACTGTAAACCTAAAAGGATAGTTCACCCAAAAATAAAGAATAAATGGAAGTAAAGGCGGGCGACGCAGTGGCGCAGTAGGTAGTGCTGTCGCCTCACAGCAAGAAGGTCGCTGGTTCGATCCTCGGCTCAGTTGGCGTTTCTGTGTGGAGTTTGCATGTCCTCCCGGCGTTCGTGTGGGTTTCCTTCGGGTGCTCCAGTTTCCCCCACAGTCCAAAGACATGCGGTACAAGTGAATTGGGTAAGCTAAATTGTCCATGCGTGTGTGTGTGTATGTGTGTGTGGATGTTTCCCAGAGATGGGTTGCGGCTGGAAGGGCATCAGCTGCGTAAAAATGTACTGGATAAGTTGGCGGTTCATTCCTCTGTGGCGACCCCAGATTAACAAAGGGACTAAGCCGACAAGAAAATGAATGAATGAATGGAAGTAAGGGAGAGGGGATGGTAAACTAATAGGTGCATCAGAATCAATATTCATTACATGACAAGATTAATATTTTATCATTTACAAATGAAGCTGTAAAATGTTTGAGTTTTAGGTTTTGTACAGTCTTGGGGAGGAAAGAATTATTGTTAGTAAACTTAGATTCACTCAAATTGTTACACTGCTAATGTTTTGAAATAAAAGTTAAATTATTCAGTCAAAAAACCATGACCTGTTCCTAACAATGAATGACCTCATGTGCACTCATTAGCATTTTACAGTTTTGTCAGATTTTATAAAAAGTGAGCCAAAAAAAAAAACAAATGAAACTGATGGCATAGAATTTATTTCTGTAGAAAACTATCAACCTTAAAAACATTTCCATTCACACACATAAAAAGACAAATGTTGCATTTGCCTCAGGATTAATGAAAATACTCTTTGGTAATTCTTTAAAAAAAGTTTCATGAAACATTTTTGTAACATGTTTTTGGTCTTGCAGTTTGCTATGATGACAATTATATTAAGTTGTATGGAGTGTTCAGTGGTTTTCATGAAATACAAAAGTAACGTCTCAAAACGGAGGTATGCTGGAGTGTATGATAAGCCGGGAAATACAAACAAAACACACAAAGTCCAAATTCAACCATAAATAAATACCTCAAATATAATAAAAACGCTTGATTGGATCTATGCATAGTCATGGTTTGAACAGTCAGTGGATATCCTGACCAGAACACTATTATTTGGGCAGAAAGGCACAACAACAACAAATGCAATGCATAGATTGAACATTCGCTCCTAGCTCAGACACTCATCCCATACTGACACAAAAAGAAATTGAGATAAAAAGTGATCATTCCACCTCAGATAATGCACAGGGCCGTCTGAATTCTTGACCTCGTTCATGTATCCATTTGTTCGATACTAGAGGAAAAGAAGTCGGCAAATAGAAAACAAGTAAGAAATTATTTTGATGCTTATTGGTTAAGCTTTTCACTTTGTAGACAACTAACTAAATCAATCCTCACCCCATTTGTTGCCCACTAATACTGGACATGCAGCATGTCTTGTGCTGTAATCTCCTTCTCCACTAGGAAAAAGGTTATACCAGAATACAGCTGTACCCTGAAAGATAACAATAAGAGAGTGAATATTAAAATGATCTAAATAGGTTATAGATAAAGAAAAACGAGGTCTTGTTATATTTCAGGGTTTCTGCAGGTTTCACCAAGTTAAATTTAAGACTTTTAAGACCATTATGAAAGAAATTTTAGACTTAAAGGCTTTTTTTTGAATATCCCAATTGGAAAGGATTTTTACTTGCCCTATCAAAAAATAATTATAACTAAATACTTTTAATAATACAATAATAATAATTTAATAATAATAAAAAAATAGGTCAGGTCAGTATCTTCAGCAGTAAATAAATGGAGAATTTTTAAACAAATTTTACTGTAAGAAAAGTAAAAGAAACATGATGGTAAATAGTTAAAAATGCTTGTTTTGAATAAAAAATGTTATTGAGATTTTGATTGTTGGTGATTGTATGAGTGTTAATGGCCAGATTGGGAAGCTATGAACACAGGCAAATTAAGACCTGTTAAAAAAAAAAATTTAAGACCTACAAGAAAATATTTCAGTAGATTTAAGATTTTTCTTTAAAGCCTTAAATTTAGCTTTTGAGATTTAAAATTGTCAAGACTCCATGGATAACCTGTATATGCATTTTACCTTTTTAGGCCAGACTGCTGCTCCTACATCCGTGAAGACTGTAGCGCCCCCTGCTGAAACGTCACTCATCTGCAACCCAATAAAAGTTATCAGAACAATGCATTTCTAATTTTATTTGACATTATATTAAAAGATTTTGAAGTATGTTTAGTTTTAAAACCAGACATGTGGTGGATCGTGTCAAAAACATAAAATGACTGCTTGTGAGAGACATATTACTCACGTAAAAGAGCCATGTGGCGATTCTGTTTCCTGTACCCAGTTCTTTAAAGGCATCTGGCTCGTCTTTCTGTATGTATAAAAGCACATGGTGACATAATAAATAAAATAAAATAAAACACAAGCTAAACCATTCCAAAGTTTGGGAAGGGCACATTTTTGTGTATTTTTTCAATGTTATTTAATGCTTATGAAAGCTGTTTGATTACAATATACAGGGAAAAAAGTAGTATGGTAAAATATTATTACAAATTAAAACATTAGCAAAGATGAAATTCCAGAAGTTGTTACTACAGCTTTAATGTCACATTAAGAAATCATTCTATTTCTTTCTTTAAAAATTTACAATAAATTTGTGTGTGTGTGTATAATATATATATATATATATATATATATATATATATATATATATATATATATATATATATATATATATATATAAATATATATTAAATTTAATGCTACCAAAATTATTAGTTTCTAACAATAAAATCAAACCTTTGAACTTTTGATTTATATATACAAATTTGATAAATACATTAATAACAGTTTATTAACACTGCAAATTCAACGTATGTACATTTTATTAATCAATAAATAAAAGATGCAGGAACTCACTCTTCCGAAGTCAAAATGAGGTTCGTACTGACCCCCAACTCCATAATTTGCAACCTGAGATGAAAACATTGAATATGACAACCTTTTTTTAACAGATCATTATTGCAACTGGTGGATTGGTTTTCTAAAGACTAAAAGCATCTGATTTACCTGCAGCTCTTCTGCTGTGTCCATTTCCAGACCTGTTACATCCTCAATACGCTGGTTAATCCTTTCAATGGTAGAATGTTCATATCCAGACAGCCAAGCGCTAGAATGAGGGAGAAACAGATAGAATGGTTGTGAAAAAATTAAACAAAGAACTGCAAAAGCATTTAATGCGTTACATTATAAATAAATCACATGCTACAACATGCACATGGAATCACTTTCAGGCATTTTCACTTCATAAGACAATTTGAAATATGAACCAAAACGTGTATTGTATTTAGCCAACATGAATGTGAAATTGTCTGATTGTGATAAAGGCGGACGCAGACTGATGAGTAAACAGTGGAAAGAGGAATTAAAGAAGAAAATTGACAGCGGTCAGCAAAAATGAGTTTAGTTTTCGAACAGTCATTCGGTTCACAGAGAATATGAGGAAAGAGTGTGCATGTGTGTAAGAGACAGAGACCCCTAAGCTATTGAAAACATGTTTCCTAACATGAAATGTTTTTCTCAAAAGTCATTGATAACTGATATCTGCAGGTTTTTCAATCAAATTAATAAAATGGTTTCCTTTTTTTATTTTAGTTTTTTTTTTTTTTTTACTATTTGAATGTTTGTTTTTTGCTTGCCTGCCAACACTGCATTTGCTTAAAATTATGCCTCCATAATTTGGCAATATAAACAAAAAACAAGATAGCAAGAATAAAAACAGCATTGTAAGATTAAAGTTTAAATATTTGGGGGAAAAAAGTCAGCAGTCAGACAAAAAAACTGGCAAAATAACTTGACTTTAAACTTGTTTAGCTATGCCTTTTTTCTCATAATTTTTCTAAATATTCAGAATTTAATCTCATATTTTTGCAGCTTTATTCTTTTTATTTTTATTATATTACATTAGATTTATTAAAAATGCCATTTTTATGTGATGGCAAAGCTGAATTTTCCAATGTTGAAAAATGTTTTCTGCTTAATATTTTGCTTACTGCTTAATTACACATTTTTAATTAATGAAATATTTTACATTATAAATAAATTTAATGACTTAAAAAAAAAAAAAAAAAATATATATATATATATATATATATATATATATATATATATATATATATAATCTCATCTTTATTTTCAAATTATATTTAATATATTTTTACTTTTATTTAAATTTGATCAATTTCTTCAAATTGAAATGAAACTTTATTGTTAGTTCTATGCTGCTTATTACATTGTCAAAGCAGCTTAGGATAAATACATGATACAACTGTCCTGAATCAAAGATATAATGAGAAAAAAAAATGCACTAACCTAAAACATCTAAAGACAGTGTACTGCACATTCAATCAATTTTAATTTATGTATACTCAACAAAACATTGGAGGTCTTAAACTCACAAAAGTGACGCAATCAGCTTTTAGTGTAAAAGGAGGCCTGAAGTTTCTAGAGACACCACCCAGTCTGTCCAAGCAGAGACGTGTGTCTTCAAACATACACTCATAATGACTAGGAGAAGATAAACCGCTCTGCTGTGGGTGGAAATGAGAGTGAGACAACCCAACTAAGTATAGAATTATTTTCAAAAGTTACTTTCGCACACAGACTCAAACTGCTGATCATGTGGAAACTAGGACTTAGGCGCTGTGCTGTAGGTGTTATTTATAAGCTATTTATTTATCAATACTTCAGATAGTCAAAATATTAAGAGAACTGTGGCAAGGAAAGACTCCAGCATATGTGGCTTGTGTAAAAGTGGGTCAGCAGGCTTTCAGCTAAAAGTGAAGGTTGGATTGCTGGGCTTGATCCAGTGTGAATATTAGCACACAGTATGATCTACATTTCACAGAGGGCTCTCTTTAGATGATGATGGTGGTGGTTGTGGATTGGATGTTTTTGAATTTTGACTTTTTGATCCCTTACCTCTTGGAGACTCTGTACTGGGCAGTGGTGAGTTTTCCCGTAATGGGATCGTGCACAGTGGCTCGCTTTAGCTATTCAGCATTACACACAGCAAAAACAGAGACAGCAGAGGATGGAAGACGAGCAAGAACACACACACACACACACACACACAACACAAACAAAGACATGGACAGAGGAAGTGTAAACAGAGAGAAAAAAAGAAAAGAGAAAGAGAAAGGTCACTTTACTGTCATATTCTGAACTGAAGCCATGTAAAGAACAGGGACAGAATTGATGGACAATTTGTCATTAGATTTGACTCTTATAAAATTATAAATTCTTGAAAAACAAAATGATAAAGTATTTAATTGTAATTTGGACAGTGGTGGATGAAGTACAGGAGTCAAGTACTTGTGCAGATCATTTGCTCTGAGTCAGTGAATCAGTGAGTCCTTAACAGACTTGCTTCAAGTAAATCATTTGAATCAGTGAAATGTTAAGAGGGGCTCGGACTGCATTGCAGTCCAATTTTTCATGCCCTTCACTTGACAACTTCTCTCTATCTCGTTCCCTCAGATGTCCATCATTGATCATCTTACACAACTAGTGGAACAACTGAATGGGTTTAAATGGAATGCCCTAAACCCTTGAGCACTACACTGTTGTGCATTCTGAGACATTTTATGCTGGAGTGGCCGAATGAAGCTGACTCGCTCCCTCCATCAAAATCAAGGGTATGCAAGCTTCCTTCGTTGACTTGATGAAGTGGAACCCACTTTAAAATAGTGGCGGGGATTCCCCCAAGGTAAAATTAATAAGGGAAGATATCAAGTGTGTCTAAAATTAAAGTGCAACGCAGTCTCACTTTGACTGGATCACTTGAATCAGTGAGTCATTAACTGGGGAGTAGAACAGCGTTCCATTCAGAAGGGCTCATCGCAAAGATTTACCCTCCGGAGTGACACCTTTAAAGGAATTAGTGCTTAAAAATGATCCCTTTCGAATGTAACAGTGTGCAACAATAAACAAATTCCTGGCCCAAAGGATCATGGGGGCTTGAAGTAAACAAAAGTTGTACTTTTTGAAATCCTTCATTCCGAAGGGCCCTTCGAAGTAGCTAGTTGTGAGCACTTTGGTTTGGAACACTTTAATATGGTGGCCATGATTGTTTTAATACAAGATGGTGCATTCCAAACCACTGTCCTCCCCAGACCATGTGAATCAGTGAATCGTTAGCTGTTGACTCGCTCTGACTAGTTAATTTGAATCAGCAAATCATTAACCAGCTGCAAATCATTAATCACTCTCAAGCTGCAGTCACACTGGGCTTTTCCTCCCATAGACTTCTATTCATACGGACACGAATGTGTCAGACCGGAAACACAGGGTTTTGCAGGTCGCTGCGGTGCAAAGTTCGAGCTTGGTGAACTCTGACCTGCGAAATCGCATCACTTGACTGCGTGAGACCAATCGAGGATCAAAACATGACATCTCTTGACAGAAATTTAAAACAGAGCAATCATTGCCTTTTTTAAATGTCTAATCATCTTGTTTAATCCCATCCCTTTTCGCAGCGCCGCACAGTTCACTTGAATCATTGGACCATTAACTGGAGACTTGCTCGACTAGTTCATTTGAATAATCAACCCATTAACTGAAGACTCACTGATTGGTAATTTGAATCAGTGAATTGTTAACTGGAAACTTGCTCTGACTAGTTCATTTAAATCAGCAAACCATTAACTGGAAACTCATTCTTACTGGTTCATTTGATTCAGCGAACCATTAACTAAAGACTTGCTCTGATTGGTAATTTGAATCAGCGAATCATTAACTGTAAACTCGCTCTGACTGGTTCATTTGAATCAGCAAATCATTAACTGGAAACTTACTCTGACTGGTTCATTTGAATCAGCAAATCATTAACTGGAAACTCGCTCTGACTGGTTCATTTGAATCAGCAAATCATTAACTGGAAACTCGCTCTGACTGGTTCATTTGAATCAGCAAATCATTAACTGGAAACTCATTCTTACTGGTTCATTTGATTCAGCGAACCATTAACTAAAGACTTGCTCTGATTGGTAATTTGAATCAGCGAATCATTAACTGTAAACTCGCTCTGACTGGTTCATTTGAATCAGCAAATCATTAACTGGAAACTCGCTCTGACTGGTTCATTTGAATCAGCGAATCATTAACTGGAAACTTACTCTGACTGGTTCATTTGAATCAGCAAATCATTAACTGGAAACTTGCTCTGACTGGTTCATTTGAATCAGCAAATCATTAACTGGAAACTCGCTCTGACTGGTTCATTTGAATCAGCGAATCATTAACTGGAAACTCACTCTGGCTGGTTCATTTGAATCAGAGAGCCATTAACTGGAAACTCACTCTGGCTGGTTCATTTGAATCAGCAAACCATTAACTGGAAACTCACCCTGGCTGGTTCATTTGAATCAGCAAACCATTAACTGGAAACTCACTCTGACTGGTTTTTTGAATTAGTGAATCATAATCCAGAGACTCGCTCTGAAAGGTTCATTTGAATCAGCAAGTTGTTCATTAAGATCTACGGAAACTATTTAACTGTATGCATTTGACTCGTGGACATAATAACAAGGAACAGCATGTTTTCATGAAATGTATTAAAGTAAAAGTCTAAGATCATGCAATAAATGTCCACCACTGAATTTCAAATCACTCTGTCCCTGTTCAAGTCCTCTGAACAGACAAGATGACAATATTAAGAAAAAGTAAAAACTGGAGTAACTCATACTCTCTTTCTAAATCCTATCCATTACCCTATGACAAGCAGTCATAAGACCATACGGACAACTCCTCAGCATGAAAGCAATGTTTTTCTTAATGTGTGTTTACAAAGTTACAATCACAGCCAGTGCCAGTCAACTTAAAACATATAACACATTCTATACTATAATGCATTTTGTTAATACTTTCAAAAATCAATATGCATTTTTATACCTTTTATCTCTTTAGTTTGAATATTACAAATTGGACAACCAATTAATTTAACAGTGTTTTGCTGTGCTTTTTATCGCTTCTGCCAAGGAGTTCTCAGATTTGTAGCGGTCAATCAGGACACAACAGCTCTTTCTATTGACTGCATTTCACTCATCTCCTTACCTCTTGCTGATCCTGTAGGGGGCGGTCTCGAGCACGCCCGTGATGGGATTGGATATAGTAGCCCTACGGAGCTGAGGAGCCACATATGCATTACACTCAGACTCCTGTACACCACCTCCAACCCCTCACTTCAGCTGCATTCACATGCTATCAGAAAAAGCTTTAATACAAGTTTCCTTATTGGAATTTGGACATGGATGGCACTTCAAGTTGTATTTACTACTAGGAAAATGTGAGATGATTTTTAAAGATGGGTGGGTTAAAAACAGGGCATGAGGATTGCTATTAAGGCTGTGCAATTAATCAAAATCGAATCGCAATTTGAAGCGTTGCAATCAACTAAGCGCAAAAGGCTGCAATATAAATATATATTATTTAATTTCCCCCACTCAGAGCAAATGCATGACTGACGTCTGTGTGTGAAAGTCTTACTAGCCAACTGAGTGAGCACACGTTCGTTCTGCCCAATCAGAATAGTGCAACAGAACTATGTGGAATGCCCACAATGAAAAAAAAAAACATGCAAACAGGAAAGCGTGGACGAGTGGGATGATGGCGCCTGCTTCAAAAGCATTAATAAATGAATTACTATAAAAGAAAAACAGGACATCGGTAATATGGGAATATTTTGGTTTCAAACTCAAAGACACCAAATAAAAACAGGTTATTTGTAAGAGCTGTTGTATAATTGTTGCCACAGCATGAGGAAACACAACAACCAGCACCTAAAAAAGCACCACAGGTGGCTATATGAGAAGTGTGAAATTAAAATAGCAAATCAAAAATCGCAGTATCTGTCAAAAAAAACATCTCACAATTAGTTATTTTCCCCAAATTGCACAGCCCTAATGGCTATTGTTAATGCTATTTGTTATTCCACAATAGTTATTATTTAAGCGGCGTAATTAACTTGTATTGGCTGAAACAAACTGCCTATATATAGATAGGGTGGTAAACGATGACATAGTTGTAAATTAATTGTAATATTCATTTAGGCTTCTTTGAGATTTTAAGAAAAAAGGGACAAATAATTGTGTGAAGCACTTTTTAAGGGGAAACAGAAGATTTTAGATACATGTGACTGCAGCATTATATTTACTTCATTTGTTTTTCTGCTCACCAACACTGCATTTGATCAAATATACAGCAAAAACTAAAATATATATATAAATAAAAAATAATAAATATATAAAATATATAATAATAAAAAATATATATATATATATATATATATATATATATATATATATATATATATATATATATATATATATATATATATTGTAGTGGCATATTAGTGCATTATAAAAAAAAAAAACAACAGGAATAAAAACAGCTATGTAAGATTAAAGTTCAAATATTTGAGAGTTACGCATTTAGAAAAATTCTATGTCTGCTTCAGTCTGCTTCACAAGGTTATTATAGTTATTTAAACTTAAAATACGTGTTAACTGAAATAAAAATAAATACATTCATAAATAAAATAAAAGGCATTATTTTTTACAAATATGCACAAAAAAACAAAAGAGATGTTAAAATATACATAATAAAAATAATAACAAATGTAATTAATTAAAAACTAAAAGAAATTACTAATACATTACATATATACATTAAATATATAAAACAATGGAATTGCTTCAGACTAAAAGAAATCAAAACTACAATAGTAGATAATAAAATCATTATCTGACACTGTCTGAAATAATTTAAATAAAAAAAATTTATTTATAAGTTAAAATATATGAAAAAAGAACAATTAAATAAAAAACTAATAAAAAATATTAAAAGAATGACAAGTGAATACTCGACAAAGCACAATTTATATTCTGAATCCAAACTCACTCTGGGTTTTGCCATCTCCTTCACAGTCTCGATCTCACTATCAGAGATGATTTCATGATAACGGACAATCCGCGGCCGGTCCCACTCATCTTCCTGCTTCACCGGAGCCAAAAGTAGACGTGGATTACGGTTATTGTTGGAGTAACGGCAAAACAGGCGGCTTTGTCTACGAGGTGTCTGCAAGAAAAAAATAATTATAATTTAAGAAAAACACCAATTATGCAAAGAGTAAAAAGTAAAAAAGTAACTTTCTGCTCACCAGTTTTATTCCCTCTCCTCTGCACAGCCTTTCATATTTCTTCCTCTCTGGCAAAGGATCTTTGGAGCGTTTCCTCTGAGCATCACGCTTGTCCAGCACTCTTTTTTGATCTTCTTCTTTTTTCTCATTCTCAGCTTTTCTTTGCTTCTCCAGCTGGAACTCAAAGTACTTTAGGTTCCCATTGGCCCTGTGGTGATTGGGGTCTGAAATTGACACACATACAGGCATTTATACATTAGAAAAAATATGTTAGTGTCATAATCAGTCAGTATTTCCGTGTGTTGTGAATTTATAGTTTAAAAACTGTGTTGTTTCGGTTTGTTTTTGTCTGTTGTAGGTTGGGGGCCTGATGCTTTTCATCGCCCTTATACAAATGCAGTGCAAGAGTTCGTCATGGCCGCTGGTCATTCATTGTTTGGCAACTGGCAAAAAGCTGCGCTCCAATTTGGGCTTGATGTTTTGTTTTGCATCCATGCACTAGCACTGACAACACTTACCACATCCATTCACTTGCCTTTCACACTGATTGAACATACTGCTGCTGATGTTTTTGTTATGCTATTTTCAATTGTGTTAGAATAAATACTATGTTTGACTTTATTTCATGCTTGTATAAAAGAGTGTATGGGTGTTTCCCAATTATCGGTTGCAGATGAAAGGGCTTCCGCTGCGTAAAACAAATGCTGGATAAGTTCATTAGTCAAATGACTAAGCCAAAAAGAAAATGAAAGAATGACTGTAAGATTTTTATTTGTTTGTACCGAGCTTCAGCATCCTCTTGGTGAGTTCGAGGGCTCGGTCTAGTTCCCCCTGCTGGTAGATGGCATAACTCAGGTAGTCCATGACTGTGACCTTGTCTATGGGTGATTCCTCTCCTTCGTCTAGCTGTGAGAGAGCCTGGGCCATCCAGAGCTCAGTGTGATAGTAATCCGCATCAGAGTATGCAATCTTCCCCAGCTCATAGCAGTCCTCCACTGTCATTCGACTCTTGTGTACAACACCTGACGTCACAAACAGCCTCTTTATTAAAATGTCATACATTCATAAGATTAGTTTGAACTGTCTGCACATTATGGACAAATGGACTTCCTAAATAATCAGCTGCAGCTAAAGACACATTTAAAGGAGTTTAACGTTACTAAACACATTCAGAAAGAAAATTGTTAATATTCTCAAATTTTGAAAAGAGAGAAGTGTTTTTCAGATATAAAGTTTGTTATTTTCTTCTTTTTTTTTACATTTATCCTTTATTTTATCAGGAATGGCCAAAATGGCAGCAGAAAAAGTTTCACATTTCACATTAACAACGAAATCGCACTATGTTCCCATAAGACACATATGAAAGAAAAAAAAAAAAGTAAAAGAATCAATCATAACAAGTACATGTTCCCTTTAGAGTAGACCAAGGGTTCTCAAACTTGGTCCTGAAGGTCCGGTGTCCTGCAGATTTTAGCTACACCTCCAATCAGACACACCTGGGCTAGCTAAACAAGCTCTCACTAGGCTTTCTAGAAACATCCTCGCAGGTGTGTTGAGGCAAGCTGGAGCTAAAATCTGCATGACACCATACCTCCAGGACCAAGAATAAGAACCCCTGGTGTAGACCATAGGGGACACTGGAGTGTTTTAGAGCTGCAGTTCTTCAGCAGATCACTTGTATGCCAGCTTATAGACAAACCAGCTGATCGATGTGACTTTGAAACGCTCCAGTGTCCCTGTATCTGTGGTTACACTCAGTAAACAGCGGTGAGTTCGGTGAACTGATGACTGTCACGGCCAATCACAGTCATTTCTTTTGGGCACGTGAACACAAAAGTCCTTTCACACATACAGACCTGTGTATATGTGAACAGGCCCTTTTTGAAAATACCGGTAAATTCGATCTGGCTACTTTCCCGAAAGACTATAATTTGCCAGAATGCTGCGCTGTGTGAATGCAGAAGGAAGATTGCCGGAAAGAGCGTGTGCACGTCTAGAACATGCCGACGTGAGACGCCTGCTTTAGCCAATCAGAACAGTCAGAAGCATTCACGTCCGTGCGGTTTATGAGAATAAAAGCCTTTGATTACTTTACCAGACATATTTAGCTGCTAGATGTTAGTCAGATAACGTTTATATGGTTATCTTAATGCCAACTGTGTAAATGATTATCGATAAGATGCTTATAAGCCGTTGTTTGTTTACCTTCAAGCTTTGCGTGTGCCTGTGAAACAGCCCGTGAGCGCCAGCACACACACATTTCATGTACATCTTGACATGCGAAAGTGTTTCTCTATGCGTTTTCACCGGAGTTGTTCACATTATTGATCCATCCACTAAGTTTGTAATTTAGTCAAATGTTTACAAATACAAGCCCAGCCGTTTAGAGGTAATTTCTGGTTAATGATGTCAGAATTTACCAGTATTTTGGAATGGATGTGTGAATGCTCTTTTCCGGAAAAATTCCGTAACATCCTCGCCTGTGTAAACAGCGCTTTTTTGAATTTACCGGTAAAGTCGTTCCGGAAATTTTCCACATATTTACCGGTATCACTGTGTGAAAGGGGCTATTGGCAAATCAGCGCCGTTTAAGAATGTGCTCCACAGTGCTTAAATATTAGCAGGAAACAAAAATTTCAGTATCGATTGGTACCGAATTCCAGTATCGTGACTGCACTAGTGTAAACAACTAGATGAATCATAGTTAAGGATGTTTTATTTTTTTTTTACAACACCTGCAGACTTCAAATCTCCGTCCCACAGGAACATTTTAAAGATTTTCTAAAGAACTATAAGCAACTTTTCACAGACACAGCATGATGTCTCTCAAACAGTTCACACAGACCATGGTAATGCAATGTACTTGATAAAGATTTGCAGGCAATCAGGAATGCATAAACACAGACGTGCTCACCAGGCAGGTCTCCGCTAGAGATGGCGTTGGCAGACAGCTGGTATGTGTCCTGTAATCTAAGCAAAGCTTTGGCTGCTCCTGTCTGGTCCTCATCTGTTGGGAAGTACTGTCTCTGGACTGTCAGATTGGAGATAAATCCTAGAAAAAAAAAAAGAAGTGAAGATAAGAGACTTGATCTTGAGGTTTACAACAGATTAAGTGTTTAATAAAACTTATGGAGATGTTAAAAATGCTATTACTAATAGCAGTGTGTGGTATGGGTGAAATCACGTTTAAGCCTAATCCCAATTCTATTTTGTACCCCTTCCCCTTGGCCATTGAAACAGAGTGTGAAGGGGAAGGGCTTAAAAATGAACCCCTAAGAAATAGTACAGCACTACAACACCTGGACACGTCATCATATGTCATTGCGATCTCTAACTTCATATAAGATTGACGATTACGACTGCTGTAGTTATTCCATTTGCATTATTTTTTTGTATTTATCTTCAGGAAATCACTCAAGGAAACAATATCATGTTATCATAACGATATAATGTGGCAATAAGCTTATAACTGTACTGTGCATTTACACAGTGGCCATATTCATCTATGTCAGGGGTGTCCAAGCTCTGTCCTGGAGGGCCGGTGTCCTGCAGATTTTAGATCCAACTTGCCTCAACACACCTGCAGGGATGTTTCTAGAAAGCCTAGTAAGAGCTTGATTGGCTAGCCCAGGTGTGTCTGATTGGGGTTGGAGTTAAAATCTGCAGGACACCGTCCGTCCAGGACCGAGCTTGGACACTCCTGATCTAAACACATAAAAACAACATTAACATTATAGCAGACACTGTAAAAAGGTCACCACTAGACTTTTCTGAGAGGGTATTGGAGTGTTATCAAGTATTGTGGGACTCCTATACGGGAGTAATTATTAGGGATTATAGATAGCGAATTTAGTGGTTTTTATTTTACTGTTTTTTTTTTATCATGCCGGTAAAACCTCTTACACATACACTTTCTAATTTATTATCTCTACTCTGTGAAAACCTATTGGGACATTGAACTTGCATATAAAAGCTCTTCTGTTTGCTTTATTAGTTTTCAGTCCTTTAGTCATTCTCAAAAAACAGATGATTTATTTTTTCTGTCAACGTTTGACCATCGACTAACACTCTTTATTAGGTTTTGTTCTCTTTCAAAGTTTTCTGGGCCACTAAATTTTTTTTTTTTATCTTTTTTTAACAAACAAAATTGCTCTGATTTTTTAATAACACATTTTTAGCAATTCTGTTGTGACACTAAAGACTTGAGTCTTGGAATCTGTTTTGCCGTCACAGGAATACATTATTTTTTAAGATATTAAAAGATTATATTTTGATATTGCAAAACTAATTTAATATTGCAAAACTTTACTGATTCTCTTTTTATTGTATTTATAATTTTGCTTAAAATATATATATTTTAAACTCCAAACTTATAAAGTGATAGTAATTTTTCACAAATATATAATATAATATTTAATATATTTCTTATGCATGTACGCCATTAAGGGGGATTTGGTAAATACCAACCAAATTAATCATTCAGTCATTCTTGAAAAATGAGTTTTGCTTTATTACATGAGACCGTAATAAAAACAGTAAATATATAATTACATAAAAAAAAGTAATTCCACCCATGCTTAGGTACCATGTTGAACTGTCAGCATCACTAACCATTGGTGGTGTCTTTCAGCACCAGGTTCTCCAGGTCGCTCCACTCACTGTTGAGTCTCTTCATCAGTTTAAAAGCATTGACCGGGTGCCCCAAGAATCCCTCGGGGTCCTGCGTGGCGGTGATCGTCAATGAGTCCAGTTTATCTGCCCATCTGAAGCAGGTAAACAAGCAGAAAATTCATTGCTATCTGTGAGCTACTATTTGACAACTGACAGTCCCAAATTCCTGATACAAAAATACATGTTAAATAAATACATGCTAATGTGTGTGTGTTTGTGTGTGTTTACTCACTCTTTAACCTGCTCTAGTCTGTTCTCTTCTTGTTTGATGTATTCTTTGAGAGATGTCACCAGATCCTTCTCAGCGTACAGCAGGTCTGTCATCTGACCTACAAGTCAAAACATCAAATATAACTAAGACACTTCAGATTTCTTCAAATTAAACTAACAAAAGGTTAGCAATATACAAAAACATTATAGTTTTCATGGGGTCAAACTAAATTGTAAATGGATTGAAATTGGTTTAAAATGGGTGTTTTTCAATGGATTGTCCCAATGACAAATGTCAAAAATGAAATTTGCTTTCATTGAAACAAAATACATAAATTGCCAGAAAAACTACAAATTCTAATTCATCAATAATGTGCTTTGCACGTTATGAAACCCATGTTATTACCCCATATGCTTTATAAAAAGAACGCATGAATGTTAGTGATGAAAGACATTTTAGGTGCGTTCGACTTCATGCAGCGCTGCGCAGACCAATCAAAATCTGTCTTAAAGTGGTGCATGCTGGTTAGAAATTCTGTCCAGCTTGACACTGCAGACGCCACGAGACTGTCACATGTGGCATCAAAGTACCTTGACAGTGCTCTGAGATCAGACGGCAGACTCAGCTGGTGCAGCATCTGAAGAGCGACTGCAGGAGCTGCGATGACGACAACGGTATTACTCGAGTGGCTGAGTTCAATGCATGAGAACAACCACACGTGTTTCACGTTTATTATTGGACAAATTCTATCCCACAAATTTCAAAACAAAATAACTTTTTGTACCATCTCTATCTTGTTTATATCATGCTTATCTGCTTGTTATGTGACGTCACGCGAAGCGGCTTCCGGGTTCAAGCGCTCTATTCAACTGTATTGGGAGAATCATGAAATGGTAATTATAAATGTTAACAAAGCGATTTAATACTTTCGAAAATCACGAAAGCAATATATATATATATGTCCATACCTAATATCCGATGGCCAGAAAGTGATTCAGTTTTTTATAAATTGTTAAATTTTTGGTATTTGTTATGCAGCAAGCCCAGAGATTGTTGTGTACACTATGACTTTATATAAAATTAACTTTAATGTGTGATTTGAATAAAAAGCCATAAACGAATAATTTCTCAACTCAAATGACTGGCGGCTTGGACCTGGAAACAGTATTACATAAGTCACCAACATGTCACCACTTAATAAGCGGATTAAAAGACTACAAACGTTTTACTGCAGTATCATCTTTTAAATAATTTGTTTATAAAGGCTAGATTGTTTGCATAGGTTTATTTCAACCTTTTTTATACAGGCTATTTACTGCATTCAGCTCCATGAACAATTTAAATGATATATTTTAGTGAATGACCTGAATATTAACTCAAATACAGACTTACAGACTTGTAAAATAATGATCATCATTGATCCTGACATCCTATAGGTTTCTTAACAAATAAAGTTAAAGAACTATTTTATTAAATAATTATGAAATTATTTATATGTATATAATTTCCTGTCAAGCCATTTAAGCACACATTTCAAAAAGTGACATTGATGTACCTTTCTCTTTCTACTTAAAGTGTAGCTCACTCATTTTGGGAATGAACTTTTGATCATTCTTTTCAGATTAAAGTGCTTTTAAAAATGCATTCATTTTAACAAATAATATTAATAATGCTTTAAGACTTTTTGAAAACAATTTGTTTTCGGTTTTACACTAATATATATTGGGAAGTTTTATATCTGTAAATAAATGTAAAACCTTTTTTAGCATATTGAAACAAGAAGTATTAACCTAAAGATTAATGTTTAAAATCCTAGACTCTGAGCTTACTGCTTTGTATTTAAAAGGCCTATTCTTTTTATGTTTATATTAACCTCTCGTTCGTTTGTTGTATAGGCTATTCAAATTTAATTCATTTTTCCCGTGTTTTTTTAAAAATGAACTACAGTTTGTAGAGACTGTTCCGTTTTATTTGTTCTGTAAATATTTTGCTGTTATAAATAATAAATAAATAAATAAATGATGATGACGCATATGATCGGTCATCATGACTGCTGCAACTTTTAACCCAGAAGTGTCCAACTTGACGGCTCTGTTTTAGTGCTTCATAGTTTTGGGTGGATCCTAGCAGCATTAAGGTTCAGAAATGCAATAATCAAATGTACATTAACACCATATAGTCTTCATTGTATGAATAATTAAACCTTTAATCTTTACTAAAGTTGCAAACTTAACAATTCCTTGTGCTCAAATTTTTACATTTGATTGAAACCTTACAGTCACAGGGCTTAAAAATATAGAAAAATGAAAGCCTTTCACAATATTAGAACCTATTAGATTAGGTCAAGTTTTATAAATCCCAACATGGCGTTACAGATCCTGCTATGAGACCATTGCAGTTTTGCACATTGCGATATCGATGCTGAAATTATACAACTTGTAGCCGCAGGCGTAATAAAAAAAAAAAAAAATTTCCTGGTGACACTTTGCTGAATATCTTCTTGAGTGAGTGCATTTCATAAAAAGCCTTCTGTATGGTTTTCTTCCATACATCATGTATTTGGAAGGATGTACAGCCTGATAATATATAAATACAGTCTACAACAAAAACAACGGAAGCTCGTCTCACCTGTGGAAGTGAAAAAGTCATTGTGGGCATACAGGAAGTGGAAGAGGAAACTCAACAGGAACCAAGCCAACATCATCCTGGAAGAAATAAAGAGTGTCTCACATGTAATGCACTGAACACAAAATGAGTCTAGAACTAAGTCTCAGGACAAGAAAAATGTGTTACGAAAACAACTAACATGTGCAGCCTGCTAAAACAAAAACAAAAATGAGGTTTTGATTTTTATAACTCCCAGTGCACACACATTTGGATACGCATGGCTGCATGTGGTCACTGGAATTTCAGCACCAATGTGGCACCCAGTGGCAAACAAAGAGCATGCAGGAAGATCCCTTTTGTTCGTTTAAGCCAGTATCAGCGTGTATAAACAAGATGTCACGTTTGTTTGTGAAAAAGGACAATTAGGGCAAACAGGGGGGAAGCCTGGAGCAAAAAAAAAAACCTCACTAGACAAACATACCAAAAAATGACATCACTCGTATCATAAATCTGACTTTAATGAGTTGCAAATGTTTTGTGGTATGTAAAGGGCATGTGGAAAAAACTCCCCTTAAGGCACTTAACTAATTGTGTGTGTCCTGCTGTGCTCACTCATAAGCTCATCTGCTGAAAATACCTGTGACCAGCATGTAATTTATAAAAGGTTTTTTGCGTAAACTGATGTTAATGCCACCTGTAGTGCATGACATGTCATAATAAACTGAACGCTATGAGGTTGTCATGAAAATACTTAACAAGGTACTTCCTTAACATAGACAATTGGCTTTATAATACAAATATAATCATTCATTAATTTTCTTTTCGGCTTAGTCCCTTTATTTATCTGGGGTCACCACAGCATAATGAACCGCCAACTTATCCAGCATATGTTTTACGCAGCGGATGCCCTTTCAGCCGCAACCTATCACTGGAAAACACCCATTTACTCTCATTCAAACACATACACTACAGACAATTTAGCTTACCCAATTCCCCTATAGCGCATGTCTTTGGGCTGTGGGGGAAACCAGAGCACCCGGAGGAAACCCACAAGAACATGCAAACTCCACACAGAAATGCCAACTGATCCAGATAAGGATTGAACCAGCGACCTTCTTCCTGTGAGGGGACAGTACCCACTGTGCCGCCCAAATTTAATAATGTTGACAGGCTGTAAGTTTTTGCATATTTAAGAAGAAATGTTCCCAATACATTTAAAAATATTTTTAAAAAGTGTTTTAAATATTAAACCAATGGGTTTTCAAAATGATAGAAATGTTCATAACCAATATAAACATTCTTAATTCATTACAAAACTGAACAGCAATGTTTAAAATGCATTCAGACATAATGTTTGAATTTTGAGAATGCTAGAAAACACCTTTTTTACAGAGATTTTTCATTCAAGAACTCCAAACTTGTTTCCTTCATAATATGTTGAACATTAATTAATACTCCTGCTATATCACTTTCTGTACCATCACTATCCTGTTGCATTGTCATTTTATCTAAAATCAGGTAACTTGGATTCATAATCAAGAAGTATCAAAAAGCTTTAGCAGTGAATTTTTGCTAAAATCAATATCATGATAAAATCAAATTAAAATGAGTGGACACTCTCAGTGAAGGTATAAACTCAGTCCAGCTCAACTTCATTTCATTCTGTTACGATTTGTCCATTAATTTCCAGTATGCTCAGCAAATCAATTTATTACAAACTGCATAAGTTAGTAGTTGGAAGCTGTTGCATAATTAGAGGGAAGCCCCTGGTTGTGTTCGTGAGTTCGAGAGGGTCCAGCATGGAAGCGGCCGCGGATCTGCCACGTCTTCGCTCCGCCTCTCCAGAGCTTTAGGCGACCCGTTAACCCGACTGTAAACTCCTCAAAAAGTTCACAGATAACAGATGCCAGGGACAAATATATAAAAATCCACGCAGCAGGACAATAAGGACACGCTAAAAAGTGTGCAGCAGTGTTTCAAATAATCTGACGCACGCCACGTTGCGCGTGATTGACAGCGAAACACTACACACATTTTTGCGGCATTAGTGAAGCACTATGCAAAAAATTTTGCGTTTAGTCAAAATCCTCTGTAGGCCAATTTTAAAAGCAGTTTCTTAGGTTCTTTAGAATCTTAAAGTAGCAAAAACATGCATTTTAAATATGTTCATCATATCTAACATTAAATCCGAGGATCTAACTGTTAAATGAACGTAAACCTCGTTTTTCATTGGGTTCAAACAATACTTGTACATGGGGTTAATTATTGTGTCTATAGCCTGCCTGCTCTACATTATTAGGTAGCCTTCGTTTACAACAGAACACACAAGGAAAACTTGTGCACGTGCACATTGTGTCAACCAGAAGCAATTCCGACCGGAAACTCTATTTAAGGGCACATTTAGCATTTTAAAGCAAGAACTTTCTTTGTAATGTGTTATTGAGTATATTTACATGTACGTTGCATCACATACACATTTACTCTATCAATGAAAAAGTCATGTTAACGATAAATACATAAATAACAATTTTCCTCAGACAGGTTTAAAAGTGAGTATCGTCATACCTTTCAGGCTGTCACCTCGCGCAGAGAAGTCGTGAATCGCTTCAGATGTTGCTCTAGTGCTGCTGATAAGGAGCTCAGCATGAACGGAGGACTCTGCTGTGTTTACGATGCTTCTGGTCTGCAGCTGGACTTTATCTGGAGGCTGAACCGCACTTTTCCTCGTCATCTGGCGGCAGGGATTCCACCAGGCTACGTGCGGAGTCTCACACACTCTCCCAAACTCATGGAACCAGGTGGAAATCCGTACTGAGCATGCGCGTTGCCTATTTGGGTGCATATTTAGAAGTTCATATTGATGTAATGACGAGTAACATGTCATTTTAGACAAGTGGATTTCTTTTATTTGGAAAACCCATGATGCACCTTTAGAGAGATTTTTTCATGCCATAGCTACTTCATCATTCGTTCATTTTCTTTTCAGCTTAGTCCCTTTATTAATTAGGGGTCGCCACAGCAGAATGAACCGCCAACTTATCCAGCAGATGTTTTACGCAGCGGATGCCTTTCCAGCTTCAACCCATCACTGGGAAACATCCACACAAACTCATTCACACACATACACTACACACAATTTCTTAATTCTTGTGGGGGAAACCGGAGCACTCGGAGGAAACTCACGCGAACACGGGGAAAACATGCAAACTTCACACAGAAATGCCAACTGCGCCAGCCAAGGCTTAACCCAGTGCTATCCACTGCGACAGTGATCGTGCTACCCTCTGCTACCATGTCATACTTGTCAAACTTAAATTCTGCATGATCCAATTTCAATGTTTAGAGAGTACTTTTATCTTTTCATGTCATCTGCCTTTTTCTATTTTTTTGGTTATTTTTTTATCTTTTGGTCTGAATGTTTATATATTTATTAAAAGGAAATGCATTCAGAATAAGAATACAAAAAATGTGCATATAACATTAGCATATAACAATTTTTAGGTACTGATATATACTTTTGAGGTGCCAATATGAACCCTTACAAATGTGTACCTTTTGAAAAGGTACCACCCCAGTGACAGCTCTAGTACCTTTATTTCTGAGAGTGTATAATTAACATTAAATATTATTATTCAGAGAAGTAATATACAATACTGGGGACACCGTGGCTCAGTGGTTAGCACTGTCATCTCACAGCAAGAAGGTCGCTGATTCAAATCCTGGCTGGGTCAGTCAGCATTTCTGTGTGGAGTTTTGCATGTTGTCTCCGTGTTCACGTGGGTTTCCTCTAGGTTCCCCCTACAGTCCAAACACGTGCTCTGGTAAATTGAATAAACTAAATTGGCCGTAGTGTGTGTGTGTGTGTGTGTATGTGTGTGTGTGTGTGTGGTTGTAAATAAGTGTGTATAGATGTTTCCCAGTACTGGGTTGCAGCTTGAAAAGCATCTGCTGTGTAAAACATATGCTGGAATAGTTGGCGGTTTAATCTGCTGTGGCAACCCCATATTAGTAAAGGGACTAAGCCGAAATAAATGAATGAATGAATCATCATGTAGATCATGTAGCATTTAACAAAATTTTCATTATTAATATATCTATTTATTATTTAGTAATTATGTAGTAATTACAATTTATTTATTATTATTTAGTAGTATTATATATTTAGAATATATCTCATTTTAAATAGCTATTTCTGGGTTGAATTAAAACTGTTAAAGTGACATCTGCTAATTTTCCTCAAAGCCTCTCCTGCTTTCAATTGTAAATGCAGCCTTTGCTTCCCAAACAAATACTGAGCAGTAAACAAGGAAAAGTTTGTCACACAACCTGAAGAATGTCTGTTTGTTTCTCTGTTTGGTTGTGAAACTGTAGCACTGTAGGGACACAATGGCAGGCATGTGTTATGAACACAGGCTTTAGAAAGTATCCTTCATTCATTCATTCATTCATTCATTCATTCATTCATTTATTCATTCATTTTCTTTTCGGCTTAGTCTCTTTATTAATCAAGGGTCGCCACAGTTAATTGAACCACAAACTCATCACCGGAAAACATACACTCTCATTCAAACAGATACACTACGGGCAATTGCGCTTACCCAATTCACCTATAGCACAAGTCTTTGGACTGTGGGAGAAACTGGAGCACCCGGAGGAAACCCACACCAACACGGGGAGAACATGCAAACTCTAAACAGAAATGCCAACTGACCCAGCCGAGGCTCAAACCAGTGACCTTCTTGCTGTGAAGTATCAGCGCTACTCACTGTGCGTTGTCCAATTTTTGTTCATTTCTTTTAATTATTCCTATTAATGCTCCTGCTTTCTAAATGTTATAGCCAATTTGACTGATACAAAAATAAGCTGAGATTGTTCATATGAGATTGATACCAGTTTCTCATTTCTTCATCACAGTACTCCACAGACTACAGCTCTGTATGTCCAGCACAGTTTGTGTTTACTTCTCTGGTTTATTTTTATTTTTTTACACTAAATTTATAACCTTTTTTGGTCAATAAATGTTTCGCCAATACTGGAAGTCAAAACATTTATGTTCTTACAAACAAAGCCTAAACTAGACACAAACACATATAGAGTGCTGCAGTCGTGACGTCAAAACCCAGAAGATAATTCTCCACTGCTTCATTCTTTTTTATATAATGTGTTTTTTTTTAATTCAGGGGTAAATTAAGATATGGGGATAATATAACTTCTCAAAACATTGATGTATTATTGTACAATGTTAACTCCACACATTCAATATAGAAGGTTGCCACATTATCATCTGTTTTTGGGACACTATTCATCTTCCATACTGGAATGTTGAGTGTTGGTCCTTGAACACTCAAGTGTGAGCATCTGGAATATCCTATGTGAATATCAGCAATATGCTTGACTTCAGCATGATGATTTTGCTAAATTAACACAATACAAGCCACAGCTAACGCAGCACTGAAACATGCCAGCATTTACAGGGATATTTACCCAAAAATAAAATGTACTCCCTCAAGTGATTCTAAACCTTTATGAATCTCTTTTGTCTGTTGAACACAAAGGGAGATATACTGAATAATGTTAGAAAGAAACAGCCACTGACAAAAGTAGAAACAAGAATTAAATAAATGTAAAATAGAACTAAATGGCTGTCTTTTCCCTTTGTGTTATACAGAAGAAACAAAGAATATATTACATAAAATAAAAAAAACATCACACACACACACACACACACACACACACACGCACACACAAACGCACACACACACGCACACACACACACGCACACACACAGGCACACGCACACACACACGCACACACACACGCACACACACAGGCACACACACACGCACACACACACACACACACACACACACACACACACACACACACACACACACACACACACACATTCATTCATTAATTTTCTTGTCGGCTTAGTCCCTTTATTAATCCAGGGTCGCCACAGCGGAATGAACCTCCAACTTATCCAGCAAGTCTTTACGCAGCGGATGCCCTTCCAGCCGCAACCCATTTCTGGGAAACATCCACACACACATTCACACACACATTCATCACACTCATACACTATGGACAATTTAGCCTACCCAACTGAGCCGAGGTTCGAACCAGCACCCAGCAACCTTCTTGCTGTGAGGCGACAGCACTACCTACCGCGCCACTGCCTCACCACACACACACACACAAACACACACACACACACACACACAACCACACATATACACACACACACACACACACACACACACACACACACACACACACACACACACACACACACACACACACACACACACACACAAACACATATATATATATTTAGAATTATTAGCCCCCCCCCCTGAATTACTAACCCCCCTTTTTGTTTTCCCCCAATTTCTGTTTAGTGCAGAGAAGATTGTTTTCAACACATTTCTAAACATAATAGTTTTAATAACTCATTTCTAATAATGGATTTATTTTATCTTTGCCATGATGACAGTAAATAATATTTGACTAGATATTTTTCAAGACACTTCTATACAGCTTAAAGGGACATTTAAAGGCTTAACAGGTTAATTAGGTTAATTAGGCAGGTTAGGGTAATTAGGCAAGTTATTGTATAACAATGGTTTGTTTTGTAGACTATCGAAAAAAATATAGCTTAAAGAGGCTAAGAATTTTGTCCCTAAAATGGTGTTAAAAAACTTAATAACTGCTTTTATTCTAGCCAAAATAAAACAAATAAGGTTCCTTGCTCTGGTAAACATCATTTGGGAAATATTTAAAAAAGGAAAAAAAATCAAAAAATAAATAGGTATATGTATATATATATATATATATATATATATATATATATATATATATATATATATATATATATATATATATATATATATATTCATTTATTCATTCATTTTCATTTGACGTGGTCCTTTAATTTATCAGGAGTAACCACAGCGGAATGAACCGCAAAGTGTGCTTTACCCAGTGGATACCCTTCCAGCTGCAACCCAGTACTGGAAAACATCCATACTACAGCCAATTAAGTTTATTCAATTCCAACAGATTACATGGACGCTGTCAGCGCATAGCAGTATTATGGAGAACTTCTGGAGCTGAGCATAGCTTATCAAACAGCCCAGTTTTGAATGCATTACCGTCACTCTGGCATGAGCAGTCACCAGATGACTCTGCTTATATCTGTACACACACACTAAGAGAGAAACCCTCACACTCTATTAAGTGTACATGTGAATATATAAGTATATAATAGAGCTAATGCAGTGAAAGTTGTCCTGTTTCAGCATTTAGGAGGTTGTAGACCTGCTGTGGGGTCATATAGCCTTGCTCTTTCTGGAAGTGCAGGAATCAGAGTCTATTTTACAGAAAAACACAAAATAAAATAAAAATGCATTACTGACAGCTCATATGGACAATCTATGTAACAGTAACAATTTTTATAAATTGATTATGTATGTGTTTTTTTCTCCAGAAGTCCGATATCAGTCCATTTTAATACTTCTTTGTTTTTTTATAGTGGGCGGAGGGGGATTTTTAATAAATTTGTCTTATTAGGGGAAAAAAAAATCACATGAACTTTATGGTTTCTGCCACTAGATGGGGCATATAAACTTCAAGAAAAATTCTAGGCAGAACAAATAAATTCTAGTACGCTAGAATTATTTAGAGAGAAAAAAGTATTTGAAAAAAAATTGTATTAGTTCAATTCAATTTACTAATTTATACATATACCAATACTTCGTATGTGGGTCAGATTTTATGGTTTTATACCAACAAAAATGCAAAAAAATAATTATTTATTTGTTATTTGTTTGTGTGTGTATTTGAGAATTTAGGACAGGTTAAATGTTTATTTTTATGTATAGTCAAGTTATAAGTATCAAAATATAAATGTATAAAATTTTAATGCTTTATTTGCATAAAAAAGTATTGTTAAACGGCCAATTCTGACTTAAGGTTACTTTTATTCAACTAGCAAGTTTGACTGAAAATGACAAAGGCTTCTCCTGAAAGATAATAAGACAATGTACAAAGAGGCATCATTGTGGAAAAAATATTTTATTTATATTTAAACAAAAAGTTTTAACTTTGTTAACTTTACCAGGGATATTTATCATTTTGGGCTTAATTGTATATAATCAGAAAGTTTAAAATTTTCACAGTGAACGTCAACTAATATTTGACATTATTATATTTGACATATCAGATACACACACAAACTGATTTCTTATGTGGTAGCTCTTTGCTGCTAAATTGTTAAGGGTGCCAAACAGCATTTCCTGTTGCTTACATGCTTGTTTACGTTCTTGTGACAACAAACCATTAGCGCTAGAAACTATGTATGTAATTGATCAACTTTAACAAAAAAAAAAAAAAAATACAAGTTGTGGCTCACAATCCACAGCTTTGTCTATTATGATTGGAGCTGCTCCTTCTTTGAGGAATTTTTAGCCGAATCCAGCACTGAACTAAGAGAGATTCTGGAAGTTCTCCTTTGTCAAATGCTAGCTATTATTTTTTATAATTCTCTGGAACATAATTACAATGAAACTGTTAGCAGTTCTGTCTTTGTGTCCTGTATTTATGTCCTTAAGCCCAAATAAAGAAACAAAACAAGCTCTGGAAATAGCAGTGTTTGGACGGCATTTTAGCGTTCTCCGCTATAACATTAAAGCACTTCTGGCCCCAAAATTAATTCGCTGTAGGCTTTGCTAAGCTAACTTTAACCAATAATAAAATAAAATCAAAATCATAAAATCATTGACCCATCCCTGTGTCATTCCACAGTATATGATGTCACCATCTTATTTCTGACTGATATTTGACCTGATTAATAAGTGCCGGGTAGTCATGGTTATAGTACTTTGTCAGTCTGTTCTAGGATTCTTACTCAGCCACCTGTCTGGAAATAATGTGCTTGTTTGCTCTCAGCCCAGTTCACCATTTATTCTGTGGATCCAGCTGCTGTGTGAGCACATATTTACACAGAAATGTTTGTCTGATTATTTGTGATAACTTATGGATGGACATAATGAATGTTTATTTACAATGTCTGTGTTAATATTGGAACATTGAAAGCCACATTTACATTTAAAGATAACATAAAATTGTATGTTTTTATGGATAATTCTTTGGAAAAAAACTAATTTGTGACAAGCCATTGGGTCGGATGGCCCACCAAATGTTAAAAGATGCAAATGATACCCAAATTCTGACTTGAAATCTTAAATTCTGCTTCCAGTCTTCATGTTTTGTCAAAAAAAAGCTGAAAGTGCTAGGTTGTTTGTGGCAAGAGTAGCACTGCGTTGGTATTTATTTACCAGCCTTCCTGATGCGCGTGCATGCAGGGTGGTGACGTATTCAATCATTAATTAACTTCTCTCGTCCTCCGTCTTCTGCAGGTACATTCATTCACTATGCAGTCTGCTCAATAGACTCACTAAACAAAAGCTCGGCGACACTGAATCTAACGGCCCGAGTCAAGGGGAGGAAACATCTCATCCACGGAAGTTAGATAAACTTTCTATGTATTTTAAATTCTCACATAAAGTAGGTCAAAGTCCAGTCGTGCTGGTAACCCGTGCTCAGCTACTCGTGACAGACATTGAACTGCCTTATGTCCGTTAACGGAATCGCGTGATGACCAAGCAATGTGAGTTTATCTGAATTTACTTTTTTCGTTGCCTACTTAGTTTTTCATTAATGTTTTTTTTTATTGAATTATATGATGATTTGGTAATACTACTGTTGAAGTCAGAATTATTAGACCCCGTTTGATTTTCCTTTCTTTTTAACATATTTACCAGGTGATGTTTAACAGAGCAAGGACATTTTCACAGTATGTCTGATAATATTTTTTTCTTCTGGAGAAAGTCTTATTTGTTTGATTTCAGCTAAAATAAAAGCAGTTTTTAATTTTCAGAAAAGATATTTTAAGGACAAAAATTATTAGCCCCTTTAAGCTATATTTTTATTCGATTAATTAATCTAGTTAAGCCTTTGAATGTCACTTTAAGCTGTATAGAAGTGTCTTGAAAAATATCTAGTCAAATATTATTTACTGTCATCATGGCAAAGATAAAATAAATTAGTTATTAGAAATAAAAGGCAGTTATTAGGAATAAGTTATTAAAACTCTTATGTTTAAAAAAATGTGCGGATAAAAACTTCTCTCCATTAAACAGAAATTGGAGGAAAAATAACGGGGGCTGATAATTCAGGGGGGCTAATAATTCTGACTTCAACTGTTTAAGTATCATATGATTTACATTATAATTAGTTTTAATTCACTTATGTTTTCTGGATGCACCAGAAGAACCTGTCATTTAGCTAATAATACAAAAGGATAACAATAAGGAGTTTATATTATAATTACAATACATGATTTTGGTTGACTAAACTATACACTATTATATTATTTTGAGCTTAATTATGTTTTATATAGTTTTGTATCATTTGATATTACATTCTGTGTCAAATATATACATTTGTTTACTGTATGTGAACCAAAATAACTTTTTATTTTAATTAGACAAATTTCTATTTTATCATTTATAATATTTAATATTTGTTCAATTGAATATTTCATAATATCTACTTTTTTCCTACAAAAAACATGCTTGACTTTGGTTTAGGCTACTTTGTATTTTGCACTAAGTACATCTGAGTGATCTGTTAAATATTACAGGAGAAAACATGACATATGGCAGCGCTTTTTGTGTTAATGGCGGCTTGAAGATTACACCGAGCAATAATAATGGTCAGTAATTTTCATGGCACTCCACATATGCTGCTCTTTACTTATTTATAAATGTCTTTTATAATGAACACTTTTGTTCCTAATCCTAAACCTTTAGTCTTTTTTCATTCTTATTTATCTGTGACTTGTATTTGTGTTCAGGTCATTTTACATTCATCCCCCAGCCCCTAATGTTGTAAAGGGGTTAAAAATCTAAAACCTCACTGGTCCACAGGTGTGTGGACCACCAGTATGGACCCCTGGCAAAATCTAGTGTCCAGATGGTGAGAAACATTACTAATAAGCACAAAACTCAGTTGAATTGTGATTGTAAGTTGTTTACATCTTGCAAATCTCAACCATTAATGCTTGTGCCATTATACTACTTTATTTAATAATCACTGTGTGTGTGTTTTTTAGTACGGCATGGTGGCAGATGCACACGCCGCATGCTCTGAGAGCTTGTGTGTATGAAGTGTGTAAACCACTGGTGCCGCTCCTGCTGTGCATCACGGCCCTGGTGGCTGTGATTGTGTATGCGCTGGCCGATAATCTACACAGCTTTGTAAGCAGGATCTTCATTCCCCAGTATCACTATCCTTTTGCGGTGCCAATTGCATTCATACAGGTACTTTGCCCACACAGGTTCTCCGTTATCAGTTCATCTTAATCAGTTCTCTATCTGTTTTATGATCTTGAATATGTGCCGTAAGTATTGATGAGACAATATTTCTGGCTTTCTAGTCAAGAGTTTGGAGTCAGTGCAGAAAGCTGTGGCCAGTTTAAAATGAATAAAGATGCATTTTTTTTTGTTTTAGACGAAGCTTAAATAAAACTCTAAAAAATTATTTTATTTAAACAGTTATTTTTTAGGGTGCTAAATTATCTAGTGTTATCATCTATCAGCTGCTGTTTTACGTGATGAAAAAATGAAACTTTTACAATTACAAAAGTCAAAACGTGTATATTATTCCATACAATCCAACTTTTCTATCAGCCAAGTTGTTAGGTTTTATTCAAAAATAAGATGTTGAGATGGATTAAGAGAGGAAAATGTCAAATAAACCACAATTATGTGAAAAACCTACACATTTGCATATCTAGCATGTCATTATCAGTATTAAGCATCTGGATGTTTGTAGCTTGCAGCAAGAGGATTCTCTGCTCCCAGGTGAATCATTAGGTGTGTTCATGTGATCATTGGACTAGAGCTATAAACTGGTGGAGTCCTTTTAGTGTTTGTGTGTTTGCATGTTATGGCTGGCTGTATATTTAAAATGAACGCAGCCTTTGACAAGAGACTTAAAGGGAACATTTATATCTACGCGTGGGGTCAAAGTCTAAGACCACCGAATAAAAATGTTTGGGTTTTCTTTTTTATTATGTAGTACTCTTTGTTTAAAAAAAGAAACAGTACTTTTTTCTCAAATTTGAGAATTTTAAATTTACATGAACATCAGGAAATTGTAGCATTTGGTTTTCTCTCTCTTTTGATTTAATGACCAAGATGTAATGTCTTGACATTTAATGACAAACATTTGATGACTTCATTTAATAAACTGCATTCTGAACTGCTTCTGAAACAGATTCCTTTGAATAAATCTCTGTGATCTTCATAATCTTTTGTACTATGAATAGAAAATAGTATTTTTTGGCTTCTATTTGCAAAAATAAAAAAGACATCAGTAAAAAAAAAAAAATATATATATATATATATATATATGTGTGTGTGTGTGTGTGTGTGTGTGTGTGTGTGTGTGTGTGTGTATGTATATATATATATATATATATATATATATTCATTCATTTCCCTTTATTAATCTAGAGTTGCCAAAGCAGAACAAACCGCTAACTTATACAGCATATTTTTCTATGCAGAGGATGCCCTTTCAGCTGCAACCCATCATTGGGAAACATCATCATTCACCTTCATACAGTAAGGACAATTTAGCCCCGAACAATTTAGCCAAATTACCTATACCACGTCTTTGGATTTGTGTGGGAAACCCATCCCAACATGGGGAGAACATGCAAACTCCACACAGAAATACCAACTGACCCAGCCGAGGCTCGAACCAGCAACCTTTCTGCAGTGAGGCGATCGTGCTACCCACTGCGCCACCGTGATGCCCAGTTTCAGACTCACATTTATTAAAATTAAATGCAATTAAAACATACCCACACCATTAAACCAGTCCCTAACCGTAACCATATGCCTTCTCTGCAGCAGCAAAACTGTTCTGCCATAAAACAAAAAGCTTGAGAAGTACATTGTCCTGAAAAAATAATCGTTCATGATTAAGTAAATAGAAAAAACTGGCTTTCCAGGTTCAAATTAGTTTTTGAATTTCTGTATTTATAGTGAAAATCATACACTATCAAAATGTAATGACAAAAAGCCAAGACAACAAATACTTTTATGTTGCTTTGGCATATTTTAATAGTTAATCTGGTTAAAACAATTTTTAAAAAATGTATAAAAAAAAGTTTGACTTGACTTTGTCACTTTGATTGAAGTAAAAGGGACTAAGCCGAAAAGAAAATGAATGAATGGGCGTCATGGTGGCACAGTGGGTAGCACAATCGCCTCACAGCAAGAAGGTTGCTGGTTTGAGCTTCAGCTGGGTCAGTTGGCATTTCTATGTGGAGATTGCATGTTCTCCCCGTGTTCTCTCCGGTTTTCTCCACAAGTCCAAAGACATGCGCTATAGGTGAATTGGGTAAACTAAATTGTCCATAGTGTATAAGTGTGAATGAGAGTGTATGAATGTTTCCCAGTGATGGGTTGCAACTGGAAGGGCATCCGCTGTGTAAAAATTATGCTGGATAAGTTGGCCGAAATTCACTGTGGCGATCCCAGATTAACAAAGAGACTAAGCCGAAAATGAATGAATGAATGATTGATGTAAGTTGACATGACTAGAAAAGTTAATTTGATTCAACTAAATCATTTAAGGAGGGCAGCAAGGTGGCGCAGTGGGTAGTGCTCTCGCCTCACAGCAAGAAGGTTGCTGGTTTGAGCCTTAGTTGGGTCAGTTGGCATTTCTGTGTGGAGATTGCATATTCTCCCTGTGTTAGTGTGGGTTTCCTCTGGGTGGTCCGGTTTTCCTCACAAGTCCAAAGAAATGCGCTATAGAATTGGCTAAGCTAAGCTGTCAGTGGTGTATGTGTGTATGTCCTGGTCTTCCAGGTTGGGGGTTGAGCGTCATGACCTAGCTAGTAAAAAATAGATGTTACGTAACACTAACATGGTGGCGCTAAATATTGCTAATGGTGAATTTAGTAAGCTAAATTGTCTGCAGTGTATGTGTGTAAATGGAAGTATATGGGTGTTTCTCAATGAATGGTTGCAGCTGGAAGGGCATGCGTTGCGTAAAACATATGCTGAATAAGTGTTTAGTCATACATTTTAAAATGGCCACCGTAGTTTGATCAAGCAGCTGTTGTTTCTGTTTACAGTGACATGTTTATTAATATACTCTGAAATTGGGCTTGATTTCCCTAGGTATACACAATAAAAGTCCATAATGTATGACCCTGCAAGCATTTATGGTGCTGTTTATCAGGTTTAATCTCCAGCATGTTTTTAGTCTGGTGCACTGAACTTCCTTCTTCCTTCTTCTCTAGGTATTTCTAAATCTGCTGGCACTGCTAGCTTTGCACGGTGTGGGTCTGATCCACCTCAAGCCTTTCTCCCTGAGGCTGGCAGAGCGTTTGTTTGTGCCAGCGGTCTGCGGGAGCGTTCAGTGTGTTTTGGCTGTATGGGCTGAAGCCTGTACTCACTCTGGCCTGTTCCCGCTGATTGCCCGGTTCCTCCCGATGGTCAGCGTGAGCTTGGGTCACCTGTTTGCTCTGAGTATTCCAGGCTCCATCCCTGTGTCCTGCTTTCTCACTGTGCTCACTGTCTCCTCCGTCAGCGTCACAGGTATGATTGCTTCCGATATCTATGAAGAAGAATGGGCTCTTTAACTTTAAAGATTTTACATTTCTAATAGATTGTAATATAGCTGTTTGGCCTTGTAAACAGTCTGCAATATCACAAGTTCTTCACATAGGAGTTCCAACAAGAAAATGTATCTCCTACAGACATATTTAAAGTCCTGCTATTATAGCTATGTCATCAAATAACAAATTTGCATAATATTTGGCTTGTAATCAAATTTAGCTGACAATATAAGGCCAGGAATAGGATATCAATATGTGAAGGAAACTATGATTATATAGGCTACACACTGCAACTAAGGCTGTGTTTACACTAGTGTATTTTCATTTTAAAGCATCATTTTAGAATAAAAGGGCTCTTTGTCTCTATAACCTTTTTACCGCACTAAGAAAAAGATCTCCAGTTACACTTTTGTGTAAATGCATGAGACATGACCATTCACTCTCACTGGATAAGTATCTTGCCAGCATCCACACACTCTCAGAAATAAAGGTACCTGTCACTGGGGCGGTTCCTTTTTAAAAGGTAACATTTTTTTACATAACAGGTCTACATTTGTACATCAAAGGTACATATTATTACCGGAAAAGTAAAAATGTGTATTTTATAGTATCTTAAGGGTACAAAAGTGTACTCTAAAAGTACAAAATTGTACCTTTAAAGCAGGAGTGCCCAAATATGGCCCTATGTCCTGCAGATTTCAGCTCCAAACTGCCTGAACACACCTGCATATTGTTTCTAGAAAGCCTAGTTAGAGCTTAATTAGCTAGCTCAGGTGTGTCCAATTAGTGTTAGAACTAAAGCTGCAGTCACACTAGAGTTTGAGCTTAAATTCTGTAGTACGGCGCTGCGAAAAGGGGCAGGATTAAAAAAAAAGATGATGTTTTAAATTTTTATCCATGTTTTAAATTTCTATCCAGAGAGGTCATGTTTTGATCCTCGATTGGTCTCACAGAGTCAAGTGATGCGATTTCGCAGGTCAGAGTTCACCAAGCTTGAACTTTGCACTGCAGCAACCCGCGAAACTTGACGCATGACCCTGCTTTTCCGGTCTGACGCATTTGCGTGTGTATGAATGGAAGTCTATGGGAGGAAAACCCCAGTGTGACCACAGCTTAAACCAAGCTTGAATTTTGCAACGCAGCAAACCACGAAACTTGTCGCATGAGCTTGTGTTTCCAGTCTGACACATTCGCGTGCATATGAATGGAAGTCTATGGGGAGAAGAGTGCAGTGGGACCGCTGCTTAAGGCTGTGTCCGAAATCCTATATTTCCATACTATATAGTACGCTGAAGTTAAGTATGCGAGCAGACCCAGACAGCATATGAATGTAGGTTACTTTAGGCAGTTATGCGGCACTGGTGGTCTTCCTTCGGTCCAGACAAAATGAATGCGAGCCTGAAGTGGCCCACCTGTACAATGGCAAAGGGGGGCTAAAGATTTAAATTCATATATGGGCCATTTAAGGCAAAGATTTGGCACTTATGGCAAAATGTAATCTGAATGTAAGCCTAATGTGGCCCATGTGAAAAATTATAAATTAGGCCCAAATGATGGAGGACAAATGTGGGTCACAGTTGGCAAAAATGTGGCATAGTCATTAAAGGGTTATCTGGGTCTAAACCTAAAGTGGCTCACACGTGCAAATGTGGACCAGTTATTTTAAGACATATATGTGCCACTTGGCAAATATTTGGCACAGTAAGCTCTGGCTATTGCAGCTGTGAGCCTAATGTGGCCCAGTTATTTTAAAACATGTGGGCCACATAGACTAAAATCATCAGCATAGAGAAAAGTGTTTGCTTTAGTTTGTTCATTAAAGCAAACAAACCAAGTAAAAAAAAAACAATAAAATTGAGGCACAACCTGTGATGAAATAATATAATTCTCTGATGTTAATCAATGTTTAATCCATTATTAGAAGTAACGTAATAACATGCTTGCAAGTGCCATAGAATTATGAAGATTTATAAGCTAAAAAAGTTCTATGGTTTAACTTCTGGTCACAGAGACATCAATAATCAGCATATAAACCTCAACAACACTGACAATAAACAAAATGAACAAAACTCACAAACATCACAAAAAGAATATTAAAAGTGATAAAATCAACAACATCAACATAAACAGTAGAACCAAAAGCAAATAATGATAACTGGAGCATTAATAAGCTATATAATGTATTCATACTGCAATGCATGCTGGGAGTTTTGTACTTTGCTACAACCAGCAAGTGTAAGGTGAAGCCCAGATCTGGGCCAGAATAAAAGCAAATTGTGGCCCAGAATAGGGTCAGTTCTGGTTCATTTGTTTAAATTCTGGCTGATATGTGATATTGCTATGGCTTAATTATGGCCCAGATCTGGCAAACATGAGTGGACCGCCCAAGTGCCATCATTCTAAGCGATATGTGGGCCAGATGTGTCTCGTGTGGGCCGGATTTTAAGCCAAATGAATTTTGCTAGCTGTGGAGTAGTATGTGCAAATTCATAGAGTTCGAAAAATGCACATCACACTGATGCCCTGTGAAAGCATTCATGAATGGTAGTGAAGCAACCGATGAGCTTAGGTCACGTGATTATGACAAAAAAAGCAGACGTAATATGTCGGAGTTCCATTCGTACTCACATCCATACTGTATAGAACATACTTTTCATTGAGTCAGGGTCAAGTAGTAAATATAAATTCAAATGCAGTATCTACTGAGTAGTAGGCATATTCGGACGCAGCCTAAACTTTGCAGGACACCAGCCCTCTAGGACAGAGTTTAAGCTCCCCTGCTTTAAAGGAACATGCCAACTTTTTTTTTTTTGAAAAAGGCACATTTTACAAATCTCCTACAGTGAAACAACTGACTTGAACCATTTTAAAAAATTTATTTTAGGTTTTATTACATAATGTAGACCCTAGAAGACTCTTCCAACTAAAAAAGAGCTAATGGTCAAATCAAATTCAATTCATTATGCAAAGCTAAGCTGAAAGTGACTCCACCAGAACAAGAGATTGGCTGAAGGTATTACCAAATGGTTTGAGTCAACCGTTTAACTCTAGAAGACTTAGTAAAATTAGCCCTCTTCAAAAAAGTTGGAGTGTTCCTTTAAGATAAAAATATGTACCTGTAAGGCAAGAAATGTATTAAAAAAGTACTGCCCCAATGACAGTGTACTATAATGGTCATATGAGAGGAACTTGACAACAAAATTAGAGCTTGAAATAAAATGCAACAGTAAAGAAGACCAATCAGAGAGTGATTGTGTACAGCACGACTCCATTTTCATAAGTGTGCATCATTTTAGAATAAAAGGGCTCTGTCTCTATAACCTTTTTACCGCACTAAGAAAAATGCATGATATATCTTATATCTTGCCAGCATCCATACACATTTCAGTCCACCTACACTGTCATGTAACACCAGCATTTCCAAAATATAACATGATCTTTAATGTTTTCAAAAATGCTCCTTTTTAGTCGCTCAAAGATGCCAGGATAGTGTGGATTACAAGCATGACTGTAACAACCTCTATACTTTTAAAATGGAAATGTGCCAGTGTAAACAGCATCTAAAATTCAGTTGTCAGTTTATTTTCAGTCTTTTTCTTTGTTTCTTCAAAACATGAAGATAAGCACTGTTGCTAACTCTGTTGATGTAGCAATTTCTATAGAAGGTACATCCCAATGCAACATTGTATTACATATGTTTGTATTGTATTACAAATAGTCTCAAATACAGCAATTCCATTGGATGTTGAAGTCGTTGATGCAATCGCATGGTCAAACCAAAGAGCTTAGAATGACCAAGAGGCGACCCTCAATAGAACATTTCATTGCATTAGCAGCGCAGAGCAACAGCCCTGGATTCTGCCATTTTGGAGTGAAAGTGATCGGCTGTCCATTGGATCTCATTACTGTCGCGATAACAAGCAGTTGCTTTCTTTTTTATTTATTTATTTAAAAAGCGCATTAAAGCTGAGATACAACCTGAAAGATGACAATACAACACTTATTATCACAATCATCAGCACTTTTAATAGTTTATTTTACAGACTTATAATATGCTGTTGTTCTATTGGAGTTTTCATTCCAAAATGAGCCCTCTAGTGGCTGTTTCCCAAATTACACTAGAGTGTCGCCTCTTGGTGATTCCATGCTCTTTAGTCAAACTGTGCATGTTGATGCAATAAAATTAAATTTTTGGCGGCCCTGATTACCTTTCATATAACTGCACTTCAAGAGACCTCTGTATACGATACGTGGTGGGGGGTTATATTTCTAAAGTGCGCTCTAGTAACCAGTAGAATAATCACAACATGACTGGCTGACCAATCAAAGGAGACAGCACTTTTTGTAAAACAAATTTTAAAGAAAGCGTGCTAAAAACAGATGCTGCAACAGTGTTTTTTGAGTGAGTGTTGTTGAACATTACGGCTATTATGAACCCATAAATAAGCCCAATATTTCCCCTTGTTTCCTTTGTGCAGTGTATAAAGGACTGTATGCGATGGAGCCGCTGGAGTTTGTGTATTCTCCGCTCAGCCTGATCCTCCACAGCATCTCTCTGGCCTGGTTAGCTAAAGTGGCCCAAACGGAGCGAAGCAACGCCTCAACCTTTGACCTCTACTACACTCTAACAGTGACCCGAACCCTCTTATTAGGGTTCCTATGTGTTCTGCACCCCGATGGCCCGAAGGCACTGAGTCAGGGCAACTGGCACAGTCTGCTGTTTTGGGGATACATGCTTGGGATGTTGCTGCTTGGTGCCGTGCAGCTTCTTTTTGTGGATGTAACGGCGCTGTATTTTTCTGCTCTCCCTGCAGCTGTTCTGCATGCGACCCGGGGCCTGGTTCTGCCCTTGTTCAGCCTGCTATAGGACAGACGGGTCAATCAGAATGTAGATCATTCTGAGGAAAAACATGCAGTAATTAACTTAACACCCAAGAACAGTATTAATTTAATTTATAAGCATGATAACTTCATGTAAAGATCATAATCATTAACAGATTCATTTATATGGTTATACACTGATGTGAAATTCATCTCTCCACTTGCACTGAAACTATGACACATTACATCCTACAAACAGTGTGTTTTATGAAGGAACTTGATTTAAAGTTCTAGAATTAAATGGTAAAGGTTAAAGACAGCGTTCCCAAGTATTTCACTATAATATTTTGCAGTAGAATTCCACATTATTGTCAGCTGGACGCTCAGAGAATTAAAGTATGACATTTCTATTTTGCATTAACAAAATCTAAAAACCCTTTTTAGGACCTTACTGGTTTTAAATTGTATCAGTTTCACAATTTGTGTTACAGCAATGCTAAAATGATAGTTGAATTTGTTTGTTCTGGGTTTAATTTAAAAAATAATAGAGCCTATGATTTGCATGATCTGGAAAGCGCAGCTGGAACTGCAGAATCCAGTCATGAAATCTATCATGTGGAATGTTGTGGCAAATTTTGGATTAATCAAAAGCAGTGTTGTGCACCGAATCAAATCATTATGCGAATAAAATATATATACAGAAAATAAAGTGATATAGGGACTTTACACTTACTGGCCACTTTATTAGGTACAACTGCTCGTTAACGAAACTTTTTAATCAGCCAATCACATGGCAATGCATTTAGACATGTAGACCCGCAAATGCCTTGTTATTGCCAGAGGTCAGTGGAGAATGGCCAGGCTGGTTCCAGCTGATTGAAAGACAACAGTAACGCAAATAACCACTCGTTATAACCGAGGTATGCAAAAGAGCATCTCTGAACACACAACACATCGAACCTTGAGGCAGATGCGCTACAGCAGCAGAAGACCACATCTGTTGCCACTCCTGTCAGCTAAGAACAAGAAAACTGAGGCTACAATTCGCACAGGCTCACCAAATTTGGACAATAGAAGATTGGAAAAACGTTGCCTGGTCTGATGAGTCTCAATTTCTGCTACGAAATTTAGATGGTAGGGGTCAGAATTTGGCATCAACAACATGAAAACATGGATCCATCCAGCTTTGTATCAACGGTTTAGGCTGGTGGCGGTGTAATGGTTTGGGGGATATTTTCTTGACACACTTTGGGCCCATTCAAACCAATTGAGCATCGTGTCAACGCCACAGCCTACCTGAGTGTTGCTGACCCTGTCCATCCCTTTATGACCACAGTGTACTCATCTTCTCATGGCTACTTCCAGTAGGATAATGCACCATGTCATAAAGCGCGAATCATCTCAGACTGGTTTCTTAAACATGACAATGAGTTCACTGTACTCAAATGGCCTCCACAGTCACCAGACTCAATCCAATAGAGCAGTTTTGAGATGTGGTGAAACAGGAGAGTCACATCATGGATGTGCAGCTGCGTGATGCTATCAAGTCAATATGGCTCAAAACCTCTGAGGAATATTTCTAGTACCTTGTTGAATCTATTCCAAGAAGGCTTGAGGCAGTTCTGAAGGCAAAAGGGGGTTCAACCCGGTACTAGTAAGGTGTACCTGATAAAGTGGCCAGTGAGTGTATATTGCAGTACTGTGAATGGTGAAAGGTGCTGACTTGACACAAAAAGAATTTAAAATAAGCTTTATATTAAATGCAAAATCTATATTTTTGTTTTATATTTTGATGGTGAAATATGATCTAAGCATGTTCTTGACATGTTTGTGAGCTTCACCGAGAGTATACTACAGAAAGACACTCGTCTTGCAATAAACTTATACAAGAGCCATTTTTTCCAATAAAATGTGTGCTCTGTAGAAACCACATCAATAATTTAACACTTTTACAAAAAGGATGTTATTTTAATAGAAAACCTATGACTTCTCTTTTTATTTAGCTCTCAATGTATGATACAAACTACAGTATTATTGTTAAAGTTGAGCAAATAAAACACTGATGAGGTTTTCTTGTGACCAAACGACTGTTTCTGTTGTCTTTTTTGTATGAGTGTAATGTTTGGTATTCCTAGTACTTTCTCTGTGTTTGTATGGATACCAGTGATACCAGGCCAAAGTCTGACCCAGCGAGAAGCAAGAGGTTAAAAAAGTTCAGCACCAGATCCATGTGGCTTTGCTTATTATCAGGCACGATTGATTTATCTGCAAAGGCTTGGTTAATGTTACACAAGCGTGCAATTTGTTTAGTTTATCAGCAATGTCAGAATAGATAAGCATGGTGAAACATTCCTCTTCCTTTACTCAGACAAGATAGCCATATAGCAGATCATTTTTGTTGCAGTGCATAATAATTGATCTGATTCATTTCAAATCAACACCTTTTTTCCATTACGCTGCAAGATGACTGGTGTGAATTATGAGAGTAACCTCTGTTAAACTGCAACCAAAAACATTTGGTACAATGAGGTTTCATTAGAGTTCATCCATTCAATTATATAAAGGAAACTTTGTAGAATTAAAGAGATCGTTCACTTTGAATTTTATTTTCCTTTTTAATTATTTCCCAAATGTTTAACAGAGGTTTTAAGGTTAAAATTATTAGCCCCTTTTGTTTTTTTTTTTTTTCTACTTGCCTCATTACCCTAACCTGCCTAGTTAAGTCAACTAGGTTTATTAACCCAGTTAAGCCTTTATAAATGTCACTTTAAGCTGTATAGAAGTGTCTTGAAATATATCTAGTAAAATATTATTTACGGTCATCATGGCAAAGATAAATGCGTTATTGAGTGCTTATAAATGCGTTATTAAAACTCTTTATGTTTAGAAATGTGTTGAAAAAATCTTCTCGCCTTTAAACAGAAATTGGGGAAGAAAATAAACAGGGAAGCAAAGAATTCAGGGGGGCTAATAATTCTGACTTCAACTATATATAATAAATAAACATTTATGATTTAATGTTTTTCTTTAACAAGATATTTTGAAGGAACCTGCCATAGTACAGGTTTCCAACATTTTTCTATATATCTTCTTTTCTGTTCAACAGAAAAAAGAAACTCAAACTGTTTTGTGACAAGTGAAGGGTGTTTCAGTTTTAGGTGATCTATCTCTAACAAATTATTTTGTAAAAAAAAAAAAAAAAATGGACATATATTACTCTATAAAATATAAAACAAATATATATATATATATATATATATATATATATATATATATATATATATATATATATATATATATATATATATATATATATATATATATAAATAACTGTACTATAGGAAAAACAAAACTGGAAAACCAAAACTCAAAAACACTTTAACTGCCGATATGCTTAAGACACTAAAATCCCATCAAAATACAAAGCTTAATGTTAATTAATGTTAAGCTTAATAACAAATTATAAATACTTGAACTACTGTAACTGAGCAGTTTTTCCTTAGGAATTTACAAAGTAGTTTTATAAATGTGTACTTTTACTTTCCCTTGAGTAAATATTTAGTGCAGTAATTGGTACTTTTACTCCAATACTTTTCTTCAAACTGCAGTTACTACTATATTTTTTTCTGGTCTATGGGGATTAGAAAAATCATTCCTGTCCAATCAAAATCGCACATAGCATCATCATGAACAACTTCAAGACGTGGGCACTTCATAAATGCAACAAACTGTTGGGAATCATTAAAAGTGTTCAAAAAGATATCCAAAATCTTTACACGTATTGACCCAAAGACTGTTTAGATTCAGGTCACTGATGAGAAAATGACGGATATTTACAGTCTGATGACCAAAATGACCTTAAACACCCAGCAGGCACAAGACATCAACTTAACATCAGATTGACATTGTACCCCAACGTCATAGGGACATTGCATTTTGTTTGGAAATGAAAATCGGGTTGACGTTAGAATCCAACGTACAACCTAAAACCAACGTCTAATGATGTTACAGCTTGTCATTGTGTGGATTTTACCACTACGACGTCTATCAGATGTTGTATTTTGGTTGCCATACCTGATGAACAAATGTCAGTATTTGACATCAGCATGATGCTGGTTTAAGATGTTGGCTCAACGTTGGATTTTGGTCACTTTCTAACAATCTAAAATGAACCAAACGTTAGCGTCATTTGACATCATTATTGGACGTCAAAATTACGTTGTCCTTAGACGCTGGCTAGACGCTGAAAATTAATCACCTAACATTACAACCTAAATCTTACCTAATATTAACGTCTTATGACATTGTGTGCCTGCTGGGCAATAACTAGATGCACTACAGAATGTTACGTTTACACACATCCACAAATAACATGTAAATGCTTTTCACAGCATAATACTCACTACTCTTGAGTACTTTTGAAAGGCTTACTTTTTACTCATACTTTGGGTAATATTTCCAACATATACTTTTACTAGCACTACATTTCTAGGCAAGTAGTGGTACTTTTACTTAAGTATGATTTTTCAGTACTCTTTCCACAACTGACAAAAATAGAGCTTAAAGTTAAAATGTATTTCAGACTTTGATTTTACTACAGATATGGATTATTGGTAGTGTAACCATAATATTTCAGATAAATTGTTTAATTTGGTTTCTTTTGAAAGTTCCCCAAACTAGAAGTGCAACCCATAATCTGAAATGTGTGGGAAAAGGTAGATATTCATTCTTTAAAATTTGAAAAAATAAAAAAATAAAAAACATCAGAAAATCTTAATCAAAAAGATATATATTTGATTGAAAACATCATGATCAGCAACTTCTCATACCTTGTAACTGCTCTAATAAGAAGTCTCCATTGGAGGTTTTTTTAAATATAGAAGTGCTGTGTGTCAAAGGAAACACCAGGGTACGGACTGCTATTTCAGATCAGGGTGTGGAGCATAAATGACAGGCAGCATATAGAGGCGCAGTAGGTGAAGGACCGATGAGTGTGTGCGTGAGTGGGCAGTGTTAGATAAGTCTCTTCACCACTTCAGGGCTGATCTGCGTCAGGTGGGATGTGAAGACCAAGACTCTGCAGTAGGTTTGATGCTGGACCGGCCAGACCCGCCTGAGAGGACAGAGACTCTAGTAGATTGGTAACCAGGTTGAGATCCACATCAAGCGGCTGGATTTCATCCTCAAGCAGCTCTGAGGCCGAGGTGGAAGATGAGCTTTTAGATGCCTCAGCTTTATTGCTGGACTGTAAGGAAAGAGAGAGATTAAAAATGATTGCAATACAAAGTTTTGGGTTGAAGGATAGACAGTGTGTGTGGAGACTCACTCTGTTGTTCTGGGTAAAGCTTTTGCCAATGTTTGTGCTTTGCAGCTCCTGGTCCATTTCATCCATGTATTTCCTGAGATTGTCCAATGTCTCTGCACCGGTTGCCTGCTCCTGAGGGACACTGCTCTGCACTGCTTCATCGTCATCATCATCGTCGTCATCATCCTCATCTTCAAAGTCATCAGAGTCTAGCTCATCATCTTTAGCTCCTGTGCAACAGAAAGAGAAAAATTATTTATTTATCTTCTGTATTGGAAGGCATAAAAATAAGCAGAAATTTGAGAGTTGTGGTCAACATCAAAGATCAAAACCAACAAATTACATTATAAATAATTTAAACCAGTGTTTCTCAACCACATTCCTGGAGTACCACCAGCTCTGCACATTTTCCATGTCTCTTTAACCAAACACACCTGATTCAGATCATCAGCTCATTAGCAGAGTCTGAAAGACCTGTAATGAGTGTGACATCCAAAACATGCAGTGATGGTGGGCCCCCAGAAATGTGGTTGAGAAACACTGATTTAAACCACTTTACAAAATATAAAGCACATTTTTTTTGCAGATTAATCATAATTTTGTAATGATCAGAGAGATCGCCTCTCATGTTATTCAAATCACATGTGTGAAAGCATTTCGGCTGTAAAATATAATGATGACGAAGAAGTCGTGGTAGAATATTCAGGATGTGGTGGGTTTCTTGGGTTATTAAAGGTGTTTTCGTTCACTACTTGTTTAGCCTGCATTAATGCATTCAGTGTAAGCTGCATAATTAATCCTTAAAAGATTGGAATTTCAACAACCACACAACATAAATGATAAATGATGGTGATCTGCATGTTTATTAATCCCTCGAATTGCTGCATTCAAATCTGTGTTTGAAAATCGCAAAAATCAAGAAAGAGAATCAGTTTTTAGTCTTGTGAGTTTGTTATGAAGTAACTAACAGTCAAATAACAGTATTGGGATAACAGTTTATATTGTGGTTTAGATAATACCACTGATGTTTATGGTAAAGATTAAAATCATCATCATATGCTCAAAAATGAAAGTTGTAGGCAGCATTTAAATTTTTTAACCTAAAGGTGGCGCCAAACAGCCATTAAAAATATGCCAATGAATAATTCTTCAAAAATGAATAATATAGCAATGAGTTTTATGAGTGAATAACCGAATCATTTATAGAAAATGAGACTAAAAATAAATATAGATTGAATAAATTCTAATGTTAGATTTCTACATTTAGCATAATCAGCAACAGTAGTGGTAACAGTGATTTTTTACAGTACTGAACATTTTACTATTTATTTGTATTCAGCTGATTATTTCTTCTTTATTTGTAATAAAATGACAGGTTTTAAGTTCTGTTTGTTAAACCAAAAGTGACTTGCAGTACTGTTTTTGTAATGAATGGAAAGTAAATAACATCTGTCTCCTCCACTTGTTAGCTGATCGGAAAAATGGTCAGATCTGTGACTAAAAAGCCATTATGTGATCCGAACAGTGAGATTTGTTATCCATTACACCACTAATACACATACACCTGGGGTATGAACAAAACTTAATATAAAGTAATTACAAAATTGATAATACCCAGTACTTAAGTGTCTACATATAGATAACATAAACATATATAAATTTATGTGTGTTAAGGTGTATATATAGATTGATTAATTATATATGCTTTATTTGAAACATACTTGTTTAAGTGTTCCCTTTATTTTTTGGGGGGGCAGTATATATTTATTAGCATAGACAACACATCTCTGCTTTTTAGAAATGCAACAAGTTAAAAAGTATAATATGAACAATATCATGTAAACACAATCATAAATCCACAACACTGTGTTATAAATGTGTAAATATGTAAAATGCATAGTAGCAGCATATTCATATTTTTAAAGGGCTTGTTTTAATTTGTGATGTATTTCAATTTAATATTCACATAAGCTCATTATGCTATTAAGACGTTTCAGATACACAAAATAATAATTTCATGGCCTTAAATATGATTCGAACCAGAGACTTTAAGAACCTACATTTCCTGTAGCAAGCTTTGCTGGGTTAACAAGATTTCAAACCAATGAGACCATTTTGCATGTTCTAATATCACTGAAAAATCAAACTCACCCAGAAGTCTATCAAGGGCACTAGTAACTGAATCTGGATCAAACCTAAAAGGCTCAGCCAAGCAGGATCTGAAACGCATTAAGGGGGTGGGACATCAATAATCACAGTGCTTTAAAATGAATAGTTAGTCATTCAGAGTGAGTGTCATTACCTTGGTATTTCAGCTCCTTCATGCGAGGACATGGCATTGATGAAGTTCTTCATGCCTTGAGTCACAGCGATCAGACTGTATCCCGATTCCTCCTCCTGCACCTCTTCACCAGTCCCTCCTCGACCTCCTCGCTCTGCCAGCAGCCTCTCCAGCTCCTGAGGCGAGATGTCCAGCCACGCATCACCTACAAATAAAGTGTATTCAAATGACTTGCATTCACTTTCAAAATGATGGATCAGACTCCTGATTTGATGTCAGTATGTGCAAACCAATGAGAAAATGATTCTCTTTGAAAATGTGAGGTGAAGTGGTACATACTGTCCTCTGGTGGCAGATTTGCTTCTTGTTTTTTTAAGTCTTCTAGACTGTAGGAGGCGCTTTGTAACACCTTTAACACCTCACCACCAGGATTATGAATATCAGGCCTTGAAAAAGAGTAAAATCAGGTATTGGCAAAATTTAGTCATATCATTGATTATAATGTATCATTTAGTAATTTTATACTAAAAAAATAGTTGTTTACTGTAGTGCAATGACCCTTATGATAGTGTGTATACTGGACAACATTATGAAGCTGCAGGCCCGAAGACCCAACTGCACGCTCAGACCTGCACTTCCAGACCTATCGTTTTCTCAGACAGTGCCACCTGCTGTTTAAAAATAAATAAATAAAAAAACGCCTAAACTGAATTCAACTGCTTATAAAGTGTAACTTACACTATTTTTCTACTATAAAATATTACGCTATGATTAAATACATTATTTTATAAAATATTAAACATACTAGATTATCATTTAATGCATTAATTCTGTTGTAGTTTTATTAATTGTATTTATAAATAGATATAGTTTCGTTACTTAAATAATTTTAGTAATTGTTTTTTTTATCATTAAGGATTTATCACACTGTTAAGTGTCAAGTTGATCGAATGAATATTATCTCTTTCTTTACATACAATAAATTATAGTACTCTGAGTAATTTTCTTACAACAAACTTTATTTTTGTGTACTTTTTCATAAGGTCCTACAAGTCAGAGCTGTGAACAATGCAGAGAAAAATGGTGAAAAATAATAATTGGAGTAAAAATTATTACGTAGAAATTAACATCAAATAAAATAAATGCTTTACTTTCTTGATGGGGAGACTTTTCATTTCTCAAAAAAACAAAAACAAAAAAACAGTGGAAACATCTGCAGCATTTGGTGCACTGTATTAGTGTTGGCAGAGACTCCTCTTTTTGAATTATATTATCCATTGGGGAAAAAAAATACACAAGTCACAAGCAAATTATTTTTGCCTTAACCTAAGAGAGCTCAAATTGTAAATTCTATGCAGATTAACAAATATCTTGATTTCCAAATCTTATTTGTAATTATTACAGAACTTTTTTTTAACAATTGTTAAACTGTTATTATGTTACTGTTATTGCCTGTGGTAGCACTTTCAGACAGATAATACAGTAATACGTACAGTAGACCTACATAGCACTAAAATGTTACAAAGATAATACAGTAATATGTACAGTAGACCTAAATAGCACTAAAATATGTTACAAATATTAATTGTTCTATATTGTACATTTTATTTTTACTTTCTATTTTTTTTTATTTTGCAAGAAAAAATTGCTAGAAAATTGTCCCAGAATGGTACAATAACACTGAAAATAAGAGCAAGCTGATATGATAAAATAATGCTCTTTTGACACAAATTTTGATCAAATCAAACACTGAAATAATTGCTTGTTGGTGTAATAAGATGCCACACTGATTTATGCCATAAAACCTGAAAATTTGTAGGAATTGCTTTAATAAAAATCAATAACCTTAATTACGTGTCCGATGTTGCTGCTTGCTAGAAAGTGGTGGTTTAAGCGTGCAGTTGGGTCTCCATACCTGCTGCTTCACCCAACCCAACAGCAGGTACCGTAGCACTGTCTGAGAAAATAATAGGTCTGGAAGTGCATGTCTGAGCATGCACTTGGGTCTCCGGGCCTGCAGCTTCACCCTACTCATATGGGATCTGTAGTGTTATGTGTAGCTCCTCCCCCTCTACCTCGCTCTCACTCAATCAGGTGGTCATGCGGTATGAGGTGTGTCGGTACAAGGTGAAGCTGCTGTGTGTCTTTTGAGCCCGCTGTTAATAAACACTTTAGTTTGAACCGTGCCTCTCTAGCAGTTCAATTCAAGTTCTCAGAGTCAACATTTACCAAGGCTGCATTTATTGATATTGATCAATAATGTTGTGAAACATTACTACGACTTGAAATTACTGTAATTTATCCTTTCGATTTAAAGCTGAATTTTCAGCATAACTACTCCATTTTTTATATGACAACAGAATATATTAATAATATGTTTCTCATTTTATGCTTGTTTTTGTATTATTTAATAAAATCAGGGTTCATACACATTTTTACAATTAAAATTCCATGACTTTTCCAGGACTTTCAAGTAAATTTTATGTAAAACACAGGTGTCAAAACCAGTTCCTGGAGGGCTGCAGCCCTGCACAGTTCAGTTCCAACCCTGCATCGGTCACACTGGACTTTTCTCCCCATAGACTTCCATTCATACGCAGACAAATGCGTCAGACCGTAAATGCAAGGTCGTGCATCAAGTTTCACAGTTCGCTACGTTGCAAAGTTCAAGCTTGATGAATTCTGACCAGCGAAATCACATCACATGATTGCGTTAGACCGATCGAGGATCAAAACATGACCTCTCTGGACAGAAATTTAAAATATGGAGCAATCACGCTTTTTTAAATGGCTAATTATCTTGTTGAATCCTGCCCTTTTTCGCAGCGCCATACGACAGAATTTCGCATGCTCAAACTGATGTAAAGTATATGTATACTTGTTAAGTAATAAGAAAAACAATGCACGTTCAACTTTATTACAGCATATCATAAAACATGCAACAATCTTTTTAGTTTGAATTATTTTTATATCGATGTAAAATTGATTTAGTTAATGCTTAGACAGAACTAATATTGTGAGAGTTTGGCCAAAGTATACAGATATTTCTTCAACTAATTTTAATGACTTTTACATAACTTCGTAAGTTTTTTTGGTTTTTCCAAAACTTTTCCAGGCCTGGAAAATGCCATGACTTTTCCAGATTTTCCATAACTGTATGAACCCTGTAAAATGTTCCAAAGACCCTTTCTTTTTATCTTTTTATCAACTAAACAAATCCTTCTCTGAGAGCAATAATTTTATTTAATAATAAAACGTGCTGACCTTAATTGTTGTTGCAGTTTTGTTATAGTCTAATTTGTGTTTTAAGGTTTAATATCCAATAAATTTGGTTATCAAAGTCATCATCAAAGTGATGTCTATTAAAAATAATTAACTTTAACACAATCTTCTTAAATGTAATCAAACGAAAATGTAAAATTTCATTTACAGCAATGCATTGCATTTTTATATTTTAGTTAAAATCCTGCACAACTGTAATGATTAAAACCAATGAAAAAATATCTTGCTGGTACCATATTTTTTGAAAAAAAAAAAAAAATACTACCTAATGCTACTACTTTAGGAAGTACATTTTAAACACACATTTGTGTCAGCTTCGTCAAGTTAAACAAACCTTTTATTGTCAAATTTGAGTAAAAAAGATTTTCGGAGTTTCAATGTGGACTTTTCAGCGGTTTTATTTAAACTAAAGGTTAACAGCTCATGAAACAACTCCCAAAACAGCTGAACATGAAGATCTTGTAGCAAAGACTATAGAATACACAAGACGTGTCACTCGTACAGTTTTGAATAGGGTCAATATGGCGAATGAAGACCCGCCTTCTAGTACAGGAGCCAATCATTGATCACTATAGACTGACTATTCTTCTGGGAAGGGTCTCAGATTAGACTTGAGTTACTGCAGATTTGTGTGATTCGACCGTGTAGAAATGAAACTAAAGAGAGAGTTAATAATTTTATTGCAGATTCCTAATATGAAATTTAATCGTAAGCTTGACAAGCATTTTTGGAGAATTTGATGTTTCCCCATTCAAACAGAATGCCTGAGAGGCATTTCAAAGATGGTCGTTATGACTTGCCTTAAAGGGACTTTGCTTGTGATCAACATACATTGAAAAGCAAACACTGACAACACCATGAGAATCAAGTGTTTGAGTTTGTGGTTGACAAAACCAAACTTTTAAATACTCAGTAGTCTGATTTACAAACCGCTGTAGATGTTTTCTATTTCAGCAGTGTGATTAAGCTGACAGATTAATCCATATCAAGCAGAACTTATCTTTATGATGTCAATATGATATTGTTTATCGCCTGGTGCTGATTTCCACACAGACTTCAAAAAATAAATATTGAAGCAACATGAGAATGAAAAAATAAAATGAATGGTAAAAGCTCCTCTAACCGGTGAGTTCTTGTCACTGACTGTCTGAAGAAACTCTCCGCTGATGTCATCAGCTCTTTGTATCGAGCAGATCCTTCTAGATTCCCCTGGATTAACAAAAACACATTTATTAATATCTTTCACATTCTCTGGCAAAGCAATCATCATCATTTGCAGCATCAAAGCATCAGCATCATTTGCGTGATTTAAATACTTTGAGCACAGAAATACTTTCTTACCTTAAAGTATCCATTCTTTTTGAGGCTCTCTAAAAATCCTCTCCATAATGGGTTACTGCTCACTGAAGGCTCTTGATCTGATGAAGACTCTCCATTTTTGGAGCACAAGATTTCAAAGCCATGGGCCTTAAATATTAATAGAACGTACAATGTGTTAGCACTATGTACACCAGTTGCACAAATTCACATTATACATAACAAAAGATGCATTAAATAATAATAATAATAATAATTCCTTACATTTATATAGCACCTTTCTAGACACTTAAAGTGCTTTACACAATGGGTGTTTGCAATGAGTGTGCAGCATCCACCTGGATGATGTGACAGCATCCATATTGTGCCATTTCACACACCACACACTAGCTGATTAGTGGAGAGGAGACAGAGCGATGAAGCAAATTATAATATGGGGATGATTAGGAGGCCATGATAGGCAGAGGCCAGTGAGTAAATTTGGGTTCAACCTCTACTCTTTTTCGAAGGACATCCTGGGATTTTTAATGACAACAGAGAGTCAGGCTCTCGGCTTGACGTCTCATCCAAAAGACAGCGCTCACTGAGCAGTATAGAGTCCCCATCAATATATAGAGAGCAAGAAACCTGATGTCAAGCACTCACCAGTTTCATGCCCAGCTCGTGAGCCCTGTACTGGGGATGAGAGCGAGCAGGAAGACTGAAACCACTCCGCCGGTCTGGAACAAAACTCTGTTGTTGCAGCTGTGCATACAAGCATCGAGTAAACTTTACCTAAACGTGGAAGGGGAAAGAATAAAGTTACTGTTGTTTACAAAAACTATTATTTAAAATTGTTTTTGTGTTTCTGTTTAAATGCAAATGGGCTGCTGATCTCTGTCCCTTTTCCAGAAGGGGCAAAGCCTTACAGCTTGTGCCTCAGTTACTCAGGCAACAGCAAAAAAATCTCTACGTGCATTTGATTTTAAGTTTAACATTTTTATATTACAGACATTTGGGGAAGAAATCAGTATGCTAGATGTGTGAAGCAGCAACTCTGACATGAAGTCAACCCACTATTTCATTCAACCAAACCTTGTAAATGAAAGTATTTACATGCGTGATACTGTACATTCTTACAAGAAAACTCAGGACTACTATTAAGATTACGCACTAAAGGAAACTGAAAGTGTCAAAAACACAAGAGGTCCCTTTAAAACGATAAATTCTGTCATCATTTGCTTAACGTAGGCTAATAACGGCAATCTCTGAATAAAAACGTACAGGACGTAGACTAACTATATATGTGTGTAATCTTTATTTCTTACTTGTTCACCCCCAAGCACAACAGAGATCCTCCTACAATATGTTTCCGAGAAAACTTAATAAGTTTGCTACGTCCACATAATGTGCTTGAAAATAGACAGAGGGCAAGCCAATGAGTGTGGCTTTGGATGGGGAGACATTTAGAGCAGGGAAAATATGCATTTGCATTAAATTTATGCATCACACAGTATTACATAATCTTTATGAAATTAATTTTATGTTATGACAAATCCCTAAATAAATTATCTTTTGTTAAATAAATGCTTTGAAACGGGGATATTTAAACATCAGGTGATGATCACATGGCCAAAAGAGAACCTGAGAGACAGGCTGCAAACATTGAATTTAATGTTTTAATATTCTAAATAGTCATGCTGTAGCAAAATAAACATGATATAAAAATTAAATGATTGTGAAGTTATACGATTTCAAACTTTCATAAAAAGTTATTAAATATAACGTTAATTTTAAGTTAAACACATATAAACAGTTTATTCTGACGTTGTTTTTTAATAAGACAATGTCCATTTTTGCCGAATTGAAGTTATGCGTCCTGTGCGGAACACTATTTTAATGGTGTACAAAACACTGTTAACACCTATCACCTTCCGTACACAAGTGGAGGCAGTATTTTTCCCCATTATTTCTCAAACACTACTGGTCCAAAAGACATCAATCAAAATTTGCATTGAACAATAGGTATTCACCCAGATATGATGACAAATGATGACAAATATGCTTATCTGGCTTTTAATGATGTAGTAGTGGTTGTTTGAGTGCACTAAATAGCATGAAACATGGCTAGTCTAGTCAAACTAATTTGATTTTTTAACAGAAAAGAAAATATTTTATTGAATGCATTCTTCAAAATATCTTCTTTTGTTTTTGAAACAAGTCAAGGGTGAGTAAATGATGGCAGATGATCAATGTTTTGATGAACTAACCCTTTAAAAGGCACTTATTGAAATACTTATTGGAGGGTTACTAGGGATGTTACAACTTTTATAACTTAAAAAATAGCAATAAATGTCAATAAAGTTATCATGTATGTTTTTTTTCCAATAAAGGCATCCTTAATGAATCCTTGCTAAATAAAAAAACCTAAGAAGTGTATGTGAAACGATTCACCCAGTAATTTCCCCATGGTGCAGATCTCAACAACAAAAAAAAAATTTGATAGTTTCTTACCGACGTCATGACTCTGGTGTCAGGGGGAAAGGTGTGGAAAGTTCGGCAAGCTTGGAGATCAACAGGGTCACGCAGATAGAAAGCAGACACGGCAGGGGCTATAAGATCAGGCCTCCTGGACAACACCACAGCAATGCCTGCAGGCACATAACAGTGGGCACGGTGGACATTCTGCTGGATTTTATCTGGATACCTGCACACATACACAAATATCCATTTAAAAAATAAATAAAGGATGAAGCGCTAAAACACACAGTTCATTAGCTTATTTTGAACGTTGATGTCACTCTCACCCATGAATCCTCTGGTTCAGAGCAGATCTTATGGTCTGTTTGGCCAAACATCGGTCAGTGTGTGAGTGCAGCACCTCTAGAGCCTGACGTACAGTGGGCACGCAATCTCTTGAAAAGCCCACCTCTCCAGAAGAACTGCTCATGGGTATTATGTGCAGCTCTCCATGATACAGAAATACCTGGATTTATGTGATAGACATAAAAACTTACAAGAATGTGCCGAAAGAAGCTTTTAAGCATCATGTAAACGGTAGTGAAACAAAGCTTTTAATATTTTGCTCCATACATTTGAAACCTTTATTGACCTTATTCTTCACGTACAGTACGAGCTGGCGCAGCCATTGGAATCTTTTTGGCTCGAGACTTCTACTATTATTGATTTTTAGACATTAAAAACTGGTCGTTATGCTGCTTGATCAAAACATTTTCTTATTATTTTTTGTAAAGTCATGAACGCACTTGTTTGTAGAGTAAGTATTTAGACCGCATTCAGCTGTTTATTATTCCTAGTCATTTCTCTCATAGGCAGCTGAATGAGAAGTTCTAAAACAATCGCAAAATCAAGCTCACTTCCGCATTGCAGAATAAGGTCAATACTTTGTTTAATTTCTTTTATGCACATGGAATTAATAATTAAAGAAAAAGGTGTAACTTAAAATTAAATAGTACAATCTTTTGAATTATTAAAGCTCTCACAATATCATTTTGTATTTTAAGTCTGTGTATATTATGTGTGCTTTCTTTGATTTCGTTTAAATTAGACAACAAACACATTCAATATATCAGAGTAAATGAGTATAATCAAATACTACTATAGAATAGAGGACTTACTAAATGAGAGGCTGGTATAATGTAGTGTGAATACATTAAAACACTATATCAATGTGCAATGGGAATATGGGGTTTGCATGTTGTTCGGTGAATACCATTGCAATTTCAAAAATTGTGACAATCTCAACAGCCAAGTAGTTCAATTCACCAATACCAACCCTGTTTTCACTGCTGTCAGGGTCCAGCCACTTTGGCAGGTGTTCAGCAGCTTCAATCAGTAGAAACTGTCCGTCATTGTCATAGACAACAGCAGCTATGTCAGTAAAGGTGTGTGTGATGTGTTTGAGCAGGTAAACGATGAACCATTCGTCCTCCACATTATCACCGAACTCAGTAACACCTCCCAGATGTGCAGGCACATCCCCTGTGGAATGGAAATTAAAAATACATGTATAATGACCACAATTGCATGATAAAATATACATATGATATAGTTTTACAATCAAAGAAAATCAAATATGTGCCAAAAATTACATACATGTATATGCAAACAAACATGTATATGTAGCTATTAGGGTTGGGCGATTTGGCCTAAAATCAAAATCTCGATTAATTGAACATTTTAACTCATTTACGATTAATGAACAGTTATTTGTTATATTTTTGCCCTCATAGTGACAAGTTTTGTACAGTAAATATTGCTCACATATTACAAGTGAGAGATTTCAGAATGAAGGGTATATTACTTTAAAAATAATTTTCAAAGAATTAAAATAATTGAAGGAAACACACACTTTATACTATATCTGATTATTTATTGAACATCAACGCTGAACAACTGAAATTAAAACACACATTGCCTAAAACACGGCTCTCCGCACCACCTACCCTCATTATCACTATGAAACTGACCAATCACAAAGCTTGCACTATGCATCGTTATAAGGTGTGGTTAAAACAAATTTGAGAGGTGCACGTGTATGCGAAGGCTGTGCCAGACGTGTGTGCTTGGCAGAAGTATAATATCAGAATAATATAATAAGTATAAAACATAATACCAGGGTGGGGTCACGTGATTCAACACACGGTAGAGAGAGTAATTGAAAAAATGTACCTAGAAAAATTTGACAGATTATAGTTTCTGAATGTTGTTTTCGATTACTTTTCAGATAAACGCCCAGCCCTTGAATGCTATATGCAAGAATTTTCATTTAGTAATCACTTCTTTTGCCATGGTGTTAACAGCTTTTAAAGAAACGGAGAGATGTGACCTTTCCAAATTTCCTAGATTGTCAATAAGCCTGTACACAGCTTTTTATTTCACATCCACATCCCATTGCTGCCATTTTCTTTACTGAAAAGTAAAAATAAATCTAAGCAAAAATAAATAGATATGAAAATAAATATAGAAATAAATAAAAGTGGCATTACATAGATTTTTAAATAAATAAACCCATAAATAAATATAAAAAATATATACAAATTTAAAAGAACAAAAATATTCATAAAAAAAAAAACTAAAAGCAGAAAATAATCAATAAGGGAAAACATTCTAAAAATTCATTTAAGTTAAACTGAACTAAAAATCTAATATTACTATTTTAGGTCATATATTTCTTTATTTTTCTATTTTTACATTTATCCATTTACTTATACACTTTATTTGTTTTTAAAATTGGCAGGTTTGGTCCCCCATACTAGCAGTACCATAAAGAAGAAGAACTGGTAGTCAAAAAACAAACAAATTGCAGAACTAAATGCAATTGATATTGCTACTAGCACTGTAAAAACATACACTAGCATGATTTATAGATTCATTCATTCATTTTCTTTTCGGCTTAGTGCCTTTATTTATCAGGGGTTGCCACAGGGGAATGAACTGCTAACTTGTCCAGCATATGTTTTATGCAGCAGATTGCTTCACTGAATACCCAACACTAGGAAACACCCATACACTCTTGCATTTACAAACATACACTATGACCAATTTAGTTTATTCAATTCACCTGTACTGCATGTCTTTGGACAGTGGGGGAAAGCGGAGCACCCAGGGGAAACTCACGTGAACACAGGGAGAACATGCACACTCCACACAGAAATGCCAACTGACCCAGCCGGGGCTCGAACTAGTGTGGGTAGCACAATTGCTTCAAAGCAAGAAGGTTGCTGGTTTGAGCCCTGGCTGGGTCAGTTGGCATTTCTGTGTGGAGTTTGCATGTTATCCTCGTGTTCACGTGGGTGTCCTCCGGGTGCTCCGGTTTCCCCCACAAGTTCAAAAACATGTGAATGTGGTATAAGTGAATTAGTTTAGCTAAATTGTCCATAGAGTATGTGTGTGAATGAAAATGTATGGATGTTTCGCAGTGATGGGTTGCAGCTGGAAGGGCATGTTTCACCGTGTAAAACATATGCTGGATAAGTTGGCAGTTTATTCCGCTGTGGCAACCCCAGATTAATAAAAGGACTAAGCTGAAAAGAAAATGAATGAATGAATGAATGAATAAATGTTTTCATTAGAAGAAAGAAACTCATTAATAAGTGGAGGGTGAGTAAATGATGACAGAATGTCCATATTAACGTGAACTATCCCTTTAAATACAAATAAACCGCAAAAGCATCAAACTCCACCTTTCTCCGGGTGCTGTGTGAGATTGAAGGGCTGATTTTGCCAGATGTAGGGCACAAGGAGAGGCGTGATCTCAGCGAGGATGTCCTGCAGGATCTGCTGGAGGCTTTTCTCCGGGGCTGAGGGGTCAGCAGCGACCACAAACAGTTTATACTGCACAGCGTCTTCAGGGATGCCAGGTCTTTTCAGAATATCCATGTTCATGTCTCATTGTACTCTAGACACTGGACAGGAGCAACACACATCACTGGTTTAACTACACTGTACCATCATCACAATATGAACCACACGAATTGAGAAGCATATGAACGGAAACTGTCCTCATAGAAAACAGTCTGGTAACCAGTTACCTGTGAGCTTGTATTAGTCCTGCAACAGCTTTTTCAATAAACGCGTGGTAGTGACGTTCATGCGGACAACTTGACATGTTTTGGAGCTTGAGATCCCGGGATTTTCCGTATACACCCCGGAAGAGACATAGATGAAGATAAAAGTCTTCAGTTCAAAATAAAAGTCATTTCAAGAACTTCTCACATGAATGTGATTGTGTTACTAACGTTATTATTTGTGATATCTTTCTGTTAAATTGCTTAAAAAATTCATTTACTCATTTATTTTCTTTTCGGCTTAGTCCCTTTATTAATCCGGGGTTGCAACAGCGGAATGAACCGCTAACCTATCCAGCATGTTTCTACGCAGCGGATGCCCTTCCAGCCGCAACCCATCTCTGGGAAACATCCACACACACTCATTTACACTCATACACTACAGACAATTTAGCCTACCCAATTAACCTGTATGTCTTTGGACTTGTTAGGGAAACCGGAGCATCTGGAGGAAATCAGGGAGAACATGCAAACTCCACACAGAAACGTCAACTGATCCAGCCGAGGCTGGAATCAGAGACCTTCTTGCTATGAGGCGACAGCACTACCTCCTGCGCCACTTCGTCACCCTTTCTTAAAATATTGAATTATGATAAAATCGATTACATTTAATATTATATTTAAAATGTTGTGAGACTTGAACAAAATCTTAATTCACATTTTAAAGAGATTTATTCACCCTTGACTTGTTATTTTGTTTGCATTTATATTTTGGTTTTGTTGAATGCCATTTTTTAGAATGGTGGAAACCAGTAATCATTGACTTCCGTAGTATTAGATTTTCGTATTTTTCATGGGTGTCAATGGTTATCGGTTTCCAACATTTCTCAAAATATCTTCTTTTGTATTTAAAGTAACAAAAAAAAAGGTTTCGAACAAGCCAAGGGAGAATTAATGACGACAGAATTTCCATTTTGGGGTGAACTATCCTATTAATATTTTAATTAGCTAAGTTACATTCAAAAGTCTAATCAAAGGTGGCAATAAAAGATGTTTAATGTTAAAATTCAAGCAGCACAACTGTTTTCAAAATGTCTTCTGACACCTGTAAAGACATATAAAGTAAAGGGTTTATGAGGAAATAGAATTAAAAAGTACCATCAAATGCTAAAATGGCTCTTATATGATTCAGTCTGTGACACAAACATTACCTCTTGGCTCATCTGTTCCCCTGAGTGTTGATCTGGCCATCAGAGAGTCGGTTTGAACCATTCAAAGATTATTTCATGTATTGCTGGGTTTAACCATGTCCATTAGCAAGGTGCCCTTGTCAAATCTTTGTTTCAGTTTTTGTAAATGCAGCCCCGAGTGTACATTAAAACCTGCATTAGCGACAAATCTGCACCTGCTCTGTGGTTGCAGGAGTCTTGATGACGAAAGTGCAGTACATCTCATTTTAAAAGGACTATATAAAGGAGACCAAGAACAGCACAACTCATCTTGAACAAACACAGCAGGTAAGAGATTCTTTACTTTCAAAATTCTGTATTGTTTTCTCAATCTAGAATTTAGACAGAGTGTGATAGAAATGTTCATATTAATAATAAAATACTGTACAAACAAAAGAAATACAAAAATAGCCTATATCTTTTGTGAAATTACAATTTTGCCACATAAATTGCTGTGGGTTTTGTCAGCAAGTTCACTGCAAAAAAAAACCTTTCTTTCTTGGTTTTTTTTTTTCTAGCCCAAATTTCCTAAAATTCTTAAATCAAGAAAAATTTTCTAGACAAGCAAAGCATATTGTCTTGTTTTAAGAAAAATATGCCAAAAAAAGTTTTTCCTTAAAACAAGCAAAGTAATCTGCCAATAGGGTAGGAAAAATAATCCTATGTCAAAAAGAAAAACAAGATTATTTTGCTCTCCTCCATTGCAGATCATTTTGCTTGTTTTAAGGAAAAACTTACTTAATATTAGCATATTATTTCTGTAAATAAGACATTATGTTTTGCTTGCCTAAATATTTCTTGATATAAGAATTTTTTGATATTTGGACTAGAAACAAGATAAAAAAAATTAAGTAAGAGCAGGAGTTTTTGCAGTGTTGTACTTTTATATTTAGTGGTTTCAATTAAGGATGGTGCAATATTAATATGTTTGAGTACTTATTAACTCTTATTATATTATTAATAACCCTATAGGACAATGCTTGTTGAAATTCCCATTGGAAAACCCCCTGGTATTGTTACTGGGGGTTATTATGACACTTTTACTCTGTTATGACTTCATTTTACTCTAATAGATTTATATCAATTAATTGCAAATAGTAAGGAATAAAAAAAAGCTAAAATAAAATACAAAGCAAAACAATACAATGCAATTTAAAAAATGATTTTTTTATTCTTTCCTATTATTGCTACTTTTTTCATATATTTTGAGATGGAAGACAATCCTTTATTTTTCTCAGTTGTAAATAAAGATACTTGAAAATACTTCTTTCAGTTAGTCTACTATTCATTTCACATATTATAGCGAAACTGCACATTATATTTAGGATTTTTTGTGCTGTTTGTTTGTGTTTGTGTGATTTTTTTTTACAGATACAAATAAACAAGTGATTTCTGTGTTTTAGTTTTAGCATGGAGTGGAAAGGAAGGTTGCTGGTCCAGTTGTTGCTGTTAGTTTGTGTGTTGGAGGTCAGTCTTTGCCAGCACTGGTCATACGGTTGGCTTCCCGGTGGAAAAAGAAGCGTTGGTGAAATGGAGGCAACATTCAGGGTGAGATTATCCTTTTGTCATTTTTGTCTGAAATACTTTAGAAAATATGTTGATCTCTTTGTACACACCCTGTCAGTATTAAGGGGTGGTTCTTTTTTCTCAAAAAGTGGACCTTTTGGCAGTTATTCACCTCATTTTTTTTACATTCTGAGGTTTAAATACTGCATTTTAGTGGTGCAGCACTATTTTTGCTGCATTAGCTTGTCGGATGGTGATCATAACCACACGTCTTTACATTTACAAATGTGCATTTTAAACTGTATTATTATTACCAGTGGCGGCCCCAGAAAATTTTCTTAGGGGTGGCCAGAAGAGGCCCACAAAAAACGAATGAATTCAGTGTAATGTTCTATTTTTGTTTTTGTTAAATTAAATAATGTGGTTTTAATTCATTGAATTAATTACACTTGAAATGTTGCAATTTATTCCTAGAAATAATTCAGCAAGTACATGTGCAAACCAAATCAAAATCAATATTTAGTTTAAAAACACTTTTCATATATACATATTTATATATATATATATATATATATATATATATATATATATATATATATATATATATGTATATATATGTATATATATATAATAACTTATCAGTTATTTTTCACATACATTTATTGTACAGCATACTGTAATGCCATGTCTAAAATTAATGAAGATTAATAAATGAATTAATTAAACAAACAAATGAACAAACTGAACAAAAGGCATCGCTATAGACACATACACACACAATCACTATACACAGCCCAATAATATAATTTATCCATATTCCTTCTTGAGCCATAATATTATTAATACAGCTTTTTATATTGATGTACCTTCAGGTAAATACCTTCAGGCAAATTGCCGTTGCTGTTTGTTGAAGATTTATCAGTCAATCAACAATGATTTAGTGGCTGCTATTTATTTATTTATTGAAATGTTGTGAATTTCTGTAAGTATATTTAAATTAATAATATCAACAGCAAATTTATATTGGGGTGGCCACAGGGGTGACCCATTGGGAGCACCCATGGTTAATACAGTCTTCTAAATAATGCAATGAGATTAGAATTTTACATTTTAAAATATTTTTGAACAAAGAAATGCAAAAAAAAAAACTTTTTAAATACAATTTTTTTTATAATTTCAACAAAACAAACAAACAAACAAACAATAAGGAATCTGTTAAAAAGTTTTAAATGAAAAACTGTGTAGCCTATTGGTAAATAACAAACTGGCCAGCTCATTTCCTCAGTCAGAATTTTTCCATTTAAATAATTTAAAATTAGATCTGTCTCAAAGCCTTCTTCTATTGTTTTTTTCTCACAATTTATGAAGGCACACTCTCAAAAATGGGACAAATGAGCTCTTAGGTGCTAAATTCTGGACTTTGTTCGAATCCCCCCTGGTTTAGGGCCTGTTGTATGTCCACTTTGGTTCTTTTTATTGAATAAGGGATGCCAGGAGTGTAACAAGGAGTGGTCAATAAAAACTGAGATGTGCGAGGAATACTAATGAATAGGAAAATTCTGTCTGTTAGATGTTGGATCCTGGTGACACAGTGCTGTCTATTCCTGCTGATTCTCCAATGGAGCAGCTTTCACCAATACACATAGTAAGAGTGTGAATTATGATCTTTCTTATTGAAAAACATTGGCAGTCTAATTTGTAAGTGTGTTAATGTCAGTGTCCTTTTATTATGGTTACAGGTGAATGAGGTGGATGCTGAAGGTTTGCCTCTGAAAGGACAAAGATTTCCAGACAGACGGGGAAGAGTGTAAAAATATAAATGATGAAGCTGATATGAGTATGAATTTTATTCCATAGGAGAGCATGTTTTTGGACTCCTAATGAAATATCCTCCAAATTATGGATTTAATAAATACACTTCACTGAAGGAACAGATGGGCTGTAAATGTGTAGTATGTCTAGTTTTTTTTTTTCTCTAAATGAACACAAATGCATTTATTATCAGATATTAAATGTGCTTTTAATTTTTTTTTTATTATCAGAAATTAAAAAGCCACAGTTACCAAAGGCAGTTTTCTCAGACTACAGACAAAACATAGGCTTTTAGTCCACACGGTGGCGCTCTTGTATCTAGATGTGATTTACAAAATATGTGCAAAATATTTTTTAGTTTAAATGCCTGGATATAACCGCTGTGGCCAAAACATAACCATCAGCGTTTAAAGATTTTCAGTCAGGGTATATTTTTGGTTTAAATGCTAATTGAACGGTGGCTCATTGGATAGCACTGTCTCCCCACAGCAAGAAGGTCGCTGGTTCAAGTCTCGTCGGCAGTTGACATTTCTGTGTTGAGTTTGCGTGTTCTCCCCGTGTTCACGTGGGTTCCCTCCGGGTGCTACCCAGAAGTCCAAAGACATGCAATATAGGTGAATTGGGTAAGCTAAATTGTCAGAATACTGCTTGTGTGTGATTGAGAGTGTATGGTGGTTTCCCAGTGATGGGTTGCAGCTGGAAGGGCACTGGCTGCGTAAAACATATGCTGGTTAAGTTGGCGGTTCAATCTGCTGTGGCGACCCCTGATTGTTAAAGGGACTAAGCCGAAAAGGAAATGAATGTATGAGCGAATGAATGAATGAACGAAAATTGATTACAAAAATTCATTTTCTTGTCTGCTTAGTCCCTTCATTAATCAGGGGTTACGACAGCAGAATGAACCGCCAACTTATCCAGCATGTTTTACCCAGCAGATGCGCTTCCAGCCAAAACCCATCACGGGGAAAATCTATAGTTTTAATTATTGGTTTAAATATGACATTTGAACTAAGTTATATTTTGAAAACTAAACCTCAAATAGGCGCAGTAAGTGACTCTTACTGAGACATATAAAGGCAAAACATAAAGGGTAATTTGTTTTTGAATCATAGTAAAGTGTGTGGTTCAAAGTATGGTTCTAAAACATTATTTACTATGAATTACTATAGTATATTTTATATTTGGTAATTGAAGAGTAGACTGAAGTTTTCATTTAAACATTTAGGTCATCTCTCAAAACAAGTGTGTAAACAAAACATGCAGCTGCAGTATTTTAATCAATAAAAATCCACTAAAAGTAGCTTATCCTAATGATGCATTGAATAAAAGATCAAAGTAGTATGTGTATGCCACTATGGCCATAGTTTCAGACTGTTGAGTGACTTTTTTCTCGCATGACTGATTGGCGCGATTATGCATTCACAATGGTATGAACCATTATAGAGGTGGTCAACTAGATGTCTATTATTTAAATATTAACATTATTATTTAAAATACATATCAGAGTGAACTTTTTTCTTAGTTTCAAAGGGCTGACCCCCCACACATTTTGTTTTGACGTTTTTAAAAACATTTCAAGACTTCCCACTTAGATATGCTTGGCATTTATAGCAGGTTAGGCATGCTGTCCCGGGAAAGAACCCTGAGCTTGGAAATATTTGAGCCCAGGGCTTCCGCCCGGTCAATAAGCATATCAGGGGATCCGAGATCAGGTAGGTCTTGATAGCTCCCCCTTTAGAAAGGGGAGAAAAAGAAGGATATGGGGTGGAAGGGGGGATTTTTCCAAAACGAAGATAGAGCAATAAGAAGTAAGTGATCCATTTATAGTAAGCTAGGATCACTCTGATGGATTATTACTCATTATGGATGAGTGTCCTGCAGTGCTCAATCATATCATGTGCTCCTCTCGAAATTAGTTTATGAAACTTCACTTAAAGTAATCCACATGCTCATTCAGAGACAGGGTTTTCATTGATGTTCACATTTAATACAGTTTCTCATCATTTTCTCACATTCAAATGTTCATATTTATGAAGTGCTTTCTTCTGTTGAACACAAAGCAAGTGATATTCTGTAGAATGTTGATAATAATTGACATCCTATAGGAACACAAAATAAGTCAATGACTGTTTTTTCCAACATTCTTCAGATTATCTTCATTTGCGTTCAACAGAAAGAAACTCAAACAGGTTTGGAACAAGTAGAGCATGAGTAAATGATGACAGAATCTTTTTTGGGGGGTGAACTATCCTTTAAACCGAATGTTCTCTTATCATTTGTTAGCCAGGACAGCTAATATGAATAGTAAAAATGAATGCTGGTTAGTCGTCTTGGCCATCATGAAGGATGTTCTTGTCACATCACCTAAAAACTATAAATTGTTTGCACTAAGTTTAACCAATTATCACTGTAAGATTCATGACTGAGCAGATGGTCAAATAGCTGAGCTGTTAGCAACTGAACATATATGTCTGCTATATCTGGATTGTGACTGAGACAGCTTGACACCTCAGATACTGATGACTATAACTCCTCAGCTCACAAACCGAAAGTCAGAAATCTGTTTTAATGACAAATAAGTGTGAGAGGTGAATCTGTGAGGTGAGATCTAGGCTTGGCATGGTGTGAACTTCACCACGGTGTGACACATTAATCATATCTAAGTGCTTAGACATTATCACCTCTGAACATGAAGCGTAAATGAAGCACCTACACAGCACGATACGCTCACCTGCGACAAATACAGGCTGAAGAGACTCAAGAGAATCAAGCTTTAAAGGTGAGGGTTAATTAGTCTGAAGCATGTCTTTATAACTCCCATGTATATGATTTCTGACACATTACATGCTTTGAAGATTAAAACAGCAGCATGGGGTTAATGCAGCGCAGAGATCATATTGTAAATCGCCATGCTTCTGTCAGTCAAAAGATGATCTGTAGACTTTAGTTGTAGATTATTCTCATCCTGAAACATTAATCCAGTTTGATCAGGTCTTATTCTGACAAACGACTTACAGTAGACCGATTACATGGATACTCCCACTGGATCGTGTCTTTTGTTCAAGTCTATAGGGGTTATTTGGTGTTACATCAAATGTTAAATCTTTTACATATTTAAGTCATTTGTTAGTATGGGGTCTAATCCTCCACAGATTAGCTTTCCATCCCTGCTCTCATGACATCTTAAAAGAAAAAATCACACAGCTTCTAGATTCTTGAATTTTGGAGTTTGGTCGTACAAACTGTTCCTGCAAATTGTGTCCAAAAAAAATGCTTGATCTAACATATTAAATTCAAGTAAACATTAAATCTTCTATAAAGTCTTTGTGAAATCAAAACGTGCAATGTTCAATCTGCTGTTTTGTTCATCTTCATCAAATTCTGACCTTAGCTTCCGGGATTTGAGTGGCGGTTCTTCTCAGGTTGACATCTTCAGCCACAATATTCTTAACCATGCTCCTTTACTGTTAAGTTGATTCATTTCTGTGTTTAACCCTATAGAAGAATTACCGGTTTGTAAACGTCTAGGATGTGCGTGCAGCGAGGTTGCAGAAAACCGGGAGCGTTAGCATTTACAGCAAAGGAATAACATCTGTTGCAGTACAGAGTTTGTTGTTTTATTAGAGATGAGTTATATTGATTTATTTACATAATGCTTTCAGTGTATTATAACAGCTGGTCATCCAGTGACAAGCACAGTTATTAAGCAAAATTAACATTAAAGTGAGCGGTGTTCGTCTGACAGGTCCATTTGTGATTGCACCCTTCCAACAGATATTGGAAAAGACGAAATGGCCAAGCATCCAGCCCCAAATATACAATCTCTATAATATACTCTATACATTGAAACTCCAAGTGATTTCACAAGAGAGGAGTTAAAGGCCTACAAGTCTTTGGATGCCTACAATGTTGTTCTGTGTGGTCATGTGCAAGAAATAATGCTCCATGATTACCAGATTCAAAACTATGTAGTGGTAAAAACCGAGCTTCTGCCTCGCACAAGGCCTGGGAAATCATCAACATGCAAAACAACTGCATTCTGACAGCAAACTGCACCTGTACTGCTGCAGGGTATGTGAACTTACACTTTTACATTTCATTCTGAGCATTCAGTGTCTGCGGTTTAATTAACCATATTTAACAGTTCTTGCTGAAATCACTGCTGCAATCAAAAACTAATAATGTGTATGAATCAGCATAGCGTGAACTTACCTGATATAAAATGAGAACTGCAGAGTCGAGCATTTTTAATTATGTCCTTACTCCATTCAGCTCTTATGATGGCTGTTGACCAAAGACATGCAGTTGGCATTGAAAGCAGTGTGGTGTATGGTAAAATTTAAGTTTTCTATTTTTGGACATTGGACGAATTTGGCTTCCTACCGCAGAACAATACATGTTTGCTATTGCAACCAGTTTTTTTTTTTTTTTTTTTTTTTTCAGCTAGTATGCATGTTGAACCCGTGTGACATCATGTGTGACATAGGTTGGTAATTCCCCTATAACCAGGGGGGCGGATAATCAGGGGTGGATGTAGTGATTTTGGGGCCCTAAGCAATTCCAGCCATGGAGCCCAAATGTTCTAAAACGCACCTTTAATTTTATTATTTTACTGTTTTTTTCTTATATCATTCAATCACTTTTTCTACATTTTATCGTAAGGCAAAATAATATTAATAATAACACAAAACTTTTGAAATGATTTGTTTTCTTAAAATGAATTTACAATTAGGGCGAGGCAGTGGCGCAGTAGGTAGTGCTGTCACCTCACAGCAAGAAGGTCGCTGGGTCGCTAATTCGAACCTCGGCTCAGTTGGTGTTTCTGTGTGGAGTTTGCATGTTCTCCCTGCCTTTGCGCGGGTGTCCTCAGGGTGCTCTGGTTTACCCCACAGTCCAAAGACATGTGGTACAGGTGAATTGGGTAGGCTAAATTGTCCATAGTGTGTGAGTGAATATGTGTGTGGATGTTTCCCAGAGATGGGTTGCGGCTGGAAGGGCATCCGCTGCGTAAAAAACTTGCTGGATAAGTTGGCGGTTCATTCCGCTGTGGCAACCCTGGATTAATAAAGGGACTAAGCCGACAAGAAAATGAAATGAAATATGAATTTATAATTAAATAAATTAATTATTTCTTTTTTAAAATCTTAACTGATTTGAGGCCAATTATCTTGCTTATTGGTTAAATCCGCCCCTGCGGATAGTAAAAGGTGAGGCAAGCAACCGCTTAGGGCCCCAATAAAATAGAGGCCCAGACTAATGGTAAGAAGCCTATATTAATCATCCTAAAGCTCTTTAATAATTTTTCTATCATATGTTATAAAATCTGTCTATAACCATTAAGATTTTAATATTATTACTTCTTTTCTAAGCTAGGGAGCCACCATGAATAGTGGAAAGTTCTTGTGGACTGCACATGCAAAGATTAAAATCTAATCACAAATCACAAGTATGGCTAATTAACTGTACATAGTTTGTGAGCTTGCGAATATATTGTATTTAATTTTAAATTAGGAAGGTTCCACTTAAAATATATTTTAACAAAAGCCTAAATCCAGAGAGAAAACAAATATCTGTAGAGAAAGTAGAGAGTTTTTTATCTGTAGAGAGTTTAAATGCAGAGCCCCCAGATCACTAAGTCCGCCCCTGCCTATAACTACACTATAAACCAATAAATATAAATATACAACCAATTCAACAAAGCCTTTTTGGACTGTAATATTGTAAAAATGCAGTCTATAGGCCAGTATATTTTTATACAACTTAAATTTGCATTGTTATTCGTAAAAATAAAATAATAGTTTTAGTAATGAACAGTTAAATACACATAAAATAATGTTTTACTGAAATAGAAAAATCTATTTGGTTGAATGCGGGACAGTAAATGGACACAGGCCATATATTGACAGTTCTCAAACCAAGTCCATTATGTCCTCAGCTCCCACACACTGCACCGATTGATATGAAATGACAGGGAGGATTGCATTCAGTGATCACGATCCAGCTCCTCTAATACTGTCAGGTACAAATGTCTCTTTTGTAAAGACATGTTGGTGTGTGTGAAGGTTTACTGACAGCCCGAGCAGAGGAGGAAACCTCATGACATCAAACATCATAAAAAGCAGAATTACAGCACTGCAGTGGATACCCTTCTTCATCCTCATATTCATCTCTTCATCAATGACACCAGTACATGTAGATTTGTAGTAGCTAAATGCAGATTCCCAGACTCCCAGAGATATGCATTTGAAAATTTGTAAGCTGAGGTGTTTTATGCCCAAAACAACAAAATTGAGCACAAAAGAATTATGTTACGCTCATTATGCAGTAGTACACAAATGTCTGGTACACATTTATCATTTGCAAATTTAAACAATTTGTCCCCAAATCAGTCTATCTAAATAATTTTTGAAGTACACTGGTCATTTTTATGTACAGGATTCTGTATTTGTTAGGTTTTGTTATTGGCAGTAGTTTATAATAATCTGATTGCCTGAAGTGAAAGAGAACAGACACAGGAAATGAATGCTAATTCTAATATTTATAATAACTTTGTATCTTGAAGGTTTTTTAAGGATTGTCTTGTTTTGAATCATTGGAAAGCATACTTGGATTTTGGTAACCATTAGACACAAAATCACAATGATTGCATACTTTTGACAGCAATTGATCCACCATTACATAGAAGGTAATGCTGTTACCTCACAGCAAGAATGTCGCGGGTTCGAGCCTCAGCTGGGTCAGTTGGCATTTCTGTGTGGAGTTTGCATGTTCTCCCCGTGCTTGTGTGGGTTTCCTCCAGGTGCTCCGGTTTCCACCACAAGTCTAAAGACATGTGCTTTAAGTGAATTGTCCATTGTGTATGTGTGAGAATGAAAGTGTATGTGTGTTTCCCAGTGATGGGTTGCAGCAGGAAGGGCATCTGCTGTATAAAACATATACTAGATAAGCTAGTGGTTCATTCCGCTGTGGCGACCCCAGATTAATAAAGGGACTAAGCCAAAAAGAAAATGAATTAATTATCCACAGTTAATGAACATCTGATTGATTTTACATAGTTGTTTATTTGTTTAATCTTTTTTATAACTCTAAAATACAAAAATACAAAAGAACTGCAAAAAACAAAATTTCTGCAACAGATCCCATAAAAATATTTCTTTTAGTATAATTTTTCAATAATCCTTTGGATTAATCAGCTTGTTCGTAAAATGACTTTTCAAATCACATTTTAACATTGTCAAAAGAACACTGACAATCACAACTTGAACTAATCTAACCACAACAAAATCACAATTGCAAACACATTCCTCTAAAACGAATAATTCTAGAACAAAGGTAACAATTTTATCTATTAAGTTAAAAAGAAATGGTCCAATCAATACAGAAATCAAATCTCAAAAACAAAAGCTGTGAACAAGCATGGAGGCAGCATTTTGTGTGCAACAGTTTGTGTGGACCATCAGATGGATTTTCCACTCTGCGATGGATTAAGCTCCACTGCTTTTCTCTCATGAGTGAGCAACCAGACTTTAATATCGTCTCCCTTTCCTCCCATGTATGATCCAGTGTGTCCTGAACTGAGCAGCACTCGGTGACATGGCACTATTAACGGGACCTGACAAAACAATAGATACATCAGATATTGAGTCAGAATTATTTTTGACCAGGATCTACAGAACACATACGGCTTTTAAGGCTTGTGACTGAGCATTTAAAGAGAGTTTAAAATATTTGGGCAAAAAATAAAAAATAAAATAAAATGATGTTTGGAGGTGTAGCAAAGGTTTATCGTGTCAAATTATTTATATTGAATTTATACAATTTATGCCAAAAAAAGTCTTCATTGAATTTTTTTGTCTTGTTTCTACTCCAAATATCCACATTTCAAAGTGAAAACAATATTATTTTACTTGCCTTACTGGCAGATAATTTAGCTTGTTATAAGGAAAACTCATAATTTTGACTTTATTTCTTCTGAAGATGAAAATAAAACAATATTTTACTTGCCATAATACATAAACTTGACATATATGGACTAGAAAGGAGACAAAACAAGTGAGAAAAACATTTTTGGTATTGTGATTATTTAATTTACGTACTTCAGTACTTTTAGAATCCTTAGAAAATTGTCAAATATTGCTGTTCTAATCATTATTGTGAAACCAAGTACATACAAAACATTTATTGCATATATATATATATATATATATATATATATATATAAATATATATATATATTGCCATTTCAGATTTTTTCAATATCATGCAACTCTAATTCCAACAAACGCACAGGGTTTTGCTTCATGGCTGAGCCCACTGCTCGCACAGCGTTTGGGTTCCCAATCATTTCAGCAAGCTGCTTGTAGGAGACTGTTTTACCAACTCCCACTTCCTTCAACAGAGTTTTCAGCACCTGTGCTTTAAAAGAGTCTGAGAGAGAGTAAAGAAAAACAGTGCTGGTTAAGTTCTGGTCATTATTGTAAATGAGCTTGAAATGAGCGTGTGACTGACCGCTCTGCATTAGCGGATGATGTAAGGCAGGCAGAGGAAGAGCACTGATGGACTCTGGGTTCATGAAGTAGCATTGAAGCCAGTCAACACAACGCTGCAGCTCAGAGCTCATCTCTGACAGGACAACAGGGTGGACACTACAACAGGAGACACTGTAAAAGGCAATTTACCCAACAAAAAATGAATTTGCTGTTAATTTACTCTACCACTTATGATTTTCAAACTTCACTGTTTTCACACTCGCAAACATCAACAACCAACCTTCCTTTTAAGTTTGGTGCTGTAAATACTAACTGTATTATAAATTTCTCTCTTTGGTGATTGTAATATGATGTATTGTAGTGATGTTGTTTAGTGACTGTTTAGTGACTAGGCTTTCAGTGCTACCAGGCTAGCGTTAGCATTTTAAATTAGCTGAAAATTAGCTGTTTTCCATCTTTAAGAGTCACTGTGCTTCATAAACAATATTCTCTAAGAGCAAGTACTACATTTGAATTTCAACTTTCCTTGAACTGAATTGTTAAAAGTGTACATTCAATAACTGCTTTTAATCACATAATAATTTTGTGTGACTGGAATGGGTTAAGCCTAGTTCACACTACAGGATTTTAAGCCTGATTTAAGGCCGATTTGAAAGTTAATGAGCTCGCCAACAGATCAGGCTATGATCGGGAAAAAATCTGCAGGTGCTCGGCTCTCTCGCAGATGGAAAATTAATATCTAGCATGCTGAATATTCCGGACAGTCGGCCAGAGCTGCAGCCAATGAGAGAGCATTTCAGCATGAACTGAATGGCCGTGTGCTCAGGAGCTCAACAGAAACGTCTGTGATTGGCCAGAATGGCCATCAATGCACTCGCTTCAATCTGCGTTAACACAGACACGAGAGTACACTATACTACCGGTTAAACTAGAATTCTGTAACTATTATAATTACCATACTGGTCATTCTGAGCGTTCTCATATAAGACGTCATACTGTCACATCATATTTCCATTCAAAACTTCTATTGAGATAATAAAAAAATTAAGCTTTGAATGTCTGTCATCATATTTTATGACACCATTACCCTAAAAATGTTCATTTTTGGTAATGCAGCCTATAAATATGTAGTTAAGACACTAAAACACACAAAGGTCTGGGCCGCGCTTTTATTTTCACTTTCAAACAGGAGCTATTGCGCAGTACAGAATATGCTGTTTTGAAATATATATCTGAAATAAATTTATGGTTTTGCTACCAGAAAGTTATGTTTATGTTAGCAGGAAGTTTCTAGGCAATAATGCACGCATATTTAAAGTCACTGTGAAAAGTAGCATACATGCATGCAGTCATTTTGACCGAAATGGTAATTAAAGGTAGAAATTCTTAGTTCTTAACTGTTTTGTAATTTTAAAAAAATAACAATGTTAGAAAGAAATACGCAGGTATTTAGAAAACATCAGGGTGTTATAGATTTGTTAGTTTTATTTCAAAGAGTTATTAAATTACAAAACTTAAAAACTCTCTGCCTGCCTCGGTAGTGCTAGTGTTAAAGCCACATCTATCCACTTGCAGATGAGCGATTGATCTGCTGACGCATCAGCTCATTGACCATGTTTTTAAACGCTCCCTTGAAAGCTTAAAACGCTGTCAGTGATGTAATAAGCACACAAGCAGCCAATAGTGTTCAGCTTTTTCCTCCCTCAAAATAACATTGGCTGTGGTTTGGTAGCTTGACTGAGCTGTTGTTGAACGAGTTGTTGTCAGATCATGTAGTGTGTGACCCCCCCTCTTGTGTATCATTTACGTAGTGTCATGTAGTGTGAACAACACAGGGATTAAGACACAAAATCAAGTCATGTAGTGTTAACAGCACAGCGATCTGCTGATGTTTAAAGTCATGTAGTGTGAAGTAGGCTTTAGGCAGCTCGTTTGCGCAGCAGGTAGCAATGTTGCCTCACAGCAAGAAGGTCGCTGGTTTAAGCCTCGGCTGGGTCACCCACAGTTCAAAGACATGCCCGTGAATTTAGTAAGCTAAATTATCCAGTGTATGTGTGTGAATGAGAGTGTATAGGTTATTTCCAGTGATGGGTTGCATCTTGAAGTGTATTCACAGAGTAAAAAAAATGCTGGATAAGTTGGCAATTCATTCTGCAGTGACGACCCCTAATTGACATAGGGACTAAGCCGAAAAGAAAATGAATGAATGAATAGAATGGCTTAGTGTTGATGTTTGTGAGAGTTACCTCTCCTCCTTGTCTGTGTTCAGTTTGATGTCAATGGTGTGAACTCCCTTCTCACAGCCGCGCAGCAGGATTTCCCCCACCGGAGAGGTGAGAGTCACAGCACACAGCACACAAGCACCGCTGGCAGACATCACAAACTGCGCACAAAGACAAATATATGACCAAACCCTGGTAAACACATGCAAAAACAAGCTCTGACAGCAGTATACTGCACACCAACAACTGCGCACGTGCATAAACAAAACATCAGCACACACGCTTGCTCACGCGGAAGCAAAAACGCACTTAAAGCGGTTAAATATATAAGACAGTTAATGCATGATAAAATTATTAGCGTATTAACAAATAGCTAAATAATAAATAGATTCCATACACGTTTACAGCGAATAATTAAAGCAGAGAATTGTTGAATGTTTCTGAAAACCTGTTCCCGATGTAACTTCCTGCTTGGAAAACTTGCCACGACAAATGACCAATCAGAGTGCAAATATATTTGCGCTTAGCTCTGCTATTGGACAATTTTGCTTTCAGTCAGCCTCACTGAGAAAAATTATATTCTGAAAAAAATAACATTGTTATTCATTTGTAAGTATTTATTTTATATATATATATATATATATATATATATATATATATATATATATATATATATATATATATATATATATATATATATATATATATATATATATACACACACACACTACAATTAGGGGGGGAAAAAAAAAAAAAAAAAAAAAAAAAAAAAAAAAATATATATATATATATATATATATATATATATATATATATATATATATATATATATATATATATATATATATATATATATATATATATATATTTTTTTTTTTTCCCCTAATTGTAGTGTTGTATATGTATAATTTTCATTTTATTCTAATTTGTGTTTTTCTATCTTAATTGTAAATATTTAATGAAATATTTAATGATTTGAAGGTATTTGACTCTATTTATATATGTATGAAGAGTTTAAATGCACAATTCTGAAGTATCGTCTAATATTTTTATCTAAAATGAGCATTTTTATCAGGCTGTTGTGTGTAGTTTCAGTAATAATTACTCTTAGTGCAAAGAATAGGTTATTTTCATTGCATTTCAAGTAAAATAACTAAACACAATCAGAGGAGGCTGAGAAAAATGCTAATTTAAGAGGCACTTTAGATGCCAAATGTCAATAATAACCATTTATTAAAGTAAAAAATTCAATATCAAAAGATCAAGGTCATGTAACATTTAAAAGTGTAAATTAACAGAAATCATCATATCATATCATATCATAAAGGACAAGACAAATGTGTTTAGTGGTGTGAAATTTTATTTTCATCACTGGCATACTGTTTGTGAAGGGTGCTGAACATCCGCATGAACATTATATGTGGCAATGACACTATTATTACACAGTTGTGCCGCCTCTATTATACACAGAGAACTCACTCATGCGCTCAGACTTATGGCAGACAATCTCCAGCATTTGCCTTTATTTTGAGGTCTCCCCCTCATAGTAAAACCAGATGGATGACGAAGAGATTATTTGAGAATTCAGTGAAGTATCTTAAAGAAAACAAATAGAGCCTCCTCCCTGAACCCAGTACTCAAGCTCGATGAGAATTTAATGAGACATGAAGAATAGATTTGTGGAAACCAGGAAGCATGTGGGACATGGACTGATATCAATCTTCACTTGAAAATAAATCCTTTGTGTCATTGTCATCAGATGGTTCAGTGATTATAGAAGTTCATAGATAAGTAAAACTTGTGAAAGCAAAGTTTTGTTGTAGGTTAATAAATAAATGTCATTATTTTTAGCACAATTTTTCAGTGTTACAATGAATCAAAAGTTAAGGGAACTCTTTTATTATTTTTTACTTTGTCATTTAATTCTTTTACTTTAAAGACAAATTGACTAAAAATGTCAAAAACATACTACCTTTGCCGCAAAAATATCTAGAAGCCATTTCAACTTTTATAATAATAATGTTTTTTAAGCACCAAATGGATGATTTCTGAAGGATCGTGTGATGTAAAAGAGATTTAAATCTATTTTAGTTATTTTATAAATTATACTTATAAATCTAATCTATTACAGTTATTTTGATTGCATGGAAAGTTTGCAATATTAATCAATTAAATATGTATATCAATTAAATGCATTTTAAGAAAAATGATTGACCCCAAACATTTAATAGTGATAGAATAGAAATGTACTAGTCAGTTAGACACACACAACCATACACAGACAATATTAATAAATCACAGCTTGAACACAATACAAATACATCAATAATGGAGAGCTGCAGAAGCAACAATTTTATAATTTTACATATAGATTTGTATGTTTATATTGCTTGAACTGAAAGAACTATTGAATGAAGAAATAGAAGTTGTTATATCTTGATCACAATGAGCACGACTTCTTCATTTCTACATCTTGACAGTTTATCCACGTGAGAGTCTGACTGGTGTTTAGTCCACGCAATGCTGAAAAACATAAATAAATAGACGTGAGCCTGTCTGCTGTTCACACTTTTCAAATCTCCATGATTATGTACTTTCACACTATAATAAAGAGACAATATTAATGGACAAGGGCAGTATATGTGTGTGTTTGTGTATCTTGTAATGTGTATCCCCAAATGTCCCAACAAGCACAGCAAAAACCATATATTTTGGTTTTGTGGGTGTATTTTTTGGTTCCAAGGAGGAAAATGCTTCATGAGTCACAGGATTAGAATAAGTATGTGTGTGTGTGTGTGTGTGTGTGCGCGTGCTTGTTGTTCTCTCACCATGCAGATAGAAAGACTTGAAATTTGGTTTTGTTAGTGCAGCTTCAGAACTGGAGCAAAGGCACTTTTCTGCTTCACTATAGAAATAATAACAAGAGAAAGATGGGGTTTAAAAGTGAAGGTTTAAAGGGGTAGTTCACCAAACAATTCATATTCCATGATAGTTTACTCAAACTTAGTTAATCAGGTTTCAATAACATTTTTAAAGTTAATAAACTAAATAAATTAAGTCATCAAGAAATTTTACAAGTTTTATAGTGCCCAGCGTATTTAAGATGTACAGTAGGTAACTTTTTCAGAAGAATGTTAAAAAAGACTTTAACGTGAAACTGTTGTCATTGTTGGTTCATAAAATGCAAATAATATATTAATTTAGTTTTGTCTTTAATGTTTTCTGACTCTCAGAGTGCTTGCATAAATCACAAAGGTTCATGTTTTCTAAAATAAGCCAAAAAAATTGTTAATGTTCTTTTGAGGAAAAAGGATAAAATTTTTGTGAGCTATTCTTTTAAAATGAACACCTAAAACCACCAGCATATATATATATATATATACTCTCACTTTATTAGGTACACCTGTCCAACTGCTTGTTAACACAAATTTGTAATCAGCCAATCATATGGCAGCAACTCAATGCTTTTAGGCATGTAGACATAGTCAAGATGATCTGCTGCAGTTCAAACCGAGCATCAGAATGGGAAAGAAAGGTGATTTAAGTGACTTTGAATGTGGCATGGTTGTTGGTGCCAGATGGGCTGGTCTGAGTATTTCAGAAACTGCTGATCTACTGGGAGCTTTCATGCACAACTATCTCTAGGGTTTACGAAGAAAATATCCAGTGAGCGGCAGTTCTGTGGGCGCAAATGCCTTGTTGATGCCAGTAAAGGAGAATGGCAACAGTAACCCAAATAACTACTCGCATCTCTCAACGCAAAACACATTGAACCTTAAGGCAGATGGGCTTTGGCGTCAACAACATGAAAGCATGGATCCATTCTGTCTGGTATCAATGGTTAAGGCTGGTGGTGGTGGTGTAATGGTGTGGGGGATATTTTCTTGGCACATTTTGGGCCCATTAGTACGAATTGAGCATCGTGTCAATGCCACAGTCTACCTGAGTATTGTTGCTGACCATGTCCATCCCTTTATGACCACAGCGTACCCATCTTCTGATGGCTACTTCCAGCAATGCACCATGTCATAAAGCGTGAATCATCTCTGACTGGTTTCTTGAACATGACAATGAGTTCACTGTACTCAAATGGCCTCCACAGTTCCAACCTTTGGGATGTGGTGAAATGGGAGATTCATATCATGGTTGTGTAGCTGACAAATCTGCAGCAACTGCATGATACTATCATGTCAATATGAACCAAAATCTTTGAGGAATATTTCCATTACATTGTTGAACCTATGCCAAGAAGGATTAAGGCAATAGGGGGTTCAACCCGGTACTAGTAAAGTGTACCTAATAAAGTGGCCAGTGATTTTATATATACACACACACACACAGACACAACCACTGAAGACAGCAGTGTGTCCATAGTAGAATATGGAGTAGTTGTTGTTGTTGTTTTAGTAATCTTCACTAAAATGGGTCAAATATATATTTTGTATGAACATAACTGCAGAATTTATAAATGTTAAACTGCTTTTTGGGTTGTGTCATAAGTTTAACAAATGCAAAAAAGTAATAAAGTATCTGCAATTTAAATGCATTCAAAATTCAACTGTATTTTAAAACAGAAACTTTTTAAAATATCAAATCAGTATTTTTAAAGATAAATGTGGAAGGTTGCTTTTTTTTAAAATTCTTAATATTTTAGTTGGTTTTCAAGGCCTCACAAAAAGAGAGAAAAATATGTTCTTACCTACATAGTGCTGTGTGTCCACTGTGGGATTGTCTTTGAACACTTGTGTGGCAGCCATAGAGAAATTTGGCACAGCGGGGCGTGTGTGTGTTTGTGTGTGTCCGGACAGGTGTGTGTTTGAGTGTGAATGTGTGAGTCCATTCATGCACATGTTGGTGTTGTTGAATTCAGACTGTTGGGATGTGCTGCCTTCAATAAAGCCAGTGTTTGAACTCCTGTTGAAACTCGCTGAAAGAGACAATAAGACATACATTAAAACAAACGACTGGAGCACGTGTAGCATCTTCACGTGCACTGAACATTCTGCATACCTCGTTCTGCATCCTGCTGGGAAACCTCTGTGTTCAAGCTTAACTGACCATCATAGGAGTTTACAGCCATCATCCCATGTGGATTTGTGTGCGATGGGTTTCGAGGGATGCTGTTTAATGCCTCGGCTATGTCAGATGCACGCTTCAGAATAATTTCCTGTTGTCACATATGCATCACAATGCAACACTTTTTCAGAAGCAATTTTTCACTATTCATTTTTTTTATATATTCAGTAAAGCATTACAATCCATGAACAAAAAGACAGGTAAAAGCCTGAGGTTGAACTCTGCTGCTGAGTTAAAAAAAACAGCAAGAAACATCAAAAAATAAAAATAAATTAGAGACAACAGAAATATCTCATATTAGTCAGGGTGATGGGTTTGACAAACCACCAGTAGAAAACCCACTTTCATCTCGCCGGCATATTAAATCAACACTTGCAACAGATTTGCACCAGACACTTTTTTTTTTTTTACGATCATTCAACATTTAAAAAAAAAAATTGGTTCAATCTGAGGTTCACACAGATGAGTGGGTTTGGCAAACCACCTGTAGAAACACTCTTCTCTCTTAAAAGAAAAAAAGACACTCCCCCCTCATAACACTCAATACTCTGTGTACTATTGGCCCGTTTCCATTGAGTGGTATGGTATGGTTCAGTACGCTTTTATGGCTGTTTCCACTGTCAAAAGGCGTACCAAACCGAACCGCACCGTACCACTTTTTGGTCAGTCTTTGCAAAGGGTACCAAAAGGTGGAGACAGACGCACAGCTGAACGCTATTGGTTTACAAAGATACGCCATTCGCTCGCCCAACAAGCCAGAATGAAAACAAAGGAACCGCCATGTTTTAAATACACAGCCAAGACATTACATCGTAATAATATATAAATATAATAACAAGCATTTATTTATTTATTTATTTATTTATTTATTTATTTATTTATTTATTTATTTATTTATTTATTTTATATAATTGCAGGCATTACAGTAGGCTATTTCACACTGTCATTAATCATTTTCATTTGACAGTTATAATCAAATCATGTTCATAGAAAGGTTAATAATGAATATTTATACTGAAGTGTTTATGTGTATAAAGCATTTGTTTTGTGAGAAGTGTTATTCATATGGATATGTGAACGTACAGTATTCTCTCAAGCGAAAATGATGCTGACTAAAATTTTCCGTCGTACACTACGTCTACCAAAAGAGTACCATTGGTACCCTTTTAACAGTGGAACCGCAAGCTTGATAAAGGTGACCCGTACCATACTGTACTGTACCACAGTGGAAACAGGCCATAAGTGTATTGCCTCTTCTTATTGAGTTACTGAATGCCTCCTCAATTTTAAGTCATTATAAACAAAAGCGTCTGCTAAATGACCAAATGTAAATGCATTCATTTATTCATGGTGCAAAGTTCTCTGTGAATTATGGGTAATGTAATTTTTCTGCATGAAATCTGCTATTAAATATGATTAAATATTAAATAAATTGAATTAATGTGAACAGATGAGTACAACAAAAACAATCGATTAACAGCCTTAAATTTATAACAAAATGTTTATCATACATTGTTTTTATTTTATCATTTAATCCACATAAAGAAAATAAAGTAATTTTTAAATTCTGGAACCTCACTGTTGAGCTCTATAGAACTTATATAACTTCTGTTCCATGTTTATTTGCATAACTAACTCATCAGTTGCAACGAAAATATGAATTGAAATGTTATGTTCACCTGGTTGTTCTGAGGCGCTCCATAAAAAGTCTCTATGAGATCAGCTGCTCTCTTCAGCAAGACCTCCTCATAATTAAAAACAAACATAAAAAAAATCATGAGAACAGATTTTTTAGAAATGTAAATACAACTGAACAGATATGAAGATTCATTTAAACATTTAAAAAAGAATATAGAGAAGTTAAAATGAAGTTAGTTAGGAAATAAACAGATTTCCCCTACGAATATATACGAGTATGAAGTCAACTCAGTATCACTATCGGCAGCATTTATTAATCATAGTTCAACATTTACTAACGCATTGCTGAAATCCAAATGTTTGTGTTAGTAAATATATAATCTAAAACACAACATATCATTCACAACATTACTTCAGTACATCTTCAACCTTTGAAACAACCCCAAACATTTATAGCAGAATGTAGAGTAGTTAAAATAGAGTTTGCTAGGAAGTAAATTGATTTCAAAGGTCCCAACAATTATTCACAGTAAAGTCAACTTTTGTCAGCATTTCTGGCTCACTTTTGGCAGTCTTTCCACATCGCCAGGATGGTGAGGAATGACCTTCTGCAGCCGCTGGAACCCGTAGTCAATAGTTGGCTCATTTAAAGCTAAAACAGGGAAAAAAGAATTCATAAAACAACAAAACATGTGAAAGAATGTCAGAGGATGTGCAGGCTTCAATGAAATATACTGTTTATTTATTTGCAGAAACAGAAAGAGTTCTCCAAATCTAGTCAATGTTTAGTGCAAACTCAAAAATGGTCACCAGTGTAAACGAAGCGTCCCGGAGCTCCCCTGCAGAACTGTTTGGATTTGTAGGACAAAGTGACCTCTACAACCCCAGGGATGTGACGAGGTGGAGTCTGCACTCGAATCGCATGTGGTGTGATCACCTACAACAAAAAAAAAAAAAGTAGGAATTTAGAAGAAAACAGATTAACTTTACTTCCTCATCATGTGCAGATCTCATTCTAATAGAGCCTCACATTCATGCATTGCAACATATGTTAAGATTAAGATTCAAAAGCAATGCAAATCTGTCGGTAACATATGGCGAATAAGTGAAGTGAAAAGGCTAAAATGAAAAAAAAAAGTATTTATAGTTATTCTTTAATACACACCTCACTCCAGACCAGCATTGTTCCGAAAACCACCTGTAGACCACTGAAGAACTGATCTCCAATAATAATCACTGACGCTCCACCTGAAGTCCAGCCTTCACTCGGACTGATGGCCTTAATGCAGGGGATCTCAGCTACACACAGGGGTTGCACATTACAGACACAGAGTACAAATCACTACAATTAATCAATTAATCAATCAATCAATCAATACATATATTTTTTCATTTATGAAGGGGTCATTAGCAAAAACAGATCACTAACTAATTAATCATTTTATTGCTTTTATTTTATTTATCTTCTATTGATATAATGCATTCAACTGTATATTGTCATTTGAAGACACAGATTTGAACTGCATTCTTCTTTTAACTGCATTTGAGTCATTTGTAAATTTTTCCACTTCTATGAGTTATATCAATTCCAAAGTTGCAAATATGTTTGATCGCTGTACCTTCAATCAATTCAAATCGTCTTGCTCTTCTTCCATGCTTTGAATTGTTGTGGACAAATATGTTATCCGAAATGGCTAGAATGTGGGCCTTAACAGAGGCTGTGGTGGAGACCAGCACCTGCAACGCACAGTTACTTTTACAAAAAAAATGCACAGAAAAATATAACAGTACATCAGCATCCATCATGTTTACATAGAAATTATGTGTGTACCTGGAAACGGCGTGTGTCTCGTGGGTTTCCTGCGTTCTTCAGGCAATTTTGATTACATTTGAGAAAAAACTTCAAGAAGAATCTAGAATAAGCATGTTATAAAAAAAAGGGCATTATTTTAAGGGCAAGACAGACATCTTTGCGCTACAAATGTGTGAAGGTATGTGTGGATCAGGGGATGGAGAAAAAGAGTCTCTGAGAAAATGATGTGAAAAGACAGAAAGCGAAATCTGGAGAGATGAAAGAATATAAACTACATAATTGTGACCCTGGACCACAAAAACAAAACATTGTTGTAAAGGGATACTTTTTGCAATAACCAAATAAGATTGTAGTCAAATTATTGTTTTTCTTTTATGCTAAAAATCATTAGAAGATTAAGCACATGATTTTTTATGAATATACTTTGTACATTTCCTACTTTAAATGAAAAAAAAAAATTCTAATTCCGATCAGTAATGTGCATTGCTAAGCACTACATATAGACACCTTTAATACAGATTTTTTTTAATGTTTTAGATTTTTCTTTTAACCATCAGATTACAGATATACAAATAATTGCATCTTGGCCAAATTCTAACAAACCATAAATAAATATGGGGGGAAATTGCACTACGGAATTAGTCATAAGTGTTTTTTCTTTTTTCAATAACAGAGATTCAGGTGATATTTATATAAAAAATAAATAAATGTCGCTCATGGCTGGTTTTGTGGTCCCGGGTAACACATTTTATTATTCAATTTAAATTTTAGAAAAGCTCAAATGATTGGCCTACCTGTCGATAATGACAGGGTCTGATGGTGTTTCATTTCTGTTTCCACAGCTTTTTTTATCACAACATCGGCTGTAAAAATGTACATATACATATCCACAATTACTTCCTCATCAAGTGTAAAATATGCTAAAACAAACACAATATATATGAAAGACCGTTTTATTTCAGCATGTTGTAGAGATACAAGTTACCTGCACATCGTCTCATGCGTGAGAAGAACACGGCACATCTCAGGGTTTTTATCCTGACCTTCAAACACAATTGCCTGAGAAACAGCAGATTGTTATGTAAAGCAAAATAAATAAACATCTTGTAATCATTTACTTAGTAATCATTTCAGTGTACATGTCATATTTATATGCTCTATCACTGCGTAAAACATGTCAATCACACTTTAAGGTTTCGTTAATTAATGCAAATTCTAACATGACATAAGAATGAACAATACAGCATTTATTAATCATAGTTCAACATTTACTGATGCTTTAATACAATACAGATAATTATTGTTAGCATTAGTTCATGCACTGTGAGGTAACATGAACTATTTTATAAACCAATGTTAGCAAAGATGATTAAATACTGGAATGAATGTATTGTTCATTGTTTGTTCACGTTAGTAAGTACATCAACTTATTGCTTAGCTTATTGTTCAGTGTAATTATCATATGTTAAGTTATTAACAATAATACCTAACAAAACAAAACTGCTGGGTTTTAAAAAATATTCTTGACTATTGCAATCTTTCAGCACTAAAAGTAAAGTACTAAAAAGTGTAAATGTACATACAATGCTTTACCTGTTTGGTCACAGAGTCTATCAAACGGATGTAGAGATCTTGCTCTGTTCTGACACCTAAAAAGCGAAAGATCAGCACTGAACATCATTTATGTTTCTTAAAAAACGTAGGTAATATATAAAGTGCTCACCATTATTGTAGAGTAACTGAAGTTTGTAATGGATTCCATTGTTTGTTTTTTCACTCACTGGTTCCTAAATCATAAATGGACAAATCAATATATGCTTTTCTTATTTTGACATTCTTAAAATATGTTTGATTTTTTCCACATTTCTCCTCACCTTGTCTTTTTCAACAAAATCCACAAATGCAGTTTGCTCTATTTCCACAGACTGACCCTGACTGTCATATAAAGCCAAAACAAAGTGAAAGAAGTTTGACTTGCGCAGGTTTGCAGGCGGCTGTTTCTCGAAGTGTGCTCGAGCAAGACCAACATCTCTGCCGGGAACAGAAACAATTGTTCTAAGTCATTTAAATTGAAATAATTTGCACAATGTTTGAAAGAAGCAAACTTTCTATAGCAAACTGGATTCCAGAGTAATATAGATTTCTCATAAGAGTTAGCCTACTATTAAAAAAAAATTAAGATACCTTTGCTTGTCTCTTACCTAATTATACCACTAAACATGTATATATCTTGTCTTATTAAAATATATCTTTTTTTTAACATAATACTTTTAATGACTAATTTCCGTTGTCTTTTTCCAAGATTACAGTATCCTATTTAAGTAGTTATTTTGCAATATACTAGTATTTAGCTTATTAATATATGTGCAAATTAAGATTTCTACAATAGCCTACTAGCTTGTGAATATTCTTCTAAATGTAAAATAAAATAGAGAATAGCATTTATATTTAGAGAATACTAATGTTTTAGCTTCAGAGGAGCTAAAATTCGTGAATTTTTACCAAAAACTCAACATTTTAATACAAAAACTGTTATAAAAAACAACAAATAATAGAATTTTAGTTAAATCCACACATTATAAATGACATTTGCAGAGAAACCAAGTGACCACATCTCTTTTTATATTAAGTGTCATTTAAGTATACAAACCTTTAATTAAAATAACTTTAATCTAATAACCTGTTTAAATTGAGTCCTTTAGCATATCCACAAAACCCCTCTCTAGTCTCAACTGAATTAATCAAAAAATAATAAACTGAATAATCAATAAAACAGCAGCAAAAAAAGTCACTCTTCATTTAATGGTGTCCGTATTTCATTTAATCAATGTACATTTACCCTGTAATATTAATTAAAAGCATCCAAGCATGTAATTTTTACAGGTATGGTTTTGCATAAGTTTACTAATATTTTATTGCTATAGAAAATACTGCGGGTGAAATGTAAAAAATAAATTGGTCATATGTTTTGCAACACAGCAACACAACAGGCAACGTTGTGCCTTATTTATTTAATTTACTTCTTAAGTAAAGCCATCTAATATAATGTGGGACCTAACTGTCCACAAAAGCGGTCATAATGATGCTGACAAGCACAAAGCCAAGTCTGTAAACTTGCTTTATCTTGCAAATAAAGTTGTTCATGAAAGTGTATGACGAAATAAACAACAGAGAAGTGCATTCATCTTCTTACCTCTGTGTGGAGAGACTGCTGTGTGTGTGCAGCCAGGAGACCGCTGACCCTGCAGATGACCCTCTGACCTCCTGCTTCATCTCAGAGACCAGGCGGATGTCGAGCTTCCTTCTCCCTCAGGACTGCCGTAAGACAATCCGCAGGAGAATAGGAGTTGATGGATGTAATAATATGGTATATGGGCGTGGCTGTGACGCACAACATCAATCAAGCTTTGGAAACCGAGCGACGCATCAAAAAAATAAAATAAAATGAAATAGAAATTCACAGTAACTTTACATTAGTTAAACACGATTCGTTAACGTAAAATATATTTCTAATAAAGTTATTAAGTCATCATTATACGACTTTTGATTTTAAAAAATACATTAGTAAATATTATGCTAAATGAATCTGAGCTAACTGAAAAAAAAATGAAAATGATTATTATTAGGCCTGTCTATTATTAGCCATATTAGCTAATAAATAATATTAACAAATATTAGTAGGCTACTGCTCATTGTTAGTTAGTGCATTATCTAATGATGGTAAAGCGTGGTTGATTTTTAGATTTCTTTAAAAAATACCACTGACAATAAATTGCGACATATTATCAACCGGCAACCCTTTATAATATTATTAGTAGGCTATTAATACTATTAGTCTTATTTAAAAGAGTTCATTTGGATTTAATTTGGATTATTTTTTTATTTTTTTTGGTTACAGTTTTTGTTCTGATCTGAATTGTCTTAATTTTACTTATGCTATAATTAAAATAACGCATTATCTGCATATCCTATCTTCTTATACATGCAAATCTTCATATTCCTTGAAGTTTTGAAACTTCAAAAGTAGTTGCGAACATCATAATCATACCGTGAGGTTAATATGTGTGACAAATAACCATAAACCCCTGCATGTTTTTAGAAAACGTTTACACATTGGAAAATCAGCACTGAAAACCTCCTGCGCCGTTCAAACTTTTCCAAGTCCTCAATTTTATGAGCTAATTAGTTTTTTAGTGAAAATAATTATAGCCACAGGAAAATAAATAGAATCAGGAGATATATACAATACAATAATAAAATAAAGAAATAAAAGGAGTTCTACACAATATTTCAAAATAACACACAAGAACTATTGGAATTGTTCGTTCTCATGTTACAGCAAATGTTATAGCTCTGAAGCGCCCTCTGTAAAGAAACAACAAAAACTGATTGCCTTTACAAAATCCATGTTGCTGTTAATTGTATAACTGTTGCTGACTGTTTTAAAAACATCTATAGTATACATTTTACATCTATTAATTATTAGAAGTTATTGATTTATTAGAAGTCAATTCCAAAAAAGCAAAGTCTCTGAAAATTGGGTTAAAGCGCCACCTGGTGTCCACAAAAGGCCAGTACAAAACACAATACTATTTTAGGTGTAAAGACCAGGGGTGCCCAAACTTTTTCAGGTAAAGGGCCAAAAACCAAATATCATTATGAGACAAAGGCAAATATAACAAACTATATTACATTAAATTTGCAATGGGTCATTTTCTAATATATTTAATTGTATTAACTAATGCAGTATAACATTTAAAACGATAACTTATTGCAATAAAAACATAACAGTGAACAGTGGAGATCAGTGCTGAATACCCTAGTTAAGCAGAGTCTGCCCTTGCCCTGATTTACTCACCAAACTCTCTGCAATGTCTTCAATCCATCAGGTGCAGCATGAAAATTTCAGCTACAATAATTGACAATATTTAATTAAATCATTCTTTTTTTCCAACTTATTCCCTTACAAATAAAATCTCTAATCAAATCTCTAGGACCATCTTTAAACATCCCAATCCTTTTTCCTCTCGTCTCAGATGGGATGGTGGGCCAAATCAAAGGTTACCACTGGCCCTAATTTGGACATCTCTGTGCTAGATCATGCATCATACACTGAAGTGTCACAACTGTGTTGTTCTGTATTGTATCGTAGAAGACCACACCTATCGCCTCCAAATGCAAACGCCATCCATATACTGTCAAATGAGAGGATGCATTTTTTGGCATTACACCTAAAGAGAGTGAACCTGTTAATATTCTGTACCTGGAACTGTCCACCAAGTAATTAAAAATAAAAACTCTGAGACAATTAATAAAATAAGATAATTGATAAGTAATAAGTGTAGCAGATTTTATTAACTTGGATGCAAAAACTGAATCATTTAAGCATGACTTAATTGGAACATTGTTATTTCGGCAGCACTGTTTATTGTCTTTTTTAGCATGTCATATTAGAAAAAACATCAGAATATGTTTTTATACAGCTCTAAATATTCCGTTTAACATAGATTTACATTTTCCAAAAATAATGATTTGTAATGCTACAAAAACGGCCACTTGAAAGGACTATAATGTGACCTGGCCATTAAATAATAAAAAAGAAATCGTAATAATCCTCATGCCTTTATAGTAACAATAATCAAAAAATCTGAAATCTATCAGGCCTATTTCCTGGTTAATCTAATCCGATACCCTTAAGGACGGGATTAACATTTATTAATTCTGAGCCAAAGTCCCCACAGGATAACCAAAGAAAAACAATACTGAGAGTTTTTATCTCTCATGATATTTTCACAGTGTTCTCTTACATCTCCTGGAGGAAAACAAAAGGCTGTGAGGCTTTTTCTAGAGAGGATCTCACAGAGTGACACTGACACAAACTTTATCTGCTGATTCAGATAGTAGAGCACTGGGTTGAGAGGCGCCGTCCAATACAGATCCTGCAGAGACAGATTAAAAATAGCAAGAGTGAACTAAAGAGTGATAAGCAAGAGGTCGGGCTTTATAAATGCAAAGTTGTCTCACCCCAATCCAAGCATGAGGATGTGTGTCAAAACCAGAGAAGGCAGCAGTAACTTCAGCAAATCTCTGTCGATCTCCTTGTCATCTTTGTCTGTGTTTGTGTTGCATATTCTGTTCCGCTTTGGCCGTTTAATTATAAATGCTGTGGGTGGTATGTTTTCTGGCCGACTGGACCAGTCGCTGATCCTTGCAACAGCTTCGGCTTCCTGTTTGCTCTCCAGCACAACTTCCCCCTAGAAGAGAAAGTGGAAAAGTTAACAATGCATTCAGATCATTTGGTCATTTTACTACTACGGATGTCTAATCAAACTGTTAGTGTGTCATTCTGTTTTATAAAAGCATGTTTAAGGGTGAACACATGGTTGTGAAAATAGATCTGGGTCATTTTGTGGCAAATCAACCAAATTTCAGAAATATTATATATTTTATTAGAAGAAATATGAACATAAAAAGTGATGAAATGAGATTGAGAGATTGATGAGATTTTTTTGTCTAGTTTCTAGTCCAAATAATAAAAAAAAAATCTTAAATCAAGAAGAATTTTCTACACAAGCAAAACTTATTGTCTTGTTTTCAGAAAAAATAATCTTGTTTTTCTTTTGACATAAGATTATTTTTCTAACCCCACTGGCTATTTCGTTTGTTTGAAGGAAAAACTCACTGCATATTAGCAAATTCATTCTAAAAACTAATTCTAAAAAATTTATTCAAAAAAAAAAAAAAAAAAAAAAAAAAAAGATTTAAGAATTTTTAGATAATTGGAATAGAAAGAAGACAAAAAATCTAAGTAAGAAAAGCAGTTTTTGCAGTGTAAATGCTATAAAGGTATATTTATTGTACTACTTTACTACATACTTTTCCTCCATTTTTATGACTAAAAAATGCATAAAATGCTAAACAGATTGCTGAAGTCACTAAAAGATTTATAAATTTGTGTAATAATAAAATAATGGTGCTGCCATTTTCTTAAATTATTCAACTTTGGTTCCAAATGCCTGGAGAAAATGGTCCTTTTAACACTTCTCTATAAAGCAGTTTACTACAGTAAATATACATTAATGATATGTTTTTTTTTTTTGTTTAATCACTTTTTATGTTTGTTCTTTTTCAGAATAAAATATGAACAACATAAAAAAATATGAGCTGACTGTAGTAAATCAGCGTAAGTACTGTTAACTACAGCTATTTTTGTTAAAATAAAATCCAAAATAAAAAAACAAATATTATTGTAATGAAGCACAATAACTCAAGCCTATTTCACATAGTTTCTAAGTGAATTATTACTTTTTTTCAATTTTGAAAGCAGAAAAGCATTTAATCAGTCCAAATTAAAATATTGTAAAGAAAACAATAATAAAATAATAATTATATAAAGGTCTCTCTTTTGATTATAAAAAAAAAATGTTTATATTTTTAATTTTCATTTGACATCACGATCACACTGGACAACCAAATGCATTTGTTCAATTGTTGATGTTTTGCATCAACATCTGTCCACAGGAGGCTTGACAAAATGAAAATAAAATAGATACATATAAACAACATTATAATATAATTATTATTATTAACAACATTATTATAACATTATAAGAATATAATAATTCTTTACACAAAATTACTGAGGGCAAAAGCAGTAAAAACTGTTTTGTTTTAACCACTTATTAAGACCACTACTAAAAATATTTATATTACTTTCTAATTTTAGGCTAACAGATAAATCATTCTACAATTTGGCACCCCTTAACAGAGAAAACAGACTGGCCAAATGAGGTCTTACACTTTGGCACTAGACAGTGACCATTAGCACTTGCTCGTGTGACTCTGTGAGAGGTTTGAGGCCTACTGATTAGATTTGAAACCACCATTGGAACATGATCATTTAAACGTTTAAAAGCTAATGTAAGATAATTACATTTATTAAAACTATAAAAGGTTAAGTTTACATAAAACATCACAATGATGTCATTGCATTGGCTTTAAGTCCAACAATTTAACTGCTTGTTTATATATCGATAGTCAATAGGCTTCAATGTAGTTGAAGAGGCTTGTAACCATGATGTAATGCAATACGTCAAGTGAGAGAATATCATTGTGTGCATGTGTAATTTCACAGTTTGATTTATTAAAAACCTTCTAATAAAAAGGAAACCTTCTTATATTTTTAACATTTATTCATTCATGAAACCCATACTTATCCAGCACGTTTTTACACAGAAGATGCCCTTCCAGCCGCAACCCATCTCTGGGAAACATCCACACACAATTATACACTATGGACAATTTACCTAATCACCTATACTGCATGTCTTTGGACTTGGGGGAAACCCACGCAAACGCAGGGAGAACATGCAAACTCCACACAGAAGCGC